TGATTCTAGGAATGTTGGCGGCGAATCAATCTATCACTGCTCTGCAACATTCGCGATGGCCGATTTCTTCGTGCAATGAAAACGTCTCAGGCTTGGCATTTCGTTTATTTCATGCCCGGGATGACTCGACCTTTTGATCAGCAGCCTGGCACGGAGATCATCGCTCGTCGGTTTCATTCCGTATAGTGCTTTCGCAGCCGAATGACCTAGCGTGCTTCTGTGGACGTTCGACCTGGGATGGGAAGAAAGCAGCGTCATACTATTTCAGATATGTGGACCATTCCATACTACTTGGGGCGTTTGCGGTCACTATGAAAGTTGCGCCATGAGAGATCAACTTTACTTGATAAGGGAATACAACCAGGAAACTGTTGCATGATTAAGTCCTCGCGCGGGTATATTTGCGCTCTGGCACCGGATGCAGTCTTTTCCCACAATCCACCATACGTCCTGCCAACCTGACTTATATTTGGCAATCGCACCGCTATCATGCTAAATCCATCCGTCCGGTCCTGCTCTCACGCGTACCAACGCGCCAGTGCTACTCTCTTCGGCGTTTATTTGCAAAGATTCTGGTGAATCCGCTAGCTTCGCGCAAGGGAAAACTTATTCTTGGCGGGTCAGCGAAGACCCAGAACGTTTAGCTGTTGCAGGAACTCGCAGGTGCGGAATGCGAGGATCAAGTCTTCAGCAAGCTAAGCAATCTCAGTCCTACAAGAAGAGTCGAGTACTAGCTACAAAGCTGTTGTCAAGAGGAGACCTGAAAATCGGTATCGAAGTGATACAACATGGTGCCGGCTGCTTTCCTTGGTGGCTCGCAAGAGTCAATATCTCCCACTGTGTGGTTAGCATTTCTCACCTCCCAGCACACCACAGTAACACCTCCCTTCAAAACCTCTCCCCACCCCTCTCCGACCAAGAAGCCAATTCATCATCACCGCTCTCCCGGCTGTATCCGCTCTGAGTCCCTCTCTCATACCAAGCCTATTCCATGAGAGGTTTCTATATTGTTTTCTGTGTCCTCACAGCAGCTTCTGTGCAAGCCTGCTAGTTTTTATGAGACCGGTCAAGTCTTCAGCTAGTCCCCGATCGATATAGTCTTTGGGGAATAACGCCGGGCAGTAGACACCGCACCCGTGTCAAAGCGGACTCGAAGCTCGACTGCGAGGAAGCCAGAAGAGCAAACAACTACTTGGACGGGTGAAGATGCCGAGCTCGCCGAGATACGACGGATACTCACAGGAGCGGAGTCGACCACACGAGAAATCAACGTGGGCAGGGAGTTCGATAAGACGGAGGAAATCATCAAGTACCACAACAATAAGCTGTCAAGTACTAACACCAACGGAACATCATCTACAGTAATATCGTCACTATAATGTCGGCAAAGCTTCAGCTTATCGACGCACAGTGTGTGATGCTCTAGAAGTGGCTGGGGAAGAACAAAGAGTTCCGAGCCATCGCAGATATACAGAAGCCGGGGCTTTGGGATATGGTTACCAAAACGAAAACAAATTTCTACAACTGCCAGAAACTGGCGACGCGGAATTAGGACAAGGTGAAGGCGCGAGTCAGCGCTGAGGCTGTGGCACACCTTTCCTTGGAATCATTTGAATTTATACGGCAATTCTTGTTGAACCTGGTGAATGGAAATTCACCGCTAACCGAGGCCTGATAACTGGACTTCATCTTCAAGTCTACCGTTTTTCGACCTGATCTGGAGTTCCCGTGTTATTATTTGTTTTAAAATGAGCTCATGTCAGTGTACGTAATCGCATACATCGCCGTTAACGGGGGGCTGTTATCGAGCTTGCGAGGAAGACCAAAGAGCCTCGACGAGTCGAAAAGCTTGAAGACCATGAGCAAAGTCGTGCAAGCCCTCCTCAGCCGCGGAAAGCATCCCACTAGTGATGATGGTCGGGAGGTGGAGCGCACGGAAGCATTCAAAACATGCTGGAGCTGGACGACACAGCGACACATGTCATTGCCATCCAAAACAATTGAACAGATATCCACTCAAGGATTGTGGCTTGGAGAGTGGGATGTTCACGTTTCACTGTCGGTTCTGGCTGCCTGCGCAAACTGAAGGAGATGGTCCAGACTCAGAAGTCCGCTTGCAGTTCAGTGGCACTCCGACCTCACCTGACTGATGCCGGGTTCGAATTCTAGGCGAGACTGCTGTGAAAAAAGAAATAAAAAAAAAAAAGAAAAGGGAAAAGAAAAAAGGGCGGGGTGGGGGAAGAAAACGAAAATGTAAACAAGGGCTGCGAGAATCATGTATACTCTGCCAACAAGAAGATCTACCAGGGGTGTCAGTGGGCTTCGAGTGGTGTCCTAAGGTAAAAATTGTTATGCGAAACGGTGTCAAGCTGGTTGAACTGACTCTGTCGGGCTTTTCGAGCGGCATTCGCACACCTGCGATACCAAAGAGTGGATGGATCCGATTTCAAGTGTTCTTTCTACTTCTACCTCGATAGTAACGTGAAATATGAGCATCTGGCATAGCGGTTTCACACCCAGTACACTTGAAACACTCTTCCAGAATCCTTCACGCCGAGACACCGACCTCCGTCAAGCGCAGAGAGAATCGCCCAGGTAATCGATGGATCAATCGCAAAGATTACAGATCTCTTAGCACAATCACCTTTGGCCTTCGTACATTGCACATTGCGGACTTCATAGAGCGACAGTAGCGCTCTCCAGGGCAATAACCCGCCCTCGGAAGTCATGGGATAAGGAATGGGACTCTATCATCCCAGGCTCCTGGCCAGATCTTGGTCCTCTTTGCATACGATAGTATACATCCATTTTTTTTTCTTTTTACGATTTGGGAATGATTGACTATGGCAGAGTCCCAGAGTGTCGCTGCGAAGGACAAGAAGGCAGTCCGACTGACGAAGGTCTCCCGCGCGAGAATCCGGAGACTTCAAGAGTCTCTTTCGTGGTCCGCGCAAAGTCAGGTCCTGGCATGGACTTATATGTCTTGATGTACGGAGGATTGGTTGTATCTGTCCGTCAGGTTCCCACCCTTCATCAGTTTCATCTCACTCTTTCTCACTTATAACTGCGTTCACCTTGCAGGATAAAATTCTCAACTGTCTTCGGCACATGTTATCAAGATAATTGTCGACGTCTGGGGGGGTGGACCGCTGAGTCACGTGACCCGATAAAACGTAAACACCGTGAAATCGTGTAGATAGCTCCTTAGCAACCAAAATCAACGAATTATCAAGGCTTCATACTTTTCCCTGCCAAAACCGCTAGTTTCCACAATAATGGTCTGGTACCGAAGCATGAAAAGTGGTTTGAGATCTTCCATGGCGACCCTGACTGTTTAAGTTCGAATACGGTATCCCATCGATCAATATGTATTGAATAGAATAAAGATATTCAATACTGATTCACAAATCCTGAAGCTCCAGTGACCAAGCGAAACATAAATCCTACTTATCATTCTTGATTACAGATGACTGTTGATTCGATTTACCTAAATATTCTCTACGATAGAACCTCTGCTGACCTGGTGTCCTCATGGCATAATTGCAGCTGCCCTCCACATCCAGCAACAGCTCACAGCGCAATGTAGATTATGTTACGCAAAAAAACCTCGTCTTTCAACAAAGTCCGATGTGGTGTAATGGCTAACATCGCTGTCTCTCACACAGCAGCTCGGGGTTCGATTCCCCGCATCGGAGATTCTTTTTTTCCGTTGTCAACACCTTCATCTACAACTACATCGTAGCAACAGGGATTCTTTTTGTTCCCGATAGAGTACTATTCCATCCAGCATGCAGCGGGTCATAATGATGCATTGCATCGGACAGATCTGGGTACGATCGGATACCAACCAAGATCTCCTCTCCTCCCTTCGTGGTTGAGGTTACGATCATCGCTCGTCACCTTGCGTCGGGCGGGAGGGCCGGTGATCTCCACGGCACTACCCCGAACCATAACCTGAACCATCTTATCTATCACCTTGTGAATTATTCCGAGGTGCAGGCGGAGCATTGTTGTGAATTCTTCTGGATATATGGGATACTGTTAGATGTCTTACTTGAGCCTTCTCAGCCTGTACAGGGAGTAAAGCTCGTTTACTCCCTCCTAACCCACTTTCCTGTGAGGATGACAATTACTCCATCCGCCCTCGGTTGCGTTGTCCTGCTTTTTAGTCAGACAAGCATCACCACACATGAAGACCCTCTTTCACGCCCAAAGTCAGGAAGCAGTCTCACTAGACCCAGCAAGATCTCACCTGGAGTATCTCGAGAACAGGCATTCTACCTCCCCCGACATCCGCGCGAAGAGGCGAAACAATGGGCGTCGGCGCAAACGGTTCTCAATCCTCCTCTACCTTCGATAGACACATGTGATCGTATGAGAGGCGAGATTGGTTGATTCAGTTGTCTAGGAAAAGAATATGTGCTCTGATAGGGTTTGGAAGGAGACGGGGGTTTGGTGAACCGCCTATGATCCTTGCTGAAGTGGGACTGGGGAGACGGGGAAGAGGATTATAGGCGCATGCTTGTTATTTTTTCTTCCGCCAATTGCGTGCGTGGGAATCATGACTCACTGCCAAATTTAGATGGTGTTGAAAAATTTGAAGATAAATTTACTATCTGCGAGTGAAGAATCTTCTGTGAAGCTGGTAGTGAAACGTGATGTTCATGCGATCGCGCATAACTTAGCTATGCTAGATGAGAACTACTCTCGCGGGTGGTCATTGTACTAAAGACCCAATGATCAGGGTGCCAGGATTATGCTCAAGGGAGGATAGTTAGACTATTAACAACACGAATATCCCTCCACAGTAGTACCACGACAATCAAGCTTTTTGAAAACAGAACGACGAAACAGATATTAGAACATAAGTAGAGAGAACTGCCTGTCTTAAGCAAGCAGGCAGAGTAGGGGTATTATCTTTATCCTTGCCGAGCGTCTGATGCGGCAGGCTTGGTGTCTGACATGCGTCACAAGCAGGCTCGTCAGTTCTGAGGGCTCGACTACTTCAAGTCTGGCGTATCAACAACCTTTTCAGCCCTGTGAACAGTGCTCAACGAGCTCGTACGATAGAAGTAATCGTGCACGGAACCTTCGAGGAGCTCGTCCTCAATGAAGGCATCGGCATCGTCATCGCGCTTGGTCTCCTCACCCATGCGAGCCATCTTGGTCTCCCATTCGGCGCGGTATTCCCGGATGCGCTGCTGGTAGTCAAGCTCCGGGTCATAGTACTTGCCCGCCCCCCTTAAGCGTTCCCACACGGACAAGTGCTTCGAGTGCACGGCCACGCCGTGGTATTCGTGTTCGCGGCCCTCACGGATATAGATCCACCGGCGCTCCTGTTCTTTGAGGTCGAGACCGGTGGTGTCGGGCAAAAAGAGGTAGGTCAAGGCCATACCCAGAAGACCCCACCATGGGACGAAGTAAAACTTGGTTTGGGTGTCGATGTAGTTGAAGAGAATACCTGCCATGAGGGCACCCAATTTGCCCGTTGCAGCAGAGATACCATGGGCGGTGGCGCGAATCGGGGTAGGGAAGACCTCACCAGCGACAAGGAAGGTCACACAGTTAGGGCCGAATTGGTTGAAGAAACTAGACAAGAAGTACATCGTCTGGAACGAGTGGATGTGGGCTGCCTCCTTGTAGTAATCGTAGTGGAAGGCGGGAACCACAAACATGATGAAACAGAGGAGGAAGCCCCAGATTTGCATCCATTTTCGCCCGTAAAGCTTGTTATCAACGAAAGCGATGGCAAAGTAATAACCGGCCAGAGTGACGATGACGTCGATGAAGCTCCATTGCCACGAGATGAATATCGATTTAGACTTGGGGCTGATGACACTGATGAAGTCGCTGGAGAACAGCTTGGCTCCATAGAAAAAGACGTCGTTGGCAAACCAGCCACCTGCAGTAGCAAGAACACGAGGAGTGAAATGCTTGAAGGTCAAGCGGAGGGACTCGCTGTCGTAGCCAGTGACAGAAACCTTGGCTTTCTTCTTGGTAGCAGCGAGCTGCTTACTAGCGGCCTTCATGTGGTAAGCACGGTAATAGAGGAGCCAGAGAGTGCCAATCATGGGAATGACGAAAGAGATGCGGTAGGTCCACTGGGTGGCTGTTTGGCTAATAGGCTCCTTGCCGCTGCCGGCATTGAAGATAAGAAGCAGAATCATGAGGAAGGCCTGGTTCAGGACCTGACCCCAGCCCTGCATGGAGAAGCATCCGATAACTTTCGCACCGCGGTGCAGGCGATCTTCACGAGTGGATAGCTTGCCTGAGCCGACAGCGTTTTCCATACCACTTGTAACGGTCATCGGGTATTCGCCGCCTATCGAGTTGTTAGCCACTGATCAATTTCCTCAAGCTCCTCGGCTAATACATACCAACACCAATGCCGTAGATGAAGAAGGACCAGGCATAGCAGATGACCCAGCCATTCTGGGTCGTACCCCAGGCGCAAATCAGCATGACCAGACCGAGGATCATGATCCAGGCATCCTGAAGCAGACCCCAGCGGCGTCCGATCCAGTCTCCAATGACACCCACCAGTATTTGCCCGATGATAATACCGACAATTTCCAAGTATGTGACCGCGGAGACCCAGTTCTTGGAGCAGATCTCGTATTTGCCCCAGCAGGATTCGAAGGACTTGCTGAACAGAGTGGAGATGTTTCCGATGGAGAGCAGAACGTAACTATCGCAAGATCAGATCAAGTTTCGCATGGAAGATCGAAGGACTAATCCAGAACTCACCCTTCGAGACCTAAACCAGCACCGGGAATGATAGTATCACGAATATAGTTCATGGCCGGCGACAGAGGATCGGCCCTGAACTGTTGCCAAAGAGCCGACCACTGACGGCGACTCTCTTTGGAGTCCACTGAGCGGACGAACTTGATCCGCTGTCCGATGGGGAGGTCGGCCCAGTAGACGCCCTCGGGGGTGTAACTGTCATCCGGGCGAAGGAGGCGGTTGAAGGCCTCCTTTTCGCTATGGCTCATCTCGGGGAAGTCCTGCTTTGCGGCCATGTCGGGCTCGCGAGAAGCATCGGAGTCTGCCATGTCGAGGTTCTGTTCACGAGAGGCTTGAGCAGATAGAGATGATCTTACCTCGAAAGGGGGAGGAGAATGCTGAAGGTTTAAATACCCAACAAGCAAAGATAGATTGCAGTATCATGCTATACGTACCAGGGGCCATCAACATCAGAATTGGCCGGCACGTTTTGACGCCCGTGCCTGTGGTTGGCTAGAACAGTTAGTCGACCAGGTAGTGGCCTCTCACCCCGGTCAAGCCAGACGAACTAGTGGACCTTCGACCTCGGAGGAACCCAATGTAACAAACTTTGACAACCAGTCGGAGCAGTAGATAAGTGGAAAGAATTGAGTAACATGTCAAGAAGTGTTGGCTGCTAAGTTTAGTGGCGAGCTCTGACTCTCCTCCTCCCGAGGGAGGATTTCAGGTGGCTTTCCAGTGGCTTCAGGATGAACCATGCCGACCTCCCCGGGCCAGTTTGAGTAACTTACTATGTCTGCAGGTATCGCCCTCAAGCCCTTGCAGCGCTACAACTTCGCACATCTTCCTCATTCCGATCGTAAGTATCTCCGACTGCATTACTCCCCGTGTATCCATCGCATCGCCTCGAAAATCCAGCATGCAGGCCGGGACGGACTGAGTCAAGAACCGAACACAATAGGCTTAGCGAGAATAAGGAACCAGAGAAGAAGATGGGGAGAATCAAGCCTCCTTGGCCAAACTTGGCCCAACTTGGCTCCTGCGGCACCCGGCGTGGCACCGGACGTGGCACCACGTGCCAGACGTTCCTGGCTTGCATTCATGGGTCACGCCAGGAACTGCCCGTCACGCCCACTGTAGTGGCAGGCACTCGTGTTCGTTAGCTGATTAGTGCATCGATGCAAAGAACTATGGAACCCCAATGTCCTTGGAGATGAGATGGAGCGCACGTGCCGCCTTGGGCTGTTCTCTCTCGCCGACGGGCGGCGGTTCCGTGCGCCCCTAACCTGCATCGAGCTTAGGTCCGGACCCGCCTTTCTACTAATGCAATATACCACTTGACAATTGTCGCCATCCTACGCTTGTCAGCTCAGTCCCGTTTTCATAACCCGGATCAGCGGTATAATGAACGCGTCTTCTGTTCCTCTGTTTTTTTACTTGCTAGCAGTCATCGCATCAACAGGAAGCTAGAAACATCGTGATAGAAAGAGAAACGCGATACTCGAAGCCGGACAGCGCTGGGCCTTGAAATCCGGCAAAACAGATGTAGGGAAGCCGGAACGGGAAGTGGGAAACATCACACTTCTCTGGACTAGAACAGCATGAGGATGGGGCATTCGCAGAGAATGATCTTCTATAACATTAGCCTTCATCCTCCACATTGATGCTACACGATAGACGGCGCTGCGTTACGAACCGAAATGCCTGCATTAGGTATTTTTATCCTTCACTCCAAATATTGATGAATGTTTTTCGCATATTATTTTGAGTTTCGAACTGAGCAGACGCAATCGAAAATGCACAAGGAGACTTTGAATGATGCATGCGCTAAACACCGCTCTTATTATCGCTCGAACGAATTCACTATCATACGAGTATATACGTATTCGGTGGCTGCAAGGTCCTCAGACTGTACAACGACTCCAAGCCAACAGGTCAAACCACCGGACTAGGTAACGGAGACGACGTCAACCGCAGATACTTGTGTGGCCTCCACGCCAGCCTCCTCGTCCACCAGAATATCAGAATGGTACCAAAACAAGCGAGCATAATCATCCCAAGGACCACATCGTTGATCGCTTTCAGTAGGCGATCCTCATCAGAAACATGTTCCGGCTCTTCTACCACTTCTTCATCCACAGCGATAGCCTCAGCCAGAGGCACCGGGTCAGTCACTATCTCGATAACAGACTCAGGAACAAGAGAGGTGGGATCATCCGGTACGAGCAAAGGCTGCGCCCCATCCTCGGATGCAAATTGCAAAGACCCCTCAACGCTGGTACGGGTGATCATCGACCAGCCTAGGGAGTTGCCGTTGCGATCGAGCGCCTCGGCGGAGACAAAGTCCCAGTAGCCCGGGGTTACGAAGACGGATTCGAAGTCGTGCTTGGTCACCTTGCCAATGAGGTAGGGGATGGAAATCTCGTCAGCTTGTGAATAGAAGTTCCAGACTGCGACCTCGGTGGCTCCGTTCCAGCTGACGTGGAAGACCGTAGTCAGCTCGGGGTCTGTCATCGGTACGCCTGTAGCGGGCGGGTGCGCATGGCTGGATTCGCTGGCGTAGACAGATGCGACCAGAGCCGGCGGCTGCTGAGGATTGCCAATGAACGGAAATTTGTATGATCGATAGCTGTTAAAGCGCGGCGAAAGAAACTTGGCTTCCATGAGAACGGTTCCATCCGGCGCGTGCTCGCTGTGGTAGCCTTGCTCACTCCAGCCCATGAAGACATTCCCTTCTTCGAGTGTCTGGAGGTTCCCACGCATGCGACTCAGCCCGCCGTCCGGGCGATTGTAGCGGCGCAGAAGAGTCGCAGTCATGTTGACGGTGTTTAGTTCGACCACCATTCCGGACGAAATCTCTTCTTGATTGGTGAAGTCGTCCGAGGCGTTGTTGAGGAAAGACAGGACAGTGTGTGTCTCGTTTACTGAGACGAATCGCGCGTTATGTTGCTTTGAGAAGGTGAAATCCATGACGAAGTTAGTGTGTTTACCACCGAGTCGCCAAATGATATGTCCGTCTTGTCCGGAGAGGAGATAGATGGTACTCGTGTAGCGGGCCGACAACAGGTAGTCACCGTACATGTTCTTGTCGGCCGCATTCACATGGATATAGTCCAGACCACCTCCGCCTTCTGCCGGCGACCAAGGCATCACATGGTCAGATTCATGGAGCGGGATCTTGTCCCGGGAATCCCAATCGAAGATTACTGCACTCGTGGCAAGGTCAATCTCAAGGAACCCCCCTGAAGCAACTTTGCTCATCTCGGCCGGCCGACCCAAGTCTGCTAGTGTCTGGTCTTGGATGCGGATTGAGGCCGCCATAGCCGTCTTCCCGCCCGGAAGGATATTGAATTCGTGTAGGTCCCATCGCTCCAAGTCGTTGGTGATGGGAATGGTTTTCTCGACAAAGTATTTGTCGTTTAGTATATATGCGGCGCCCTTAGCCAAGGGGGTGCCATCATTAATGTAACTATTCTGCAGAATGAAAGAAAGATATGTGGTATCGTTCAATATGTGGTTGGTGGGTTTGAAGTCAAAGATGTTGCGGTTGTGGTGGAGGCATGCACCGGTCCAGACCAGCTTGCCGTCCTGATCGTAGATGTGGGGCCCCACTTGACAAGGAATGTATTTGCTATTCGGAGGCTCGGCTTCGAAAAACCAGTACGGTGCGACAAACCAGTATCCAGGGCTGACGCGGGTGCGATCGTAGTAGGTCACGTTGTATTTGATTGCCTTGACATCAGGCATCTGGGAGGTGAAGGTCAGCATCGAATGGCCGGTTCTGCGATACGGGACATACGGTGACAAATGAGAGAAGGTCATCATCGCGGGTGATGTCGAAGGGCTTTACGGTTTGTGTTGAAAGAGAGAAAGTACTAAGCAGGAGTAGAAGAAACGATAAGGAATGTGGGCGCATTGTGCCTTCGGTAAGTGGGTAGTCTAGAGATATGCGGCTTATCGAAAGATCGACGATTGCATGTTGGCTCAGGAAGCACCGTTTGATAAGAGAGTGAAAAAAGAGAAAGAAACGAATACCACCGGAGACTAATGAAATAACGTAGACCAAATGAAAGGAATGAGGACGCTTAAGGGATAAAATTTGAGATCAATGTGAGAGCAAAAGAAGAAGGCAAAACGATCCTCACCACGTGGAACCCCGGGTCGCAGCGAGGGTTTATCGGCTAGCGGATCAACTGGGAATCCTAAGCGATGGAGGCGTTCGTGTTCGTGTCAAATGGGCAAAGGAACCCGACACTAGCTGTCCAGATATGCGAATTACAATTGGTCTCTACGATCACCTTCTCGGGGTTATCACTGACTTTAGTTGTTCGGCTCGGGTTGAATCAGTTGGTGATACAGCGCCTCAATAGTTCAAGAACCATCCCGAGCACCAGTCCCAGGAATAGTATTAGAGTGAGGCTGGTGTACTGGTATGCGCATCCTATTCCTTCCTCAAAATAATCGTGACGGAAATTGATCCGATGTATCATATTATATACGGAACAACTGAAATCCTGAAACGAGCTGTCAAAGCTGACAGCTCCTCAGTACTAGACAACTGACCAAGGCCGATATCAGTCATCTGCCCTGTCACCTTCAACTAAAAAGATGAATTTATCATATCTCCTGCTTGTCGCAGAAAGTCGTTCGTGATGACCTGTTCTCAACTCTTTGATTTGCAACAGGGTGAACAGTAACTCCGCCATTGTCTTAAACAGACACTTGCCTGGTATTGTATTGATAAGAGCTCCGTCTCTAAGACACAGATCTATCGTGGTCCTGCGGGGTGGGTGGCGTCCAAGTGGCGGCGTCTGTCTTGAAATGCTTCAAGAAAGCTAGTCTAAATCATCTTCATTCCCCGCAAGACCACGTACCTCTGCGGTCCTGGACTCCTGACAAGTGACAACTGGAACCGATCGCCAATCATGACTTGTTTGTGACAGCGCCCCTCAACTATTTTTCAGGTACGCGCCAGCTGGTCCGCTGTTATTGCTGTTCTCGTTTCCTGCTAAAGAAACACCAAGAACAATTGTGGGAAAAAGTGGGTTAGTGTGTGGGAAAGCAACTGGGAATTTTTGCTATCTCAAAGTTCCATGGGACCGTGGCTGAGAGTAAATTTAAAGTCAAAACAATGGAGCTTAAGGCACGCCGACGGAAAAGGGAGAGCCCGGGCGCCGAGCTTCCTTGCTAGACACCTTGGCTTTAAGGCGGCTATCCCTGAGGTCGGCTGCGCTGCAGATCATCCCGTCCCAGCATTCTGCTTCCGGTCATCATCGATGCTGATCACTGCCAATGCCTATCAACAAGGCAAGGAAGATTTAGCGAAGCCAAGCCTCAAGCACCTTTCCTACCCTCGGCCCTGCCCAGTGTCCACGCCTTCGACTAAGAAGAGCCCGCTAAGCAGTTGAAACTCCATCCATCAGACTATGCCAGAAATCCATCGCACAACAGGCTCGACATCAATGATCGTTCTAGCATATCCCCCATTTGTCTGGTAGAACATCCTTCAATGTCTAAGTCATCACACGAGGCCACAATGCACACTCAAAAAGCGTGCAAACTCCCACAGTAACAGAGATCTGTGGATCAATTAAGACTGGGTGGGTTGATCTACTCGCAAGCACAGACTGCACCTGACTAGCCTGCAGATATTCAGATGAACTGAGGCGGGTTTCTTCTGGCAGTTCCTGAGCATCGAAGCTTACATGAGCTTCCCATATGGAATATTGCGAGGCTTGCGCAGGGGTAATTCAAGATGAACGCCAGCTTTCTGCACGATGGCTCCGCAAGGCCTCCATAGACTATTGACGACATCCGTTGATCCATGCCCGTCGAAGTTATTGCCTCGAGAAAAGCAACAATGCGGTCATATGTATGTCTCCGCTGCCGGTTCCGATCATGCAAGGGTCGGCAGTGGCGCCCAAACTGCTATTTAAGTGGGTGGATCTTCCAGTCCACTGTAGGACATTCACATTCTGGCATTATTTGTGGTTGATCTATTGACTCATGGTATAATTAGGAATCAGTCCGCCATTTAATGCTCTCTTGTAAAGGCTAAGAATCTTCCACGATTGCGTTCTCCTATCAAGCGAGCTCGGCATACATGCTCGTAATGGCATCTCCGCCGGCTTCGGGTACGGCATCGGACTCAAAAAGCCCCTCCTCGGAATTGATGAGATCGACAAGCCATATATCATGGCAAGCATCTTTCTGTCAACCCAACGCAGCTCATGCGACAGTGAATACTGTGGGAGCTCAAGAAGCCATGGAAGTTCAGCAGATAGACCACTCCAACCCTCGCATGGACGGCGGCCTTGTGGCCTGGCTTCAAGTCTTAGGAAGCTGGCTAGCATTCGCAAACACTTGGTCTGTCAGTTTACCATAATCTCGTCATCTGCTTCAGTCGGACTTACCTCTACCACAACAGGGGTCTCACAAGTTCCTACGGTGTCTTCGAAACGCACTACTCCAATGATCTCCTGTCACACTACTCCCCGTCATCCATTGCATGGATCGGCTCAGTACAACTGTTCCTCATGATGGCGATCGGACTTCCGGTCGGCTCGATAATGGACAAGGGTCATCTCCGGCTGCTGGTAGTGGTGGGAAGCTTCATGCAGGTTTTCGGGATGTTTATGACCTCTCTCTGCACGCAGTACTGGCAGGTGTTTCTTGCGCAAGGTATTTGCGTGGGCATTGGGAGTGGCATGTTGGTTGTTCCGTCGGTCGCTGTTCTTCCACTTTATTTCACAACCAAGCGCATGCTAGCTACGGGAATTGCGGCTACGGGAAGTAGTTTAGGTATGGTCGGTCTTTGTCTCGCTGGGATCGCATCCTAATAGACATCTAGCGGGTATCGTGTACTCGATCATGTTACGCAGACTGATAGTCTCCATCGGCTTCCCCTGGGCTGTGCGAGTCCTAGCCTTCGTGATGCTGGGTGGATCGATTATGTGCTGCGCTGTATTGCGACTGCGACCGGGGCGTGTTAAGCGGGCGCCTCTGCAATGGCGCAAATTTACTCACGACTCGTGCCTTTTGTCCTTCACAGCTGGTACTGCCCGCCTTCCCCCCTCGCTTGTCACTCATCCCACTCTAAGATGTAATACAGCATTTACCACGATGATGGCAGCTGCCTACATCCCGTTCTTCTATGTCGAAGCCTACGCCATCGACCTCTCTGTCGACGATGACATGGCATTTTACCTACTGAGCATCATGAACGCGACCAGTCTTTTTGGACGGATAGGGTCCAACTGGCTTGCTGACCGGTATGTGCACGCCTTACTCCCAGGCCACTGCTCATTGGAAATTCTCTATCATTCAATTCGATACCTCTAACACCAGGCAAACAGATACGGAGGTCTCCACCTCGCAATCCCCGGCTGTCTCTTTACCTCCCTCATCCTATTCTTCTGGCGCTTCTCAACTACCCTTCCCGACTTGATTGCCATCGTTTCCATTTATGGGCTTGTCTCGGGGAGTATCGTGTCGCTTCCGCCCGCTATCATTGCCAATCTGACGTCCGATGTCTCCGAGGTGGGAGCAAGGATTGGGGTCTCGTACACAATTGCAGCCTTTGGGGCATTGGTCGGGAATCCGATTGCGGGGGCAGCGAGAAGTTCAAGAAATAGTGCGCAGGTGGAATATCAGGGAACGTGGCTATTCGGAGCCGCAGTGATGTTTCTATCAGCCGTGTTCGTGGTCTTGACTCTGTGGTTGAGAAGAGGTGGTAAACAGAATTGAGGGCCATGCCAGGTAGCTACCGCCTTCTTCTGCATTCTTCAGCGCACTCGGTCTTACTTTCTCAATATAGTATTACAAGTCATCAGAAGCGATTCCTTCGCCAGCAAGCCACGCCATCCCCAGTAACTCCCGCGCACTCCTCCGCCGCACCGGATCAATCATCAACACCCCCCTAAGCAAATCAAGATACTCCGCCTTCTCAGCCCCGTCAATCACCTCAACCCACATCCCCAACTTCAGGGGCCGCTCCACAGGATCCCGGATCCGACCGCCTTCATCAAAGTACCGCCAAACAATCTCCTGATCCCCCTTCATCCAAATACCGCCAAACAATCTCCTGATCGCCCTTCTCCAACAACCACGTCGGGGGCACCCCAAAGAGCGCCTCAATTTCCTCCAAATGATGCTTCATCATATACCCACCCCTCCCCCTCTCCGCCCTTCCGTTAAACAACCGAATCGCATCAAGCAACTCCGGCAACAAAGCGCCGAGGTTCCAGATATCGACCCCCGTGCCCCACTCCGCGCCCAGCATAACCTCTGGCGCGCGGAGCAAGGTCGGCTGGATCCAGTCGGTCAGATGCCGATACACCCAGCTAGCGGACCCCCAATCGCCAAGCACAACCTGCACCTGAATGAACTCAGAGCGGTCGTTGAAGTTCTCCTCGCCTAGGGACAACGATCTGGGAGGGCTCAGGTACTTCTCGATGACGGATGGATCGCGGAGGCGAATCATGATGTTGTCGGGCTTGATGTCTGCATATACAGTCAGTATCGCCCATCAAGCGCAGGAATTGATTGGCAGGGAACCGAACCAGTATGGATGACCCCCGCGGTATGCGCGTAATCCAACGCCAGGAGCAGCTGGCGCGTGATGCGCTTCATGATCTGACTTGGGATTTTGACGCCCTCGAAGAAGAAGGAGAAGCTGTTGAGGTCTTCGGCCATGGGTTCGAGCACGAGACACACGTGGTGGCCATCGGGGTCTTCGTGGGTGAAGTCATCGAGGAGGATGGGGATGTGACGGTGGCCTGGATGGTTGGGGTTTGCTTGCCGCAGGTGGCGCAGGATCTCCAGCTCGAAGATGTCGTGGTCGCTGCCGTAGCAGCCTGAGGTGAGGATCTTGATCGCTACGTAGGATGATTCTCTGGGGATGGGGGTCAGTTAGTGGGTTTGTCTGTGGGTGCAAGGTGAGAAAGGTGACGGACTTCTGGTCTCTGGCTAGCCAGACGGTGGAGTAGCGCCCTGCGCCGCGTTTCTCGAGGAGTTGGTGTCTGCTGTTGAGGATTTGGTTGGTGTTGACTCGTTGGGGATCGGGACCGGTTTCGTCGGGTTGGGTTGGCATTGTAGCTGGATTGGATTGGTCTACAAATAGAATGGATGCAGGTCTTTAGAATCAACTTTGAGCTTTTATATTTCAATATATTTCAAGACTATAAGTTTGTATGCGAGGTTAAGTATAGGAGGCTGAGCTGCAACCTGTCTCCTGCACATAGCATACATCCACCGCCTTCCATACTGGTACCCCGCTCTGCATGCCTATCGCAAGCCACTGCAGCGGTGAAAGTGCCCTAAACAATAGCTGCTGTGCCGCCGCAGCTCAGCCATAGCGTAGACTGTGCCAGACCAATACAGCATGGTCTAGCCTCTTCAATCAGATCCAGACCACTGTTAAACAAAATTGTGTTGCGTTGAAGGGCTTTAAAGTGAGATACACGCATAGAATAAACCCCCCTCGATCAGCAATTATACATGAACCAACAACGATTAGTCCGAAAACCGGCACCACCGCATCAACAACCGGCATCGGCCCCATCCGACCGCCACAAACAAATCCATCGGAACGATCCGACCCCACATCCTCATTCATATACAAAAAGCCCATTCCATCGATGCATCCATGATCATCAAAAACGCTATCTTATCAATCGACCTACCTCACCTCACCAACCCAAAATCCCAAAACCCAATAATAACCACTCCACAAACCCAAAGAAAAATGCTCAAATCCCTCCTCCCCCGCCACCCTCCAAAGCCACCACCACCCTTAACCCCCAAAATCCACCCCCACCGCCCCCTCACAACCACTCCCAAAGAATCAAAAGGAAGACCCCAAAAATCCCTCCCGGCAGCCTACTACCGCGGCGGCACCTCCCGCGCCGTGATCTTCGACCGCGCGCACCTCCCCAAACCTAACAAAAACAAAGAAGCATGGGCCCCGATCTTCCGCGCGGTAATCGGTAGCCCGGACGCGGCGCACAAACGCCAGCTGGACGGCATGGGCGGGGGGATCAGCAGTCTCTCGAAGGTGTGTATCGTCAGCGGGACGCCGACTCATCCGGCTGCGGATGTGGATTATACGTTTGTCTCGCTGGGGGTCGTGGATGATCATGTGGATTATACGAGTAACTGTGGGAATATGAGTGCGGCGATTGGGCCGTTTGCGGTTGATTCGGGGGTTTTTAAGCCTGCTTTGCTGGGGGTGGGGGAAGAAGGGGAGGTGACGGTGAGGATTCATAATACTAATACGGGGAAGATCATTCATTCTACGTTTCCTGTGGTCAGATCTGAGATGGATCCGGGGCTGGTTGAGGCGGCGACGAGTGGGGATTTTGAGATCGATGGTGTGACCGGCTCGGCGGCGCGGATTCAATTGGATTTTCTGGATCCCGCGGGCTCGGTGACTGGGACGTTGCTGCCTACTGGGCGGGAAGTGGATGTCTTTGAGGTTAAGGTGGAGGGTACTAGGGGTGAAAAGAAGATGGAGGTGGAGGCCACGTGTATTGACGTTGGCAATCCGTGTGTTTTTGTGCGCGCGGCTGATCTTGGTGTGAGGGGGAACTTGACGCCGGATGAGCTGACGGCCGATCTGCCGTTGCTGGAGAAGCTGAATCGCATCCGGAGACAGGCCGGTGTGGAGATGGGGATTGCGTCGACACCGGAGGCTGTGCCGGGCAGTATTCCAAAGATCTGTATGGTGGCTGCACCGGGAGAAGATGCGCGCTCGGTCGAGAAAGAGCAGACGCCGCAAAGAGTGGATCTGGTGGCTAGGGCACTTTCGGTGGGCCAGCCTCATAAGGCGCTTCCCATTACGGTTGCGTTGTCGTTGGCTGCGGCGGCGAGGGTGGAAGGGAGCACCGTTGCGCAGATCGTGAATGGGAAAGAGATGATTGATGCGGCCGGGATCACGATCGGCCATGCTAGTGGAAACTTGTTAGTTGGGGCTGCATTCGCCGAGGACGGGGCTCTGAAATCCGGGCGGGTCTTTTCCACTGCCCGGCGGTTGTTCGAGGGAAGAGTGTTTTGGAAGGACGAGCAATAGCTGTGTTCTGTGCTTTACTGTCATCGTGTAAATATGGTCTGTTCTGTGGGTAGCGGAAATACCAATGCTCAAAAGCAGTCCTTCATCACACTTGACAACTCGCCTCCGTAATCAACTATATACTGTCCCCCTCTGCCCCAACCATCAAGCTCCTGTTGCGGTGGCAGTGCTCCCATGCCCATTATCTGAGTTTCCAGACTTCCAACTGCCTCGAACCACTCCATCAACTCCCTCGTCATCTGCTCTCCATCCACCGGCGTGAGGCTCTGCATACTGCCAGCCGACTGCACTGATGGCTGCCCTCCCCTGCTGGCTTGCTCGGCTTCCAGCTGTGTCGGACCGAATGCTGCTTTCTCGCCTTCCACCCCAGCCTCTCCCGCTTTCGGATGCTGACGCATGACCTGCGGACCTAACTTCCTCAAACTCCGGATCGACTTCCACAGCCGTAGTGAAATATATGACTTTGTCGAGAAGCCCTTGATCAATTCCAGAGCCAAGTAGAACTCCTCGCGACAGGGCCCGCTGAACTGCGACGGAGCCTGCGTGACAGCAAGGAACAGCACCGCAACAGCCGAGACAAGAAACCAATTGAATGTCACCTGCTGGAGACGGTAGATATCCGTCGTCTCATTGAGCTGCGTGATGAATTGGATCGTTTCTTTCGCGAGGTCAACTACCATCTGCGACTCGGCGGGGTAGCGCACAATATGCGCAGCAGAATGAAGAACAGGTCGGTGGATGAGCATGCGAAGTTGATTCGAGCGGAGGTAAAGGAGAGCCCGCAGGCGATGAAGACTGCGTGGTGGCTTTAGCTCTGTCTTCGAGGTGGGCGAGGTCTGCTGCTGTTCGAGACGTAACACATCTGGAATGTTCGCCACCCACTGCTGGACCTGCCAGTCTAGATAGTTCATCTCTTCCTTCTTGATCTCGTTGGTATTGTTAAAAGCAGAAATGAACTTCCACACCTTAGCGGCGATGCGACTATACCGAATCATAACACGCAGATATGGAGTTTTCTCCTCCGGCTCCGGTAGCCAGGGGTCGATGTCGCTATCTTCGAGAGAAAAAGGCATACCTGTCCCGAAACTCCAGCGAATGTCGAGAATATAGATGGACCAGAACAGGCGGAGGACGCGGTCCCGACCAGCTGCAACAATCGCAGGCTGGGCGAGCGTTTCCCTTCGGTGAAGACCCCTTTCAAGGCACATGCGCTCGACGATACCGCCAATGCGCCAGGCCAGAATCTCCTCGTCGATCTGGAAGTAAAACATAGCCTAGAAGCACATTAGCTGGGTCCAATTCTTCATCAGAGTGCCTACATACGACAAGCGTTAACAAAATGATACTCTTGATATCAGGCGGTCCCCACACGCAATTATCAGCCACCTCGCGCACACTCTCAAAGAGCCGCATCGCCAGCTCGCTGCTCCCAGCCGCCTCAGCCGTCAACGCACACGCAAAGACCAACCGCAGTATCTGCACATCATCCGTATGCACAGGCTGGAAGCCCGAAGGTCGGGACCCACCCTCCGCCGACCCATACACCACCTCAACCTGATCCAGCAACTCCTGCAGATCCAAGACGGGATACATGATGCCCATCTCCTCCTCATACACTCTGCACAGCCGAGTCGCCTCCACTTTATCGAGCGTCCACAGCGGATCCCCAGCCAGACGAGCATCCAACGCCGCCTGCCCGGGCGAACCCAACGGCAGCGGTGAGGGCGGGTGGTTTGCATCAGCTTCATCCGCGCCATCGTTCTGCTCGACGATTCCCTGGCGTTGGAGATTCGATTTGGCGAGATGCAGACTGAACGCAGATGTCGTCGGGCCTTGGAACGCGGTTTCTCTGACCGTTGACCGGCGACGGAACGGCCGTTGGTTGACTACGTCGGACCGCGCAATGGCGGCGTTTGCCGTGATGCTGCTCTGCGCCAGGGTGGTCACAGCCGCTGAGAGGGTCGTGATCTGCTCCTGCATAGCGCTCATCTGGCTGCAGAGCTGCTCGAGATAGGCCCTGGATGTGTTAGTTTGCTGATCGTCCACCCAGGTCTAGAAACGACGGAGCCTACTGTTGGTCTGTATCCCCATTAATCTGACGCGGGGGGTTATCGTAGATACAGTCGACGCGTTGTCGACCGCATCGCTGGCACGGGGCCTCGCCATTGCACTTGATCTTTCGGCGTTTGCATTCGTTGCTGCGCGCATGTTAGGCTCGAGGTGTGGAGGAAGGGGAGGGCCATGCGCCTACCAAGCTTTGGCGATGTACTTGCGCCGCCGTTTACGGGGATTCGTCTCGTCGTAATCATCTTTGTGTGTCGGAGGGGAGAGATCCCAAGTGCTTAAGGATGGAGGATCCATGATGGCGTGGTGTCAGCGTAAGCAGATACGAGAACGAGTGCGGAGAGGACGGAGGTCACGACGGTAAACAGACGATGGCTCCGACCGCGCCGCGGGGAAATGCCAGGCCAAGCCGGGCGCGGTGGCGGTCAGAAGGACGGAAGATCCCGTGCGGGGGATTCCGCACCCGAGGCAATGAGATGGGCCGAGCTCGCGCCGGCGGTGCTTATCTCGACCACTTTCAGTTAATATGCATTCACCTACCATTCACGGTTGGAAGGTGGTAAAAGGAGGTCCATTACTTTATTACTCATGCTCTCTAGGTGGGATTCTGATTTTCTGAAGTACAAAGGGAGAAGTAGCGCTTTCTTCTGCAAGACTCATAAATTTTCCCAAGCGCAGCTATTCAAACATGTCTAATCATCAAATCGATACTCTACTCAAAATAGCGCTCAAAGATCCTTAGTTCGCTCGTCACTATCCTTGATCCACTGCTTCAGCTTCTCGGGATCTCTCGGCTTGAAGCCCACCTTAAAGGGCTTGGGCTCCGTCGTCAAAGCCGTAGGAATAGCATTGCACTGGATCGCATCCAAGATAGGGCGGTCCGACGGGTTTTTCGCAGGCTGCATCTTGAACGCTGTGATCAACCGGATGTATGCCGTGTAGAGCTCACGGTTAGCCAAATGCGACCCAGCGCACATGCGCGACCCAGCACCGTAGCCGTAGTGAGGAGTACCGGTTCCCTCGCCGACTTCCAGATACCGCTCAGGTAGGAACTGCTCAGGCTTGTCGAAGTGCTCTTCATCGTAGTCGGCTGCGTACGCATTCTGTTTACTCTATCAGTATGAGGTAATTCTGGTGCGGAACGTCAATTTACCATGAAGAAGGTGGTCCCCGCGGGAATGGTCGCGCCGTTGTAGACAATATCCTTGGTGCTTTCACGGGGCAAGCAGATGGGAATGACGGTCCAGAAGCGGAGGGTCTCCTTGACCAATGCCGTCACATAGGGCACTTTCTCTTCCATAAGACACTTCTCCCAGGCGTCGCCGTCGGGATACACTTTCATGATTTCCTCGTAGGCCGTCTGCTGGACACGCTGACCGTCTTCAGAAGCGAGGTAGGCGATACCCATGATGACATTCCCCGGCACGGTGTCCAGACCGGCGGAGACCATGGTCAGACAGATTGATTTGACCTCAGCTACCAATCGTCAGTTCACCATTTCAAGTCCTCGCTGACATGCGGAATCGCTCACCTTCATTCAATTTGGCCTCCGGATCCTTCAGGATATTACCCGTAATGCACGGCTTGTCCGTCCCCTTGGCAATCTGATCCTTGAGAATATCCAACAAATACGTCAAATACTTATCGCGGCGCACCCGGAACGACTCTGCCTCGGTGTTCATCTTGGGAAACAGACGGAGTAGTGGGATATAGTCCTGCCAGTTGTTGCTGGTACTTCGGAAGTTGGAGACCCCGCGCTCGACGTCGCAGATCTCATGCAGCAATTCATTGTCCACATTGCCGCTGATGCGGAACCCGTAGTTCAGAGTCAAGCTGGTGTTGAGCGCGAAACGCTGAAAGTATGCGACCGGGTTAATGTCCTTGGTGCCGTCGTTGCTGTCCTCGAACAACTCCTTGATACTGGCGGTGGCCTCGAGGTCGATGATTGGCATGTAAGATTGCACGGCGGGGCGGTTCAAGGCGGTGGCGGCCGCCTTGCGTCGACGCTTGCAGGACTCGTCCCAGGGGGAGGTACCGATCGTGAAGCCCTGGGAGCTGGACACGACGCTGTGGAAGGTGTGAAAGGTCGGGCGCGAGATCAGAGCGGATTGGTCTTTGATCCACAATTGGCGGACAGAATCGAAGCTGTTGGCGAAGACGATGCGCTGGCGGAGGGAGGTATTGGGTCAGTTCTCTTCCGTGTATGTACCAACTGTGATTCCCACGCGAGCGCATACCCGATTACCCATCCGAACCTGGAAGACCGGACCGTATCTCTTCGCCCATTTTCGAGTCACTGTAGCATGTTGATCTCCTAATTGCAGGAGGTTGCCGAATATAGGTACGCCTGGGATCTCAGGCAAGCCCTTGATCTTGGGGGTGTCGGTGCGGTTGAGGTAGCGGACAATGAAGTATGTCACCGCGATGGCGGCCAGGGCAAGGGTCTGTATGGACATTGTGTGGAGGATGGGAGTGAAAGGATGTTCAAGCTGCGACGGTGGTGTCTCAATGAACCTTTATACGTCTTGTCTGCGGTTCTCCTCGGCTTATCGTGACATACTCTGAACCGCTACATGCAACAAGACCTTGAAATAGCTGGTACTGGCGTCATGGGCCGACCGGCCGACAGCATGGCTTGGGGCCAAGCGCGCTCTCGTTGGATGCAGCAGCTCGACTGACTGCAGTGTCGTAGTGGGTTGGGTTCCAAGTTCCCCGCACTTTCACCCTGGATTGGAATGATCAATGCACGGGCGCAATTGGCTAGGGCGGGATTTCGGAATGGAATGCCGCGACCCCGCTCCTAACGGAAGCGGAATCGGGGCCGAGACGACCACTTGCAAAATTATTGCTGCTTCCGCTGTTATCCGCTATGAATCTTCGGCCCGATGCTTGAGCTTGAGTCCGACATGATGTGCTTTCTTGGGATAAGAACGGGTCACGGGGGGTTGTCACTCCCTCCGAGACTGTACGTTTGAATCATTCATCACCATGGCTACGCAGCATGATACTCGTCATCCCATTTATTTTGTTCAATTTAACCATGTCCAGTGATATCAACAACTTCCATTTCATTCCTTGTGTAACATGAAAATACAAATCATGCAACAACTCATAGCAGGTATTGACGTATCTTTCCCTTCCTCAGCCAAAGAGCAGAGCTTCCTTGCCTCCAGAACATTTCCCCATGCCCGCCTCATCCTGAAACCCCAACACAGATATAATAACCGTACCACATGTTGGTGCACCCGGTGCCCACCGCCGGATTCCAAGTGACAATATTCTGTACAGTGATTCCCTCTTTCGTCGCAACGGTGGTGCACGTATCGCCCGACGCAACCAAGTAAAAGGCATTACAGTTGCTCACCATGCCCGTCTGAACCGGAGTGGGAGTCGACACCGCAGTTGCTGTGGTAGTCGTGGTCGTAGTTGTTGTTGTTGGTCCCACCCCGATGCAGACATAGTACCCGAGCCACAGATTATTGCACCCGCTGCCGACGTTGCTGTTCCACGAATAGAAGTCCGACAGGGAGATGCCGGCTGCCGTCGCGATACTCGCGCAGTTATCGCCACTGGCAACGAGGTGGAACGAGTTGCAGCTTGCGGCGATACCGGGCTGGGTAGGAGTAGGAGCTGCGGCGTCTGCGGCGCTGTAGACTTTGGGTGCGGTAACGAGAGTGGTGGGAGTGGAGGGCACAGAAGGAGGAAGAATGGCTGCTGCGAAGGGGGTCGCTAGAGCCAAGACAGAAATGAAGGAGAGAACCATGGTGGATAATTGAGTGATTGATACTTGGATGCTTGACCTCTATAAATTGATGGCTGATGGGATTCGATTAATGGTGGAGGAACCCGCTCTTTTTATATGTCAATTGCTAATATCTGGCAAGGCCCATGACAAGCCTGCATTGAATCACGAGGCCGCTTTGTGTGTCAAGGAAAGCATAGAGTGTCAGCCTGGGCCGACTGGGAAGACAGTTGTCTCATGCCCATTAATCAGAATTGATGCAGGTCTCATATTCTGAAGTTTGTCTAAGATCATGAAGAGTGTGCTATCCAATAATCAGGGGTCGCTCCTGGAAACTCCTGGTTTGATTGGTTGCCTGACTAACCCCTTGTCGTTGAGATATCTCTCATCCAAGGTATCTTGATTATAGACCCATGCAGAAGATGTTCAGCCGGTTGCAGGGACTGTGAAGTGTAGTGGTGTCGGGTCTCAGCCATTACATCCCAAGCGAAGCTGACGGTCCGCAAGATGTTACAAGGATGCTTGCAGGTAGAGTGACACGCTGATCCCTCCAAGGATCTTGTTGGCCGGATTGTTCGGATCGCTCGTATTATGTTTCACAAGGGTGATGTCCTGGCTTAAGTTCCAGCTTCCAGTATAACTCTATCCTGACTCAGGTTCCGGCAGTTATCACCTAGTTAGCCGCCGAAGCAATCTTTTCTGCTTGGTAGAACATAGGATGGGGCTCAAAGAAGGCATCCGAACGATCAACGAAAGGGGAAAATAGTTCTACTAGCTGCTTGATTGGTGTTGATGGAGCTCAAACTCGGCTAGGTGCATATACAAACCATCAGAGAGGAGGGAGAATAAGTCACACGTGCCGTTCATCAGGATGACTGCCTTAGTCTCCAAGGCTTGTGTCACTCCTGCCCCGCGGCTGTTCAGCATATGGACTCATGTTGTCTTACCTGCAGGACTCATGCACGCAGGAATGATGAGATACCAAAAGCAATTATATCCTTACCCTAAGCAAGACGTTTGCTTGATTCTGGTTTGTGGGTATGTAGTTCAGGTGTCTCAATACTGACTCAAAATTCGTGGTCTGTGGCTGCAAAGCTTGGTTCATGCCAGGCCTATGATAACAAAAAGGGAGACAAAGACGGGCGATGTTCCTGAAGCAAGCATAACTTGAGCCTTGCTACCCCGCTTTGTCAGGCCACCAGCACAACGTCAGTGCGGGGGTGCCGGGGACGTATCCGAGCTACTGCATGTCTCGAAAAGGTGGCAAAAAAGTAATATCGACTATGTGCGGCTGGCAGCGTTGCATCCCAGCAGATGACTCTTAGTTGTGCTAAGGAATGAGACACAAGTGTCTCTTGTTGCTCATCTCTCGAAGCTCCAGGATAATGGAGTGTTGCATTAGTGATGATTTTGAAAGAAGTGGGTGGCTGAGGCGAAGAAACCAAGGACATGTCAGATGCCTGGAAAGCACAACAGCCAAGAAATATGAAGCGAAGCTTCAAGCTGCGGAGAAAGATTGGCGATGCAAAACCAAGACATTTCAGCGGAAAGCTAGCCTGTTGAGGCTGCCGGCCAAAGACTCGAACTCAGGCCTCCGCTGAGCCCCAGACCTATAACAGGCAAATAGGCAAAGGGAAACATGAATGCAACAAGCTTACGATCTAGAATTTGCGTTAGGCATAAGTAGTGTGAACCTCAAGTTTTAATTTCCTACCATGTAATGTACGGTACATGCTACGGAAAATCATGCAACGACATTGAACATGCGAGTTACCATTCTATACAACCAGGTATGAAATAGGATACAGGGAGTCGGCCAAGGGCAAGCCTGACATACACCTCTACGCCAGGGACTCCTTTCTTGACGCACTGAGCTGACTGGTCCGACGTGCAGTCGCGTGCCTTTGCCTGTCCGCCGCAAGGCTCTGTGCGAACTTGCTCCTAGCCCGAATTTCTGGTCCCTTCCAATAGAATATGGAAATCGGGATGGTCACCAACCGGCCAAACAGGCAAAAATGGTGCTAGCCCATTGATGGTGAAAGCGTCCTCCGATGTTGGTATACATCGGGGTCGCGTACATGGCGGAGAGACCAGCGAGCAGATCTCGTGCGAATCCGTTGCCACCGGTAGCGGACGCGGAATACTCGCCATAAGCCGCGACCATATAGTCTATCGTGGCCATGTGGATGCCATAATTGGCGATAGTAATCAGAACAACAAATACTAGAGGCACCATCCAATGAGTATACTCTGGGCCTATGGATGTCCAGGCGAAACCGAAGAGTCCGATCGTCTCTACTGGTGCGATGAAAATAGAAGCAAGAGCCGACGCTCAGCTACCCGAGCTGTATCACCCTCGCGACGTCGGATCAGACGTTGACGGTAAATATCGGGCAAGAAGATGGCATATGCAACTAAATACCCCACGACGATAGCGATGAAGCATAATCCTACCTGCCAAGGATTGAAGCCCCACCACTTGAAGACCAAAGAAAATGACTCAATGCATGTGAAGATTAGCTCATCCGAAAAGCTGTTTAGAAGAGACAGAAAGAGCACAATAGACTCGCGCAGAAACATTTCGAACGGTCGGCGCCATACCCGGAGAATTCCTTTGGCATCAAATCGAGAAGGTTTGAGCTCGTTGGGGCTATGAACATTGTGGTCCTCGCTAGTCATACGCCGATGTTTTGCTTCCCGATCTAATAGAATGGTAGATCGTGTTTCAGTAACAAGGAAACACTGGAGAACTTGGGTGATACCGCCGAAGATAAGCTGGATCCAAAAGTTCCATCGCGAGTTTAACCATTGCTCCATCATACCTCCGAATATGGGTCTGATTGTGGTGTCACTGACGGAGCTCAAGACCACATATGCCGCAGCAAAACTCTGGTCATCTGGCTCCCACATATCGGCAGTCATGCCTAGCGTGACGGAGCCCCCTGCTGAGAAAAGTCCACCGAGACCGCAACAAACCACCATAGTGCCGAAGTTAGGTGCCAAGGCACAGGGGATCTGCCAAGTATTTACAAAGAGAAGGCTCAGCCGCATGATCGGCCATCGACCAAATTCTTCGCTCCAGGGTGCCCATAGCTCGCAGCCAAAGGCGTAGGTCACCAGAAAGATCATTTGACCCGCTCGAGCCGCTTGCTGGCTGATATGGAAATGTTCCGATAACTGTACCACGGCATTGGAGTATGTGCTGCTGTTGAAGTTCATGGACATTTGAACGACAAAGATAACAGTTAGGATCGTCCACTTCTTGTACCATGGAAGCTGAAGCCGAGCCTCTCGTACGCGTCATCCTCAGTCAATTCGCGCTTTCCATCGCCACGGAATTTGCCTCGCAAATCACTATCGACATGGGACAATGCTGCATCTTCAGCATGTAAGTTGGTGGGCCGTCGGGTAGGGCTTAGGTCGTAATCTTCTAGACCAGAGTCTTTCTTTTCTGACTTCTCGGGGCCAGGAGTGGAGGGTCATTAAAATTCGTTTCTTGAGGCCATAGTTTCCACAGCGGTTGAAATCTTGGCTCACATCCAATATGTAACGTTGTTGAAAGTCTATCAGGTCGTTTCGGTTAGGTGAGATGAATGATTTTTGCGACCAGGAAGTAAGGTAACGATAGCTGGATAGTGAATTATCCACTGATTAAGTAAAGGCAGCATAAGTAGCTTGGTATATTAACAAAGCATGAGCAATGCATGAGGAAGAAGAGCCGCTATGAGTTTTATAAACACACTCACAATATCCTTCATGCTAGTAATTGTTAGTGGAAACTGAACTGTGTCGACAATCTGCTTTAGGCAGGCCCCGGGGGGGCGCGACGTCATAAATCCCCTAAAGTCCCCCGGTTAGCATCGAACCCTGTACAAGCAACAGTGGGGATGATGCACGTCCGTAATTGATCCTCCGGTTGCGCGGGGGTCCACATCATGGATACTCCGGAGTCAATCAAGATGTTCGAAGCCATCTCATTGCCTCCGCCTCGGTCAGATTTGCTACCGGTACCCACAATCTGGCCGGTTTAGCCAAATCCACAGTGGCCCTTTCATGGAGCATGTCGCATTTTTTGTTGAATCTTGTTTTAGCTTCTAATCCAGGGCTAATATAATATTAATTTAGATACAATTAAGTTTTTTTCCTAAAGTATAGAATTATTTATTTGGAGTCTAGTAGTAAATTATCTATAGTTAATTCTATTTAGGATTTATTTAGAGGATTATTTAGTAGTCATACCTCTAACTTAGTTCAAAGAGCTTAGATTTCTCCCTATAGTTTCTTATTTTAAGTGTAGAAAAGCTACTATCCTACTTTTAGTGTCTGTACTTTAGTTCTTGCTAACTTGGTTATCTCTGTCTAGTGTCTAAGTCTCTTGTTAAAGCTGATAAAATCCTGTCAGATGTCCTGGTTTTATTAGCCGTCCTGGTCTGTCACCTGTCTATTATTTTCTCCGCAAGCTGCGAATTCAGGGTTCATGATCAGTTCGCTTTCCTCTGTACCAGCAACTCGTCTGGGGCGTTTCCTTGTCACTCGGATCTTTGCGCGAAAGTTATATAAGCCGAAAATATTTGCTTTTTCTGCGAACTTGTGGGATAGAGTTCAGTAACCCCTGCGGGCGGGATCACCATCGGGCCGGGATTAGTTCCCACTCAGCATACAGTGACAGCTGTCACAACAACACAATTCTCCGCGATGGTTTGATATCGAATTAAATCAACGATTCCTCGCAACACTTCCTCTGCAATACCGGTTGTTCCCTTGGTCAATCAGGTGAGCTACGGTAGATTCTGAAATTGGCTTGACCAACAGACTGATAACTTTTGGTTTTGGGTCTCACTGCCAAGACGCTAGTGTCATTACTTTATTGAGCGGCCCGCATTAAAGCTGGGGGGTTGTGTAAGATGTACTGTACTTAGTTCAATACGCCGGTCTTACCTGATGCGATACCTATAACTATCGTACACAGTAGTTACTTCGATCATGATTAGTAAGACTTAGTAACTTATAACTTAGTTAGGTGAGCATTGCACTAGAAAATCTTCTAGAATAATGGCAGTACTTGAACAAACCAGACAATTTCTAGAACGACTGCGTTCCTGGTAGATCGCCTTGTGGCCTTAACCACTTTCTTCTCTTATCACGGCATAATCCTTAGCAGATTAGTAATAAACATGAAGTCCATAGCCTTACCACTGATTTGCTCCCTCTGATTTTTAATATCACGGTTAATCCGAGAAGCACTGGTTCAACCAGGCTCTATTACTTATGGGCGAACAAAAGCTGGATGTTATTGAGCTAGTGTAGAAGCTAGACTGTTGCTAATCAGAATTTCCAGCAAATCCAGCATAATAACTCTAATTCTTTTATCATATTTGAGGTTAGGAGTGTTTATATAAATGCTTGACTTGGCATCTAGAATAACTCTTCATAATATGCACTAAACTGAAGAAACTTGGGATTATGACGCTCGCTCTTTATTATATCTTATAGGAGTACTATCGGTGATAATCCCTTGCCAATCCACGACATATTCTCGCAACCCAGTTCATGAAGTGAATGCTATAAGTGGCCTGGTGGGCGAGTGAGATGAAGAGAATAAACTAAACAAAGTCCGTTCCTGCCAATAATATCCATCTTCGCGCGGAGAATTGCCCCCCCGCAAAGAATCTGATCGCGAGCAAGGCACTGGCGAAACGTTATTGTTCGCGTGCTTTTACCATACTGGCGACTCAAATACACTATGGCCCTAGTATGTAAAGAGGTGAGCGATCTCATCTTTCATCGAATAATTTTGAACTGACTCCATGGATATAAGAAGTCACCCATAATAAAAAACCCAATGGAGGAATTCTGGACCACAATAACCAAGTTCGATATACTACGCACAGTGAAAACACTTCAAATAGCCAAGATATCTTGATACTCTCCCAGAATCTGCGGCGCAGGTTGGGTTGACCTCGGTCACCCCTAGATGTTAGTATTGACCATTTGTCCTGGTTCGAATACGAGTAGTGGGGCAAAGGGCACGAGTGCTGTCGCTAAGACACATTTGGAAACGCAGACAATTCTCATAGGCCCCAATAGTCAATTGTATCTAAAAACATACACTTCTGTACTCTGGTACAGTATTTATTTATCCTATCATGAAGGGTGACAATGCACCCCGTCAGGAGGTCAGGGACCCCGTAGGATGCGTTCGATCTTACCGAGACTTTGTAACCGCTGGCATTGGGCATGGATGGTTTCGATGCTTCATTTACCCACTTCAACGTGCCCCTCGCGGGGATCGACAATATTCAGCTTTGGGCTTGGCTCTAGAATTCGTTAAAAATATTCTTTGTCCTCGGCGCATCGATATCAGATATTTTGTTAAATGAAATTCGAACTGTTAGGGGTAGAAAGACGTATTCATTCCTGTCGCTGACTACCTCCTTCGCCGAACGGTCGGCCGCATTTTTCCCGGTTTACGGCAGTGCCTGACTCATCTGCCTATAAATCATTGGGATGGGTTGCATTTATTTGTCTGATTTGTGACCAGGCCTCTGCTCTTTTCAAAAGACGAGCCCACAGGCGCGCAGGAACACGCTTATTACAGAATCACGTGCAAATCAACATGCACTTTCCCGCGAGACATAGTACTGGTATGGTACGCCGGTTGCGGAAATAAAATCAACTAGGTAGCCTGGTATTTCTCTGCTAGGCCAGCTGTACTTGGCTGCTGGCCGTCAGTATCCCACTATGTAAGGTTCGCCAACAGACTAATTCTAATTGGCCAACGAGGTCGGATATTCGATCCGGTAAACCTCAACCCTTGCCCGACCAGCGAGTGTCTTAAAAATGTGTCACTGTGGATTGGAGTTCGCTCCCGTCGGGTACGAACCTTGTTCTCAACTGCAAACTCACCACTCAAACTGTGGATCTGCACTCTAATTAACTCACTTCATTTGTCATTCATCCTTTTAAAGAGCGACTTTTATTGATTCGAACATGAAATCATCGAAATAGTAACGTACTACGTTTGTGTAATACTTTGATAACGGGTTCCCTCACGTCTTGCTGTGTCTGCTCACTCCCCGCCAGGCTCACCAATCCAATCAAAGTGGCTCGCAATCAGTTTCGAGCGTTCCGACGTCGTCGTCCGGATTGCGCTCTCGACCTTTTTGAGCGGGTTGGGAAGAAGAGTCTGCTGGGTTTCGAAGACCAGTGCGGTGTCCACATTCCTGAAGAATTCGTATGGGAGGTAGTACCAACCCTTGTCTCCCTTGTCCGCACCCCAGGAATTCTTGAACTTGAAGTATCCCTTGACAGTACGGCTATTCGCAACATCGTAATGTGTCACATTGTCGTCGTATCCGACCAAGGTCACTACATGGCCGTCGGTACGGGCTGGTGGGGGGTCATCCGGTGGCAGGTTCACGTAGCCTGTGCTCGTGGAGTCGGCATTGTAGATCCACTTCTCCCAGTAGTCGGGCTTCCCATACATGGGAAATCCAATCACGACAGGAACTCCGGCCGCCAGGAGCGTCTTGACCGCATTCATGTCCGTGGGGTCGCCGAGGTACGAATAAGAACGCACCCTCATCTCGTAGGCCTGAGCCTGCGCATTCTCGGGGGGAGGTGGGAGGCTGCTACCTGGGTACGGATACTTGGATTCCCAGCAACTGCCGTACTCAAGCAAGGCTCCCAGTGCTTTGGAAATAGTGGTTCCCGAGTTGATGCTCGGTGTTTTGCCCTGGAGCTTTTGCGCCCAGTACCAAGTAAACGCCTCGGAGTGAACATCAGTCAGGCCGATGGTCTGAGGAACTAGATCGAGGGCAGAGAGGAGACCAAATGCGACACAAGAGGGGAGATGATTCTGATTTTTTATTGGAGACATCTCTTGGCTGAAGTCAACCTTGGAAGGGAGGTCGTCTGCTTTCTGGACGAGCTGCATGCTCGCGGAAGGCTTGAGCTCCTCAACTGGTGTCGGTTCATAGCCGTTCTTCGCAGGAAGACCCGACTTGTACCCCTCGGTGGTAGACATAATGAATAACCCTGACCGGTGAAGCTCAGAAGGAAAGACTAAGATGGAGGAGATCTGAAGAGGTATAGGCACGATAAGTATAGCTTTTGAAGATTATCTCTCCTGTTTCGTAACTTCACTGGTTTCCTGGAAGTGATGCGATATCTTATATCTTGAAATCAAAGCCGGTGAATTGAGGGACCTACAAAATTATTCTCTAATGAAATCGAATGTCCCAGAGACATCATTACATCCTTCATGATCTGGTCTATGACGGCTACAACTTTCCAAACTTTGATGAGATAAGAGCTCGATGAATCACAATCATACTCGGTTCCGCCTGGGATCTGGTCTATGACGGATACAACTCTACAACCGCAACAAGGTAGGAGCTCAGTCACCCACTATCATACCTGACCCCGCCCATGGTCCGGTTCATGACGGTTACAACTCATCAAACCTTAATGAAATCAGAGTTCGCCCACTCACCGGCTTTTCTTTTCATTTTTTTATTCTTATCTTTTAGGGGGGAATACATGATTGCTTCTAAAGCCATAAAACAGTGGGTGTAAGGGTGGAGCATAAGCGGACGAACTGTGAGGCCCAGGCCAGCCTCACATCACAGAACGTTGCAATCTACCTATGCTGAGCCTGGTATAGCACTGCAAACGGATGTCATATGCGTCAATAACATGGGCTAGGAGGTCATGTGTATCTCAAGATATTGATAAAATGTTCTATTCTATCGAAGTCATCGGATCATCAATATGATATAGTAATTACGACATACGTATCTTGATTACTGGAGTAGTTCAATGCATCTCCGTAGCAGCTAATCCTGCTCTGTAAGTTGCTGTTGACATCACTACTCAGGAAGACTTGCCGATTGCAGACGGCAACTGAATGAGTTTACAGATCAATACTATGTTCAATCTATATAAAGCATCTTAAATCCTCGTACCAGCTGCAATTTTTAATTCTTATCCCTGCTTCAACAGCTTAAACAGTAACTCTTCTTTGTGAAACCTTGAAAGTCATTCGAAAGCCATTCCATAATCAACAGTAAGAGCTGTGCGAAGCAACCCTTTCACACGACTCTTCCAGCTAATGACCCCTTCCAAATGCTTCAGCATCATCCAGAATGAAGACCTTCCACCTCTTGTTCGCAATTCTTCTCGCTTCTACGCAGGCAATCGCGGCAGACCCACCCACGAACCCGAGCGACACGAAACCGCCCGACCCGAAAAACCCAGGCCCCGATGACTGTAAAGGAAGCTGCAACGAGGCCAAGACGTCTGTGTGTACTACCTGCGCGGTTGAAACAACTCATTACTCTACTACCAGGCCGGCGGTAGTTACGGCGGTTGATAGTGCCACTGTCTGCTCCTGGGCAACAACCAGTGCCTGTGCCGGAGGATGTGACAATGGAGCGGGGGGTCCAAAATAAACTTAGCGCTGTTTTTCCTCGAACTCAGCCACAGCTCGTTGACTCAGTGGCCTATTCTCAACTATAAGCTGGATACACCGAATAGTCTCGATATAGGTTTTTGCTCTAGCTTGCCGAGAGGTTTTCCCTATATTGTGATGTGAATGCAGAGACTTTCAAATTGACTTGATAATAATCGAAAGTAAGCACAGTTTCAATGCATACAGCAGCTATTATTCCAGTAATATCTAGTCTTTCATCGCAGCGGAGAGGAGAAATCATTTGGCGCTGACAAATAAATTGTGATGGTAAGTAGAGCGTGTCTGTTTAGGTGTACGACAAATGTCGTACAAACATAGCGGAAGGCTCTACCGCCACTTTCGTATTGAATCGGATGAAGTTAGCAAATGTTAAGAATGTAGTAAGGGAGTAAGGGCTGAGAATATAGGGTTCTTGACAGCTGGCAGCATCAATAAACACGTGACCTACAAATGCGAATAGTTCGCTACAGATAGCCCCTTGAGTCTCCGTTGGTATGTAGGCTGCCCTACTGCCAAGTAGTCTTACATTCGATACAGAATTCAGTCATACTGGCGACCTGTCATTTATCACGCTCCTGGGCCCACCAGAACGATAGAATAGTAAAATTCACGTTTGCCTCGTCCCTTTTCCAACTTAGCCGTTGGTTCTCACGCGGACAGAACATTGAAGTACCTCTACATTTTATTTACTGTACTCGCTGCGCCACACCTTGCACTGGGAGAACTATCTGGTGGGCAAAGAGATATTTCCAAATTTGGCGGCATACACAGCCTCCCTGATTCTCCTCAATAATGATATTGGTACGGATTCTGGTGGAAAACTGGGCTCGGGCGAATTCAATAATATGCATAAAGGTGACTGCAACCCGGCAACTATCACTGTAACCCAGGGGTACGAAATAGCATTGAGAAAGGATATTGGGAATTCTTGTACTAAACTTGCTACTAGGACCATCAGTACTGTCACTTATACAGTTTATGTAATTAATAAAGTGTGCAATTGTATGCCCGTGGGTAATTACTTGGCATATACTAGTCGACATTTTCTAGAGAGTGATACTGGAGACTGCTTGTTCCGAGAGGATAATGACCTATCTGATGCTCACATAATGTGACCATAACAAAACTAGAACAGCATCGGGTAGAGGTGCAACAACGGTGTATCTATAGATTTTGGTTTGGTATACTGCCATAATATACTGTTCTGTCAAGGTTGTCCGGTGTCTTTCCCCTAAGCTTTTCTTGTGGGATCAGTCCCGGCCCACCGGTCCCTGGAGCAGTGGATCCTGGCCCGTGCACGCGGGAACCGACAGATTCTTTCACATCTCCTGTTTTCCCGCCAGCGAGCCAAACTCGGGGGAGGATCAACAAAATAACCACCCACGAGACTAGAACCAAAATGAATCCTCTCCGCTACCTCGCCCCTCCGACGCCCTACAAGGAGCTTTCTACCTCAAACAAGAAAGGCCTGAAGGAGCGTCTTAGCTACGCCGAGGCCCTGCAGCACCACCCGGGCCTGCAGCTGTCGGCGGAGGGCAACGAGCAGCTCAACGCCTACCTGCAAGCATGTGAGACTCTCCTCGAGGACTCAGGCAACATCAACGCCGCCATCCGCATGCAGCAATACGAGCAGTCTCTCGAGCCAACAGCTGGCAGCCCCGTCAACATCTCCTTCGACCTCGCCACCAAGGTCAAGCTGGGCGAGGAGCTCGACAACCTGTATAGCGTATGGGCCGTCCAGCGGTACCTGAAGTACCTGCCGGTCAGCATCCAAGAGGAAGCCGCCAAGCACCCTTCCTCCAAGGTCGAGGATCCCTGGCACAAGGCTTTTTGGACACCGTTCCACGGCCGGCTGGACGCCGAGACCGAGGCGTTCGCCGAGGTGCTAGCGGGCCAGAACCGCCACAACGACTGCCCCACCTCCATTCTGCTGATGCTACTGTGCGACCGCCACACGGTTGACTGGGACGAGACGCGCGCTTTGATCCGCCACTGCGCTGTGGGTGACGCTCTGCCCGAGGGCGACTTCGGAGAGCTGCTGCGCACCAAGGACGTCGCGGGCCTGGCGACGCGGCTCGCCCGCGACGAGGCCGGCTGGTCTTGCTCGACGGAATATGTGCTCGGCGTCAGCACGATCTTGATGGGCTTCTTTGCCAATACCCTCGCCGATACGCTGTTCGATACCGAGGAGATCATGGAGCCCGCCAAGTGGGAGCCCCGCAAGCCGTTGCGCGAGCGGCTGGCTCTCGCCGACGGCCATGAGCAGGCGTTCCGTGAGCTGTTGCAGGAGATGTATCTTCAGATGCTGGAGGGGTCGGATGATGAGGATGATGACTTCCCTGAGTATGATGATTATGAGCTGTCGGATGGGTCGGAGGGGTATGAGGAGTTTGGGTGGCCGGAGACGAATTCACGGCTCCCTTGGGAGCCTCACCCGGGGGATGAGGAGGGGGATGATGGGGTTGAGTCGGATGAGTATTAAGTAGGCGGGCTTGTGGGTGTGTTCTTTCTCAAAGCATATTTTTTCGGATTTATATCACTACATGAATGCGCGCACATGGCGTTTGTTGATTCCATCCCATCACCTAATTCTCTCATAAAAGCTTCCACTCGCACTTCCAGACGAATCACCTCTTTAGCTTTACCATCTGCGCAAGTCATCTTGTCAATATCGATCACCTTAACGAGTCCACCATCTTCATCATAATCACGAATCCAGCTTACGCCAACACCTTCCGCCGGCGATGGAACGTCTTACCAGACGAGATGGAAGATGAGATGGATGTGGATTTTGCAGGATACAAAGCAAGAGCATATTATTACATTGAAAAGGCACTTAGATTGCCGATAAATCAGCGACGGTAACGTGGATTATCAAGGTATGGGCACCACTTATTAGGGCTTTAATTATCTCCATACAGGTCCCCAAAAATCATTATTGCCCTGGTACGCCAACTCGATTTTCCGACAATGCGGGTGTTCGAAATCGTCCCACGATCCTTGGGGCCAGATTGGGATCTGGCAAAATTCATCATCATGACAGCCATGGCACTCCTTCCATACAGTCCAGTTCAGATAGTCCACAAGAGAACGCAGCGTGCTAATTGCGGCATCGTATTCGTCGGCCTCCAGGACCTCCACCAAGCTAGCACAGATCCGCTTGGTGACTGTATAAGCTGCACGATGAGCAAGTGAATCATTAGCAGCATTGGTAGGAATGAATTGAGTTGCGCATCTCTCGGTCTCTTGGTCCAAATCTCGTCTGTCCTGATCGATGAACGTGTTCCAGATGCGTGCAACATCGGCAACCAGCGAGGGCAGGCCAAAGTGATGATGGTGGCCCGAAGCTAGACTACGCAGCGGGTGGCCATACTTCTGGACGATCATATCGGTGACGGCTTGCCAATTGACCTGTCTTTCTTCGACATCATGCGTCATGACGAGGGACGTCAGGCTCTTGCGGATGGGTTCCAATTCTGCGAAAGGCAGATGATCTAGACGTGGAGCTTTGATGTTGTCCGGGAACAGATCCACGGAGTGGTTGTACGCCGTGACGAAATGGTCGGAATTCAAAAGCACCCGATCACCGCCGATTCCATTGTACCTGGCCCTTACCACTTGAAGCACCTCTACCGGCTTTCCTCCTTTCTTCTCATTGCCTCCTTTCCTCGGACCCGAGAAGGACCTCACTTTTGCTACATGGACAGGCTCCAGGTTCTGTTCCGAGTTGCAGAGAATGACCTCAAACCCGGAAGCCATGCGTATCACACCATCCACCCGACCATCCCACTCCTCCGCTGCGATCCGGCAAACAGCCTTTGCGCGCGCGTTCTCCTGGAGCACCCCACCCCTGATCTTATCTTCGAACAACACACGATCCTGTAAATCCAGAGTCCCGACTTTGGACTTCCCGGCCGACATACCATCGATGTAAACGAGGCGAAGATCTCGGGCGGTGGTGTAAGTATGCAGCCACCCGCCGTCATCTTCTCCCGCTTGACGATCTGGATCTTCGCCCATAACCTGCTGGGAGCCTGACAGCTTCGGCGGTGTCTCCGGTCGTTTCGGTTCTGATCGCGCGAACTCAAACGCATGCTCGGGGTCGAAGGCCATCCACCGGACCCCTGTGATGTGATCTAGGTGAGCGTCACCGTGGTAGAGCTTGGTTCCTTTTGGCATCTCCGCTAGGAAAAATGACATTCCGTTGTGGTTGAGTGATGAGCCCCATTGTCTCATGGAGGAGTGGATGGCGTTGAAGATGTGGTTGGCATTCTGGACGGATTCGGGTGGCGGGCTGTGGGCCGCAAATGCAGAGGTGACGGTTCCTGCAGCAGTGATGAGCGCTAGAAGACTGGATTGATGCATTGTACTATTGTATTCGTGAAGATACGAAGGTATTGTTGGGTAAAGAACGGACATGGTCGACTGGGGAGACGCACTTTTATCTGCGACGATCAATAGCAGACTCGCATTGCATGCCCGACATAGTGATATACATAGGCATTGCTTGCACAGGAAATCAAGGCCGAGCGGGATGATCAGGCATCCAGGCACATATTAGGCCCACTAATCCCGCGACGCGTCATCCTGTTTGCCGATACCTACTTGATTTCGCCCAGCTTCTTCTTGATCCTCTGCTCGAGACAGTTTTCATAGTAGCGGGCTATAGTTCCTTCGATTGATTGATGTAAGAAGCCCAATGCATGGTCAGGTTATGTCTTTCTTCGTCTAATATCTCGATCCAAGACCTTTACAAGACACAGTGCAAACAATGAATACTGCAGTACCAATGCACCCTCTGATCGCCAACTCCCTTCGTTCCAATACCTCATCTCCGATATCTGGTCAGACATAGTACAATACAAAACAGCCGGTAGCGCGCGTGCCGGTTGATAAGACCCACCAGGGAGGGTTTGCCCACATGGCTTGGCTTGGCGTACTGCGACCAGCTGCAAATGGGCTGAGCTGATGTGATATGCTGTGCAGTACGGCCCGGACCACAAGAGATTACAAGGGAGCGGATCTTGGTATCGAAAGACGAACTGTTTCTGGCTTTGCTGAAGCCGCTCCCTGTGGTTAGGAGTGGAACGGTAGAAGCCCGTCGACAGCGATGTGTGGGATTTACTGGGATCAAAAAAGGGTAAATTTCCCCTCTGCACAGAATATGTTTAGTGCTAATTCTAAAATTCACCATAATAAAAGCCCGCTCAGCTCACCTTCCTAGTCGAGAAGGCCTGCCGATACTGCTACTCAGATTTGCTCCGTGCAATCCATGACTCATGATGCAAGCAATGCCAAGCCCGGACAGCATCGCTATTGTCTGATGGAAACATAATAATGTTGTTTAGAACAGCAAACACGTCTCCCGAAGGGGTCGTACCTTGCGAGTATGGGACCCGAACAAATTCAAGCAAGCAATGGAAGTGGGCCGCCAAGAAATTCGAGGCTAGACTGGGACAGCTGCGCCAAGCTCTTGTATACGTCGACTTAAGGGTTTTCTAACCAGTGATACGGTGATAGCTTTGGTGGCGAGTGGATCTTATCAGATTGATCAATTGCTCGTCGCTGAAATCTATCAATCAGACTTTGCTTTCTCATGGTTATGGCACTTTGTGGGTCCTTGGGGGTTTTCGTCTTGAGCACACGACAGAACGTTCTATCGTTCTCAGCCCACTGAAAGGACGACCATCAGGGACGAAAAATTTTCACTCGGCCAATGAGAGGGTACGAGACTTGCAGAGATAGAACCGCCACCAATACTGGTCTTCTGACTTGTGGGTCAGTCTCGTCGGCTATATGCCCCGGACGATTCTCTCAACAGTGCTACACAAAGCACGCCAGATGCTACGGGTACGATGGGTAGGACGGTCTACAGTCTGGGTGCTCAGACCTAAATCCTCAGAACCAAGGAGGCATAGTGCAATGACCAAGTGGGAGATTGTTACGGGGTCACCGGAGACTAGCTCAGTTCTCTCCGGTAGATTCGAGCATGTCTATGGAATGGGCGCGCTCGAATAGGACCCTCATTGCGAGGATGAGGTCAGACATAAAGTGAGAACTCTCGCGAGATATAAAGATTGATTGCGCGCCCGAGATTCTGTGGTGTTGGGAATCTTTCTTCATCGGCGTGCAAGATGAGAGTGACGACTACACTACTCCTGATCCTCGCCTGGACTGGTGTCCCAGTCCTGGCGGGAGGGTTCACCATGTCTGCTCCTGAACTTGCGGACTACTGCTTCTATTCTATATATGAGTCTTTGGGGTCATACACGTATGCGGGAGCTGCTGCGACCAGCTCAAGCTCAACCGACTCGTCTACCTCTCATGGCTCGTCAAGTTCAGCAAGCGGTTCCACCTCGCATGGCTCTTCGAGTGCCAGCGGCACCACAGTCCACGGTTCCTCGTCAAAACGGGCGTTTGCAAAGAGAATGGCTAAGCGTGGTCACCATGGCAGCACGTCTACAGGAGGCTGCACGAGCACCGTGGGTGTCATGTCTTTGTATGCTAGTGCGAAAGCGTGGTGCAACAATAAGCAACTGGAGGCCACCATTCCCTACTGGCAAAGTCTGTGTGCGCAGAACAGCGCCACCCTGATCGACCTGACCGATATCATTGCCAACGCCACCGAATCCTACATCGCGTCTCTGCCGATTGTGGACCCGGAGACTAACAGCACTACCACCACCGGCACCATCGACAGCCCAGTCTTACTCAGCCATTCCTACTACAAACGAGCCTACAAGTCTTATGTAAGTGCTCCCTTGTGGGGTTCTGAGGGAAAGCATTGACCTGAAGGTGACAGGTCACCCACGATTACGCATTGGTTAAAGACAAACGTTATGGCTGGGGTCTCATGGGTTATTGGGGCGGGATCTTGGTACTCGGTATGATAGTCAAGGCCTGGAACTCCCTTCGAGCGCAGCACAATAGTCCCGGCCGCGGTGATTCTGAGAAGAGCGGCTTCTATTCAGCTGGTCGTAAGTTCTGTGCGCCAGTGGCTGCTGTATCTCACTTCCTCCGGACCAACTTTGTCATTCCTGCCAGCTTTGCCCCGGCCCTCTCCAACCATCAACAACTTTTCTGGTTTCATACTATCCCCAAGCGATTGGATCTCTTGATCGTCTTTGGCTGGTACGCAGTATGCATTATCCTGTCCTGCATTGACTATCAGAGCTTTACCGGAAACATTCAGTACGTTCGATCCTTCTGATTTAATAGGTCTTGCCTAACAACCATACCAGGACCCCGAGTCTCTACCAACAAAACTGGCAATACTCGTCCGACCGTACTGGAGTCCTGTCCTATGCTTGCCTTCCCTTTCTCTGGCTTTTTGGTGGACGTAACAACATCTTCCTGTGGGCCACGAATTTTAACGTTCAGTCTTTCAACATCTTCCATCGGCATGTGGCCTGGGCCTGCACTCTCCTTGCCATTGTACATTCAATCAATTACACTGTCGTCTTCGAAGTTTACGGTTGGTATACTTCCTCTCATGGGATGTCTGAGATGGGACTGACACACTGGCGCACCAGATGGAAGATATCACAGTGCACTCAAACAGAATTACTTCTACATGGGTATTGTCGTACGTCGCTACTCTACGGACCATTACTTAAGAAGGTTTCTCACATATCCCAGGCCACAGTGGTTATGTCGGTCATGCTCTTCCAATCCGGCACATGGCTTCGGCAGAAGTTCTACGAAATTTTCCTGGTTATCCACGTCCTTCTGGCCATCCTAACCATTTACTCTCTTTTCCGGTACGCCGTCTACCTTTCAAACACAAGCTTTCAATCCCCTACTAACACCCATTAGTCACACTAGCTTCGACGGCACTGTCTACAACGGCTACCTCTGGCCAATGGTCGCAATCTGGGGCTTCGACCGCACCGTCCGATACCTCCGCGTGATTTACTGCAACTGGCACGTTCACTTCGGCACAGGCTTCATCAAGTCTTCCTCCGCCACCGTGTCATACAGTCCCGCCAGCGACTTGGTTCGTATCGAAATTACCCCGGCAGCCAACAGTCTCACCCCAGCGCCCGGACAGCACTACTACCTCTATCAGCCCTTAACCCTCCGCGGCTGGGAGAACCACCCCTTCACCCTAGGCTGTTACCGTCTCACGGAGACTGAGACTAAACTCATTTTCTACATCCGGCCCTACGACGGCTGGACAAGGCGTCTTCGCGACCAATGCCGCAAGTCCGGGGATAAAAATCTCACCATTGCCCCTCAATTGCTGCTAGAAGGACCCTACGGCCATCACGCACCCCTCCACACCTTCGACACTCTTCTCTTGGTTGTCGGGGGTACGGGTATCGCTGCGGCAGTACCTTACATCATCGACCACGTTTCTCGCCTCGCTGCTGCGGGGGGTAAGACGACCCGCACCACCAGAATCCACCTCGTCTGGTCCGGTCGCCAAAGGCAGATGTTTGATGAAATCTGCTGCTCGGATCTGGCGACCGCGCTGGAGTGCTCTGACATCCACACGACGCTGTACTGTACGGATAAGGGTGGGATGGGCACCATGACGGTTGTCGCAGGAGAGAAGTCCAGCTCGATTACGTCCCCGCCAATCGATGCCGTGGGCGCGGAGTCGAAGGAAGCTGGCCAACTCGTGCAGGGCACTTCCAGCCGAGAATCAGGGCCGCTAAGAGTGGAGGATCTGGGTGTGGAATTATGCTACGGGCGCCCGGATATCACGGCTACCGTCACTGCAGTCTCGGAGGAGGCGAGAGCGAGTCTGGCTCGGCTGGCGGTGCTGACGTGTGGACCGGCGGTCATGGCGGACGAGTGCCGAATGGCGGTTTATGGAGTGATGAAGGGAGGATTCCGCGACGTGGAGTACTTCGAGGAGTCGTTTGGGTGGTAGGCTTCCTCTCATAAGAAGCGAGAATGAGGTGGATGATGGGGTCAGATTAGGCGAATTGAGTGAGTATGATATGCTAGGTATCGATTGTGCGAAAAGTCTTTAGTCTTGGTGACAAGTTTAGATTTCGTTGTTATTTCACAGCCTTCAGGAATAAAATGGTGAGTGGGGCACCGCATTAATCCTCTCCAACAATCTCGCAAACTCCATCCCTAAAGGGCTGAATGAGTGGGGCGCGCGGGCGCGCATAGGGCTGTCAAGGGCGCCGAGATAAGATGCGATGGGCTCTTGGGGTCCAACTCGCAAGGTGATACCTAGATCAGAGTTTCAATTCCATGCTGTCGTTTCGTTCCCCTTTCGGATGGTCGGTCTCTTTTTGGTGGGGGGTATATTATATGCTTGGAGTGTTGGGGTAGTCGGGGGTTGAAACGAAGACTGAAAACACCCTCCCTCACACAACTTTCCACCCCTGCACAGTTGACTTCCCCCGCCCACCACCCCGGGCGCATGTCGCAGCGACCCAAACCCAAGGTCTTCCGTACATCAAGGCTAATCACAAACCAAGAGCCCCATTATTCTTCTCAGTTAACATATGTCTGACCAAGGTCAACTCTGGTACTCACCAGAGTTGGATCTGGGATGGAGCTCCCCCGGATAACACAATTCGCGCTTTGCCTTGAAGCCTGTAAGGGACGCAGGTACTAGTTCAACAAGCGAGCTACTACCTAATATAATCCTGTCACAGTTCCTGTTTATTTTCTAGTTATTGTCTGGGAGTTTGACTCTGGGTGTTGAACAACATTTTATAAATTTACGAAGATATAAATGAACGAATCTACAAACAACTAATTCTACAAATTTATAACCACCGCCAGCTCTACTTCTGAAGAAGGATATAAACGAGCTCTGGGAATAACAACGTGTACGGTTTATAGATGTTCTACATATGGATACAGCTTGCTTCCAATGACCCTTGTTACTCGCCCCTAGGCCGCTGGAGTGGAAGTCCCAAGAGTGGAAGAGCTTGGGGAAGGTGTCTGCTGATTCCCTATCCCAGAATTCAGCTGATGGCTGTAAGCAGTGTCGACCTCGCTGGGTGCAATCAGGTGCACCCTCACAATGTAAGACTTCCGACTCCTTCCGCACGTGCCGTTTGCACAGCAGGCTGGACTATCGTCTGTGCATCCGTTCTCATTGCAGCTACATTCTCCATGGGCCGTCTGCCCAAAGAGCAGCCACTGCATGCAGCCACCGGAGGTACGGACGACCATGCCACCGCCGTACTTTTCCGTACTGTCTTCGCCGCACGCGGTGCTTATCTTTTCGAAAACTGCCATACACTGTATTGTGATAATTTGTCAGTATATTATATCTGAGCGGTCCTTGATGGGCTTGGAGTAAGAGTAGAGAAGAAGCAGGAATAGCGCCTGGGAGGGGGAAGGTTGAAAACTTACAAGATCTTTTCCCAAGGCGAATTCCTTCTCGGCATTGCAACCAGATTGATTGTCAGCCCATTGAACAGACGCAATGACATTGGTTCCGTAGGGATCAGAATAGACGTAGGTGTATGGCGGGCCTCCAGGCTTGAGGGAATTTCCGGAGCCGCACAGTGAGCCTGCCGCTGCATCAAGGCCGCTTGAGTTGAAAGATGCATACGAGCTGCCGTGGTGATCCTTCAAACAGTAGTATTTAGGCACGTCTGATTCACCAATGGTGGGCAATGGAAGGGATGTTGTACGAGAAGGGTTGGACGTAGTGGTTGTTGCAACTGTGGCTGTGGTGGGAGGTGCGGTTTCTGTCGTTACTTCCCCCTCGCCGCTGGCACTGTATCTATTATCAGGACCAAGAGTTGGCACAGGACCATCTGGATTCCAGGTTCCTACTGAGCCATAGTTGAATGTTGTCGGACAGATATTTGTGATCGTGTCGGTGGTCGTTGTCGTACCCTGGGTCTCGCACCCCACGACCGTCGAGCAACGAGTTGTGAAGCAGGTTGTCGCCCGGGTCGTGTCGCCATAGTTTGTGATCGAGCATCCCACCGCACAGTCGGTGACGGTCACGCTAGTAGCGCAGCTGGTGGGCTGGGAGGTTCTGGATGGGCTGGTATCTGTGCCTCCCGCACATCCTTCCGGGTTGAGGCACTCGCAGCCAGGGCCCGCGCAGCTACTACAGCCAGGGCCAGTACAGCCACAACTGACCCCCAAGCAACTGCAGGCGCTGCCAAAACAGCTACTACACCCGGCAGAGACACAGGAACAGAGGGCTCCTGCAAGGTCGGAACAGCTACATCCTTGTCCACGGCATGCAGTGCAGTGCACACCCTTGCAACCACAGTGCCCCTTTGAACAAACACAGTCCTGGCCTGTACAGGCACTGCAATCTGATCCCGTGCAACGGCCAGTAGTCGGATCACAGTCACGACCAGTGCAGCTCTTGCAGCTGCCTCCCACACACCGTCCGCTATGGCAGTCTTTGCCTTTGCATCCGGTACAGTCATCCCCAGTGCACTTGCCACCCGTGCAGTCCGGACCCGAACAGCTACTGCAAGCATCGCCTTTGCAACTGCTGCCTCCTCCAGTTGAGCAATCATCGCCCTTGCAATCATCGTAGCTTTCACAGCTATCGTTATTGGGGCAGATGCCACCGGCGCAGCCCATGCCACCGCAAGTGGCCTCCCAGCAGTCAGAACCGGTACAGATACCGTCCTTGCCGCAATCCGGGCCAGAGCAGCCCAGCGCAATGCAATGGGGCCCTGTGCACTCGGCGTTGGTATTGCAGTCTGGGCCTAGGCAGCCCAATGTGATGCAGTCAGAGGCAACGCAGACTCCATCTTTACATCCCGCGCCCATGCATCCACGGGTAATGCAATCCGTGGGACCTGTACAGAGCCCGTTGAGACAGCCAGCGCCAATGCAGCCAAAGGAAATACAGAGCGGACCGATGCAGTGACCAGATTGACAGTCGGGGCCTTTGCAATGCGCATTTGTGACAGTCGGCCATGCTTGGTTGCCACCGGTAGGCACGGGTGTTGGGGGGCTCGTAGTAACTCCAGTCCCGCTTCCTCCTCCACCGCCGCTGCCACTGCTGCCACTGCTGCTCCTATTGGGACACCATGGAGCTGGAGCAGGACAGGTTTGAATAGCTCCCCCACCGGCAGCTGGAGAAGGGGCCACAACACAACTACCCTTTGGGGATTCCAAGTCTCCATTGAACGCACTGACACACCATTCGTAGTTCCAGGTACCTGGGAAAAGATAGTACTGGTCGCTGCAAGTGGTCTCTACTGTTGCATTCAGAGCCGTAAGTACACTGCCTGCAGCGTGCACGTTACGGTTCCAGAGCCGGTAGCCCGCCGCATTGGCCGACTTGCCCCAGGTCATGTGAATGGTGGTCGGGTCGTTGGCAACAATGGTCAGATCTGTTGGCGGTGGGGGAGTACCTGCGCCAGGAACGAGGCCCGTAACTATACCGGGGAATCCCTCCCCTGCTGCGTTCCACGTCACAATAGCCACAAAATAATAGTGGCCCGGTGTGAGATTATCGATGTGTCCAGATGTTCCCGTAAACGCGCCGCCTGTGATGAATGTGCAGTCTTGTGATTTATCCCAGTATAACACGTTGTACTCTCGAATAGAGTCGGTATAGGCACCCGTTGGAGGGTCCCAGGAAATGTCGAACCCGGTAGCAGTGGCTTTGACAACTACATTCCGAGGTGCGGCTGCTGTCTGCGGATGGGCTGTTGCGGATAGAACTGATGTCCATTCTCCCTTGATATTGTCTCCGGCGCTGGCGCGGACTTTGACTTCATAGACCCAGCCGTCAATGGGCCAGGTTGAGTCCCAGCGAGCTGAGTTGACGCTCCCGGCAGAGAAGTCGGTAATACCTCCCTGGATACGCGACGAGACATCATAGCTATATGCTCCATAGACTGATGGTATTATCAGTCATTTGTCTGTCTTGACCTCCGGGGCTGTTGTGACAAGGTGGTATGAATGGAGTACGGAGACCTACCGGGATCCCATGTTGCTGTGACCCCTGTCGCGCTGCTAAATACACGAAAGTTGGCGGGCACCGGCAAAGACCTTCCCGAGACGCTAGCTGGGATAGACAATGGAGAGCTGCCAATACTAAAGTCGTTGACTAGAGTGAGACTGAATGCACGAGCAATCTGAAACTCCCCCATCACGGTAGGGTGCAGTCCGTCGTAGCCAGCGGGACATCCGCTAGGCTCGCAGTCGTAGTTTTCCTGCAGTTCCACAAGATGGATGGGCGAATCCACGGTGCTCCACCCTGGGATAGCACCCCGCAACAGCGAGTTGTAGATATTAGTACTGATTGGTAGATCATCCCGGCCACCGATAAAGCTCCGCTGGGGTACATTGGCGATGGCGAATTTGAGGTTGGGATTGACGGCGCGAGCGTTGCTCACCAGTGTATGAATACTGTCTAGCGTGCCAGGCGCATCGCTGTAGAACCAGCCCATGTCGTTGAAGCCCAGCATCAGCAGCATCAGATCGGCTGGATGGCTACTGAGAACATCGTGAATTAAGCCCTTGTCCACCGCCGCGGCACGGCCCCAGACAGCAAAATGATCACGATCGAAGCCGGTCGAGACCCCTGCTGCGTACCCACCGCTCGTCTTCGGCTCTCCCGGCATGGCCTTTTGGCCATAGAGCGGGGGCAACGCCGGCGCAGCGGGAGGATCGGGCTGCACGGTGCCCGTGTACGGCCCCACAAAGTCCACCGCGACTCCCTGCGCCTCAAACCACTGCCAGATCCGATACCGCCAGGTATAATCTCCCTCTTGGCCCTGCGTCATCGAGTCACCGACAATGAGGACTCTCAAAGGGGCTTCACGACCGACGAGACCCTGGATGGTCGTGCCCGAGTTGGAATCTGTCTTGATCGCATCCCTCACCGCCGCCACCATGTCCAAGGTGTCTTCCTTGACATTGTTGGTTTGCAAGGGAGGCATCAAGCTTGCGACTTGAGTCCAAGTCTCATAGTTGTCTATGGTCGTGGGAAGAGGAATTGGGGGAACACTCGCGAGCTGGGACATCTGGGCGGATACGCGAGACTCGACGACGACGGCTGAGGAAAATGCTATCGTTTGCGTAGAGGTCGCTGTGCCGCTACTTGTGGAAGGAACGACAGAGCCAGAGGCACGTGGCGCCAGGCCCCATGGAAAGGAAATGGCATGAACAGTGGGTGTCAACCAGACCAGAAATGCATGAAACAGGTAAAGATAACGAAGTGGGCCATTCCATGTGAGCTGAGGGCACCGCCGGTCTTTCGTCCGATGAAACATTTTGAGATCTCTGTCTGTGCCTTTGTTTTCTAACATTGAATCATCGAAAGCGACCATGAGACCCGGGAGATTATATGTTCAATTCTTTTGAGCCTCCTTGGGACAGAAAAGTGTCAAGTCCCCTTCCTAGCCTCCACCGGAACAATCCTGGCTAGGTTGAGATAGCGCAGTAGCAAATAAGACCCTCGGAGCTCAAGGCTCAGCATTATTTCTCTAATTTCCGCTTGGAGTCACATCGTGTAAAATTAGTGGATGATGGCGTGATGCGAAATGCTACCATGCTTTACTTTCATGCTTACTGTGTGATATGAATGTTAGCTTAGGCACCAGGACGCCACAGTACCTTCTCGGCGCCGCAGCTGAATTGGTTCTTGTCTAATACTGCGCTTTGTCCTGGGCGTTAGTGCCAAATATTATATTGAAAGATACTAATCAATAAGACTATCCTCTCCTATTGCTGGGCACCACCAGCCTCCTGGCGTCGGATCCACTTCGTCTTATACCACGTTGAGGAGATCCCGGTCGTCCCTTCCATACGGAATGTGCAGGCTCATCTTGAAATTCCAGACTTCCAGACTCATCGTGTAGACACCTAAGCCATAAGCGGTCTAACTCCGGCATAGTGGTAGACACGAGCAGAAGCAGACCGTCGAATGTACCAGTTTCGCACGATATGTTTTCGAGGATGAGCTCCGTCAGCTGCGGTAATCGACGAAAGAAGGCCATAATTGAGGTCTCTTTCGTTCTGATGCCCCGAAGTGAGCAACGCTTCAAGCTCGCAAAGCTACAGGTTGCGCCCACCCGATTGAAGAAATGTAACTCCTCCTCGGAGGCATTCGTCTCATCGAACTCTTCATACTCCCACAAGAGCTGGAGTTCCTCTAGGTTGGGGCACAGACTGAGAAGATCACACAGCGACTGGGTGTTGTGGCGGGCCCCGTCATATGTCATGGGTAACTCCAACGGTAGCCGCAATCTTACTACGCGGTCCAAGTCGAATCCGATGGTTGAATGTCCAAGACTAAGACAAAGCTTCCGGCATGATTGAAAGGATGTCACGAGAGCGGCCCTGTCGTGGCGTGTTAGTGCATTGCCGATGTCGCTAAATGCCAAACTGCAGTGGAGCCCATGTAGGTGCATGTAGCCCTCTTTGAAAATATCCAGCGCCATAATCGGTAATTTGGACTTTTCAAGCGCCGACAGGGTCAGGTGGAAGAGCCGCGACGCAATCTCTCTGGATTCCTCAAATTTTTCGAATCTGTCTATCCGAAGCAGAATAGAAAGCTGGCCTGGTCGATCGCACAGGTTTGCCAGTGCCTGTGATAGCAGGTCGGCTGCGTTGGAGGGAGGAGGCTCCCGCGCCGCACAGTCATGAAGAGTAAGCCGCTGGAGCCAATGGCCGATTTGCCCGGTCTGAGTGAACTGGACCAGCTGTTCAAGGCAGGCTTGTGTAATATCCAGTCGTTTAGAAGAGTAAAAGCGCTGGCAGGTCGCATTTGTCGATGACTTGAGCGATATATTGCGTCCAGTCAGGCGGAGAGCACAGACATCCGGGAACTCCACCCAGCCGACAATGTTCTCAATCAACTCCGTTGGAAGGTCTTCCATGATACCAGAGCAGGCCGCACGACAAGAGGAGTAATGGAAGGAAAGGGGAGGGACCAAGCAGGTTGAGATTAAGTACGTCTACACGTGGGGACTGGCCCTAATTTAGCGTCTCTTCTGGTTACATCGCGTACGATTTGGATTATCCCGACAGGTCGAACGACAAACAGGCTCTGGTCAAAAGCTTACCTGTTCTATCTCCCAGGGTCCAGGTGGGCCGCTCATTCAACGTCTATGCGTCCACTCTGGTTGCTACTTATCCTTGCCCACTCACTAACTCTACCTTCGCCACCCGTATATTGACCGTAAAGAACAACACTAGGCTCGTATTTATTGTAAGCCATGTCAGTGAGATATTTTAGACATTTAACCGACATGGAATAGCCGTACCCGGCACTAATATGAGTTCCTCCATAGCCTCATCCTCTTGTTTATTTCACCTCGGCCCCTCGTTGAAATCTGATTTAGGGGATGTAACCTCAATGTTTGGTGTCGTTGTGCTACCCCTTTTCATGTCAGGTCAGCGCTGCAGGGAAGATAAAAAGAGTAGCAGGCGAAACCGAGCCATATTGCTAACTGGGTTCTGCTCACAGCTCAGGCTGAACATTTCAAGTACCGCCCGTGTATTTCCCACATCCTAGCAACATCATTGATGCTGTTCTGCCAGCAGACAAAGACCATGTTGCAACTTTTGAAGGGACTGCTTCTCGCACACATAGTCCTCTGCTGGGCGCTTGCCAGAGCCGATGCCATTCTTCCCGAACTTCAGGTGGATCTCTTGAAAACGATCTCGCATGGAGCGGAAGTCAACACAAGTCACTTCATCTTCCCGAGAGTGTAAGTTACACCTTATCCACTGATGCTGGCATTTCAGTAATCGTGTGCAGCAATCCTGGATGCGGTCCAAGCCATTTGGATGAACCCAATGTCCGTTCATGTGTTCCTTTATGCAGTCCAGCTTGAAGTGGTTGCTCCGCCAGCACGAGAAGACGCAGCAACGAACCTCAGCTCGGTCATGGGTGGAGTGATACCAATGCGTCATATCACGGTACCATCGGGAAAGTCCTTGAGACCCGTGCATTACGAACTCTCGCGCTTCGTCAAATTCGCAGCTACGTTCCACAACAAACAACCGACCAGTTTGACGCATTTTTCGGGACCCCTCTGAAGATAATAGAGTACCAGGGGGAGCTTGATACTGATGCGTCGAGAGCTTAGCAGATAATATTTGGCAACGCCCCCTTCCAGATTGGTACGCCGGCTTGGTAGGATGTACAGTAGTCACGATTGTCTCTAAAAGAGCAGTGTACATGGTATGCGAAATCACCCATCCACCTCCTCAAGATTACTACCTCCCAGCCTACGAACCACAATGAATAGCAGCTTACATTATTATTGTTTGATTTAGGCGCAGTACTGGGAGAACTCTAGCTTCAGCCGAGATTGGTACTTCCCAAGCCGTGTTATTAACTTCATTTCAGGGCAAAATCCATGCCAAGGAGTCGGCCCAGCTCTTGACCCAACCCGCCCCCCGGGGCCAAGTCCGCTCGCGGAATCCCGGATATACCATGAGGTCTGTGGCCATGTGCAAGTTACAGTGATATAAGCGCCCTAAATAACAGAAAGCCTGAAGCTAATATGACACATACTTAGGGGAAGGGCTCGGCTTCTGGTCTCTGTATTATCTGTATCATGAATGTTAACAGAGAGCTTTTTTTTGAGACATGCCGGAAAACTTGTGGAATGTGGCCTAGGCTACCAGGGCCTATCTAGGATGACTACTGTCAACTATCGCTTGTACTGTACCATATAGCTCCACAGCTAGGGCTGTGCGAAGTGTTGGGCCATGATAAATCGATTGAGAGAGTAATACTACCCGAAGAGCTATACCGACATCGTAGACTAGTAAAGTGTCTTGTCAGTACTAACGTTCGGTTACCAGTCCTGATTTGAGTTTACGTGGTGAGCTTCCACTAATGCTTCGTTTCACTTCATCCTTCGCGGGTATTCGATTCATTCGTGGGACTTAGGTTTTCTTTCATCCCAAACCCCCTCGCTCTGCTATCGTTTAGAAACGTGATCTTCGCAAAGCACCTCTCCCAACCCGACCAATTTTGAGTGTAGCTCCCTGCGCGTTCCCTCCGGTGCCTGGGGAGTACCGCTTAACCTGCTCTTTACCCACCAGTGCTTCACTTCATACCGCAGCAGCAGCAGCAGAGCGTAGTGTATGAAGACGAAAGGAGCCACGGGCTTGTGGCGCCACAGCCGCACCCAGTACTTGGAGATGTTTGTTGGCGACGCGACGACGATGCGCGCATCCTATGGTTCTGCTCATGGGTTGTAGGCCCTCGTGCGTAAGATCCTGGAGATCCAAGAGACCAGTATAAAGATCAAGTCATTGGAATTATGCTACGCAGAGAACCAAGCGATTAGTAGCATAGTCAAGGCAGAAGCTTGTCATTCTTGGAGCACAGCTTGCATTTCGGGCGTTGGATAACTACACGCTGAGAGTGTAGTAGTGCAGCGCACGTGTAGTATGTGGCATTGCTGTTATGGGAGGCGAGTGGGTTTCTGGAGGTAACACGCTGACTCCAGCATGATGACAGCCAGTCCGAAATCTCTAATAAAAGGATTTGCCGGAGCTTAGCAAGGATGGAGATCGTGGAGTTCATGAGGAGGCTTGGTTGTTGTTTCCGGATATCATGATGAATATATTATTTTTTGGCTTTAAAAATATATAACTTATAAAACCAGAATACTTAGTAAAGCGCGCCGCTCGCTTACTGATTACAAAATATTATTAGAGCGAGCTGAGATAATTTCGAGCCCTGGTTGGTCTTAGTTAGCCCAAGAATTGATTGAACATTGAACTGCTCAAATTTTCCCTCCCTATCAAGGAAGCGACAGCAGTCAGTAAACAATGGTACTAGCATCGGGATGGAATACGGTCATTATTGCGCAGTACAAGGATTATTATAACAAGGTCCGATGTGGTGTAATGGCTAACATCGCTGTCTCTCACACAGCAGCTCGGGGTTCGATTCCCCGCATCGGAGAATTCTTTTTTTTCGGCTGTGTTTTTCTGTTAGCTTGGTAGAAGTAGCGGGAATAAAAGAGGAATTCGTATGTAGTTCGTTCGTTTCGATCATAGAAAAAAGACTTTTCTTTTTTTTGCCTAGAATCAACAAGGGAGTGTGATTTGTGCTGTACCACGGTAAGGTCATCGGATCTAGAGCTGCTGTGTGGGAGACTCTACTCGTCGGGAGTAATATTATCGGGAATATATGCTTGCTAATTGGGGCAACGTCCTTGTTACAACTAAGTTGTGTATATAATAGGTTGTTCAAGAACATTGCATACTGTCTTAGCATGCCTTCTTTCAGACTCCGAGCATCAATGTACATACGCCATGACCTATTAATCAAAACACTTGTTAAGATATCCAACTCGGCAGTTGGCGACGAGTAGAGCCTCGCAACGCAAAAAGAAAAGGGCTGAATTCTACTAGCGTGGTCGTGAAAACCGTGGAAAAAGGTCTGTTGAGTTCAAGATTTCGATAGTTCCCAGGATCATTATGTGTACATTTGTATAGGTGGGAATATGGGTGCGGATGTGTACATATTCAATGTCTCTATATCTCTCCTTCTGTCTATGGTTCCGCGTATGTGTACGTCATGATTATATATATGCAAACCCGCTGAGTGAAATGTATTATACACGGCATTTAGCCTGTCGTGCACTGCCCTACCTTCCACCCGCTGTCCTCTCTACTCCCCAACCAAAGAGAATCACCCTCTGAAAGGCGCAAACCTCGACAAAGCCCGCAGCCGCTTTCCATACACCATGAACAAGAACGGCACCGGGATCGCCAAAGCCGCTACTCCACCCAGGATCGACATGGCCGGCCCGACGCCTAGATTTCGGAACATGGGTTGCGAGAACAGCGGGAACGCCGCCGCTAGCACGCTCCGCAGGAATGTATTCGACGCCGTGGCGGACGCCGCATATGGACCGTACGTATCCACCAAGAAATTGATACACTGACCGAAGATGATGGAGAATCCGCACCCGAACATGCCTGCGGCAACGCAGGGGAGGGCCCAGTGGTATTTCGGGGCGGCGGTCCAGCCGAACCAGAAGAGACCCGCTGCGAATAGGAACCCGCCGACGGCCATGGGCATGAGGCGACCTTCGGGAACAGGCTTGCCGCCGCCTTGGTCGAATTTGCGGATGTAGTAGGGTTGACCGACGAGGATGACGAAGGCAGATGAGAGAAGGACGCCGACGAAGAGGGCGATGAAGGGGAGGGTGGCGATTACGGGCTTCCAGTGGCGGAGGTCGTCGAAGACGATGGGGAAGACCTCGAGGGTGAGGTAGAGGAGGGCGTAGGTAAAGGAGGCGTATAGAGCAACCACGGTCACCATGGGCTCGGTGACGAGCATGACCAAGGGTCGGGAAAAGTGTTTCGTAACGATGCTGTGCGCGTCGATCTTCAGGTGTTCGTGCGGATGGTATAGGTCCGCATTGCCGGTCTCTTTGCGGAGGCGGACCGCCTTCTTATGCAGGAGAACAGGCCCGTACATTTCGGGCAGACAAAAGAAGGTGACTGCGAACACAAAGAACACAAAGATCGCTTCGATGTATTCTGTCCAGCGCCAGCCGAGGGAGGGATGCGAAACCAGCGCGGCCCCAATGATGGGTCCCATGGTAGGCCCACCGACGACACAGATGGCGTAGGAGGTCGAGGCGATCCCCCGCGCTTTCATGTGGAAGATGTCCCCTAGTGCTGCGGAAACATTACTCACAGGAGCAGACCCAAAGAGGCCTGCAAAATACCGTGTGATGAGCACGGAAGCGGTGTTCTTGCTCGTCGCGGTGCCAATGCTAAACAGACCCAGGCAAAAGACGGCTGGGAGCATCGACCAGCGACGCCCCCATATCTCTGAAATAGGCGCCCAACATAGAGGCCCAAATGCAAAGCCAAGACTATCTTCCGTCAATTTAGTGGCTTTTAGATATTGATTTAGATGAGCCTTACATATACAGCGACGTGGCCAGTATACTGACCTCTTTACTAATCCCCAGATATTCGACTAGTTCCGTCTGCGCAGGGGATATAATACTCGATCCCAAACTGGCACTCAGGGCCAACATGCCCAATTGGAAGGTAATCCAACATTTGTACGCCGTGGGAAAGTTTTGTGGGTTCTCAGGGTCATTTTCATCCCATCTCACCAGATTGGGATCGAATGACGATACAGGCTTGGCTGCCTTTTCGACATCATCGGGCTGTGGCGGCGAGACCGTCGCCTCAGGCACAACCGTCATGATGTATCGGATCTTGCGTACGTAGCAGATACATGGCTTTTTCTCAGATTCCTGAGATGCAAGCCTTCGATCTTTATTGAGATTGCCACCGGATATCGGCACCGCGAGAGACCGAGGGGACCCTCCTAGTGTCGGAGGTCCGACGCGGATAGTCCGATGAACCAATCATAACATCATAAAGGGGGCAAGAATTAGTCAAACGAGTCAGAAGGGACGCTGCTGACGAGTTGAAAAGGTCTGTGCTGAATTCTTTTCATTCCCTCGGTCATCGCAGTTGCAGCAGTGTTTGGCCAATGGCTCACCGGCGGAAGAATCTTTTGTCGTCGGTAGGCGTGCTACCCGTGATTCAACACCAGTCCTGAAATTGCCGTGTCAACAAATCAGGGCAACAGGAACCATTTTCTTGTTACATAGCTTCCGGGTATAGCCCGGCTTGTCCTTTTGTATGCAGCTCCTCTTTTCCTCGATTTCAACCCGGCTCGCCCCGCGCAACTGCCAATCACACCTGAGTTCGCACCCGGAGAGTGCGGAGCGGAAGCTTGGCGGAGACTGCTTATCCCAACGAACGTAGACTGAGCCATTGTATGTCAGGTCTCACAGACCTACCGATTGATGTCGAGAATGTCTCGGAGGAATGGTTCATTTCGATTGCCAAGTAGTTGTAGGGTAATAGCGCGTTAGAGTACTGCGGAACAGTGAGTGGTTTTAGACCTTGATCCTGCATGTTCCAGCCTCAAACCTACCATGGTGTGCGAATTCCAGTTCCGTCTGACTGCTGCAGGCTGCCAACATATCGTGTGTATGTTTCAGACATGATTATATGTCATCAAATCCTCATGCGCCCTGCTCGACGAAACACAAGCTGCTAGATCCAACCTGTGCACTGGTACATCTGGCGCCTCACTGAAAACAGCATCCCAATGCGGTCGGAAAATCGTATCCGCCTGGACTGTGTCAAGCCAGAGAACGCTCTTGACTTTTTTGATTGCGTCGCTCCAATTCGTCAGGTGTAAATTACCTGAAGCGACCATACGGGCTCTCTCCAAGAACCATTGGTAATGGGAGGGGTTAGTCCCAGTTGAAGCCACTAACCCAACGGCCATGAACCAGACGTCAAGTGGGGTGTGTACATGGGGCGTCAGATCGGACTGCTTCAGATATTGCACAAACCGCGTGACCATCGTGTTCAGCATGACTGCGTGTGAGTAATATGTTGGCCCATGGATGATGAACATGTAGAGGATGGTGGCGTAGCGGACGCATTCCGTGAGGGGGGATGGGGTTGGTAGCGAATCCTCAGGATTCCTCTCAGTAGTATCTAAAGGAGCCGACAGAAGTAGTCGATGAATGACAAAACATGTCAGGTCGTGAAGGTGGGTCGGAGGAATGGGTATATGTTGCGCACGTTGGAAAGCGTTGCGCAAACGGATGAAGACATTCCGAACTGCATACTCGACATCGTCATTTACGAGGCCGAGAAAGTCAATCGCTTTTTCCTCGATAAAAAGAACGCTCGACGAATTGAATTGCCATTCAGGAATTGGGGGTATGCCATCTCCGATGCCAACATCATCCTGGGTGTCGAATTGAGGATGACCCGTGACAATCATCGAGACCCTGATAGATTATATCAGTAGAAGTTCCAACCGACAGAGAAGGCAACATACCAGCTGATCATTCGAGCAGTCAACGGGCTGGTCTGTCTCACTGAATTGATGCCGCCTCTCAGGGTGACCAGTTTCTTCACTCCATTGACGTGCATCCCAGCAACATCGATGTTTCCCTTGCCGAACTGGTGCCACTACAGTTAGTAAGACATCCACTACCCGAATGATCAGACCTTACTTCGATCGCTGCCAAGGTGATTACCGAGTTCATAGTCCCGTCCTGCACAGCCAGCGACTGGTTCTCGATCTTGCGACGCAGTAAAGCCACCGAATCGGTCATGAGGATCTCAGAGCCTTGAAAGCCCTTCTGAGCCAGCAGCTCCTCGTCCAAACACGCTGTCTGCAAGGAGACATGAAACAAAGCCGGATCGCCAAGAGCTAGAGGCCACCATGAAATGAGGAACGGATTGGTTGTGGCGTTGAGATCAAGCGGATAGTACTGAAAAGCGATTTTGTGCAGAACTGGCTGGTGAGTGGAGGTGCCTGATATAGTACATTCGAGAGCGATACGTACAACTATGGATCAGACGTTGAACTCGTTCCCGGGGTAATCGCGTTTGGGGGTAGGAGTCGAAAGGGTCGAGACCAGAGAATCTGTAGCTGGCCAAAGTGCTGGATTCACTCGGCGCTATGGCCGATCCGCTATTTTCCGGCGCTGTCAAAGGTTGATTGGCATAGACGCATTGGACGTTGCGCTTAATGCAGCGCGTGCATCGTGGGGTGCGCAGATCGCAGCTATGCTTGTACTTGTAGCATGCAGTACAGGAACGACGAAGTGTTCGGGACATTGTTGAGGGGTGTACCAGTCGTATCTAGACGTGTTCTCTAGGATTGTGCCACCCGTGGAGAGGAGTGTTCAAGGTTGGTGGAGATGGCTGACGGATCGCCATAGGAAGAAACAGTCTAGACTGTGTATGGTATAGGCTCGCCAAGAGGATGCCGAGGCCTCAGCTTATTCAATGGGTTTGTCTGTGCGTCAAGTTTAGAACATCATGTGTGGACAGTGAACGAAAAAGGTTCCCACTAATTGGGGGCTGTTTCATTCAGGGACCATGGCGTAAGTAAGTGAGTGGTAACTACCCATGTATCAGGCTGGTTTGTGAGAATGAGGAACTGCACTTCAGACTGAGATATTGAAGATTCTCGAACCTCGGGTGTCAGCAATGGGAATGGGGCTGATTGGAAGCCATCCAGACTAACCCGGAACAGACTAGAGCCCGATTGCATTTTCGGGGTCTAGTCCCAATCGGGACATGTATACAGAAACGGGCCCTGACATTGCATGACTCGGCATCGATGAGATTCCCCTATTCATACTTAGCCCTTTATAAAGTTGAACAATGCCTCTGTCCATCTTTCCCTCGAGTTGCTGCTACCACTAAGGGCGTCATAATGGCTGACATTTTCAACACCACAACTGCGCACCTCGCGCAGCCGTCAACATGGCCCAGCTCTTCGCTTCCATTGAGCGGTTGGTCGACCTGGCAGTATATCGTGACGTTCATATTAGGAGTGATACTTTATGATCAGGGTACGGGCACAACCAGAGCTTTGAGCGCAGTCACTGACACCGTACAGTCATGTACCTCAAGCGAAAGGGCTCCATTGCCGGACCGATGTTCAAAATCCCCCTGATGGGGCCATTCCTCCAAGCCATCCATCCCAAGTTCGACGAATACCTCGCTCAATGGGCAAGCGGACCTCTGAGCTGTGTCTCTGTCTTCCACAAGTAAGATCGCCGCCACTGCTCTTTTGTTCACTGCTAACGCCCCCCCCCCCCCCCCGTGCAGATTCGTCGTCCTCGCCTCCGACCGCGACCTCGCCCACAAAGTCTTCAAATCGCCCACCTACGCCGAACCATGCCTAGTCCCCATCGCCAAAGACATCCTCGGTCACAAGGCCTGGGTCTTTCTGCAAGGCAAAGCCCACGCCGAGTACCGACGAGGCCTGGCGCCACTGTTCACGAATAAAGCGATGGCGACCTACCTGCCGGTGCAGGAGCGGGTGCTGGCAGATTACTTCGACCGCTTCGTGTCCGCGAGCCAGGCGAACAACAACCGGCCACTCCCCTTCATGACGCTCTTCCGCGAGATCAACTGCGCACTGTCATGCCGGACGTTCTTTGGCGACTATATCTCGCAGGATGCGGTGCAGAAGATCGCAGACGACTTCTACCTGGCGACGGCGGCGCTGGAGCTGGTCAACATCCCGCTGTCGATGTACGTGCCGTTCACGAAGCCGTGGTGGGGCAAGCGCACGGCGGACGCGGTGCACGTCGAGTTCGCCAAGTGCGCGGCGGCGTGCAAGGCCAACATGGCGACGGGGGCGACGCCGACCTGCATCGTCGACCACTGGGTGCTGCAAATGATGGAGTCGAACCGCTACCGCGAGCGCCTGGCCGCCGGCGAGACCGACCTCGAGAAGCCCAAGAACCTGATCCGCGAGTTCACCAACCAGGAGATCAGTGAGACACTGTTCACGTTCCTGTTTGCCTCGCAGGACGCCTCCAGCAGCGCCACCACCTGGCTATTCCAGATCATGGCCCAGCGGCCCGACGTGTTGGATCGTCTGCGCGCTGAGAACCTGGCCGCCCGCGGCGGCGACCGCAACAAGCCCTTCGACCTGCCCATGCTCGAGTCGCTGACCTACACCAACGCCGTCATCAAGGAGCTGCTCCGCCACCGCCCGCCCGTCATCTTCGTGCCCTATCTCGCCACCAAGCCCTTCCCCATCACCCCCGAGTATACCGCGCCCAAGGGCTCGATGGTCATCCCGTCGTGCTGGCCCGCCTTGCATGACCCCGAGGCGTATCCGAACCCGGATATCTTTGACCCGGACCGCTGGATCACGGGCGATGCCGAGTCGAAGACGAAGAACTGGCTGGTGTTTGGATCGGGGGCGCACGACTGTCTAGCTAGACGGTATGTGCCGCTCTCGATGGCCGGCATGATCGGGAAGGCGGCGCTGGAGCTAGACTGGACGCATCATGCGACGCCGCGATCGGAGGAGATCCGGGTGTTTGCGACGTTGTTTCCGATGGTGAGTTAGATGTCGCTGATGACTGCTGAAGATTTGACTGACTTTCGCAGGATGAGTGTCCGTTGGTATTCAAGAAGCGGCCGTGAAGCTTCGCCAACATACCCATTCAAGCTCGGCCTTATGCAGGCCATCAAGCCATTCAACCTCCAACAACTGGGTGATAATACTGTACTGTATATCGACCTCCGCCATGTTCACTTCAAAATTCAAACAATTTTCAATCCGACCTCTCAGAAAAACAATATTAAACGACCCAACCAGACACCCGAATGTATACCTTATTCTTCTTCCCCTTTTGCTCATCACTAGCTCACCCTGCAGCCAGATCAAGCAATGTAACATACATAATCTACATAAGTTAATGAAATCATCACAAACACCCTCTTCTTCTCCCCGATTATCTTAGAATCAATTACCCAGGAACCCAATACCTCCACCTTCCACCACCTCCCTCAACCCCCCTCCCATGATCCCCATCCCCCCTCATCTCCCAGACCATGCCCCTCTCCAACACCACCGAAGGCTTCTGATCCGAGGCCTGTGCGGCCTCCTGCAGAATCCCACTCCCACCTCCACCGCGCCTCCGCTTATAACTCCTGCACAGGAAAGTTTCATCCCAGCTCCGGTCGCCCTCCCACGGCCTCTTCTGGCTGCGGACTCGGTAGTCGGAGACGCGGTCGTAGTAGGAGCTATCTGGGGCTGGGGGGTTGATTGTTAGGAAGGTTATGAGGGGGTGGTAGTGGTGGTATTCATGCTGGGTTTTGGGGTTGTTGGGAGGGTGGGTTGGGTATTGATGGTGGTTGTTGTTGGGGATGAGTGTTGTTGGTGGTGGAGAGGTCGAGGTGGAGGTAGAAGTCGAGGAAGCTGGGGAGGCCGAGGAAGATTGTGGTGTAGCACAGTGTATGGCAGCTCTGTGCTGTGCTGAACGTCGATCTGAGTGCGAAGAGTAGTAGGCCGGGCTGTAGTCGTGGCTCTCTGCGTGCGGAAGGGAGTATTTGTTGCTGTTGCTATGATGAGTGGTGGTGATGGTGTGGTTGTATCTCGGGATGTAGTGATTGTTCATTCTCGGATACAGTCTTCTAGTACTCCCTCGACTATCTGAATCGCCCTGGTCACTGGATAGCACGGCCAAGATCGTCCACAGCGACAGGCCCCGCTGTAAGCCCTCACGGAGGGTCGCGTGCTCGTACTGTCGTCGGGCTAGTCGCGTGCGCTCATAGTAGGTCTTGTCTTGCTCGGATTCGAGGATGGGAGGTTCGATGGGATGAGGAGGAGGGTTGGATTGTGGACTTTCGTGGGCAGAAGACATGTTTGAGATACTATGTTCTTGTTGCTTGAGTTTGGCTGACTGCTGTGTTCATCATGAGAGCGAGACAACGATTCAAAGTCAGAAAGCCTCAACTCATAGATTATGATAAGCGACGAACTAGCCGAATCTTCCCTCCCCACGGCACGGGATGTCATGTTTCATCGACACGGCAGAAGTTTCACCTCCTGCTTGACAGTCTCCACTTGCCCAACCGTCCACGTATTCTCTTGCGTGTGCAGATCCAGTACACTTACTCAACTTCGTTTGGTGTCATCAGTAATAAGCTTGATTGGTTATCCATATGCCGTCATCTACTGTACATTCAGTCGTCACCCGACGAAAAGTAATCAAACACAATACAGGCAAGAAAGCTCTAAGATAATACAAAACACCAGTTTCCCCCTCCATCCCCCATTCAAACACTATAGACATAGTCATGGAATGTGCATATATAAAGTCCTACCGAGCTCTATCGTGGAGCATGCTGCGGATTCATCGGTCCAGGAAGCGGCCCTGGATTCGACCCCTGGCTGTACACACGATGGTGCCCGGGCGTCCCATGCGGCCCCGGTTCGAGGCTCCCAGGCCCTGGGGGCCGTGCTTGCAAAGCGTGCACAGCCCCACTAGGCGCGTAACTTAGTCCCCCGGCCGGGTTTGGTTGCAAGATCGCGGGTGGTGTGTACGACCGGCCCATGGCCATCGGTTGAGGGCCCGGCCCAGGCAGGCCCGCTGCCCGGGACATTTGAGCCTGCGGAGGCGGGGTGCTGTGACCGTAAGCGACGGCGCCAGCCAGTCCCAGCGCCGACCGATGCGCCGCCTGTTGATGAGCCCCGTTGACCATAGTCTGGACATGTTGCTGATAACTCTGATGGTTCGCATGTTGCTGCGCAGACATCCCGGCTCCAGGCGTGGCTGGTGCCGAGACATATGCCGATGTGGTCACAGCTGGTTGTCGGGAGGACATACCCAGTATATTAGCGGGCGACTGAATTGGCGTGGGCGGTCCCTGTCTGGATCCATAGGACGGAAGACTACCATTACGGGGCGTGGGAGAGCCGACCGCCGGTCGATACATAGCATTCTGCGCGGCGATTTCACGTGATGCGGCCGCACTGGCCTGAGCATGAGGCACAGGGGACGGAGCGTATACCGTAGCATGATAAGTAGGCCGCTGAGCCGCAGCCGGTGAAGGTGTGGGAGCAGGCGATGGTGTTGTGAGGTTCTGCAACGAGGGGCCAGGCAAAGATTGATGCGAGGTGTAGGGAGAGTAAGCGGGCTGAGAGGCGAGGGATGCTGACGGGCGGCCGCTGGGCTGTTGCTGCTGCTGCTGCTGCTGCTGTTGTTGTTGTTGTTGCTGCTGTTGCTGCTGATGCGGAGGTGGCGGAGGTTGCTGCGCTCTGGGATCGAACCGTGCCATCCAATCATTATTTGCTGGAGCAGTTCCCCCGGATACAGAGCCGTAAGGCTGGTATTCAGCATACGTGCGGGAGGGCGGAAGATATGGGCTGGGCGCCCCATAGACAGGGCCCTTCGGTTGAGCCGACAAGGTGATGTCTTCTGGCCGTGAAGGAGGCGGCTGGGGAATTGACTGCATGCCGGCAAACCCAGCACGGGAAGGAGATCCCATGTTGCTTGCAGGAGTAGACACCTGGTCGCTAGCGAACCGTTTCCGTGGCTGTGGCTCCTCCGGTTCGTCGTTGAGAATACTCATAATATTGGACCGTTTGGCAGGCACACGAGGCGGCTCGGGAGGCTCAAGCGGAGTCGACCCAGGTCGGAAAAGCTCTTTAGGAGGCGACAAAACCGGAGGTTGGACAACACTTGCGGGTTGACCTGGCAGTGTAAAGAACGGCCGCTGCGATATCGATTCACGCCGAATAGGGGAGTGTTCGGGCTCATGTCCCAAAAGTGGTTGAGCGGGCGAGCTAGGGGTCTTTGTGAGGCTCGGTTGTCGCGAGTGAGACCCAGTAGGCATCAAGGACGGTTGATGCTGGGGTGGCATATACACTGACTGGGAGGCAGGAATTGCCGCCTGTACTGGAAGTAATGGCGACCCATGCATGTCGACATTAGCAGCCCGATAGCCCTGGGCATGGAGTGGGTCAAGACGTGCCATTTCCGCAGCAGACACCGGCGTTTGACGGGAAGAGATGGACACTTCTTGAGCATGAGAAGCAGGGACATGAGAAAGCACGGTTCCTGGAATCTCGCGCCGGTCGTCGGCGAAATATCCTAGGCGTGGTCCTTGCAGTCGCGGTGGCAAGGTAGCCTGAGGGCGCATGGCTCTGGAAGCGTCATCGCCGCCAAGGATAGGCATCGGAACGGCATTGGCCTGTGCAAGCGGAGGATAGCGCGATACATTACGCTCCTTTTCTTGCACAGGGCGAGTATGGAGAGGAACCTGTTGAGATGACCCGATTGGCTTGGTTTTGGGCCCAAGCCGACTTTCATCCGCATCAGGCACTGCTGCATCCGTGTGGGGAGCAAGAGGCCGGGGCATGATTATTGCAGAGGGTGTAGCTTCGTAGCGTCGCTTCGAGGCGAAGTTCGGCACGGGTAAAGGACCAGTTGGCTCACCGCGAGCCTTCTTCGCCTCGGCCTCTGCAACAATCTCTTCAAAATCCTTATTACCGGAGTCAATTCGGCGCTGAAAGTAGTTCTTAACCTGTAGAGCACGATTAGTCAAATGAAACCGTTAGAAAAGACCTTACACAAGAGTAAAATACCATGACTGTTGTTTTAGTTTTCATGAAGTTGGAAATACCCTCAAAATCGCGGCCAAAATGTGCCAGCAATAGGGGAAAGTCGCGTTGCTCGGGCACCGACCAGTAACTTGTGGGCTGCAAGGATCCGTATCCGCTGGCTTCGGGCTGCCTAGCGGGTGCGGGGGCCTCCTGCTCGGTCGACTCGAAAACATAAACCCCCTCTTTCTGACGTCCTCGTCCTGATCTCGCTCGAGGTGGTACATCGCTAGGCTCTTTCTCTTGCGGCTCCTTGCGAACGATCGGAACTTCGGCAACAGCTCCATCAAGGGAGGGTTCGAATATTTCTGTCTTTGGTACGGGAGTGAGGGCAATCCCGACAGTTGGCACCGGCGTTGTTTGAGCTGATTGCTCAGACGGGGTCGGCTGCGGTGTCTGCTGCTGCTGCTGCTGTAACTGCTGCTGCTGCTGTTGTAGCTGCTGTTGTTGCTGTTGCTGCTGCTGGGCAGCTTTGCCTCGCCGACCACCACGAGTACCCCCGCCAGTGCGAGGCCCTCGCCGGCTAGGTTTCTCCGCTTGTTCTCCATCCTTGGACGCGTTCCCGCGACGACCGTTCGCATCCGTGTCCGCCGAAGAGTCTCCAAATGTGGGAGCAGCAGCACGTCGGGGACGACCAGTATCAGTGACAGGCGCTGGCTCTTCTTCCCCTTCGTAGTCAGGCTTGACCACACCCAGATCAGCCATGAGCGCATTCGACTTCGGTCTGGCTGATCTTCTGGCCCTTCCTCGACGACTCCACCGCTTGTTAAGCTTAGCCTTGTATTTGATCTCTTCTTTAGTAAGGTAATAATGAATAATGCACTGCTGGAAGTCGCGTCCTGGAAGTGACTCTGCGATCTTGCCCCATTTCTTGGGGTGTGCCATGAATGCATCTGTGAAAATCCCATGTTCCTCCTTGGTGAAGTCATTGGGCGGCGGCAGAAAGCCAAACACGTCCATGGCATTTTGGGGATCAATGATGTTGTTGGTGTCTTTATAGATACGAGCTTTTACCTCACGTGGTTCCAGCATATCCGGAATGACGGCCTCGCGGGACAGGTCTGGCTGTGCTGTAGCCTTGTTGCCGCGACGCTTCTCCAGCTCCTCCTGTGCTGAGATCTCAGAAGCGCGAAGAGCATTTTGGAAATCCAGCTCGCTGTTGCCTTTGTATCGTCTCCCGCTTTCCACGGTAGGTGTAGCTGTCACAGGAATAGGGGCAGCAGGTGGCGTGGTTGGCCCGGGGGTGACCGAAGTCTTTTCTTTGGCATTATCCAATTCCCATACATTTAGCCTCCAGGGCTTGTAGTGAGCAAGATAATCAAGCCGTAGCCCAGCATTCTTTTGAGCGATCTCTTTACGTTGCTTCATAAGCTCTCCATGTAATAAGTCTTTGAGCCGCTCGTGAGCTGCTGCATTCTCCTGATAGATGTCGAGATCTGACAATGGGGTCGGGGGACCCGTGTTGAGAAATGGTAGATTCTCAATGGTGAGTACCTCGGCAGCGGGTACGGACTCTATGGCCTCCTTGGTCAGCGGTTCGTGGTTTTCGGCCTTTCCATTTGGCTGGCTGTCCACGTCCATTGGCTGAGCAACTTCATCGCTGGCTACCTTTTCCTTTTCCGGGGCAGGCGGAGGGCTTGGTGTTTTGTCTTTAACGGTGGCATGGGCAAGAGCACCCAGTAGCTGGATACGCATTAGTAATGCCACAATAGTAGGATCTTCCAATGGAGATGGAGGAAGCTCGGCCCGAAGCGCCTTCATGTCCTTCTCGAAGATCCTTTTGCGCTCATCGAGATAGTCTTGTGTGAAGACAACATTCTCGTCTTCCTCTTCGTCGCTAGTCCGTGTGAAATCGGGGATCACAACACTAGCCGGTGCCTCCGCTGTCTTTTCTGGCAATTTTTCCGGCGTCCTTTCCCGCGCCTTTTCCGGCGTCTTCTCTGGTGTCTTCTCTCGCATCTTCTCTGGCGTCTTCTCCGGTATCTTTTCTGGTGTCTCTAGTTTCTTCGGGGGTGCAGCCGATCTCTCACGAGGCAACTCTGGTTGCGCCACTGGAGGTGGAGATGATGAAAAGTCGAGTTTGGATTCGGTGGGATCCTTTTCACTGACAATCTCTCCTGCCTCTGGCCCCGACCCCGAATCATCATTATCGGTACGCGAGTCACGCCGGAGTTCTTCGCTGATCGAAAGACTGCGCTCGTTTTCATCGATGGATTCCCGTTTTGTAGGTACAGTCGAGCTTGGCCCAGTTGGCGGACGACTATATCCAGGACGGACCCATTGTTTATTGGGCTTTGGCGGACCGCGAGACACAGACGGCCGTTGTTGAAGAGCTCGTGGGCCAGTTGGGATCGTCGAGTTCGGCATTCTAGGCGAAGTATGAGCACCCGGGGAGACCGCCTGCCCTGCCGCAGACGGCCTTCGGCCAAAATCAACAGCCATCGGTGCCGGCCCAACCTTGCTTGGCGACGTCGCCTCATGATAAGCTGAAATTTCCTTGGCCACCATGGCTGCGGGCGCAGTAGGTGGAGAAAGCTCTGTTACTTTCGGTCCATTGGGTGTAGGGGCGACCTGCGATTTGGACGCACGTGAAACGTGCTCGGGCTTCGTCGGTGTATCACCCGTTTCGTCACGTCGCGGTTCATCGCGGCGAATTCGTTGCTCAAGAGGCAACTGAGGAGGTGCTCGATCAGCTTTAGGGGCAGTGGGAGGCTGTACTGGGGCCCGTGTTGGCGGCTCAGGGCGCTCTTTCTCATGTTTGGCAACGGGATGAGCACTGGGGGCTGATTCTGCAGTCGGTTTGTCTGCCGCAATCTCGGGTATCGGTGCAGTGACTGATCCGAATGCGGGTACTTGCGGCGCAGCCGGGGGAGGGGATCGTTTCACGGGCGCAACAACTTCTTTCGGTGGTTCCGGACGGGGCACAGGAATTTCAGCTCGTTCTGGTTCGCGGCGGTTATCGCTTGTAGAAGGTTTGCGCGGTGGCTCCACGATGGGGAGATCAGGTACCCGCTCGGGAACTGCAGGGGTCGGTTGTGGTGCAGGAGCAACAGGTGAGGCGGTGGAAATGCTAGGTATGCGGTTTGGATTCTCTAGACGATTGACAGGGGGGTCGCGCTTCCAGTGATCACCCGGTCGGTCTCGATCATCGCGCTCAACGCGGCGTTCCAAATCATCTCGCCGCTCAAATCTGTCTCGTCGATCCAGTAAGTCACGGTCTCTTTCCCGATCTCGTCGATCAATCTCTCGGTCGCGGTCCAGAGGTACCCGTTCTCGTTCTCTTTCACGATCCCGGTCGAGTATGCGATCTCTATCTCTTTCACGATCACGATCGCGCTCTCGGTCCCTTTCTCTTTCTCGGTCGCGATCCCGTTCCCGATCCCAGCGTCCGTCGCGGGATCGACTTCTCCGCCTGAAAGTGTCACGATCATCCAAGTACGGCATCCGACCTCTGCCCCGTCCTGCTTCCCACTCGCCTCGGCCACGCCCACGAATGGGGGGACCGGTCCGGACATGGTGGTTATTTCCCGCCGGAACGTCAGGAACAGCCGAAGAAACGGAGATCAAACTATCACGAGAGCCGCGTCGCATGCGAACAATATCGGGGTCTCGGCCCAGGGATTCTCTAATATCCCGGAAGTCGCGAGGTGGTGGGGGAGAGCGCGAGCGACCGCGTCCAAAGCCAATGCGTGATTCTCGAGGGTCGAAGTCGCGGTCGCGGCGGTTCCAGTCCCGATCTCGATCCAGGTCGCGGCGAAACGGTGGCGGGCCATCACGAACATCTCGAAAGTCTCGGTCTCGGTCTCGATCGCGATCTCGAATGTCTCGGTCTCGTTCGCGAAAATCTCCTCGGGCGGTGTATCCTCGACCTCGGCCAGCAAATGAAGCACCTCGAGGTGGATCAATCAGAGCTTTCGGACCTCGAGGGGGTTCCCGCCCCAGGGGAGGAATATTGGCATCGTCGGATCCTCGGGGCCCTGCCGGTGGTCGACGGTCACCAAAACGCTGGGGAGAACGGTCACGGGAGTTGAACCCAGACAATGGAGGGTATCTTTGAGACATCACTAGGTCATGCTAGTGCACATGAAGACAAAGCAACCCGGCAGGATGCCTGCGACAAGTTAGTGACGCGGGGTTTTCAACAAAGGCGAGATATTAGTAGTATGGAATTAAGGTGTGGAGAAGAGAGAAAGTATAACCCCGGATAAACAAAGGAAAAAGAAAAAGGAAAAGAAAGGAAAAGAAACGGGTGAAATGGAATGAGGCAAATGGACACCCCAAGGAGGAGTCTCGAAAGAAGCACGGGCAGGAGAGGCCAATTGACGCAAAGAGGCGGGAGCAGCAAAAGCGCGAACGAGCAGCAGAGCAGAACCTCGCCCGAACGACGACGACGAACGACCGAACAGGCAGTGGAGAACACGTGATTGGTAGTGGAAGCATGGGAAGACCGTGCACGGGCCAAGAGGGGCTTAAGTAATCAGTTAATGATTCCTAGTGCGGATCCCAATTTTGGCACCATCCCTCATGCTTAGCGGCAGCCACGGTTGGCGCCGATTGTTTCAGCCGTGACTGGACAAGCCGGGGCAGCTTGGTGGATCGGGGATCACGCAGGCGGCAGACAGGATTGAAATCGTAAGAAGGGGAGTTCAACTGAATGGTCACCGCTCATGTACAGTGTCTCACTGTCTCACACACTGCCGAAATGTTCATCGGAGTGGCCGAGCATAGACTAGCAAAATCGTTTCAACAATAAAAAGAAAGACGATCCACGAACCTCCCAAGGCTGATCGTAGCTGGAGAAATGGCAAACAGATCAACAAAAGAAACAAACTAAATTTACCTGATCCTTGAGAGTAACTGTTGCCGCACTCTTGTCCCGGCGACAACGTGTCAAATAGTTCACTGGAGAGACACCTGCAAGGGAGGGCAGTGTAAATGGGAGCTGGGCAGCCAAATCCACCAGCGATGGGATGGCGGGCTTCGCAGTCGGTTCCGGACCCCCAAAGACCACAAAGTCGGTAGATGTGTAACGGCGGTGGTTAGGAGGCAATCTGATGGTATTTGAGGAGTGAGACAGAAAAGGGAAAGATCGAGAGAGCTGGAACGATTTCGCGTTCAGAGTCTAGACAGAGTCAAGAAGAGGATTGATCGATCATGAAAGAGGGAAGAGGGAAAAACGACGAAGAAGACGACGACGACGACGACTCTGAGACTGACCAGACTCCCTCAGTTGATGGGGCCCAGGCAATGGAGCCGGACGGAAGCTTTAGTTGGTCAAGGAGTCGCAGGGACTCTTTCTAGGGGAACTCAAAAATAACTTGCGGAGTTGGCCTCAGGCCAGGGGACGGGACTGGTTGGTTCCCACCAATTTCAAGGTTGCCTGAGGTTTCTGTCACTTCTGAGTGAACCTTCAAGTTGTGTGTCCTCAGGCATCCACACAGCGGCTGCCAGTTTTTGCCTGCCAGCTGCCTGCCAGCTGCCAATCCCGCCGGGCACTTCCCTGCGTTCCCCGCCATCCATCCGCTTTAGTCTAAGGCAGCAGGGGAGAGAAAAAAAAAAAGGGACCCAAGGAAAAAAAAGGGCTGAGTGCAACACCTCCCGCTCTCTTTGTCTAACGTGATAGCCGACTTTCCCCCTCTGTATACCACATTTCCGATCGAGCATTGATAGAATAATTGTGGAATTTAATCGTCGTCTATCGCTCGTTTTTCCCTTCGATTTATTTACCAGGTGGTTTCTACCAGGTGGTTTCTTCCAAAATGTCCTCAAACAGCATCCCGCCCACTGAGAATGCCCCTCCCTCCTCTGTGACCGATGCCGTCTTGGTCGCCTCTGAGCCTGTCCCGGAAGGGACACATAAAGTGAGCGGCGTGGACTTCGATCGCTTCCGGGGGAGAGATATCACCGTCGCTGAAATGGTCGACAACATGAGATACACGGGTTTCCAAGGCAGTGCAGTCGCAGACGCTGCCCGCATCATCAACAACATGGTATGGTATCTTCGTCTACGCTTCAGAAAGCCCCCTCGCTGACGGGACTTGATTTCTATAGACTGCTTACCGTCATCCCGAATCCGGTGCCAAAACGACCATCTTTCTCGGGTACACCTCAAACCTGATCTCCTCCGGCCTCCGCGACACCATCCGCTACCTCGTCAAAAACAACCACGTCTCAGCCATTGTCACAACTGCTGGCGGTGTGGAAGAAGATTTGATCAAGTGCTTAGCTCCGACCTACATGGGCTCCTTCACCACGCCTGGCGCAGGACTGCGTGCCAAGGGATTGAACCGTATTGGCAACTTGATCGTTCCCAATAGCAACTACTGTGCCTTTGAAGATTGGCTAGTCCCGATCTTGGATAAGATGTTGGAAGAACAGGAAGTCGCCAAAAAGAAGGCGCTGGAAACGGGTGACGAAGAAGACGAACTGCACTGGACTCCGAGCCGCATTACCGAACGCCTTGGCCGCGAGATCAACAACGAGGAATCGGTGCTGTACTGGGCCGCACGCAACAACATTCCCGTCTTCTGTCCGGCTTTGACGGATGGCTCTCTCGGAGACATGCTATACTTCCACACGTTCAAATCTTCGCCGCAACGGCTGCGCGTGGATATTGTCGACGATGTGCGCCGTATCAATACGATGGCCGTCCGTGCTGCTCGCGCGGGTATGATCATCCTTGGAGGTGGTGTAATCAAGCACCATATCGCTAATGCTTGCCTGATGCGCAATGGTGCGGAACATGCGGTCTATGTGAACACCGGGCAGGAGTTCGATGGTAGCGATGCGGGTGCGCGACCGGATGAAGCCATCAGCTGGGGCAAAATCAAAGCCGACGGTGAGTCGGTAAAGGTGTACGCGGAAGCTACGGTTGTCTTCCCGCTCATTGTGGCCGCTTCATTTGCACGAGCGGAGGCAGCCGCATTGAATGCCGTCAAGTCCGAGAATTGATGGTTGTCGTTGTGTAGACTTCAGAATTTTGGCGAGACAGCCGATGCATTTGTCCACTTCTTGCACCTAACAGCACCTGAACAACGCGGGGTTTCCCGCCTTGGAAACACTCGCTCTGCTGAGCACGTTGGCAATATTCCGGAGAGCTCCCCTCCTATCTCGGCCCCGCGTCGATACCAGTTTTCACCAGAGGCCGATCTAGGCGTGGCGCTACGGTCACGCTAGCGGCTCCACCGGTTGTGCGGACAGAGTAAATCTAGAAAGGAGGCGAATCGGACGACTAGCTCCGAAGCCAGGGACAAAATCTGCACGGCAGAGAAGACGGCAGCCCATTGAGCACCCGTAAGTTCGGGACGAGGGGCTGTTGGATCGGCAGAGGGGCGGTTTCTTTGGGTGAAGAGGGGGAATTTGGTGGAATGGCGAATGGAACAGATGGAGTTGCGCTGGGCCGATGGCGCGTTCCACAGGTCGATCATGGCATTCGAAAGGCCCTCAATTTGGTGGATTGTTCTATCCGAGACTCCGTTGCCACCGGACGGAGGCAGTTTGACTTACCGTTCCGAGCGATGGTGCAGAAAGGGACCACCGCACAAAGAAATCAGCGACGAAAGGAAATCTGTAACTGTGATAGTGATCAATGAAACCGAAAATGCCTCGAGAAAATTTTTCAATTTCAGTTGTGGGTGTGACCACCAGGACTTTTGTCCACATACTCAGGGAGGGGAGGGGGAAGGCAGAAAAAAGTGACAGGTCAGTTCCTGGTGTGTTGTTTTCCCCGGCTAGTTCGGTCGATCAATCGTGACAATCGAGACAATCGATAAGCGTACAGTTCCCTCGGTCTCTGTCTCCGCTCCTGTATGGGTACAAGTATTTTTTGTTGAGTGGTCCATTTTGCTTGGTCTGGTGGGAATGAGAACAATTGGATCTTTTCTTTCTTTTTTTTTTTCTTCTTTTCTCTCCATTTTTTTTTCTTATCCTTTACCCGAGGGAGGTGGCAATGGACGGGATGGAGACGATGGTGTTAATAATCCGGGGGAAAAGAGCAGAAATGCGCCTGAGCAAGAGTGGTTCTGGTCCCCAATAACCAGCGGTGAGCGCCTCGTGATTTGGCCGCTGCATTGCCGCCTCATCCTCATCCTTTTGCCATTGGTTCTTCCTCCTGACTGGTCTTCGCTTCTCTCGATCAGTAGGTAGCTCTGTTTTGTGTTGCTTCTTCTCCCTCTTCTCCCTCTTCTTTTATTTTTAATCTTGCCTTTCTCTCTTCTTCTCTCCATCTCTTGTTCTGCGTTCTTTCATCTTTCATCTCCTCACGCACGGGTTTGTATAGCTTCTTCTCTCTCTGTTATCTATACTTCCCGCACTGCCTTCCCCGGATTCGATATACAATTTCTCCGATAGAGTGAGATAAACTGTTGCTGAGCATCAGCCAACCTCCACTTCCCCTCACACTATACCTTTCTCTCCTTTGGACTTTGGTCTTTCTCAGCACTAGTGATTGATTGACCTTTGGTGCCCCTAATTTATTTAAAGCTGCTCCAGCCTTGGGCCACCTTTCCCTCTGATAAGCCTTGCTTGTTGCCTCTTATCGTTGGCCTTTCTAGACCCTCGCTTTCTTTTCTCTTCCTGTCAGGCTTTCAAGCTTCGTTACTCCCCCTCCTTGCCCCTCTGTCTGCAGCCTGACCACTTTGTGGGAAACACATCAGCCTGCCATCTATTCCTTCAAGCAGGCAGCATTGCAGCAACCTTCCTGGCCCTTGGATGTCTGATTGCCTTTCGTCGGTTGCACACACTCTGAGGCTAAGGCTCCTCGTGTTTCTCAGCCTTGACTCATCGTCTCCAGTCTAGCCTTCTTTTGCTCGTGTTTTGTCTTGCGTCCGTTAGTAGTCTTTAGGGACAGGTTATCCCATTGCTACCTTCGTTCTTCGTCTTACATCCTTTCATCACTCTTGTTCAGTTTCGTGAACTATCGAAATGGATCCTCAGGTCGAGGATACCGCCGGCTTGGTGGACCAGGTGCCACCTCCGATCACTCTTACCACCGACTCGAATCTATCCGAGCCAGGCACAGCAACAACAGTCACCGTACAAGCTACGTCGGAGGAGAGCACTGAACCGTCCACCGACTTACGCTCTAACCTATTCACCGGCCCTCCCTCTCAAGAACCCCAATCCGAGAACCTTCCGGATGCACCTCAAGGTGAAGCACAGACCATCAGTCAATCCGACCGGGCATCAGATAGCCAACACGCCCAGCCTGAGTTGGAACATGCCTACTGGGCCGAGTTTGAGGAGGACTCCTCGGTGCCAGACGAGGCGGAGATGAAGGAAATTGAATCTGCGGCGGATGGCGACTACAGTGCCTATGAGTGTAAGCTTTCAACGCATGGGACGAATTACACAAGCGCGGAGCGGCCTGCTGACCAATCTAGATGACTACTGGGAAAAGAACTTCCACGCCGATCTGGATGATCCGGAGTACCGTCCTACGCAGAAGGCACGTCTGACGTGGAAGATCAAAGGCATTCGTGGCTCCCCGGACCGCCCCAACCGCGCTAAAATCATGCGTTCGCTCCCGGCTTACATGGGAGGCTATTGGTGGACCATCAAGTTCTTCCCCCGTGGTAACAATGTCAGCTCCCTGAGTGTCTACATTGAATGCTCCCCGACTATGCCCACTCCGGAGAAGTCTTATCCCGATACGGAGTTTAAGGTGCTACAGGGTCCAGCCGGAGAAAGTCTGGACACCAATGCTCCCGAGGTTGACATCAAGTTCGCGGAGACTGAGGATACGGCCGCTTGGCTTGAGCAGTTCAAGGCCCAGTACCCTGCTGCTCGACAGGAGAATGCTGCCGGGGCTGGTTCCTGGCGGGTGTCTGCGCAAATTGGCGTCATCCTGTACAATCCAGACGAGCCTCGAACGGGGTGGATGCAGTCATCGTGCCACCAGTTCAACCCACATAACTTGGATTGGGGCTGGACTAATTTCCACGGCCCGTGGGATCAGATCCACCGCCGTCAGCGGGGCCAGCGCCAAGCACTGCTTCGGCACGATACGCTCGCGTTCGACGCCTACATCCGCATTGTCGACGATCCCACTCGGTCGCTCTGGTGGCACGCTAGTGACACCGAGCCCACTTGGGATAGTTTAAGTCTGACCGGCTATCGTCCCTTGGGTGATTCGGTCATCAACCATAGCGCGGAGGTAGCCGGGCTGGCCACGTGGATGCACCTTGCTCCCTTTTGCAGGATAATTCAGAAAGCAAATGTGCTGGAACATCTCAGCAACTGTGACGTCAAACCAAAGCCATTGTGCGATGCGCTGCAGAAGTTTCTTTGGCAGCTGCGTTCACGAGGCCAGTCATTGCAGTACGTGGACACTGATCTTATCACGTCGACTCTGCGGAACTTGCACGAGTACTCAGGCGATGTATGTGAGTTCTGGGAGCGCTTGCGTCGGACTCTTGAGATTGAGCTTGAGGGAACCGATGCAGCTCGTGAACTTGCTGAGCTGTTTGACAGCCCATCTGTCGATTCGCTCCCTATCGACGTTCAAGGAGAGGGTGTGATCAATACCATTCCAAAGGACTACAATTCACGCATTTGTGTCCCTGCGGATCAAGTCAAGACCACCAGCGAAGCCTTCAGTCAGTATCTAAATGCAAAGTCCGGTCGGTGGGTACTCCCGCCTATCCTGCACTTAGAGCTAGGCCGTCAAAGCTTGGACAAGGCGGCCAGACAGTGGCGCCTTCTGTACAACCGGGTCGAATTGGACGAAGAGCTCGACCTCACACCTTGGTTGTTGGATGGCCTGGATGGCAAATATGTCCTGTACGGCTACATTGTCCACCGTGGTCGCCGCACCTCGGGCAAGTTCTTCAGTATTCTTCGCCCAGGTGGGCCGGGTACCAGGTGGCTGGCTTTCGATGACGGCAGCGACAACCGTGTCGAATGTCTGACACGTAAGACTGCCTTGGGACCTCACCTTGGCCTGGACGCGTCGCAAAAGCCTGATCACAAGACGGGCCACGACGTCGCCATTGCTGTGATGTACATCCGCAGCGACGTTGTGCAAGATTACCTGCCCGGTGCACAGGGACCATGGGAGGTTCCTGCATCTCTCAAGCAATACTACGAGACAGGAACCTATCTCTTGGCGCCAACTGAAAAGGATGAGATCGAGGTCGAAGTTTACTCTCTTCCAAAGTACGACCAGTTGGGCAGCCTGTTCGATACGTACGATTTGATGGCACAGGCCAAGACAGCAAACAGTGTGATGTACCTCACGGTACCTCGTTCTTCCAACTATGTTGATCTTCGCAAGAAGATTGCGCTGTGGGCGTCCATCAAGACAGAGCAGGCCACTAGCCCCGAATATGTTCGCCTGTGGCAAGTTGGACACACTCGCGCTCAATCCGGCCCCACGCTCGCCTTCGCTCGCATTACCGACCTGTCCAACAGCCTGGAGCTGCCTGCGAAGACGGCTCGGTTCTGGATGGAGATTGTTTCGGATGCAGATGCGAAGCTCTTTGCCATCGCGGATCCGCAGCAGGCTATTGCGATCGAAGCCAAACCAGAGGAGGCTATCCTTGAGCGTGACGGTTCAGAGTCATCCGAGGACAGACAGTCTCTTCACGAAATAGACTCTGCTCAGCCCAGCTCATCCGGCAACATTCCGGAGCATTTGCTGGACAACTCTACTCCGGAGCCGGTGCCTGTTGAAATCAACATCAATGCCAATGAACAAAGTGCTGAAGTTGTCCTCGAAAACCAGATGGCTGAGGCAGTCCATGTCGAAAATACCTCTGCAGGAGATGAGAATGATGCTGTCATCGCCGCTATCATAGCAGAAGACCTTCAGCTTCAACAAATGGAAGTCGAGGGCCGAGAGCACGTTCCAGAGCCCGTCTCAGCAGTGGTGGATGAACCCAACGACACCACTTCTGACGTTCAGATTGAGACTGTTGTGAACGTAGATGCGCCTCCTACACTTCCTGAGCCTGACGTCCCTCAGCCCGTGGAACACGTTTACTATTTCATCCAGGTCTTCGACATCGAGGCGCAAATTCTACGGACCGTGGGATCCTTCTTCTCCAAGAAAGAAGAGAATATCAAGGCTGCTATCCGCAAGCATCTCAAGTGGGCTCCGATGAAGGACTTCCAGGTCTGGCAGCGCGTGGATGGTACCAACGTGACCACCATGGCTTCTGGTGAGACTTTTGAGACCTTCGTGCCAGATGGGACCTGTTTCATTGTCGGCGACAAGATCAACAAGGATCGTCGTCTCAAACTCAGCATCGCGGGCATGTTCGCCAACCCGGACCACCTAGTCCGCTATCTGTGGGCCGCATCGCGCAACCACCCTACTCGAGCTTTCACAGGTCATAAGACCATCGAGGCTACATTCACCAGCGAGTACTACAGCGGTCAATTCATGAAGGGTTACTTCCATGGCAAGGGCAAGCACATTTCTGACCTTGCCGCCACGTATGATGGAGATTTCGTCCTCGGCAAACGTCACGGGAGCGGCTTCATGGAATACCCCATTGGCGATACCTACAATGGCGATTGGTTCGAGGGCATCTGCCATGGCCAGGGTACCTTCGTCGAGCGCAAGACCGGCAACAAGTACGTGGGCGGATACAAGGACGGCAAGCGTCACGGCAAGGGTATCAGCTACTGGGAAGTGGCGGACGAAGAGATGGATCTGTGCCAGATCTGTTATGGGGAAGAACAAGATGCGCTGTTCTATGACTGCGGACACGTCTGCGCGTGCGTGACGTGCGCTCGTCAAGTGGACCTCTGTCCGATTTGCCGCAAGAGCATCGTGAGCGTGGTGAAGATCTATCGGACTTAAGTCTGTCCTTGATGATTTGTTGATTTTGAATTGCATTGGGGGAATGGCATACCCTGGAACGTACAGCCTGGAGTGACATTGGTGTTAGTTGATTTAGAAGCCGTGGATATATAAGAGGGAGTTTAGATAGCGCGTGGTTTCGCTTGGTTTTGCTTTATATATGCAATTTGGCATTGTTTTGCTTCAGTGATGCATAGCTACAGATGTTGTCAGAACGCGTTTGAATTAATTGTGATCACTTATTATGAAGATTGTTTGTTTGTAAACGACATTGGGATTGGATTAATAGCTTATCCGAGGGCATACAACTTGACACAACTCACAAGATCCGGCCACAACCTTGTCTACATACAAACAATAGACACCAAACTGAATTATCCATATCAAACACATTGTCTAACTCCCTTCCAATTCAACCCAACCCAATCCCTAGCATCCCCTTCCATGAACCCCAAACCCCCACCCCCAGGGAAGAAAAGGAAGAATCAACAAATCCGATTCGAGCACCAAAGCCGCTTATACCCAGTCCAGCAGCCGCTACCGTAGGCGCCGCAGCAGTCGCCGCCGCCGGGCTGGGCGCGCTCCCGCTCGCAGAACAGGTGCAGGTTGCTCTTCTCGGTGGTGGCGACGAAGGTGCGGCCGGTGCTGTCGATCGTGCCGACGTGGTCCGCGCTGTCGCCGCAGGCCGGGGCCGTGCCTTCCCAGACGCAGTTGGCGTGGCCGCCGAAGTTGCATCATGCTTGGGTTATAGTTGGGTTCAGGGTGAGGAGGCGGGCCGGGGTGAGGAAGAGGGGGAGGGGTTGCATTTTCTTTCGGTTCTTTTGTTTATTCTTCCTGGTTGAGATATAGATAATCCCCTTGGTTTGCATGGAGTGTATAAAATGCTTGTTTGAGGCGGTGGTGCGGTTTCGCTAGAGGGCACTAGGTATGAGTGAAGAAGAGGGAGAAAGAGAGAGAGAGAGGAGGGGGCAAGTATATAAGCTGTTCTTCCTGGTAGCTTCTGCAAGAAACTGACTGCTTAAGCCTCCAACGTCAAGACTTATGTTTACCTTTGATCCATATTCGGCGCGATAGCTTGGGTCTGCGCAGATAGCTTCAGAAAAGCTAGTTTTGTGAAGAGATGAACTTTATTTAAGTGAGTAAACATGCTTTCTAGCACAAAATAATTGACACGCAGACGAGCCACAGACAGTGAACTGGAACTCAGTCTATCGATGATTCATTGATATGACCCTCAACTCATACGGCCACATCTCGAATAGTCCCACCAGTACGCCGAGTCAAAACTGGTCTAGTTACGGCTTGTTGCTTACAATTAACTGCTCTGAACATAAATGGTATCTATTGACGAACTTCATCAAACGAAGCTATCTATCACCAAAAAAAGAAAAGAAAAACAGTATGCGCCACCCATACCAAACACAAGACTAATGCTTTTGGTTCAACATGAAGAAAAAGCCCCAAAGCTACACAATCCTCACCCGAGACATGACAGAGACACAATAAGTACAAGAATCATGAGACAACAACCAGCTACTGCCACACCTTATTTCTTGGCGGGCTTCTTGGCCTTTCCGGTCTTATTATCGGCCTGCTTCTTGGGGGAGGTCTTCTTCTTCTCGGAGGAGGTGGTGGTGGTTGCGGGGGAGGAAGGGGTGGCTGATTCTTGTGTCTTGGACTTCTTCGCGGTCTTCTTGGCGGCCGGGGAGGAGGAGGGAGCCTCGTCCTTCTTGGTCTGGGTGTCTGCACCGGTCTTCTTCTTGTCCGTCTTGGGGGAGGCTTCCACGGCGGGCTTCTCGGGTTCGGATTCACCCTTAGGTTTGGAGGACTTGGCGGGCTTGACGGCCTTGGGGTTGAGACCCTTGCGACGCAGGCGGTTACGCTCTGCGCGGGCGATGCGCTCGGCATCCTGCTCGTCTTCCTCGAAAGGACCAAAAGCGCCGCCCTCGGTCTCCAGAACCATACCGTCTTCGTCGACAATGGGGGTCTTGTCGATGCTCTCGTCGTCAGTGGAAGGAGCGGACGGCGACTTGGAGGCCTTGCGGCCGGACTTGGCGGTCTCAGAGGGGGCATCGGCGGTCTTGCTGGTCGGGGAGGGGCCGGTCTTCTTGAGCTTGCAGACGAAGAAACCGTCGACGTTCTCACGGTGGGGGAAGTAACGGCGCGTCAAGGTCATCTTGGCATCGAAGTGCTTGCCCATGTAGCTGGTCATACCGGGGCTTCCGAAGTCACCCAGGCCAGTGTCGACGAGCTTGACATTGGGGCGCTTGCGCAGGATGTAGTTGACAACCGCCTCGTTCTCCTCCACGGTAACACTACAGGTCGAGTAGACAACGTAGCCTCCAGTCTTCGAGTTGTGGTCTACGGAGTCGATAGCCGCCAGGAGAAGCTGGCGTTGCATGTGAGGGATGGCAAGGAAATCGCGCTCGTTCTTCGAGGTCTTGACACTGGGATCCTTGGAGATAACGCCGGTACCGGTACAGGGAGCATCGAGAAGGACACGATCAAAGCCACCCATGGCCTTGGGGAAAGCAGTGCGGGCATCCATGTTGGTCACGATAGTGTTCTTGCAGCCGAGACGGTGAGTGTTACCGATCAAACCCTTAGCACGCGGCTTGCTGGCATCGTTGGCGATAACGCAGCCAGTATTGCGCATCACAGCCGAGATGTAAGTGGTCTTACCACCGGGGGCGGCGGCCATATCGAGAATACGCTCGTTGGGCTGCGGAGCCAGAGCCATGACGGGAAGGAAGGAAGACGCGGCTTGCAGGATGTAGTGACCAGCCAGGTACTCGGGAGTGGCACCCAGGGGTACCGCAGACTCGAAAACCTGCAGACCGACCTTGGACCACTTTCCGACGGGCTCGAGGACGACACCACGGTTGATCAAAGCCTGAGCCAGGGACCGACGGTTGGTGCGCAGAGTGTTTGTACGGATGACAACAGGACGCGGGGTCTCGTTGGCTTCGAAGAAGGCAAACGCCTCCATGGGGGTGAACAGGTTGAACAGCTTCTCGGCGAGGTAAGGAGTGTAGCCGTAGTAGGTGCAGATATCGCCGAGGAGCAGGTTGACGTAGTCGGTCCGAGACTTGCCCGGCTGGCCCAGGGTCTTGAGGTCGCCCAGGATACGGATGGTGTCGGTGATTCTCGTGCGGAGCAGTTGAAGGTCTGGGGCCAGACCTGGTTGACCAACGCCGTCGGCGAACACATCGGGACGATCGCCAGCAATGTTGGTCTGCATAGCAGACTCCTGCAATTCGAGTTCGGCCTCCTCCTCCTCTTCCTGTCTAGCCAAGTCCAACTTCCGGGATAAACCCTCGATGTTGGCTGCCGTCAGCTTCTCCTCCGCATCGGAAAGGTCTTCATCGTCAGAGAACATTGCTTCGCGGGGGTGATCGTCATCTTCCGAGTCAACAACCGAGTCTTCGTCATCGTCGGAGGCCATAGAATCATCGCTCACGGCATCGAGATCGCCGAACTCATCATCCTGCATCTCCTCATCATCGAGGTCGGACCACGCATCCTCATCATCCTCCGCCTCGTCGTCCGAATCCATAAAACTCGACTTCTTAGCCGCGGGCTTCTTCTCCTTGCTATTACCCTTAGCCTCCACCTTGGCCGCCTTGCCGTTCACGGCGCCATTGGCCTTCTTCTTCGCAGCAGGCTTGACGGTCTCCTCCTCCTCGACCGCAGCTCTTCTCCGCTTCTTGCCCGACTCCGCAGGCTTCGACTCGGGTTCAGCGGTCTTGCGCTTCTTGTAGATGGTGATCTTGGACTCGTCCAGCGGGGCGGGAGGACCCTGCTTCTTCATGCGATTTCCTCGACCCATTGTGAATGAATATGAAAAAGAATTGGGAGCCAAAGTTCGACAAGTCAGTTCCTGTCTGATCAGTCCCGGAGAAAGAGCCTAAACTTTTTTTTTTCCTTTCTCCGTACATTTTTTCCCGCGGGCGGTCAGCGTTGGCATAACAGAGCGGTGTATATAAAGTGCCTGAGGCAGGAACTCAAGCTGGCATCAACAACCGCCCGATTGGGTAATGCGGCGCTACTGCATCATCATCCATAGCGACATCATATCTCCCCCCACGTCCACTTTCCATTCCCTCTGTCTCCCACCACAACATAAACTACACAAATAGTCACCACGACAGAGGTGAAAGAATCACAATGGCCTCCGAAGTCTCCTTCGCCAAAGCCTTCCTCTCCTCCCTGGACAGCCGTCCCATCAAGCTCCGAGCAGACTATGTCCACGACGACCCCAGCACTCGCGTGCCAGTACGTTCCAAACCCCCAACTCCAAACACGCCCAACATATTAAACACCCGTATCCCTTGCCCCCATAAACCAGCCCCCCCACCCCCCAACCTTTTAACAGAAAACAAAACTAACCAGAGGGTAAAAAAAAAGCACCTCCTTCCCCGCCTCCAACCCCCGCGCCCCACGATGCCAAAGAAAACCACCACCCCCTCCGCACCAGGCTCCTCGAAATCCATCACCGTGACGCTCAAGTCCGCCCGCAACCCGGTGCTGGAATTCTCACTCCCCAATGCCCCGCTCGCCACGACGGCCGTCACGGATCTGAAGGACGCGGTGCGCGCGCGCATCGTCGACACCGCCGGTCAGAAGCCCACGCTCGACAAGATCAAGATCCTCTACCGGAAGAAACCGGTGACGGGGAACAAGACCCTCGCGGAGATTCTGGATGCGGAGCCTGAGTTGTTGGCTGGTGGGAAGGAGGTCGAGGTTGCGGTTATGGTTATGGGGGGTGGGAAGGTTGTGGAGGAGTCGGTGGAGGGAGGGCAGCAGCAGCAGCGTGGGGTGGTGGAGGGGGAGGATGCGACGGTTGAGACGACTATCAAGCCTGCTGTTGGGCCGAGTGGGGAGGAGGTCGTTAAGACGGACGCGTTCTGGGAGGATTTGCAGGGGTTCTTGGAGCAGAGGATCAAAGATGCTGAGGAGGCTAGGAGGTTGAAGGGGTTGTTTCGCGAGGCGTGGGAGGGGAGGAAATAAGTTCGTTCATTGTGTTTAGTCGGGTTGATGTGTAGGTTGGATTGGTGTGAAGAATGTGGGGTGCACGGGGGTTAATGATACCTTGTTGATTTATTCTGAAGATGTGAATACTGAAACCTCTTGTGTATAAATGTGTATCCATTTGAGGATGAGACAGATATGCTATTCGAGCCGATGGGATTGGATTCCATCTCTTGCTGACTGCAAATCTGGATCTACTCATGGTATCGTGCACTGCTGGTAGCCATAGAGGGCGAAAAGAAAATGTACAGGTCAATTGAGGAGGTTTCTAAGGCAAAAGGATGGTAAACAACGCAGTCATTATACAGCCTAGAGGCAAGCCCCTGGGCATATTAAAGGAATCGGCAACGCTGGGCAGCATCCAAGGAAGCAGAAATAGGGAGTAATGACTGTTCACGAAACGGGGTAAGGTGCATACAGAAGATGCGGATAAGGCGCAGAGGTATCAGAAAGTTCAGTGTGATAGAATAGGAACCCCGTCCGACAGACCACGGCAAATCATCGGGCAACCACAACTCGATCATGGTCAACCGCAGCCGTCTGAAGTCCCGTCATCTTATCTGGTTAGGAATGTATCAAAATGGGAGAACACAGTGTCCCCAGAGAAATAAGTGGCGAGCGATGCAGCCAATCGAATAAAGAAAAAGAAGAAGACTATAACCACAAAAGTAGAAAGGAACATATGCCAGGTATTAGAGACCGTTGCAAATGCTCGAGAACTGGCCAATCGCTCATCCATTTCATGCGTCCAAAGAACATGCCATAAGAAAGTATCAGCTGGAAACAAGAAAGGAAATGGATTCATACATCGCAGAAGGTTATCTCGAGAAGACCTTGACAACCCCATCGCCTCCTCCACTGACTACCCAGCGGCCATCGCGGCTCCACACCGCAGAGCACACTCCTTCACCACGCATCAGCCGGTGACTCGTGATCTCCTGAGTGCAGCTCCGCTTCTCCAGGTTCCAAAACCGCAGACTAGCGTCATGGCCTGCGGAAACAAGCTCGCGTCCATCTGGAGACAGAGAGAGCGAGGCGATTGCGGACGGATGGGCGAGCATAGTGTATGTGCATTGGCCTGGAAATATTCAAATTAGCGTGTGCTATTCCTGAAATGATCAAAACATACCGCTGTTAGCATCGAAGAATCGAATGTAACGGTCTTCGTATCCACTGATAATAACCCCTTCGGCACCGCTTGACCCAGTGGCGCCATGAACGACCTCCTCTTCGCCCATTGTCCGGCTGGGGTCAAGGCCAGCCGAGCCATCGAATCCAACAGTAGTGGCCACAACCGCATTGACACCAGTCGATGGTGTACCATCATATGTCTCTAAGCTCGCCATTCCTGCAATCTCCTCACCTGTTCTCGTGTCGTAAACGAGAATCGAGGCATCTGTGTAGGAGACGACGAAGTTGATACCTGCGAGCGATAACGGGCTGATACACGTGGGCGATGGCGAGTCCGAGCGGACTATCTGACGGATCATGGTGTAGTGGAATGGCGTGGTAGTTGCTGTGCTCGGTTGTGGCGACGATGGGAAATTCGAGCCGGATGAAATCGAGTTGGCTCGCCGACTGCCGCCTGCTCTTCGAGATCCGGCTTGGGGCGACGAAAGCTGAGGTGGTGCGCTGACGGCCCAGATGATGATCCGACCATCGGCACCACCCGACGCAAGCAGGATTCGATCAGGCCCGCCGTAATGGTTGCAGGAGTCGCCAAAGACAGATCCTGCAGTTCCAGGAAGAACACACAAGCCCCATACCGCGTCCGTGTGACCCTCGAGTGTGGCCTTGGGATCAACCCTTCCACGTTCCCAGACACGAACGCTCGTATCCTGCCCACCAGAGAACACCCAACCATCTCCAAGTGCGCGGCCGCCGTTGGAGAAGTTCTGTGATGGTGAGCAAGCTGCTAGAGCAGTCACGGCTCCCACATGTCCACGGTGGGTGAAGTAGCTCGTAATGTCCAAATCATTGCTGGAGTTGGCGCCGTGAGCGCCAAACGTACCATAAGTCGCTGGAATAATCCAACGCTTGATTGTTCCATCATCACTGCATGTGCAGATTTCAGGCTCTGAAGGGCTGCCGCCACCCGTGAAGATCACGGAACGGACAACATCCAAGTGGCCTCGGAGAGCAAAGCGCACTTTGAAAGAAGTATCTGGTTTTGGCGCCGCAAGATCTGCAGCACCTTCACTCTTCCTCCTGGCACCGGAGCTCTTCCGGCGATGGGAGACCGAACCGGTCCGTGCTGGAGACTTGGCGCCAACGAAATTGGCATTTGGGAAGACATCCACGTCGGGACGGTGGGGGGGTATTTGCTCAGTCGTCGGAGCTGCGTCTGACGGTTCATCGAAGTTCCAGCCGTCTGTATCGTCTACAGTTTGAGGTTGCCGGGTCTCCTCCTTGGTCGTTACTTGCGAACCATATCCATCATACACCTGCTCCTCCGTGCCAGCACGCTCCTCCATTGGGGCAGATTCAAAAGTCTGTTTCCGGTTTTCAATGGCAGATATAGGGTTCTGTTGCGGTTCCGTGGGCCTTCGCTCCATCGCTTCCCTCGCGTTGGGCGGATACCCGAACTGGCTAGGAGCACGAGACAGGCTTGAGTTGTCCGAATAATGCGTGATGATAGGTTGGTGATTTTGCAGAGCCACCTCCCGTGCCATCATATTATTTGCCTGCTGATGCTGATGCTGTTTCTGACGCTGTTGCTGCAGGTAGACCTCCTCCAGGGTCTGTTGCGACATCTGCTGCTGATTGCCATAGATATGGTTCGGAAGGTCCTGATCGTTGAGATCGGGCGGCGGGTGAGACGAAGGGATGACATGGTACGCAACCTCTTGCGAACACTTGGACAGGTACACCCGCGACTTATCACGCTCGTTCTCTTGGCGGAACTCATGGTGGTTCTCCGGGCTGTGGTCCGCATCGTTCAGCTCGCCATGCGGCCGAGGATGTTGGGCTAGGATGGGGTTGAGTCAGTACAGAAAAGTCGAGGGGCGCAGATTCAGTGACATAAAGGAAGACAAGAACCTTTTATTGCATTGATGCTCTCCCGGGCGATCTCCTTCGGATCTCGGGCGTCATCGATCTTCTCATTGTTGCTGAGCTTCTTGACCTTCTCGCGCTCCTTCTTCAGGGCAGCCTCCAGTAGCCGAACGTGCTTCCCCAGCGACTCGTGTAAGCGTTTACTCGTTCGCACATCGCCCTCTAGCTTTCCAATGCGGGACTTCATCTCCGCGCGCTCGATCTCCCAGGCGTTACGGTCTCGTTCGTGCCGGTGCCATTCGGTCTGCAGGAAGCGCATCACACCTAACAAACAGACGGAGAAGAAACAATGAGCAATCGATTCCCGTTTCGCCTCAATCTCGAGTCCCGACTCACCTTGTAGAGTGTATTCCGTCCCTTGGGGCTGTCCGCCATTGGGGGAGCCATCACCTCCGGGCCCGACGAAGCCTCCACCCCCAGCCATGGCCGAGGGAGACTGCCAAGCCATGCGAGATCAACAATGAATGAGAAGCGGACGGTAAAGCGCGAGACGAGCCGGAATAAGAGCTCCGGCGATCGCAAGCGGAGAAAGAAAGGGCCGAGCTAAGGAGAGCTATCCCGATCAGTTGGACTCGGGGTCGCACGTCTGTTTGAGGAGATAGGTGGTGGTAAGTTAAACGGGGTCAGTGACGGGGCGACAACGGCAGGACACCACGTTCCCGACCGTGTCAGCACCGATGGAAAGGAAAACAAACAATGCGAACTTCGCTATGGAGAAAAGATCGAACGATCGGAGGAGGAATCTTGCAGCGAACAAGGAAAGGGAGACGGTCAGTGAAGCGAGCTTGAGCCGAGAGATTGGGGAACTGGACAGTGGACTGGAGCGCGTTTCTCTCTCCTCGCTGCTGTGAGGTCGGGGAAAGCCACCGCCGCCGCTGAGCCCTCGTTGGCTCCGTAGGCGCCCACGCGGCCTTAACCGCTTTTAGCGCTGGGGTGTAAAAATGAGGTGAGCGTTTCCTTGACTTCCCAGCCTCTCAGAGTTGCGGTCAGTAGGCCAGTAGCCATAACCGATTCCATGTGTCTATCGCTGATGGAAATTTTCCTTTTTTTGGGTGGAGTAGTGTGACAGTGAAAGAGTGGTAGTGTTCGCGACCGGGCTGCTTTGCACCCTACAGGACTACTACTACTGGGGTAAGCTACCATTAAGGTATGTGATAGACCCGAAAAGCGAAACCTAAGGCACCCCTTCCCGTCCCCAAGCAGGGGCAAGCCTCGCCACATCCAGACCTCAATACCTTTTCGGTGGCTACATAGAACCCAGTTCCATTGAATAATCACATCGTGAGCTCGTTATAACTGTTGAGTCTATTAGTATTATGGGTCAAATGCAGAAAACCGAAGGGAGGATCGTAATCAAGCCAGCCATCTTCATCGCACGTGGTGATAAGGAACGAAAGACCCCGCGATAAGAGCCAAGAGATGGGCCTTCCGCGACAGGTGAGGTAGAACTGGCACATTCCAACCCTTCAATCAACTCTCGGCATATTATGCCGTAGGTTTCAGGAATAACAATCAACCACTTCCTCGCATAACTCGTCATCATCCCTCTCCTGGCCATATAACACCTCACAGACACCGCCCACGGGAACGTCCAGCACAGCATCTGTACCTTCACTCCAGATCTCTTTCCAATTGACCCTGCGGTTGTGCGGCCCCATAGTCTGGTACGAGGTCGCCCCAGGCTTCATCTTGGCCCCGCCACCGGGTCGTCGTCGGCCTTTACCATCGATGACGGCTACATTAGCCACCTCGTCCACGATATTCTCCATGCTATTCATCGGCAACGTGAGATAGCCGGTGTTGTATGACGCCAGCGCGACGTAAATGTAAATGATAGACATAACTAGCCAGGAGGGGAAGGCCAGCGACCACCATCGATTCGGGTAGTAGTATATACCGAGTTGGTGGAGGAAAGGGGAAGGGAGGTAGGACCAGAGTATGTAGATCACTGGTGAAGAAAGCTGTTAGACTCATTCTGCGCTGGGTAAATTGCATGTCCCTACTCACAAAACGCCAATGAGGAAGCGAGATATAACACGAAACCATAATATTCATACGTCGGGACCTTAGGGCTCGCGCGTGGGACCGTTGTTGCCCGTCGCGCTGACTTTGCGACGGCAGCCTCCGTGTCGTTGGGCGTTTCCACATCCGAGCTGTCGGGGGTTGTCGGTCGCGAAGTAGTAGTCGAGAAGGGAGGGCGGAGGAGAGAAGTCAGCGAGGGGGATGGCGGCAGTGGCGTCGGAGGGCGGTTATAGAATGGAGGCGCAAATGCATTGAGGCCATGAAGTGAGCTGGATGACTGCCGGAATGGGTGATGCATTGAGATGCCATCATCCGGCGATTGCTCCGAGTCCGTGGATGCGTCCGAGAAAGATTGATCGCCTAAGGAATACTGTGACTGAAAGTCTGCGTCATCTTCAGCTTCTATATCTGCATGCAGAGGCGATGGCAGTTCTTGATTATCGACGTCTTCGGCATATGTGTTGGTCTGTATCTCAAGGGTATTGGTCGCGAAATCGTCTGCGGGGAGAGGTGGGAACGGCTGCTTGGGTTCGAAGGAGGGGCGTCGCTGGGTGGGATCTGTCTGGTTCGACCGGTATTCTGATTTCTGTCGTTTTCCTTCGTCCCTCCTAGACATTATGGGCAATTGAGAGCCCCAGAGGACAATTGCTGCGTGAAGAGGAACTGTTGTAGGAACTTAATCGACGATGCGACTCCTATCTGTACGGCAACACGCATACTGCCATCTCTCACCGCCAGTGGCATTTATTACCGTAGTAAAGAGTTGAGCCCATGGACTAAACTGTACGTGTTGACATTTCTGTAATTCGACTTAGTTGGGATACATTCAAGCTTAGGAAGGCCTGTCATCAAAAGTCCTGTGATTCTTCGGCCCATGGGCAACAAAATGGAGTGCCGTGACGGAAATATATATATTTTTTTGTTGCCTTACCAAAATACACAGTAATGAGACGGGTGCGAGTGATGAGATGAAAAATACACTATCTAACTTACAGACTAGATAAACTTAAGAGAGATTTGTTCACAGCCTACAATTCATAGACACGGAGCCGGAGCTCCTACCTACTGCCAATGTGTAGCCACCTAAAAAGGAAGGATGCGGGTAGCGTCGGGCGGAGCGGAGCGGAGCGGAGCGGAGCATTACCACCTTAGCGAACGGTACGGCGGAGTGATTGTTTCCCACAGTAGCTCATTCTCTCATGTACCAAGCGGTCCATACAGAACGCTTCAGAATCCCGCTCGCACTTGTCGTCATGGTCAGTATCTGTATAGCTTGAAGACTGAGTATTCTCCTTACCGCATCAGCGCTACCTTGGAAATATTCATTGATATTATCATTACAGAGGACGTATACTATGATTTAACCAGCTTCCCACCGCGCCAAACATGCGTCACATTCTTTGCATTTCCCACCACCGTGATATCTTCCAACGGGTTCGCCGCCAGCGCAATGATATCCGCATCATACCCGACCACCAACCGCCCACTCCTAGGCGCCTGCTCCCCTAAGGTCAACGGGCCATTCGCCGTCGCGGCCTCAATTGCAGCCAAGGGCGTCATCCCCGCCGCGACCGCATATTCCAACTCCTTGCCGTTCCGCCCATACGAAACCGCCGGGTTATCCGAGCTGATGAACTGGTCGGTGCCGAGGGCGATCGTGACGCCCCGCGCCACAGCCAGGCGGTACGCCTGCTTATGTGCATCGGCCACCTCGAGCAGCTTCTGATACGAACCCGGCGTGAAAAGCTGACGCATGGACAGGCCCGTCTCGATTACACTGCGCGTCGCGACCAAGATCGCGCCCTTCTTGCGCATCAGCTCGACAGCCTCCTCGTCGAGAAAGCTGCCGTGCTCGATGGTGCGGCATCCAGCCCGCAGCGCGTTCATGATCCCAGCCTTCCCATGGCAGTGGGCGGCGACGACGCGCTTGGCGCGCGCGGCCTCGTCGACGATGGCTTTCATCTCCTCGAAGGAGAACTCCTGGTGCTGAGGGTCGTCGATGGCGCTGACGACGCCGCCACTGGCGCAGACTTTGATCACGCGCGCGCCGTGGCGAAGTTGCTTGCGCACAGCCTGCAAGCATTCTGGCACACCGTCCGCGATCGTGAGCGGCAGCCCGTGGGCGCACATGTCCTGAAGTTGGTGCAGGGGCATGCCGTGCACGTCGCCGTGGCCGGCCGTCATGCTGATCGCGCTATGGGCGCCGTAGATGGTCGGCCCGAGGATGCGGTCCTCGTTCACGGCGAGCGCGAGCTCGCACCCGTAGCCGCCGACTTCGCGGACGGAGGTGAAACCGGCCATGATGGTCGCGTGGAGGTCCGGAACGCTGCGCGCGCCGGCTAGGGCGGGGGTGGCCTTGACGACGGCGTCCATCGTCGCCGACGTGGCGCCCATGTAGTGGATATGGCAATCCCACAACCCAGGCATCACTACGGGAACGTGCGTCGTCGTTGCTCCGTGGTAATCTTGAGGTACATCGGATTGACGTCCCACGTACAGAATGGTCTTAGACTTCCAGACCACAGCACCGTCGGGGAGAGGCTCACCCTGCCCGGGGATGAGGAGATCAGCATCGATGCGATAGAGATTGTCGTCCGTTAGTGATCGATACATTTTGACTGAGGTATATTGATGGGTAGATGCCGAGGGAAGAAGAAAAAGTCAGGGGTTGGCTTCATGGAAGCATGGTTCGAGATGATACTAGACCCAAGCATCTGAGTCTACTTATATTATAGCTTCTTCGCTAGGCTGCATGCTCCACAGGTCCCTCAATAGTGCCGGACCGCGGCTGCGCAGTTCTCCTGACTAAGAGATACATGCATCGACCGTTTCTGTCGCACATGGGTTGTGGAAGATCGATCGACGCATGAAGAGCAAGTGAACCTTTGAGCCATGTCATGTCGAGCACGCAGGTATACGGGCGGACGGTACAAATGCTCTGAGCAGGAGGCTTGCCACTCATGGGTCGCATGGCTTGGGAAAGATATCAGTGGGCGGTACGGATGTCTGCTGCGAGGGGTTCGGTGCTCATACGACCGTTGGTCGTGCAACCACGATGCGAGCATTGCTCGATCTAGATCAATACCCTCAATCTCTGACATGATCCACATTTGCAGTGCACGGGTCAAACTAGTAGGTCGAAGCGAGCAGGTTTCGCCCTGGATTGGGTTTAGTGAGACATACCAGACGTGACGGTAATACTGGTGAAATACCGCCACTAGTAGAAGGCAGGCCCGCATCGGACGAAACAAGCCTCCAGCCGTTAATTAATCGCGCGCGAAGTACATTTGCATAAGCTAAGGCATACAGTGGTTGGATGAGGTACTTCTTCCTGCTCCTCTCTCTCGTATCCTCTTCCTTCTTTCGTTCGATTTAAAGACGACCGTTGCTGCCGGTGTTCCGTCAGATCACTTGCAGACGAAGCAGACGCAGAAGTATGGCTGCCTCAGAAGATACCACGCCGCCCACGACGGCCGACGAGAAGAGTTTCTCCAAGGGAGCTCATGAGTCTGTCAACGATGTCCAGCATCTGTCGGATGTTGAAGAGAAAGCTATTCTGCGTCGAATTGATCTCTGGTACGTTGTCCTCGTTAAGATTGAGACTCGAGGCATACGTCGAATCTCCTGCGGAACCCTAACCTAACACCCGTCGTTATAGTTTGCTCCCTCTGATGTTCTTTTCGTACTTGCTGCAATATCTTGACAAGACGACCCTGTCCTATACCTCAATTCTGGGCCTCCTCAGTGGAACGGTATGATTGCTTGAACAACTCCGGCCCATCCTCATTCTGACCTTGCATCATGGCGATACTAGCATATAAACACTGCCCAATATGCGTGGGCGTCGAGCGCCTTCTACTTTGGATATCTTATTGCATCTTACCCCGTGTCGCTGGGGTTCATCCAATTCCCCATCGGAAAATATCTCTCTGTGATGATGTTAGTCCTTTACCCGCCCGTCTGCATCAAGCGGCCCTGTAGCCAACGAACCCAACTGACACTTGGTGAAGGATTTTATGGGCCATTATCCTAACCTGCCATGCGGCAGCTTCAAGCTTCGCCGGCCTGACCTCGCTGAGAGTGCTCCTCGGCATCTTCGAAAGTGCAATCAGCCCGGGATTTACTATCCTGATCAGCATGTGGTACACCCCGTCTGAGCATGCACTGAGGAGCTGTATTTGGTTCTCGGGCAATGGAATAGCTGCCATCTTTGGAGGGCTGCTTGCATACGCTATTGGCCATATTAATAATGGCTTGGGTGCCTGGCAGGTATGTGGAAAGCAACAAACGGCAGAGCTGAGGGCATTTGGCACTGCCATCGGCGTTGAGAAGGCAGATTGACTGATCACATCTTCTCTGGAATAGTGGCTTTTTATTATATTCGGCATCATCTCCATCGCGTGGTCGGCATTCTTATTTTTCACTTTGCCGGATTCTCCCCTCAATGCCAATTTTCTGAAGCAAGATCAGCGAGGGCCGGCTTACCGCCGTGCACAAGTATTTCAAAAGAGCTACCAAAGTCGGGAGTGGAAGCAAGATCAGTTCATCGAGGCGCTTGTCGATCCGAAAACCTGGTTCCTTGTGCTGTATAACTTTTTCGTTTCCTTGCCGAACGGTGGCATTACCAATGTATATCCCTTAGTCCTGCTTTGAGTCTCGTCTTGAAGCCCGGAATGAGTTTCAGCTGACCTTAATCAGTTCGCCAGTATTGTGATCCAGTCGTTCGGTTTTGACACCTTCCACACCCTATTGTACCAAATCCCCATGTCTGCCGTCGCCCTTGTCATGCTTTTTGCCATCGCCATCACCTGTAACCGTATGCCTGGCTTACGCTGCTACTGGATGATCTTCACTATGCTTATCAGTCTGATTGGTATCTTGCTCATGCGACAACTACCTACGCACCGGAAATGGGGCAGACTAGTCGGGGTGTGGCTCGTGACCGTCTTTGGAGCCGGCTGGCCACTGAGTCTGAGCTTGGTCTCCAGCAACACAGCGGGCTTCACCAAGAAGGGCACCGTGACCGCTCTCATCTTTATCGCATACTGTGTTGGTAACATTGCCGGTCCGCAGCTGTTCAAGAGCAATGAGGCTCCCCGCTATAATGTAAGTTGATCCCTCACCAGGCTGAAATAATAAGACTCGCCAGCTAATTGTCGTGCTAGACTGCATTCTCAGCCATCCTTGCGTGCTTCTGTCTTGCCATACTTGATGTGGTTGGCCTTCGCTGCTATATGTCCTGGGAGAACAAGCGACGTGATCGCAAGCAGGGACGGACCATCGAGCCTGAGTCAAGTGACATGCAATATGCGAGTGATGCGTCGTCTGAACATGGTGGAGACGGAGATGTTTCTGATGGACAGAATCAGCATTACCGCTATTGCCTCTAAGGGTAATAGGCTGGCGGTCTTGGGAATAGACAACGACAAGTCTGATCTTAGTGTATAAGAACGAATACTCTCCTGGTTTGAGAGTGGTTGCACTCGGAAAAATAGACCTCATGCAGACGAAGCAATGCGTGCTATCACACTGAGTACTAGTCGTTGACTGATTGTCGCTTTTCCGCTCAAGCAAAACTTGTCTGCCAACCTAAAAATTCCATCACCACCTCCCACTCAAAGCGGCCGATACGCATTCGTGATGCCCCGTTTAGATTCAGCGTACGGCGTTGCCACAGCAGCTCCACCAATGTCTGTGCTCGTACTGTATTTTCGTAAGGCGCTTTCTCTCGCGCATTGCGAAACAACGCTAAGGCCTTGGCTTGTGCCTGCGAGTCCTGGTCACTACAACATGAGGCGATGAAAAGGGGCCATAGAGGCCAGGAGATGGGTAAAAAGTCCAATGTTGATACGATCTTATCCACCAAAGTGAAGATTTTGCTGATATAATCCTCCTCTTGTGCAGAGTCCAGTTCTTTGATAGTGATCGACGTGAAGCCTAGAAATGAGGGTTTCGAGGCTTCAGAAAGAAGCAGACAAGCTGCAAGACGGTATGCCTCGCCTGTGTTCTCTAATAAGCGGTATGAATGTGCAATTTCGCTAGCGTTGTGGTGACCTCCTAGTGGTTTCGGAAGTAGCTGCGTGACACTGCCAAGGCCCGCTTTCAAGCCTACTATCTTCGTTTCGATAGAAGTCCGGGCCGCGTTGATCATGGTTGGTGTGTTGAAATTCTGAGACTGTTTCAAAGCAAGCACGTCATCTTTGATACTCAGTATGTCATTAATCAGGAGAAGAAGGTGATTGCTGAGACCGTTCCAGATGTCAATGTTGTGAAGAGTGGTTGACTCCATCACGCCCAGCAAGGCAGTTGTTGAGGTCCAAGAGCTCTTGTGCGAGCTTCCAGTGCAAATCAATGGGGACTTGGTGTCAAGGTAGACCGGTGGCTCAACAACAGGCAGGATATCCTCAACAGAAAACATTGACTTGGCGAAGATCAGATGGGCTGAAAAGTAACTGACAAAGAATCGGTGCAAGATCGACTTGCACAAGTTTCCCTGAGCGGCCCTCTTGACAAGGAGCTGGAAGCAAGTGAAATGACGGACCCAAGACGAGTCACAACTGGCAGAGATCTGGAAAAACTGATAAGCGACAACTCCTTGTCCACAAGACGATCGTAATCAAGCATGCCATCACCTACCGCCGAGGAGCAAAGAAAGATTGTTGGCACGAGCACATCTTCAGTGTCCCAAGATTCCCGTGCCAATGCCTGCCGTAAACCTCCAAGCACTCGCTGCCGCACTTGCATCTCCAAGATTGTGTATCGCGAGTCGAATGAGCGCATGTACTGCGAACTAGCCATTAGAACGGCATAGTATGTCAACTCCGACCTGAAAGCCATACGCATAACCGTACTGCGGAGAGGATTAGTGTCCTCATCATCGACAGTGACAGCGACGGGGCACATGACAGATTCGTAGAAGGACAGACACAAATGGTCAACGTCCGGCATTCCGATACTCCAAGGTAGAGTGGGCAGCGCCCTACTCAGAAACAGCGATTTGACCCGATTCCATTGATGGTAGCGACGCTGGTAGGTTGATTCTAGAGCCTGTTCACTGGCTACGATAGTTTGTTGCGAGCTTCGTGAGGTGAGTGGAGAGCTGATCGACACAACTTTTTCATTGTTATCGGCATGACAGGTATCGTCCTGGCCTTTGCGTCTGGCCCGTGTCCACTGGTTGAGATCGGAATCCGCCGACCGTTTGCGTCCAAGTGAGTCTACCTTCGATTGAACGCCTGTTCGTCCATGACACTTCCCCGCTGTACGCATCTCATCCTCCCACTGCAGGCGGACCTCATAGCTGCATGGATACTTGGACCGTCTGCATCGCAAACAGGTTGGATGAGCTTCTGGAAGCACGGCAGAACGCGTGTATATGAGCCACACAAGTCATTCGTGCTACTTACGGGGAAAAATCCACATACCATCGCACTTTACCCGTCTTCGTCGACAGGTGTTGCAGCCCGTGCGAGATCGCACTCTGGGCTTGGGAGGCTGAGGTGGTTCGGGCGGAGGACTGGCGGCTAAAGACCATGAGAGGAACATGGTTCTTGTTGCTTGTAAGAATGAAACCTCGTAACAGATGATTTTCTGTTCTGCTCTGCGACTGCCAGCCATGAAGAGGCAAAGAATACCACGAATTGTGGATGAATCGCGGAAGGCAGAGCAGCTGAAGGGGAAGTGGCCATGGTCGGAGGATTTTGAGCAACTCCATTAACTCCGTTTGACCCATCAAGCAAATGAGTTACTCACACGAATCAGCTCATGAGGGGTCATTGGTAGTGGGAATGAAAGATGCCACATCGGGTAAAGTCTGGTCGGTGCATAGCGGACCGCAAACCAAGGGGACATAGAGGGGATGGTCGATCGCGCGGAGTGGGGAGAGATGAGTTTGGTAGCTTTTGGCTCGCCGGCCCTCCCGGGAAGGGGTCCCGGTCACGACGGATACAGCCCGGTTACCACACTAGTACTTTAGTATCCACTCCCTGTATCAGCCATTCTCAGCGATCCCAATTGCCAATCCCTGTCACTCAATCAATAATCTATTGGCATTAGACTACACTCGGGTGGCTGCATTGTCTCGCTTGAGGTGGATGCTTATTGCAACTAGTCCTTATGCTTCCTTCCAGTCTCACATTGTCTCTGCTTCCATCCAACCCTAAGCAGCCAAGAGCGACTTCATATCCACTCGCTCATCTCGGTTCTGTCTCGGTCCCGAGAGGCAACTTATTGGCACTGGAGAGAAGTTGGATCTAGATCGTTGGCTCATGCCATTTCAGAATCATCTCCAGACCGGAATGATCTCGTGCCTGACGTCCGGCCTCCGAGCGGGGCGTAGGATTTGATGCTGGTCGACCTCGCCTCGAAGGAGCGAGGTGAGAGAATTTATACGACGATGGGGCTCCTAGGGCCCCTAGATGCACGCCAAGTTTTGCAGGCTGCAAAGAAACGAATAGGGCCCTGCAGCCTTTCTTGATAAGCCTCAGGTCATATCCTCATTCCTGAATCCGATTCAACTGATGCCTTTATTCGAGCATTCTGCCCGCCACCATGGCCAGCTCGGAACAGACCGCCTCAAGAGAGGCTCTGATAATTGTGGGATATGTCGTTCCCATGGCGGGTATGGTTTTGACCACAGGAATGAGGCTGCTGGTTAAAATTCGTGGTCCTGATGATCATCTCCACACGGACGATTACCTCATAACACTGGCCACAGTAAGTTTCCTCTCTTGATGTGGATGATCGGTCCCAAGGCTGACGACGTTGCTTTCGGACCTGCAGATGTTAGAAGTGGCTTACGCGGTGACAATGATGGCCTGTGGTAGGTGGTGCAACCGCATTTTCTGCCGGAAAACTGGCTAAGAACCCTAGGCTTGGGTCATGGATTCGGTAAACATACGTCAAGCGTGGCGATAAAGGACCTTGAGATCTTCCTGAAGGTACATACATCCTGTCTTACTGGAAGGTACAAGATACAATACTCACTCAATCAGGGAGAGTATGTCGCCAGTCACCTCTACAACGTCGGTCTCGCAGCGACCAAGCTCGGTATCCTTGCCCTATACTACCGCATTTTCCCCGTACAATGGCTGTCAAGAACAGTCATGGGCTGCGCCATCTTCATTTGTCTCTGGATAACAACCATAGAGATATTCATGGGATTACTTTGTCGTCCGCTAGCTGCATTCTGGAATCCCGCTGTCAAAGGTCACTGCTTCGACGCTTCTGCCCTGTCGTACTACGTTAATTGTTCCAATATGATTACGGACCTGGTCATCTTCGCCTTGCCAATTCCTGTGATTCTCAGGCTGCGCACGACTCTCACCAAGAAGATTGCTCTGTGTATCATCTTCTCGATCGGCTTCATGTAAGTTTCGTCTGCCTCGAATGTGCAAATTTGAAGCTCATGGCTAATGATTCATGATTCGCCATTAGAACCTGCGCTATAAGTGCAGCCCGGTTAGCTTATGTCTTTGCGCAGACATCTAGCGACATCACCTGTAGGTCACTCTGCATGATTCTATTTCTACGTAGCTTCCTTTCACTAACAACAAATGCAGGGGAAGGTGTTCCGCTCGCTGTCTTGTCTGCCTTCGAATCCTTTGGAGGTATTCTTTGCGCCAATCTCCCAATCATCTACCGAATTTTCCGTTCCGCCGCTCAAAAAGTGACCAGTCGCACCGGTAATAGCTCGTCCGCCCCCAAAACACCACACCGGCAATACGGCTACGGATCGAACATGTACGGCTCGAAGAGCGTTGGCCGCAGACACAGAGCTGTTAGCGAGGCTGACGACGAACAATGGATCCGGTTACCGAATGGCAATCTGTCGCACGGGACAACACATGAGGCTGAGAACACAATCGTGACCCAAGTGCGTGAAGGCTCACATACGGAGGATAGTGAAGAGGATACAATTGAGCTAGTGGTGATGCCGAAGAATGCCATCACGGTTCAGAGAGAGTTCCACCAGAGTGTGGAAGATAGTCATTCGTCCTGAAGAGAGGCGTTACCCAATTTTCTTCGCCTACTCATAACCAAGTTTCATTTGTCTACTCCACCTTCAGCTGGCATCCACTTCTTTTTGGTACTCTATTTCGCCCGTCCCAAAGCAGGTTAATACTGTCGCGGGGGCTCTGAGCCTTTAACTTTCATTGGATTACGTGTTGCCGGAGTATAGCTCCGCACGCGAGGATAAACCAACAAATTGCCGGTTTTAATTGAGATGAGATGGCCCACATCGAGAGGCCCCATCCTAGCACTGAATCTGCGAGTAAATGCCGAGAACCATGATGGAGATGCCATCCACGGACAAGTTCCGCAAGTCTTAACTCAGCCACATGGCAAGCTCGCGGCGTGGTACGAGCTTGATATTGAGCATCTATAGAACAATGTCTCTCTATCAAACAGATTCTTTTTTGTTCTACCATACAAGCGATCATTACCCCTCTGGCAGTTACTGCTAACCTCAATGTGCCCAGTATATACTACCCACATTTTGGACTATCTACGCAATTAGCTGGTTGAGAACAATACTCAAACCGACATGACTACCAGACATGCCTCTTATTGTGGAAGCAAATGACTGACTCGCATTGTTTCGATTTGTCTTACAAAATTGAGAGGCTTTGAGCAACCTTTCCCCTTTCTTGGCATGACATGAGCGATCAGATTGCTACCAAAGAGAGACAAAAAGTGGATCGATGGGCCACTTAACCTTCGCTCTCATCCCGGTCCAGCTCAGGGGAGTATAGGAGCTACTGCATCGTCAGAACTGCACGGAATCTGACCGATCCTTTCAGCATGGCATCTGTGCGGAGAACAGCTTGAGTCAGTACATCATCCACGCAATAGCCCAGTGTTGAATGTTGCTGCAAAGCATGCAGCTCCCACGTTTCGGAGGTTGCATACGGTGTGTGTGCCTATTTGAGAGGGCACGGCGTCGCAAATGGTATCACCCTTCGCGAAGGACCAGCCTTTATCGCCGGACAAAGAAATTGGGTCTTACCATAAGCCTCATTCGCCCGATCCAGCGGGAACTCCTCCACCATACAATTTATGTCCTGCAGCTCGGTGAAAGCAATGGCATCCTCGCTATCAGTAGCATGACCCGAGGGCCAAACCTGTACCGAAAGTCCATGCTTGACCTACGAAAATTATCATCAATACCAGACGCATATTGGACAGTAATAAGTCAGACTCACCATGATTGAGGTATCCACCGGCACCGGACCCGGCACTGACCACGCAGACATATCGTGTCAGCCATCATCCCAATCCACGGCCTTCTTTCCCTTTACGCTCACCTGACAAGATCAATAGTTTTCCCAAAATCCCCAATCCGCGCAGCAACGGACTGATAATCGCCGCATTTGGCGCAGTAGACATGATCAAAGAGGCTCCACCCAACCGCTGCAACTCCTCGCTCACGTTCACGCGACTGTCATCGATGTACTCATGTGCCCCAAGCTTGCGGACCATTTCTTCCTTTTGCGAGTCACGCGAGATCGCCACAATACGATAACCCATCTTCCGCGCATACTGGATAGCCAGATGACCCAAACCGCCCAGCCCCTGCACGGCAACGATCTCGCCTGGGGTGATGTTCATATGGCGGAGGGAGTTGAAGACGGTGACGCCCGCGCAGAGAATGGGAGCGTATTTGGCGGCAGGGACGTGTTCGGGCACTCGGACGGCGGCTTCGACGTTCAAGAGACAGTATTCGGCGTCTGGATTGCCGTGTTAGTGTGGAGCCAGGAGGAACGCGAGAGGGATATAGACGGACAGCCGCCATTTTTGGTCTCGCCATTAACTTGCTCGGCAGCGCACATCTGGAAAAGACCTTTGCTGCAGGCCCTACACGTTCCTAATGAGGGATTAGCTCGAGCGTCTGGAAGTGATGAGAAAGGGGGAAGTCGATACCGTCGTGTCCCCCATGCCAGGCTCCGCCAACCCGGTCCCCGACCTTCCAGTTGGAGACGCTGTCTCCCAGGGCTGCGACTCGGCCGATGATTTCGTGGCCTGGTACGATGGGGCTTTCAAGTGTGCGCTCACGTCAGCTTGACGCAAGGCAAAGTTCGGATAACCAAACGTACAATCCGCCTCCCATGACATTATTCTGGGCCCACCGGTCCGACGAGCAAACACCGCATGCTTCGACTTTGACCAGGAGCTGGCGGTCGCCCGGTCGAGTGATGGGGGTCTCTTCAATGACAAGCGGCGAACCTAGCGATCGAAAGACCGCTTGCTTGAAAGTTGCGGGCAGAGACATTTCGGTCAACCCGAGGAAATTCGACTTTGATGCGAATGGTAGGAATAGATGCGGAGTACCTTCTATCTGGATGAGAAGCGCTGCTGACAAGGAAAGAAGAGAACCTCTTCGCTCGCAACAATGCATGCTTATAAGTCTCACCATGCCATGCGGGGTAGACAAACTTCGGAGATATCCTTTACTACCGTCATTGAATCCCGGATGACCCTTCGTATTAATTTCGAAGAGACAGGGGTCTGAAAGGAGTTACGGTGGTCGTCGCTACGTTCAACCTCTTCAGGAGCTTGCTGTTGGTTCTAGATTCCACGCTTATCTGTCTTGACGTTGGCGTGATGCTCCAATCGTAAGCACTGACGGCGAATCCTTGTCAGGGTCTTCCGCATACGAGATAATCACTACATCGCTCTGTAAGATCATGATGCAATTGTAATGCAGAGCGGGGTCAGTGCAGACAATGAGATGTAGTAAGACCTCGTGTTGAATTACTCATCAAGATAAGTCCGATGCGAATGAGCCAGCTGCTGGTTGATGGATGAACTTCATTGCTGTACAGTAATTAGATACCCTTAACATCTCCTACTAAGGCGTTGTCACGAGAGCCAGAGCTTCCCTACTCAATCCTGGCCGTTTGGCGGGCATTGGCAGTTGGTAGTGGCATTTGTTGGACAAGATGGCTCGAGTGCTCAAATTAAGATTACTCATCTCCGTCATAACAAATACGAGAAGACTTTTGTTCATCACAATCTGTCCTGTTAGCAAGACTGCAATCGCTTCTTTCCAAAGACTTCATTCATGTACCAGGCATACACCGGTATCTCTAAAAAGCCCCCTTTCCTCCGTTAATAGAAGGAAGGCAGATGCGAGAACACCTCGTTTGCAGGCAAGGGGAAAGATATGAGTGCCCGCAATCTGGGAATCATATAAAACCCCATAGTCGCGCAAGAATCGCCACTTGCTTGAATATAATCCATGACCGCAAGGGAACGCTGACGATAGAAAGAAAGGTAAGGTATAGCCCCATGAAACGAACGGGACAAGCCGCATCCGCGTACTCTCGCCAGCCAAAAGGGCAATAAGTGTACGACCCGGGCCAGAGGTCAATGCAACCTTCTATACCATGCAGGGCAACGTGTTCGACATGGATGGGATGCATCGAAGGCTAGGGTACTGAAGAGCACGAAGCAGGAACAAACCTGAGGGCTCAAAGATCTAACGCTCTGTGCTGGCTCGGGAAAGCATAAACTGAGAAGAGTGGTGATCTGTATCGAATCTCTACCAGTTCAATAGCCACATAATCCAGTCAGACCAGTCTTCAGGGTGAAGGTGAGACTCCGCCACAGTAAGCTCTTCATACTTTTAACCGAGGCCTACCAAGAGAAGGGCTTTCGGCGACGGAACAGAGCAGTCCACCTCTTCGAGACCAATCCTGACCTGCAAGGCCGTAAATCCGAACTTGGTACCGCTCTCGAGGCATTGCCATGACTGTTAGAAGCATGTTGCGCATAGGAAGTACCAGATATCTGTTCATCCCGCAGAATATTCGACGTTATTGGCTATATCGTGTAACAATGTGGATACAAAAGTAACCCGGGCACTGGCTCCTGCAGGGGTCAGATCCTTCGTGTTAGCTTAGGGCTTACAATCATCACCATTGACAGACCATTGAAATCAAGCGTGATACTGTAGTTCGAGAGCGGCAGAACAAAACAAACAGAGGAAATGGCTACACCTGATAGCTAATGATGCAGGCCGGTACTTAGGGAAGGCACATTTTCTCTCGCCAAGAGCAACGGATAAATGTACTCGGTTTTCCCGACTGCTCTCTGCTACGAGGCCGACTCTCAATCACCTTCTTTGCCACTCAAGCTACTCATGTGGCGCTCGGCACTGCGGCTGCGGTTGATCAACCGAGGACTGCCTTCTCTGAGAAGGACAAGGTGGTGACTCCAGACATTAAGTGCCAGTATTAGGCAGTTGTGACCCGATTGAATCGAGCTACTTCAAGCAGTTTAACTATGGGCTTTAGCTGCATCATGTAGATGGAAGAAGATCAGCAATGCCGCCACAGTCAATGCTTCAGCTAACAGGTTTACCACAAGGCACCACCTCTAAGTGTATTCAGCCATTGCACCACCGATGACCAGCGCGACAACGGTCCTGAAGGCGTAAAGCGATCTTGTCAACCCAGGAGTAGTGGGCATTGTTGAGGATTGGTTACATCGCAGTAACACATGGGTCACCAGACACGACCTCGAAGTACCCAGCACCAGCGACTGCCCTGCCAATAATGAAAAATTCAGAACCGTTTTCTACCCCACAAATCAGGAACCCGAAAGGAGATATGCCGGATAACACAAGGTACGTCCATGGCAGCGAGAGCAAGGACGCGAGTTTATTGCTGATTGGCCGGAGGGAGCACATCGTGGGCGGATGGGTAGCTCCATATTCAATATCTGTTGTGGCATGAATTTGGGTCGATGTCAATGGGATGGCTTTCGAAAAGTACTCCTTAGTTCAAAGTTGAAGCAGATATTGAGTTAGAAGGTCTCAAGAGACATACGGTAGCAACTATCAAGGCGTCCAAAAATATCAGGGAGGTGGCCATCATGATCCCAATTAGAATGCTGTAGAGCTGCACAAAATCGACTGGCTGTGGTTCAGGCATGGGCTTGGAAGGACTTTCAGTAGGCATCATTTTAGAATTCTCATATGACTATGAGTACATGGCAACAGGAGCTCCGACTCGTTCTCGCAAATTCATGTCGATTGTGATTGTAAACTTGATGGTGAGATAGTAGGCCGGTCCTCGGTCCCGTGGCCATATCAAAGACCGACTTCGACTCCGTCTTGACCTGTCCAGGCCTAAGCCTCTCTATCTCTCCTTCTCGTCGCATTCACCCTTGGATTCACGTATCCGCCACTTTCATGTCTCCAATAAGATTTATACATGAAAATTGCTTGCTCCCAAAAACAATGAAACACAAACGCTCCTCCAGACGACATGCCTGCGTCCGACGCATGGAAATGAAAGCGAAATGCATCCCAGTTGAGGATAGAGGATGTTAACGATGTACAGTACATGACTTAAACCGACCTTGCATCTTTCCGGATGATTCGTGTAAGAATACAAGTATCTGGCTATGCTGTCTCCACTTATGTTGGAGTAGGCTTTTATGTGACATTATTACTTGTTTTATAGAAGCAGCCGCGTCGATGCTCTCCAACACCAGATTGATACACTTGTTGCTCGACCACGCATCGACGAGATATCCTATCCTAATACTCCATCCTCCGGACTTATGATGAGCATTTCAGGCTTTCTCACTGGGTCATCAGAACGAGAATACACCTGTAGAAGAAATGTCACTGCCCCGAAGTCCTGTAATTGGACCGTGAAAAGAACTTCTCAACCAAGGCTTCTTTACTACCACAGAAGGTGATGAGCTTCTCCTTAAGTTCCGCATTCGTTTGATGCCCTTATTCCCATTTGGTGTCATATCTGACGCTGACTTGGCTTCAATGCGTAAGCAGTCTCCCTTTCTCTTGTGCGTAACGACTGCTTCATCTCAAACACAAACCTGCTCTACAAAATAAGTTAGAGCGGGAAGTGCAAAGAGTAGTGACTCCCTGCATAGTCAAGAATATGGAGAGAGACATGGCTCTGCTTTTCAGGCTTCTAGTCCATATCGCATGGTATCACTACCACTGGCGTACATATCACACCTAGGTGTGTATGCTCCTTCAGATGGCCATGGCCATGATCGTGGGTCTAGGGCGCGATAAATACAACTCCAGAATGCAGCGCCAGGCCGAAAAAGCGTCAGATAAATCACAAAGATGACACAGGCTATATCTGGCTCCTGACGGGCAGTGTGCTCTTTTGGTTTGCTTTTACCTATGCTATAAGTGGAGTCCCTATGATATTTGTGATTTACTCATGAGCTATATCTTGGTGATAACAGGGCCTTGATGTTCCGGCGACAATTGACCATGTGATACACGGACTGGAGTGAGTATTGTACTGATAACTCGGCACTAAGGGCGGAGTATCCCACTGATCGGATTCTTGAAGCACTGATTGGTATTCAGTCACTTGCTCAGCAAACGGACCTCGACAATCTTACTTCTGCACCAAATTCGGATGAACTCCCGGACAATGGTCTTGGTTGAAAAGCAAATCGAACACCTATGTTGGTTGCCTAATTACTGTTATGAAGATGTTCTGAGGCACGTCGTTTTTTCGACATGTGCAGTACAGCGTATTTTGTCAGCAGATCATCTCTTTCTCTGGCTAAGTAAGCCCCCCAATGCATAACATAGGTTCTCCTCGCCGGTTTCTTCTCCTCATCTCCAAGTCTACTACCCTAACGACCGCTCGATTCATGTAATTCTGAGAAAACGAGAGACACCTTAGCTGTTGCTGCTCAATATACTTCGCCAGACGAATACTTGGAAGCGTGCTTAGAAATAAGACTCTTATGCTAAGCGATCAACCCTCATATGTCTCGGTCTACACACATGGGGCTGATGTTCGCCCAACCCCTCTTTCTTCCGTCCGGGAACTATTTGCGATCGATGGCCCACTTGGCCAACCCTGAGCTGTCAGCACTTGCTTGGCCCCGGAGAATGGATCACAGTCTGAGAGAATGTCTATCAGGATGCAGCTTCACCCCATGCAAAATAACCACTCAGGTTATCAACCAAGCAAGAAAGTATGCCACAATGCTACTTTCTCCCCAGCGTGCCGTGGTCGACCGGACTGAATGTCCTGCGAAGGCAGGCATCCCTTGCTGGCAGAGGCTGATTCGCTAGGTCCGCCGATCGGCAACGCCCCATCCTCTATTGATTTCACGTTGCTTGCCCTAGGAACAAGGGACCATTCGGAGCCGCGATTCCCTACAAGTGCCTTCTTCCCAGGGGTGATCTCATGCACGAACTGCATGTAGGTTCAGCCGATAGCCCTGTGAGTGTACATTTTAGGTATCGCAACTTGCGCTTGACATCGACCCACGCCAACTGATCGTACGGACGTACGTCAGGATGGTCGTTTCTTACTCCAGATGTGGATGAGTTTCTTTGGATGCAATTTTGAGTGTGCTGTCTCGTGCTTCCGATCAATGACATCCCGGATAAGCGAATCACGGCTGATAACGGCTAGTAAAAAAAAAATCTCGCAATCAACATTGTGCACACATGCATACATACCTGCCATTCTTATTGGTCAATTCAGCAGCTATCTCGAGTCATACTGCGCCAGCTTGCATGCTTCGCGGCTTCAGCCCTTTCAGGCTATGCATTGTACTTTTGGGCCGGCTATGCCTCAAGTGACAGGTCCCACGCCCACTCAAATACAAGGTACCCCGTACACCTCCCGGAATTCGGAAGCCTCTGTTGGCCGTTCTAGGGATGAATACGACCGACATTTTCTGTCTGTATATAACTAGACCAGTCTGTTCCGCGGCGCTTCCCCTTACGCCAAGTCAACGACAGGTTTGCTGCCAAATACCATGGCTCTTGGAGCCGTGATTAATCCGCTTGTGAGGCGGGACAGCATTCTGGTATGCATTGTTCTCTACTCTTTGCTATAGTGGAGTACTAATAAGGTCGTGAGAGCTCAAACAATGATCCTAATATAGGCTCTTCACGGGGCAATGCCTCTTCAACAAGCTCCGATGTAATTGGAGATCTTGGGCTTGGTGGAGGGTCAACATCTCTTTCTGCGTTTTTGACAACATTGATCCCTGCGTTGGTGATCGCGGCCTTCTGGTTTGGCTTGTTCTTGATCTGCCGACGGACTCAGCTGCGGTGGTATGCACCCAGGACTCATTTACCATGCTGGCACAAGCAGTACGTAGCATACATCCCAGGAGTATTCGCTGTTACGATGAGTCACTTACGAATCATGTAGTGAGAGAGCTCCACGCTTGCCGTCGGGATTTATCAACTGGTTTGGGGAGTTCTTTAGAATTAACGACGCCCAGGTACTTCATAACTCGTCTATGGACGGTTATCTGTTCTTGCGATTCTTGCGTGTATTATCTGCGACTTGTTTCACAGGTTGTGTAATCACCTGGCCTGTTCTGCTGCCTATACATGCCACAGGGGGCGCTGGAAACACACAACTTGATGCGCTCAGTTTCAGCAATGTCACAAATCCCAGGTGTTATTACGCCCACGCCGTCATGGCATGTGTCTTCTTCAGTGAGATAGCCTTGATAATGATGCCAATAGTCATACCTTACTGATATCCGACAGCATTCGTGTTCTTCGTCATCACACGGGAGAGTATTTTCTATGCAAACTTGCGACAAGCGTATCTTAACTCCCCTGCTTATGCGCGACGTATATCATCCAAAACAGTGTTGTTCATGTCAGTGCCAGACGAATATAAGAAGGAGGAAACTCTGCGTCAAGTCTTCGGACAATCGATCCGGCGTATGTGGATTACGTCTGATTGCAAGAGACTGGACAGTAAAGTGCAGCAGAGGGACAAACTAGCTTATAAGCTGGAAAGTGCCGAAACACGACTCATCAGGGCGGCAAACTCAAATCGTCTGAAGGCCATCAGAAAAGGAACTCCAATCTCAATGTCCTGCTTGAATGCCGATGCCTGTCATGACTGTGAAGCTGACACGTCTGGCTGGTATCATGGCGTGAGAAGGCCGACTCATCGTCCCAAATTCTTCGGCAAGAAAGTTGATACGATACGGTTGTTGCGGTCCGAGCTTGTCAAGGTCATCGAAGAGGTCAATGATCTTCAAAAGAAGCACAGGAATGGGGAAATGAAGAACCTCTCAGCAGTTTTCATTGAGTTTCACACGCAGAACGATGCGCAAATTGCCCTACAAACCTTGTCTCATCATCAGCCGCTGCACATGACCCCACGTTTCATTGGCATTTCACCCAATGAGGTGGTCTGGTCCGCATTGAATCTGAGTTGGTGGCAGCGTATTGGGCGCAGATTCTTGGTTCAAGGCGGTTTAGCAGCACTGGTGATATTTTGGTCCATCCCAGCCGCCTTCGTTGGTACACTCTCGAATATCACTTCTCTCACCAATCTCGTGCCATTTTTGGGATTCATCAACAAGCTACCGGATGTGATTCTTGGTCTCATCTCGGGACTGCTGCCGTCCGCTGCCCTAGCTATGCTAATGTCACTTGTGCCTGTCATTTGTCGAGGTATTGTTCTTGCCCCATACTCTTGATGTCTCGATGGTTGACAAAGTGTTCAGCATGTGCCAGATGTGCAGGCGTGCCTTCTAATGCCCGAGTTGAGCTTTTCACTCAGAGCGCACATTTCTGCTTCCAAGTAGTTCAAGTCTTTCTTGTCACCACGTTGACATCTGCTGCATCGGCGGCGACTGCGCAAATTATCCAAAATCCGCTATCGGCCAAGGATTTACTGGCTAAGAACTTGCCGAAAGCTACCAACTTCTATATCTCATATTTTCTCCTTCAGGGCCTAACAATGAGCTCCATGGCAGTTGTGCAAGTCGCTGGAGCCGTTGTGTTTAAATTTATCACGACCTTCCTCGACCGCACACCGCGCCGTCTATACCAACGATGGGCTACGCTTAGTGGCCTTAGCTGGGGAAACGTCTTTCCAGTATTTACGAACATGGGCGTTATTGGTAGGCCGTCTTACCATCCCTATATCTGAATACGTCCAGCTAACCATGGCTGAATCTCTAGCCCTCACGTACTCCTGCATCGCCCCTCTAATTCTCGGGTTCGCATTTGTAGGCCTCTACCTCGTCTACCAAGCCTACCGCTACAACTTCCTTTTCGTTTATGATCTTCGTATCGACACCAAGGGTCTTGTCTACCCCCGAGCCCTGCAACACCTGATGACAGGTCTCTACTTAGCCGACATCTGCTTGATCGGCCTCTTCGCCATCAAAGGCGCGATCGGGCCCCTGATAATCATGGTCATATACTTGATCCTCACCGTCCTAGCCCACATGTCCCTCAACGAAGCCCTAGCCCCGCTCAACTCCTTCCTGCCCCGCACCCTGGACGTAGAAGAATCGGCTCAGCTTGCCAAAGAGGAAGCCTCCGCGGCGTCTACACCTCTCGACACGAATCACCCTCATCTGAAAATCAAGAGCAGGTGGCAATCTGTGTGGAGCTGGTTCCACCCGAACCTCTACCGCGACTACGCCGCCATTCGAGGCAAGGTACCCCGCGACCACATGGAGATTCGGTACTCCGAGGAGGAGCAGAATAACGCGTACTTTGAGCCGTGCATTACCTCCCGGACGCCGACAGTATGGATTCCCCGGGACAGGTGGGGCTTCAGTGAGCAGGAGGTGGTAGATACGGACCCTCTCATCCCGATTACCAACGAGGGGGCGCACCTGAGTGAGAAGAATAAAATTGTTTGGGATAAGTTCGATCCGAAGCTGCCGTTATGGGAGTTGAAGATCTTGTATTGAGGTTGTGGTATGAGAGTGATTCTGGACTTATGAAGTACTGTGAAAATGAGAGCGTTACTCTTACACTTTCCATTGAGGAATGTTGTTCCGTGTTGATTGGGCAATGACTGTTCTATAAGACATTAAAGTTTCGTTTTCCTCTCTTTCGACTAATGACAGTATGTGATAATTTTACGCCCATTCCTTGACATGGAACTATTCATATCTTATAATATGGCCGTTTTGGCTGCTGATAGTCGCATAGATTGCCTCGAATTGAACCGCGAGGCTAACACGCCTGCGACAAGATGAGGTGCCGACGGAGTCGTCAACTCCGTCACTTGCAAGCTGTTACTACGAGTGTTTCTTGTCATATGCTTACGCAGCCCCTTGGCTTGGACGTTCTTATCGAATTATATATGATACCGTGCTTGACGTTTAAGCGGCAGAGAACGACGGTAGTCAGCCAAGGGGCGGTAGGTTTGAACCCAGTCAAACTATTCTTCCTGCAACTCTTGAGCTTCTACCCTCATCAGCGAAGATGCCATCTTCGTTTCGGCAGGTGCTAATTCGTCATCAAGGCCATGATCGACAAAGCGATGGTAACGCAGCGAACAGTTCGAGACGCAGCAGCCAGACGGGTGTCAAGCAAGTTACCCCAGCAAGTATCAATTGTATCACATCTACGCGTGCCCATTCGGAGGATGACCCCATGAATCTGCTTATGTCCGGTACGTTAAGGTCACCCACCACATCAGGCTACTGCTACAGAGCCATCTTGGAGAAATGAAGACTGATCTCTCACCCGGAAACATTGAATATTAAGTTCGTCACCAAACGAACAATGTCTCCACCATTTATGCCCTCTGAATTGACGAGATACAGTGGAAAAGATGAAGGGCAAGAGTATTTTTACTGACAGATTTGGAATGCTCCTGAGGGGATGCAGGGCTCAGGCCAATTCTTGAAGTCGCCGGAAGTGCTTAATGATCCTCCTCCCCCTGGTTCACGTGAGGACGTAGGGTTGTACTTGAAGCCGTTGGGTGAGACGGGAGAACGATACACCATAGATATTGACAATCTGGCGGCGCATGATGAAAGGGAATCAGTAGATAAAAGGCAATAGTGTGGTGGTGCTGACTCCCGGGAGACGGACAAACAAGAGAAGGGGGAAACACCGGGCTGGTCATCTTCTCATTTCCCCCTCTTCTGTTTAACTCCACCTCCATTTCTTCCCCTCCACATCAGCCTCGCCTTGACTCTCAGAATCTTCCCACAATCTAATTCTATCAATGCTTAGCCAGGTTACGGTGATGGGGCCTAGAGCTGATACTGCTCGATGCATCCAACAGCATGCGCCAAGCCAATATCGAGATGCGCCCAAGGTCATCCAATCTCACACCACCCACCGGTCCAGATCCATCTATCTGGACAGGAATTCACCTCCCCTCAGACACTAACGCACGCCAGCTGCAGTTTGTCATGCTTCAATTGCTACTTTACCCTTTTCAACACGGCCAAATGCTAGCCACCAGGAACACAATCCGCCACGGAAAAATCAAGAGCAGGAAAATAGCTTGACTCCAGTGATGCACGACAACATTACAGCCCGACCAAGTAGCCTAAATGGTTGGACGATATTTATCGCCTCTCCGAACATGCCACAGACTCGCCTAGTAGCAAGTGGGTTCCACCTACCTGGTCATTGTGTCTCTCCACCTCATCTACAGGGTTTCTTCCTTGACCCCGTCATCCTGTCCAGCTTCCCCGCTTCAGCGAGTTCGGCCTTATAAGTAAAGATCGTCGACTCCCGTCATGGCTGGCTCTACGGCCTCAGCAAATCCAAATTACCGTCCTTCACGGTCATCTTAGGGGCTATTGAGATACAGCTCATCTTGTCGCTATGTTGGTGTCCTCATTGACGGTGTTGGCGTTTATGTCCAGGGCCAATGCCTTGGTTCGGCACGATGATGTGGTACGAATTCTGGGTCAAGCCGAAATCCCCTCTGGATGATTCGAACTAAAAGTGCTTAGGGACGACTTCCTGCTCTGGGCTGGAATTCATGGAACGCGTTCAATTGCGAAATCGACGCAGATAAGATCCTGACTGCAGCCAACGAGGTCATAGATCTGGGGTTGAAGAACCTCGGATACGAGTACATCAACAGTGAGTAATACAGCTAGTGAACCTCTCCTTTCAGTGTCCGATGCTAAGAGCTTTACACGCACCTCAGTCGATGACTGCTGGTCCGTCAAGTCCGGACGTGACAAGACCACCAAGCGCCTCATCCCAGACCCGGACAAGTTCCCCGACGGCATCTCCGGCTTGGTTGACAAGATCCATGCTTTGGGTCTGAAAGTCGGCATTTACAGCAGTATGCATAGCCCCTTCAAATTCCGGGCCACATTATAGACGCAGAGAACTCACGCATCACAGGTGCTGGTCTCACCACCTGCGCAGGCTACCCAGCCAGTCTTGGGTATGAGAGAATCGATGCGCAAACCTTTGCCGAATGGGGCATTGATTGTAGGTCCCCAGGCTCCTTTAAGCCCCTCTTCCCTCTTCCCTGACCCAACTAACATCCTCATCCAGACCTCAAGTACGACAACTGTGGCGTCCCCACGAACCAAACCGACAAGTACACAGCTTGCGTCCCCGACAGCACCAACCCAGGAGACTTCCCCAATGGCACTTGCCCTGGTCTGGCAGACGCTGCCCCAGCCAAGTACGACTGGTCGACCTCGACCACGGCGAAGCGCTACCAGGCCATGCGCGATGCCCTTCTCAGCGTGAACCGCACCATCCTCTACTCTCTCTGCGACTGGGGCCAAGCCGACGTCAACAGTTGGGGTAACGCAACTGGCAACTCCTGGCGCATGTCCGGCGACATCACACGTAAGACATTGCCATTTCCTTCTCCTTTTCCCCTCACCCAGACTTCCAATCACTCATAGCAGACTAACCACTATCATACAACCCCCCAGCAAACTGGACCCGCATCGCCGAGATCGCCAACGAAAACTCCTTCCTCATGAACTACGCCAATTTCTGGGGATACCCCGACCCAGACATGCTCGAGGTTGGGAACGGCAACCTCACCCTGGCCGAGAACCGCGCACACTTTGCCTTGTGGGCTGCGATGAAGAGTCCCTTGATCATTGGCACTCCGGTAAGTTCATCGCTCCTTCCCTCTAGCCCGCATCAACCAGCCACCGACTCCAGAAGCTAATAAGACCAAATGAAAAGCTGGACTCAATCGACGCCGCCCACCTCGCCATCCTAAGCAACAAGGACCTACTCGCCTTCCACCAGGACCCCGTCGTCGGCCGCCCCGCCTACCCCTACAAATGGGGCTACAATGCCGACTGGACTTTCGACCCCCTCCACCCGGCAGAGTACTGGTCGGGGCCCTCGTCCACCCTCGACGGCACCCTCGTGCTCATGCTGAACTCGGAGGACCGCGCCCAGACCCGCACCGCGTACTGGAAGGAAATCCCCGAGCTGCAGGGTCGGCACCGCGGCCGCCGCGGCACCGGGTTCCGTGTCCGGAATGCCTGGACGGGCAATGATCTGGGGTGTGTGCGCGATAAGCACAGCGTGAAGCTGGCGAGTCATGATGCGGCGGTATTGGTTGTTGGCGATGTTTGTTGATTCTGGAGGGCATAGCTGGGATCTCTCGGAGAAAAGGGACTTGAGACATGAAGGGCAAAGGGTAAGTTGTTCGTTTCTTGCAGATTGTAGGCCGTTTGAAGGACAAGAATGGAAGAGCTGTTTAGTGGAAAGGAAAAGGGGAAGGCCGTGGCAGATGCACCAAATCGTCGTTTTTATTTTACTGAATGCCGAAGCATTGAACACATCCTATGTATTCTGGATTCATATCCGTCCATCCGATCATGGAGAAGTAAAGACAAGATAAATACCTAAATATGAACAAGTGCTCGGCCCAGTCACAGACAGCCAGTTTAAACAGTCCACTCCAACGACCAGTCCAGGTCCGATCCTCACTCATTACAACATTATCCGTACCAAGTTGACAGGAACCGCCGGCTCACCAGAGAGCGAAGCAATGATCTCATTCACCGCCACAGATCCTGTCGACTGTCGCGTCGCCACCCTCCACTACTCTTGGGACGGCCGTCATCGTCGACCGGTACGGCCAGGAACCCGCCAAAGCCGTTACCGACCAGCACGCTCTTCCGTGCGTCGCCGCCCCAAGTTCGACTCAGCTGCGCGTCGTGGAAACTCACCGGCCGCGTGGTGCTCGCGCGGCGCCCGCGCGTCGACGGCGGCTCGTACGGTGTGAAGTTCCACTCGAGCTCGTCCAGCCCCTTACTGTACACGTTGAGGGGCTGGGATAGACCCCCGTGGAAGAACTGTGGGCCACTTTCACCGCCGCCGAGGAGACGCGGTGGCGGTGCGAGCAGTAGGGTTTCGGGAAAGCTGGAATCGCGAACATAGAGATCCCGTAGAGCAGGGAGTGTGTGGGACATGAGCGATGAAATGAGGTAGGTGTAGTAGGAGGCTGCGACAGGAGGGAGATTGCCGTTGGGACCGGTGGGGGATGTGATCTCGTAGTGGAGAAGGGTGAGGGATCGGGATGCGAGAGGGGGCACACTGTCGGCCGGGAAGGAGCGGGTGACTTCCTGGTTGACAGAGAAGGAGCGGAGCTGAGGCGCCAGGGAGAGAATCTGGTTGAAGGTCGATGGAAGGACACCGGTGGAAGATAGGGTCAGGGAATGGAGATTCTTGCGATTGGAAGGAAGAGAGAAGAAATCGACAAGCCCGCTTGCCGTGACGTTAGGGGTATCTCGGAGTGTGAGGCGCTGGACGGCTGGGAACGGAGGAAGGGAATCGGAGAGCGCGAAGGCGGAGTCATCGAGCCAGGGCAGATCATCGAGGGTGAGATCACGGAGATGAGCGAAAGAAGCAAGGCCCATCCGGAGGATGTGAGGCTCGATTTGCAATCGGGACAGCTCCAGTACTTCCAAGTTTACCCAAAGCGGAGCGTCGGGTAACTGCGAAAAGCTTCCCTCCGCCCCATGTCGGTAACTCATCCGACGGAGATCCTGACAGCGACCGATAAGTTCCTGTTTGAGAGCCAAGCAAGACGGATCGTCGCTGAATATTCCGGCGGGGAGGTCGACGTAGCGAAGATTTGGCAAGACGGAGATGGTGCGGGCAATTTCACTTTTGCTCGCCTCGCGGGTCATGTATGGCATACGAAGAGAAAGCACCCGATGTCCCAGATCCGATGAGTCTCGCACAGCTTGCATGAAAAGTCGTAATCGAACCTGAGGCGCGTCGATGGCTTCCCCATTGCGATTCATGAACGAGCGTCGCTTGCGTTTGGCAGACAGTTGGACTTCGAGTTCGCAGTAATGAACGGGGTCGATGCGGACATGGGAGTATCTAGGTGTGAAGACGCACTTAGCGGGATGGACGTTGTATTGGGTGATCATCGCCAGAACTTACAGTAAAGCCCGAGCTTCGAGGTACCAGCGTTGACAGACCAAAGCGCAGTGGGCCAGGTCGCGCATGTCACAGAGCATGCAGCCATCCTCAGTCATGGACTCCTCCGATGTCTCATAGCTGTCATCAACGGTATGTGGGCAGACGGCGGCAAAGATGCGCCTCAGGATGGGTCGAGGGAGGGATTTGGTCAAGTCCTGACTGGAGGCCGACCGTGGATAGACATCGACGTCGGTGCGGAGATGATCGTAGGTGGCCGCATTCCCCGCACTGTGGTTCCTGGAGGAATGTCTGCGAAGCCGGCTCAGAAGACCCATCGTGCAGTGTCCACCGGAAAGGACATGGATTGAGGGGAACTGAGGGGGGTCAAGTGTGAAGGGATGTAGAAGGGAAAATGTCAGAGAACACCAAGTGAGAGAATTAGGTCAGACAGGAAAGAGGGTTGAACGGAAGTTCGGACTTTAGAGAGAGAGATAAAGAAAGCTGAAACGCTTGATGGGGACCAGGCTAAGTGAAAAGTGGAGAGAGTGAGAGCAAAAGAAGCAGCACCAAATGACCGAGGGAGTGGACAGGAGGCGGAGGCACAGTTAAAACTTGAGATTGACACTGTCAGAGCGAGCGTTCATTCGATGCACAAGTGCTGCATGCACCCGCCGTTCGTATGGCTTGGGAGGATTCGGTGATTGGCATTTCTCCCCAAGCGAAATGACAAGGGTGTGTTGCGCGCCAAGAGTTTCCTATATTAGGCGGGGGTTTCAGGTTAGGCTGGATGGAAGGTGCTTTTTGGACGATGGACGCTGGACTGGTGGGTTTCATCCTGCAGGGTGAGAGGCAGTGAGGACAGAATTGGGTTTGTTCCGAGTGGTAGAGATGAGATGGTGTTGTTGTGGTGGTGGTGATTCTTGCCCCCTTCCCTGTAGATCACAACATCCACTACGGTGGACGTTACCTCCATCTCCCGCCAACAACACACTCTGTCTATCCTAGGGACCATACCAGCCTTCCACTTGACTGACCTTGGTCCCAAAATTGTGTGGTTACACTGTATACAGGGTCCTCTTACCTTTTTACCACCTTTTTCATCGTCCGTCCTGACCTGTACCACTTCCATCTCCTACGTCGAATTAATCTCATCCCTCGCTTATATAGAGGACAACTACCTCTACGGCACAATTCAACCTATGCGACCGTAATGGGAACCGAAGACTCGAATCTTCATTTGACCACTATTGATCAGAATGAACGAAGGAGTCTTCCAAGCGCTGAATGTACACACCCGTTCGATGACAGTGATGAAGCAAGCAGTGACAGCGATGTAACTTGGTCCCCTGGTGATGGGATTTGTCCAACAACAGCACAGTTCAACCATTGCTGTCAGTCAAGGATCGATGAGTGGAAAAGTGCAGCCTCTATACCCCTGGAAGGCACGGACCCCTTCCATCATCACTCAAGGGCTTTCTTGAATCTCCTCCAAGATGTTCCTCTCTCTACAGTCTACCGCCTATATGTCTGCTTGCCGCCTTCTGGACAAACACAACCCAACCTTTCTTCAGGTATTGTATCGTGTACGTGACTCGGAAGACTCTATCGTCCCTAGAGCAGATGTGTTCCAAACTTCCTATTTTTCCCGACCAGAATGATCGGTGCCATGGTCGCCAGCACCTTCCTTCGGCGCAACACTCGTCGAAAACCTCAGCCTTGAAGTAAGAGCACACCTGGCACATACGCACAGGCCTGTTTCATGGCGAATGTATTGGATCTTGGAGTCTGGCGAGAGAACCCCGGCAAGCGCAGAACATCAAATTAGGCTTGATCGAGCTCACAGTGTTTGTAGTTCTTGTTCCGCAGGTCATACTACTAATGAGTAAGTTGAACAAATAGCTTGTTATAATCACGATAGGATGACGACTGGCATCCAGCCTGCCCTATCCTGAACGAAACAATGCTGATGGGCAATCATGGACTGCAACATCGCGCTTATTCAATTGGCACAGAATTTACGATGATGGCATCTGGCTCGATGGCGGTCAGGGTGACACTGAGTCGACTTCAGATGCATCCATGGATTATCGACACGTTTGATAGCCAAGGCGATGAGCCAATCGAGGAGCCCAAACGCGGTGAGCTCTGTATCGAGCGTATCTTGCGGTGGAATCATGAAGTCAATCAAAATCGGCAGGCAAGGGGCTGCCTTGAAACTAACTCATGGAACGGAACGGGAGGCATATAAGAATTGATGTCTCATCAATTTATTCTACCGATGTCTGCTTGGCTACATATTGCCTGAGTGACGCTTCTAGTATGCGCACTGTAGACTCGACTCCGGACAGGTGTCATACAGAGCGATTTTAGTTTAGCCAAGTGTCAAACCACCCTCCATTGCTGTCTGGGTGTCCATGCTAACAATCCATTCTGACGTCCAAAGCAGCAAGCTTGAACCAGTTCTATCGGGCATGTTCTTGGGTGCTAACGCTATGCACAGATTGGTCGATACCGCTTAACCAAGGCCATCCATCAGAGTCAAAGGTATATACTCTGGCCCGTGGTTAATAGGCCGGGTGACTTCTCACTGTTAGCGCCCAGGTCATCCGTTGCTTTCCATATAGAAACCCAGCCTTGGCCTCTTAGTGTAATCAGGAACTGGTCTGGTATACTAATAGTAACTTTGCAGCAAGGGTTTCAAGGTCAGAGGCATTGTTCGGCGCTTCTGCGTGGCCATCCAACTAGCTTAGGTATAACCATTCTTGATCACCTCGTTTCCGACCACGCCGAGTAAGGATACATCATTCATCAGTTCTAATTGACGTCTAAGTCATCGGCATAGCCGATGATGCTTAGCCAATTGCATATTCCGCTAGATAGTCTGCGGTGACAGCCAGTGGTAAAACGTGAACGGGACGGGCACCACTATAGGAAAGGAGAGTAGCGATTATTGAAAATCCGACAACACCACCACCTTGATCAGAGTTGCTTCTGATGGAGCTGTCATCAAGATGGAACCGAGAGGGTGTTGACGCGGGGAGACGGGGAGCAGCCGGTTCTGGAGCCTAGTTATTCAGGCCGCCGTTTTCCCCCAAGGTTGATGGACTCCGATTTATTCATAGAAACAAGCACTAACTAGATCACCACCACTACCACCATCAGACCTACCTTATTTAAGCTTATTCACAATGGCTTCTTTTCTATCCCATAACCCACTGCACAGACCCCTAAACTGATCTCCAGCATACCTATTCTGTCACCATGATCCATGATCCAGTCGTTATTGTCGATTCCAAGGCCCCGTCATCGAATACATCGTCATGACATCATCCCAGTCCAGGCCCTGCACAAGCTGCGATTTCTGTATAAATAGCGATGAATGCATGAATGGACGCCAACTCGAGCCTCATTCTTCACTCTTTCTTCCCCAGAAATCGACACTAGCTTTGCGTAATACTGTGCTATGCGATCCACTGGCCTCCGACTCTGGACCACCCCGATCCTCCGCCCAACCCCCAAGTATATCCCCCGCCCTCAACCCCTCCTCCGCACCAACTTCTTTCAAACCTACAACGCTCGCAAGATGTCCGACAAGCCCGAAGGCACGAAGGACATGGCGCAGCGCCCGCCGTACCAGATCCGCTCGCCCGAGGAATTCGGCGAAGTCAAGTGGCACGGCAAGTGCCAGTGCGGCCAAGTGCGATACCAACTCAACCGCGAGAAGCCTCTCAAGACCAAGTTCTGCCACTGTCGCGGGTGTCAGATGACCCATGGTAAGTTCCAGCGCTCACTTGTCGATCAATCGACCAGTCCACTGGGCGGAATGGAATGGAGGATGCTGACCTGAACTCTCTTACCCAGCCGCTCCCTTCCAATGGGCGGCCATCTTCCACAAGGAGAATCTGACCTTCACTAAGGGCGCCGAGGGCCTGGCGTTCTACTCCTCGGCTAATGCCACGCGCGATTACAGTCTGCCGACGAAGGTGTTCTGTTCGTGGTGTCGGTCGCCGATTATGGACGAAGGTCGGAATGTCTGTTTGCTGTTCCCTGAGACTATTGAACGTGGAGATACCGATGAGGAGCGAATGGAGTGGCGGAAGGCGTTCGAGGTCGAGTAAGTTTTGTGTCTTTTTTGTGTTTCGTTCGTTCCGCTTCGGCTCCTTTTACTTACCATGAATCCCAGTTGTCACATCTTCTACAGCCAGCGGGTTTTGGAGATCCCTGACGGGAAGCCCAAGTGGGCGGGAATGGATGAGGATAGTGATATGGTTGATGATATGGGCAAGCCCACGAAATGAGCATCTACCGGTACTGATTTTTGAGATGGTCTGTGAACATCATGGGTGCTGGGCCACGTACACGACCAGGTCAGCGATATGAATCAGACGAGACATGATAAACGAGCGTGATGTGTGTATATTAGGGCTATGTATTTATAATATGTTGAGCAGAAAACATGATGAACATAGCAACAGACCAATCACCATCCCTGTAGGAGGAACATGCCAACCCGGAGGTTAGGATGCCCGCGGCGATTGTCGTCGGCTGCCTATCAGGCGTAGTCATGATGGAAAGGACGGCAACGGAAAAAGCAATCATGCTAATGTCCTAGTATCTCCGGCCCGATGTCACCCTCTGCATGGGTCATGCCGGCCAGTCAGTTATTGAAAGTCCAGAAACCCCCTGGTCAGGTAGGCCCAAGACATCGAATTCCTGAAGTTTTTCGGGGCGTATGGCGCGGGGTTGGTCAGCCGATGCCAGAAACCTGATGATCTGAGATACGTCTATAAGAGTGAACTCAGCACAACCAGACAATAATGCCAATATGCACATCATCCAAAACAATTCTGCGTAGTTTGCGAGACCCGCGATGTGGCTCAACTCCCGATACACCGTGCTAGCGGCGCTGGTCGCACAAGCGACAGCGGTCACCCAGATCACCGACGCGAACATGACAGCGCTGCTCAACCAGGGCGGCGTCGAGCTGGCCGACCGGTACGCTCCGCTTTGGTTCTTCGGGGAGGCCCTGAACGAGGTGCCATGTTACCCGACCTGGGCCTTTGGGGGCTCGCCCGACTCGCCCGATGTATACGACACGGCGCATCGGACGGCACCCGCGCCGCAATGCGAGTATCCCGATGTAGGCTGCAAATGCCGCAACCCGGGAGTCGCTGCGGGGAGCCCAGGGCCGGCGTTCCCGATCTACTACACCGTGCAGCGATGCAATGAGACCGAGGTGCGGGTGGTCTATAACCTCTTCTATGAGAAGGACGGCGCCGAGGTGCTCGACCTCATCGAGACCGGCCATGACTAGTAAGTAGTCGCGCTGCCAAGGGGCTTTTGTTTATGCGCAATCGGGGAAGTCTAATCCGTAGACAGTGACTGGGAGAGGGTCATCATCGTACACTCTCGCAACGATGCAACCAAGCTGTGGGCGCCTTCTCGCGCGCTGCTCTCCGCCCACAGCGGCTACCATAACATCGTGTGGAGCAAGATCCATAGCACGTTGACCACCGAGGAGATCGAGGCCGGCGACGCCAAAACGCCCGCAGGGGTGCAGAACAACGACCATCCGAAGGTGTATGTTTCGTGGTCCAAGCACGCGCATTTCGATACCCGCGACACGATCTGGGTCGACCCTATCAGTCAATCGACGGACAATGCCTTTCGCAGTGACGACTGGTGGTACTATGTCGAGCAGAAGTACTATGTCAGTTCTGTGGTTACTCATATCACCCAGACCCTGCTGACAGTTAGCAACAGATCCAATCGGACAATTCCACCGCGGCCGGGAAAGCCTTGGGCAGCACGGATTGGGGATCGGCGACCAGCAATCCTCCGTATGTGCAAGCGAGCGTCTGTTCCGCTTCGTGATCATGTACGCGATATTCTTGAATATAGATGTGGACTGGGACACATAGAGTTATAGCAGAAGACATTGTTGTGATCATTGTTGATGTTCAGCCTGTAGTATTGCCGCGATAAATAATAATGCGCGGAGGGAAGTGAAAATGACGTCGATGACGGGCGGGGGACAACCCCCCGAAATTCCTCTCTGTTCTCATCAACCTCATTCAGCTAACTGAATCACCATCAACTCCCCTTCAATCTCTCCTACCTACTCTAGCAGTACGTATACTCCTCTACTGAAGCAATTGACTCGCTTACAACCCATCTACCCCCTCAACGCCCCCAAACCCTCCTCCTCTATTCCCCTCCAACCCCGCGCCCACACCAACAACCCACCACAATCCCCAACACAAAGACTAGAACTAACCAACCAACCCAGCCTCAAACCCCCAAGGAAGAAAAGAAACACAAAAAAAAATGTGGTTCCAAAAAACCTTCACCCTCCCCTCCCGCTCACGCGGCAGCTACCTGATCACCGACCACGTACTGTCCGAGCTGCCAGAGATCCGGGACTACAAGGTGGGGATGCTGAACCTGTTCGTGCAGCACACCAGCTGCGCGCTCTCGTTGAACGAGAACTGGGACGAGGATGTGCGGGCCGACATGAGCGACGCGCTGGACCGCATCGCCCCCTACGACAAGAAGGGGAACCTGTATCGCCATTCCGCCGAGGGGGAGGATGATATGCCGGTTAGTTTTTTTCTCTCCCCTTCTTTCTTGATTACTTGAGGGGAATGGGGGTGGCTGTGTAGAGATTAGGGATGGGATGGGATGGGAAGAGGGTGTGGAATGGAAGAAGAGCTGACGTATATGGTTTGCAACATACAGGCACACATTAAGTCTGCTTTGATCGGGGCTTCGGTTACAATTCCCATCTCGAATGGTCGGTTGGCGACGGGCACGTGGCAGGGTATCTGGCATTTGGAGTTCCGCACGAGTCGGCACTCGCGCAAGGTGGTGGCTACCATTCAGGGTGAGAAGGCGTGAGTCGAGTCTTAGAGGATTAGTGGTTAGTATTTTAGTTGCTGGGTTAGTGTATAGAATCGAACATCACACTCGAAATGAAGAGTTACAAATCATTGGCTCCTAGTCGTAGCCCCGATACCTTGTTACTTTGATATGGAGTACTTTTAACATAGTCGGTTCTAACAACTTCATTGTCTGGTACATCTGTACAACAGCCTGAGGGCCAAACGGGACACAAAGAAACAACAATAAACAAGTCATCAACGCCAAAGGGAAACAATCGATTCTTTACCGCTGCTCGAAAGCATTATCAGTCACACGCTGGGTCTCGTTCACCTCGGCGGCATCACCGAGAGGCTTGAGGGGGTAGCTGGTGGCAGGGAGGGACTCGAGGTACGAGCGGTGCTGCTCGTGAGCCTGTCGGTTATCATGTTAGCACGCCCGTTTCCAAGAGCAATGGCAGAAGCAAGCAAGGACATACGAAGGGAAGACCGCAGTAGCCGCAGGTAGCGATCTCGGGCTTGTCGGTGTTGATGAAGATGCGGGGGTGGCCGAGGGGGCCGCCGCCGCCGTCACAGCTGACGATCTTCTTCTTCGTCCAGCGCACAGGCTGCTTGTGGATAAGCTCGATAGCGGCCATAGGTTGGGGCTAGGAAGAGCGTGTTAGTTTCCGAATTCACTGTGATATCCCTTCCCTTGCCTCGCCGTCTATTCGCCCCGAGAATCGCTCCAAGGGCTCAATGGCTCGGAATCAAACACACCTGCATCTCCATTATCGTCTGCTCGAAGCGAGGACCGGTCATGGCCTTCTCCCTCGGTTGCTGGCTGGCTGCCCAGGTCGTGGCCCGGTTGGGAGCCTGGAGCTGGCGGCTGCGCTCGCCGGCCTCGGGCGTCTCCTGCAGGGGCTTGTCCCATGCGCCCATCGAGTCCACGGGAGTAGCATTGGTGGCGGACACGTTCGGCACGGACTTGGGCGGGGTCGGGTCGTTGGCGTGCAGGCTGTTGTCAGAGAGACGAGGGACAGTGGTCGAGTAGCTGGCCCGGGCGACGACCCGCGGGGTCCAGGCGGTCGAGAATGCCGCGACGCGGCTGCGGACGCAGTTCATCATGCTGGGCGAAGTGATATCCCAGGAATATCTGAAGGAGGTGGGCGGAGGTGAGGGCGGAGGACAAGTCCGGGTCGAAGGGGAGGAGGATTGCAATAGTGAGGTTTCCACCACCACTCAATGAGAGTCTGCGGGAGCTGGCAGCATCTCAACAGCCAATCGGCGCCGCTCCTGCCACGGATGCGGTGGGATTCTGCCGCCCGCGATTTTCTTTGCTTTGCAATCGATGCCATTTTGCTGGCCCTCAAGTTTCGCGCTTCTTTACGCGGTTCGGTTCTTAAATAAACGACTTCTTTCATCCCAGCTTCACGTCACTCTTTCCATCTGAAGCCAAAGTTCAAGTCGCCGCCATGTCTACCCCATCCACACCCGGCAATAAGCCAGAGAAGACCATGTCTTCTCGTCTCTTGACGATGAAGGTATGTAGTTCATTGCGATACATTGATCCTCGCGGTGAATTTTTCGGGCGCGATGCTAATTTCTACAGTTCATGCAACGTGCTGCGGCTGAGAAGCCCACGCCGCAGTCGTCCGGTGAGACTTCCACTACGCCAGTCTCGAAGCGACAAAGGCTTTCGACGGGATCAGTGCAGAGCCCCTCGACACCCCAATCGGACATGGACGCTGTCGCAGCCGCCCTAGCTGCCGAGGAGGAGAAGCGGAAAGAAGCGCTTGCTCGGCAGGCTGCGGAGTCGGGTGATACAGAATGGGTGCTGGACTATGGCTATGAGACACCTGCAACCCAACCGTTTGTCGTCGCCGATAGCTCATTGGACGCGGATGACGACGACATGGTCTACGGCGGGCGGCAGTCTTACGGCAACTATAGGCGGAAGAAGAAGAGCGCGGTTAGTGCTGACTGTTCCGTTCAACATGACGGCCGTTGATAATATATACTAACAAACATATCAGTCCGGAGGAACGGAAGAGGAATCCGATGAGGATGATGACAGCGACGCCGATCCCAACGATATGGACGCCATGATTAAGAAGGCAAAGAAGAAAGCTGCGAAGAAGGAAAAGAACAAGCCTCAGCCAGTCAAGTTGTCGTCACTGACGAGTATTTCTGGAGGGCGCCATGGAAACATTGGCGGCGAGAAGAAACAGAAGAAACGCAAGCACAATAAATAAAAACACGACAAGGTCAATCATCAAATCATACATTGCATGAAAATTCATCGAGACTTCGTCAACTCGGCGTTTTTTTTTCCACGAAATACTCGGATACTCACGACATATTGACGATCTGGTGGAGGCTTTCGCCAGGGCAGGTGCAGACGATGATTCTGGTAACAGATTTCTTGTCACCAGTATTCATCATCCTGCAACAACCAACTTGACGCCTTACGGTTCAAACTGGCGTTGTCTTGGACATTGTCGTAGGGTCCAGTTCCACAGGAATGGACTCTGCATGGAGATTGCACAGGAGTACCGCGCCCAGCTCCATTGCTGCTCTTCCTGCTGCTCGGCTGTCTGCGATGTGATGAACTGCTCACGACAATATCCCCATCCTTGGGGTCCATTTCCCAGGTGCCTGGACCCCGACTAGAAGGCAGCGCTGTGGGGGTGCTTTTGGTCCGATGAGCTCGGTCCTCTCCAATGCTCGCGTTTGTGGAATGTGAGGACTTGCGCAATTTATATAGCCCACTAGGCAGTCTCTCGAGGGTCAGAATTTGCGGCGCTCGAGGGTTATAGTCTGCTTGGCATTGTGGCGCAACCACCTGATGGCGTTCCATTGGCTGCGGATTATTGGTCAATGCGATCCGGGCTTTGGTCTTTATTTCAGCAGGGTAAGACGCGGCTCGGGTGTCTATGTCTCGCACGTCACTCTCCATTGAAATCGCAAGGGAATGAGGGTATACCTTGTTCTTGGACCGAGGTGTGGCTGAACGAGTCTTCTGCTTCGCGAACACCTTGGATCACATACCCAGGTGGAAGATAGATCCTGGTAGCTGGAGGATCTTGTGGTCGTCGGAGGATTCGCAGCCGGCCGTTCCTGGACTCCACCCAGCTCTCGTACTCGGGGGTCAAGCCGCAGAGTCCCATGGATTGCAAGCTAAGGTTATGAGATTCCGTGCTATATCCAGAGCATTAGACAGTGCGTCGAACCAGTAGAGAATAGCAGCTGTGCTCAAGGGGCTTTCATCCACTACTCATCTCCTGTAGGCAGAGTATAAGACCCGCAGTGATTTCGGTAGAGAAGGTTAAGCTTAAACTATGAGACAGCCCGGGCCCGGGGTAGTCCCCCACTGCCTAATCTGGAAATCACATGCAGGACGGTCACAGTCAATTCACGCTGGCAGCAAGCAAGCACAGCCTGCATCAAATCTACTGCAAATCATGCGCGCATTGGAGCGTATTCCCAAGCGCCAGCTCGACAGCCCAAGAACCAAACGATAATCTCGCTAGCAAACACAAACCCAGAGACCGAGATACCACAAAACAACAGCAGCAACCAAAGCCACCAACCACCATCATACATGAATTAAATCCCCAACGCCCAAAAAACACCATGTATACACCCACAGACCCATCCCGAGATTTCAGATCCTCGCCTTAACCCTTTCGGTTTCCGACTCCCTCTCGCGCCTCTCCCACCCCCTCCTCCCCCAAAAATTAACGCCCAAATTCCAAACAGCAACAGCAACACCCACAGGAGGCAGAACCAACAAAACCCAAGCCCACCACCTGGGACTCGACGCACTCACGACCTGCAAAGCGGACCGAACCTCCTCCTCAAGCTGCCTCTTATCGCCATCATTCCAAACCACCAGACCCCGCGCCTTTCCCCGGAACTCCGCACGCGCCACCTTCCCCATGACATCCCCCTGGCTCTTAACGCGATTCTCGGCCTCCTCGGCACTAAGATGCCGGTCCCGCGCAAGGAGCCGCTCCATCTGCACGGCGGGATCGCGCACGCCGACGACAACGACGGTCCCGCAGATGAGATCCATGCCGCTCTCGAACAGCAGCGGCACGTCGAGCACCACCGCCCAGTGGCCGCGGAGGTAGTGGTAGCACAGCGCTTTGTAGACTTCCCAGCGGACGGCGGGGTGCACGATCTTGTTGAGGATCATGCGGTCGCGTTTGCGGTCTTCGGTTGTGCCAAAGACGCGCCGGCCGAGGGCGAGGCGGTTGAGGGGGCGGGAGTCATCGGTGGTGGTGGGGGAGGGGGAGTCTGACTCTGGGGGGGAGGCTGGGAGGAGAAGGTCCGGCGTTGTCGGGCCGAAGTAATTCACGATGGCTTTGTAGCCTTCTGTGCCGGGTTCGACGACCTTGCGGGCTAGTAGGTCTGTGTCGATGATCGGGAGGGAGTAGGGCGGTGAGGAGAGGAGGGACGAGACGGTCGATTTGCCCGTTGCGATTGAGCCGGTTAGGCCTATGATTAACATCTTCAATTAGGTTTTTGTGTAGAAATTTGGATGTTGGGTGAGGTTCGACTTTGACAGTGGTTGGAAGGGTGGATTTGGATAGTGCGGAGGGATGGAATTGTTGTTCGCGGGTTTGCGCGGGGAACTACTTACACTCCGGGAGGGTTCCGCTGCCTCGGCTGGTTTAGCTGCATACCAGTGGGGACTTCTACAGTACAACGATATTTATGATGAAGATCTAGATGTGATTGCATTCCAGAATTAAGAGCTGAGTAAATTCAATATCCATACTAAAACATTGATACACAATACATCACCACCATACTTCATTAGACAGCGCGGATTTCCGCTCCACCCCTGTACCGTCGCGCTGGGACCTCACGCTGAGAACAAGTCGCGACCTGATTTTGGTGTTATATATGTACATACACATACAGTCTCATTTGAGACAACGTCCTCTTCTGCACATTTGTAACAGAGTGAGGGGATTGGTGCAGCGGACGCGGCAACATCAGGTCATTCGGCTAATGTGCTCTTCCAAACCGATGCCGGGCCGCTCGCTGCAGGGTAGGATGAACCACCTAGTGGAATGACACAGACATCGATATTCTCGGTCTGGCCAGTAATCGAGGCATCTCACGTTGCTTTATTATCATGACAATCACGCCGTAGTAGTGAGCTTATGCCTCGGGAAGTCCCTTGCTGGGGTCCTGCTTCTGGCCCTTCCAGCCAATATATGGCCATCCGTCCGGCAGCGATGAATACGGCGGGAGAACATAGCGGCCAGCGCACTCTCCCTCAGTTGGGCAATCCAAGTCACACAGCCCGAACACCTTGCAGTAGCACTCTTCGGCCGTTGGGCAGTGGACAGGTCCCTTGCCAAAGATCACTATTCGTCTGTTAGCAGTGTATACAGCCAGAAATAGAAGAGAGTTCAGCATACTGTGCCATGAATACTCCATAATTCTTCCACTATGTTCATCCGCAAGCTTCGTCTCAGTCAACCACTTCCTGTATCGTTCATAGTCCTTCTTGGGCCGTTCTCTGATTTTCCAGCTTGTGACGGCAAACTGCGCGCAGCACGAAACTCCCACCTCTTCTGGCACCTCCTCCCCAGGGAAGAGTTCCTCGAACCCGTGTTTGAAGTACTCTCCAGCATGGACGTCCTTACGGTGCGGATCGGTGTACGGGTGGATCTCCGCCGGGCAGCCGAGTGTCCAAGCACAGCGCAGATTCACATAGCCCTGTTTCTGCAGGTAGGGGAGTTGGAAATTGCGGAGGACCGGCACGCCGTCATAGTAAGGATCGTCATTGTGCCATTGGTATCTCTGGGGATGGATAAAGAGGATCGAATCGGGAAGGTTGTCGTAGTTGTCGATAATATACCTAGAAGCTCAATCAGCACCCGTTGTCTAGCTTCTCGGGGCTTATACCACCCACGTCAGATAGACCATTGACTCCCGGCCCTTATTCTGCTTCACCGTCAACTGAGCCTTTTTGTCGTCCACAACATAAATGCTCTTGTGCCACTCCGGAAAGTACTGGTAGAGCCATGAGACATCGTCGGATTTCGTGCTGGCCACGACCATCTCCTTATCAAGGGCTTTGCCTTGTCGCGCGGCCGAAGCGGACGGCGCAGCTTGTCCGGAGCGCGAATCGCGGTAAGGGCCGCCCTTTGACACTGCGTCGTGGGCTGATGTGTCTATGTGTGCATGTTCGGAGCTGCCGGAGAAGAAGAGGAAATAGAGGGCGTAGACAATCAGGATAGTGCAGAAGATGGCCTTTTCCTGGCTGCGCCGGCGGGGACTTTGAACTCCGCTGCCGAAGAACAGCATGGTTGCGACGGGCGGCGGCCTTGAGGTGACACGCAGCAGTTGAAGGTGTGAGCATACGCTGGGCAGTATGTAAGTCGCGGGAATTAATTGAGTGTCCGAGTCAACCACGTTTCAATGCGCAGGAAGCATGGCTGCACGGAGGGCGGTCGCTGAGCTCGTCGGTCAGTGAGTTGCGGAGAGCGCTGCAGCGGCAACGACTCGGTCAAAGGAGCTCCGGGGCTATATTCGATTGCGCGGCGGTGGATCAAGCCAGGCTAGGGTAACTATTGACTCATGCAGGACCAGGAAGAAGCTGCTGAGGTCAACAAGGCCAAGAAAAAAGGGTTGGCGACAGTTGGCAGCTTCTGTTGCCTGGAGTAGAGGAGAGAGTGTCAAGCCACATGGTGGTTTCACTATTAGGCCATTGTGCACCACTCGCCGTGGTCAACTCATCAGCATTACTGCTTGGCAGAACCGGGCAAATAATTGGCCGAGGTCCGCGCCCGATCTGAACCGCTGCCAATGATCGTCATTGAAGTACAATAAGCTTGCCGACTCACCAGAAGTATGAGTTATACTTATGTATACTAAGAATTAACTTGACTTCATCTCCTTGCAGTGGACTCTGAAAAGATGGAAGTACTGGTACTTCAAGTTGCTTCGTTCGTCCCGCCGCCTTCCTATTTAGCATAGTGCGTGCCTTGCCCGCAGATTCCTCCCTGCCTAGCTAGGGATTCCCTCCTTTTATGAGCGTCTTCCCAAGTAAGCGTGCATGCATTTTTCCAAGTGTTTAACTATGCACCACTCCAAGTTTGATCCAATACGCTACTCCGTATTCTTTCAGTGCAATTATCATCATCAATCTCCATGGGTGGATCAATATACCCTACCCGCGCGAATGCCTGATAACTGGTTCTGTGGCATATGAAGTGATCAAGCTATTCTTTACAAAATAGTGTAGAATGGGCGAAGAGAATTGCAGGGTGTAGTAATATATCACATATACATTTTATCAAAGAAGGAAACACTGATGATGATGATGATTAAGAGTGCAGTAGATTAGACACAGCAAGCCGCGGCGGACCGAAGCCCTAAGTGCCATCGATTCCCAAAACCATGTCATACCAGGGTGTAAGGTACTGGTAACATGTCATCCATGGAAATGCGTGTGTAGATGTGCCCCGGCAAATGTATCAACGATACGACCTGCCAGACCCAGGCAACTCATCTCCTTCTATTTGATACAACGTACATCAACCTTCAATGAATCATTGACGGCATTTCACTTTATCAACGTCAAATAACCCAGAGCCCCAGGCATGCAGGTATATTCTCCAAGGTATATACTCCAAGTTCTTATATACACCATATATACACCCCATAACGTCGTCGCACATACGCCTCTCAACAAGTGCCAATACTGATGAAGTACCACAGATGCGCCAGGACGCTGGTGATGTTCTCCCCGGCATTTCCATCCGAGGAGTCCACCCCCTGAATTATCTCGATAGCCGACGAGGTCACTGCCGCTCCTGTGTTACTGGTGATCCAGTATTCCGGGCTGGGATGACTATATCCCAGCAACCGCGGCGGCAGTCTGGGTACAACATCGTTGAGGTGCGTGACCCGGAAATTCGAGCCGGAGCCCTTGCTCGTGATATAGTTGGCGAGCGCGGTGTTGCCCACCCGCGGAGCGCCGTAGGTATACTAAATCCCGTCCGTCAGCATCAATATATCTACCAACGTGTAGACAGGAGGACGAAAACCGACTCACCAGCTGAACAGGATATCCCGCATTGCGCAGCACCGTCGCGCCGATAGTCGCCAACGCACCACCCAGACTATGCCCCGTGAAGACCAGGGTGTAGCCCGGGTACTTAGTGACGGCGGCCTTGATCTCGGTCGTCAGGGTGGCAGCGACGGAGCTCCAGGCCTTGAAGAAGCCCTGGTGCACCTGGCAGCCCCTGCAGATGGCGCTGGCGTCCTGGAAGATGAAGTCCAGGTTGGCGACCCAGTTCTCGATGGAGCTGCTGCCGCGGAAGGACACCACCAGCTTCTTGTTGGTGGGATCCACGGCGAGGAACCCGGCGGTATCGCCGTAGGAGTCGGAGCTGCAACGCGCATCGTCAATCAGCATGTCTATCTCAAACACTACATTCCCCAAGCAGCCAAAGGGGACAGGGCAAACATACTCCTCAAACTCCGACAGACTCTCGGCCTTGGCCGCCGTGAGCAACGGACAGAGCCCGTTCGTGCAGGTGACGCTCGTGTTGGGCGAATCCAGGTTGGTCGAGCAGTACGCTGCGGCGGAGTACTGCGCGAACAGATCCAGCTGAGTCCGGACAGTGGTCGACACATCTGCGATTTGAAATCCGTCAGCTTTGTCCTCCCTAATTGCTACTAGCGCATCCGCTTGCTTCAATTACCTCGAATGTCGACGGGGGCGGCCACAACCAGGGCAGCGAGGGCGGCCACCAGTCCGCCAAATCGAGTGATATATACCATTTTGCTTCCGCCAACGAGGCAAGTACATATACAAGATCACCGTGCAGAGATCAGGGTCAACCAAAACGAACAAGGAACAGCGTCAATGGCCCTCTAGAATAGACAGACAGGCAGACAATCACCACTGGCTCATCTAGAAACAAACCTCACATTCCTCCGGCCCCCAAGCCTCTATATATACAACCAGAAGCAAACCCACATCCTCGCCCGCTCATGCCCCTTTTCTCAACGCCGAGGCCAAGAAGGGCCAGAAAAGAAAAAATAAACCACGAAAACATAATCAAAAATCAAACCACATCAATCCTTCACCCTCAATGATCACAAGATTAAGCCCTCCAGTATCCCTCTTCAGAGGAACAACGAAGCGGGGTCAACGAGAGACAGAATAGAAAAAAAAAGGAAACCCATCACGAACACCAACTGTCCTCAACTCCGGTTGGCCCAACATCCTAGCTCAACTGCAAAGCAGCCCGGACCAAGAAGCAAAACCCAGGCTTGGCCGGCCCCGGAAACCCCGGGGAGCGTCCAACGGTTGTTGCCCTGAGCAGTTTACTTCTGGAATGCGCCCAGAGCTCCATACGCCAACCCCACACAAACAACATTCATGAAATCCGCAGCGGTAAGTATCAGTCCACTTTTTTCTCTGGCACGGATTGGTTGGTCTATGCGGAAAGAGACCGCTTAAAGTGCAATCAATTAATTTAGAGCTCTACGTGCCAAAGTATAATAAAGTGTCACTCGGACTATGTGTGGGACTTGCTTCCGTGTCGATGGAGAAGCACGCGGATGCGGATGCGGGTTGTTGAGGATATGCTGGAACAAGACGGACGTCCGGCCGGAATAACCATCGCAGGCAGAGAGCGAGCAAGCAAGCAAGTAAGCAAGCATCAGCCAGTACGGCACGTACAGTAGTCCTCAGGACAGGAGATGTACTCCGCACAGGAACCAATTTGGCGTAAGCGCGCAGTCAGCCCCCGAAGTCTTCAAGAGCAGGGGAATAGCAACAGGCACCAAGAAGCCTTCATTCGTCCGCATCGGTTGTAATGGTCACGCTCAGGCCGATTCTCAAGGAGCCACTGACCACTCAGATTCCGCTGTCGATCTGCTCCGGTTGCTTCACATGCTTCTTTTTTAGCTGGGAGGTGTATACTTGTCCGGGTATATCGATCCGTCCATCAAGAGGTGCTCCGAGCTTCTCAGAACGGAGGTAGGAGGTAGAGGGCTGGGTTGAGTTGATGATCCTTCCGCCTGTTCACTTCTGTGCTGGGAATAGAAGGGCTGTATGTCTCAGAGCAAGAGATGATCTTGTTCCTGTTTCTCCTGATTTTCAGCTTGACTTACCTACCTCAGTGTTCCCCTTACTGTCAGCTACGCTTAATAGGCAGACAAACCACTTAGCATAAACCGTCACCTAACTACCTCCTATACCAAACCCTACCACAATATAACAACAGAGTATAAAGTAACCAACAAGACCAACAAAGCAAGAAACCAAAAAAACAAAATGACATCACAGTCTTCACAACCCCTCCTCACTCTCACCCAGTATAACTTAGTCCAAGAACTACCCCATACTCCCCAAGTAAAATGGATTGCACACCATAATTAGACTACTGTACTTAGGTAGTAGGTAGTAGATAGTCTACCCTCGGCATCTCTCCTTCCTCCCGCACATCTAGTGACTTAGTGACTCAAACTAAACATGTGCCGGACCCCAACACCGCAAACCCCCATCTCTCGAAATTAATTTCCCCCGCCCGTTGATCGAAAACTGCGGGGGTGGGAGAAAAACAACTAAAGACCGAAATCCCGTGCAGGGCAGACAAGCACTAGACACCTAGTACTAGCATTCAGTGACTACCTACCTCCAGCTGTGGACTAACTTCCGTGGACGGTGACACTAAAAACAAAACTCGCACTTTGATTTGTTTACTGCAAGGCGGACAGTAGACACTAACGGTTGGAGTTCCAGGACGGAGCGGATGTCATCGGAATAGATCCAAATTCCAAAGTACCTGACTTACAGTCCTAAACTACCCAGTCCTAAACTATAAGCCCGGCAGTTACGGAAACAAACCTAACCCAGCTGCGGGCACAAACGATGTAACTCTGTACCTTCCTCTCGAATCGGTGTGGGTTTTACTTCCGATGTGGAGAGAGAGAGGCACAGGGACTGAGTTGAATGCATAGCTCGAAGAGCAGAGGTGAGAAGGAGAATCCTCGGAGTATTTTCCATGGGCTTGCCTGTCTATAGCTGAGAGTGGATATAGGGTGATTCTATTTTGGCTGGTCAGCTGCCCTTTATTCGTTTCGTTTAACTTCTCTCTTATTGTCTAGGATCGACGGACGGATTTTTGTCCTTGATGTACCGTACCGTAGTGGACCACCTGCGCGAATTTTGCAAAGTCGAGGCTAAGCCGGGATCATATTCCTGGTCAAAGGCATCGCTGCATGCACGGAACATGGATTTTTCACGCCGGATGTTTGGAAGGTCGTGTGAGTTTTAACTTCAGGCACAATGAGAACGTGGGACCGAGGTATGGGTCAAAAGCAAGAGAGGTTCGGAAAATCTCCCGGAAGTCAAAAACAAAGCTGCTGGAGAATTCTATCTCGTACGACCAGGAACCATCCACTCGGGGCGGGAAATATGTAGATAATTCAATACCGTCAACTGGAATGTAAATTAAGGAAACATCATAAAAAAGGACCATCGATATATTCGCTCCTCGAAAACGCCAGTACCGGTGGGGGCAAACATCGTCGTATCTTTATTTTTGCAACAGAGAGAAAAGAAGATGTAAGCTATGAAGCAGAAGCAAAAAGAACCCATGGAAACCGAGCTGCACGCTGGGAGGAAAAAGGAAGCCTTCGCGTCTATCTGCAGGGTTGTCAGTCTCAGCCATGCAATGCTGCCACCTTCCAACTAGCTTCTCGGAGTTGTTTCCAGACTTGGGAAGATGTCTCCACGGACAGCAGCACACTTACCCGCTGTTATCCTGAATCCCTGAAGCGATAGCCGCACAGAGAACGTGGTTACCCTTGGGAGTCACAACGGGCTCTCATGCAGCGACCGTGCCATTCTCCCCGCCCTCAGGAGGGTAGTCCGTCATTCCCTCGTCCTGACCATCACCACTGTCGCCCGCCAGCACCTTTGTCCGGGGCAACTGGCCGTCCGGCAAAGGCGTCCCTGGCGTGGCGGCCACAACGTTATCGTTCTCATCCACAAACTCGAAGTTATACCGGGACAACAGATGCGGGATCGCCGATAGTTGCGGCCCGTACCGCGCAGTGTTGTCGTACAGTTCGAACAGCGGCACAGCGAGGAGCTTCATGTTCTTCGGGACGGAAAGGACCTCTACAAGCAACGGGTTAGTCACTTTTCATGGCTCGCCTCTGGGCGAGGAGGGCTGGATAGGTAGGCTCACTCTTCTTGGGCAACTGAATGAAATATAGCTTCTTGCACTCCTTGGGCCGAGTCACATGTCCAGGGAGAAACGGGTACATGAACGTCTCGAAGTTCGGCCGCCACCACTGCGCCAGTGTATCACCGATCTCCCAGTCCTCATTGACGCCCTCGCCCGAAAATTGCGATCCGACCGGCGCAAGACGTTCGTTGAGCCGCTTCTTGAAGCCATCGACTTCGTCGTCCTCGAAGGGAAGGTAATCTCCGGGTCTAACAAGGAACACATGAGTCAGTCTTGTAATGCTCTTGTGTTCTGTCTTCGGCCCGGAAGACTCTAGACGACCATGTCGCAAGTGTCCAGTGCCTTAGCCGGCGCGTGTAGGCTCAATGGTCCGAAGGGGAAAACATACAGCTTGAAAAAGGCATTCGCAATCTGCAGCATAAGCACATGGGGGTGGTTATGCTCATGGCAGACAAGAACACCCTCACAGGTACGTCTCATGCCATATTTCTCATAGTGTTCTTCGAGGCGTTTCAGGCGGGCCAGAACAGAGGGATCTTCCTCGGGTTGCGTCTCCTTGGTCCCGAAAGTGTAGTTCGAGAGAGGATATAGACGGATCGTTTGTGGTTGCTGGGCAGAGAAGTCTTTGGGGGCGATAGGTCTGTTTAGGGGATGATGGAGTCAGTGCCTGTCTATGCCTTGACATGAGGCTCGGGCTCGCCCTGGAGGTCTGGAACGTACGGGCGAGAGCTCTGAATCGCCGTCGCGGTTGCGGTCGACATGATGAGTAGATGCTGGTCCCAGGAATTCAATTTCCGACACGCTAGATAGACTGTTTGAGATGATGTGAAGGAATGGAAATGAGATAGAAGAATTTCGGGAAGGTGAAAGACCGTAAGGTTGAGTTGATTGTTGTTGCTGTTGCTCCCGAGGTGGATCACAGCCCGGCGGAGTTGATGCTCGCTCCGCCGCTCGGTGGATGGATCAATCAACTGGTATCGGAGCTACCCTCCGCGAAAACATTCGGCCGCCCCGACCGCCTACCCCATAGTCGGTGTTGTTGTACACCATGCAAACAGATACGCCAGCTACTTTAACATGACTGATTGTTAAATGTTTTCATTTCGTTCTTTAATCTTAGCAATAGTTCAATTATGTATCATGTTACTAATCTACATCTCAAGATGTTCCGTTCCGATCTATCAACCCCACCATCCTGCAATTCCCAAGCTATGCTGTACTCCATACACGATCACGCCGCAAAATGAGCCAGCAGAAAGTTTCTATCATCATATAAGGCAAGTGAAGTATATTGGCAAGTAGAATTCCTTGAAGCTTTGACCAGGTGAGCTATCACAGCTTGGCGTCAAAGTCCTCGAATTCGCTGATGTCGGTAACAGGGCTGGGACCGGCGCTGACATTGAGACGAGCCTTGTACTCAGGAACGTTAGTAATGTAGGTGACAGCTTCGTGGCCGAATCCATTGACCGTCTGGCCAGACTCTCCCTCGAATCTCTTGGGCTGAATGCCGATGTGCTTCAGCTCTACTCCAACGCTGTTCTTCATCGACTCTAGAGCCTGCTTGGTCTGTTGCTCTGCGAGACCCATTCCACCCAGGACAGTCTTGATGGTTTCAACAACCAGACGCTCGTCTCCACTGGACACGTCGACTTCAGCGAATGCAGCTTCCAATCGATCGGCATCGACTGTCAACTGTGCTTTCTCCAAGAGCGTACGAAGACGCGCAAGAAGCTGGGACTTTTGCTGCTGCGGGGTGCTTGCAAGAGCGGTAGCTTGTGCCTTCAAGTGAATCGACAGCTTGCCACGTGTGGAAGATTGCGGGTTGATGAATTGGTTATAGAACTGGATAAGATCGGACTTGGTCGAAGACCGCACATTGGCAGCATCGGCCTCGTTTTGCACGAAATCGAAGTACTCCGAACCAATGTGAGACCAGAATCGACTGGTTTCCGAGCCCAAATTCTTGAGCTTCTCCAGTCGGCGGTTGATGAGACTGCGTTTATGCCTTTCAAAGTCACCCTCGGGCATCTCCTCCAACGTCTTCCCAAACGTGGTCAAGAAGTTATCGATACGGTGTTCAAGGTAACTAGCAACACGCTCGCTCTGGATGATAACGCGATATCCGATGGTCGTGGAAGAATAACGGGCGCCGCTCCAGACAACGTATCCCAGTTGCTCCTTACTCCGCAGTTGATCGAATGCAGGCTCATCAGTCATCTGGGCGAATAGCAACAGCTTGGCTCGCAGTACCGCATCGTTGATGTTTCCGACATACAGAAGGTATTCGATGCCGTTGTTGACGTTGGCCGGGTCCTTGAGCATCCGCTCATAGACGAAGTTGGAGCCCGGAGGAATAATGACGTTGCGCCTCACGTACCACTGTGATTCGGGCAACGTACGACTTTTCAGAGTGGACTCTACGAGGTCAGTCATGCGCAGTGCATCCTCCTTGTACAGGTTGCCGTGCGCCAACACCTCGATGTGGTTCTGTCGCAAAACCTGAGGGTAGAAACAAGCCACGTCCTCCACTTCAATATGCTGAAGCTCGGATGCATATTGCTCATTGAGCCAGGACCGCTCTGCGGTCAGATAGCGAGTGTAGTCGCTCACTTGGTAGTAAGGCTGTTGGTACTCGGCGTTCTTGTAGGCCCGGGTTAGGCGCTCCTTGATAATGTTAAAGCGTTCCGGCTTCACGACTAAGTCGCGCATGCTTGTGAGAACCTTTTCCAGAAGCACGGACATCTTATCGTTGTAACCGCCCACCGAGATGTCTAAACCAAAGATACTAATACCCAAGGAATAATCGAGCCCGGCCAGCTCAGCGTCATAGGCATATTCGTTCAGGGCGTCGCGCACCAATTCGCAGTAGAATCTGCCCTTGACCACGTTGGCTGGGGTGGCCCACACGAGAGGGTTCCGAAGTGAGATGTTGAAGGTGCCCTTTGGGACCCAGAACCGATCATCCTTCTTGTACCACAAACGGACATGGTCGTCATGCCGAATCAGCTTCGGGGTCTTGGCTGGCTCCGAGACTTCCTTCTTTTCAACGGAGAGACGAGTCGGAACAAATTCGTTCTTATGAGGCAGGTGCAGATCAGGCAGTCGGTTGGCGGAGGTTGTTTCGTAAGCCTTGCGGATGTCGGCCATGAAATCCTGGGGGATATCCTCCACCTTATGCTCCGTGCCGTACCACTTCTCCTTTTGATCCCAGTCACCAGGGTAATCCTGGGCCACAATGAGCATCCGGAAGTTGTCGGGCCGGAGGTAGGACAAGGCTTCCTTGATCAGGGCGGGATCATACTTCCGGAGAAGCCCGGTGCTAAGCAACCACTCACGAGGGTGGGGCTTCTGCATCTTACTGCTCAGGTTGCTAGCGAAGCGGCTGGCGGGGGTCTTTTGCTTAAAGCGGAACTCGACCTCGGCCAAGTTCTTCATTTCATCATAAATCCACTGCTGAGGCTCGCCTTCCTTTATCATAGCGATATACTCGAAGATTACTCTCGCCACTTCACGATAATTCTTCAAACCCTCGGGGGTCAGGCGAACGTTGATGGTGAAGAAGGCAGCTCCAGGGCAGATGGGGAGTGGGCCAGCGGACAGGCCATTGGCCCAGCCCTTGGCCTTGATGTAAGCCAGAATGCTGCCGGGGCCCTCGTGGCCGATCAAGTGGCTGATGTAACGGTTGGGCTGAGACTCGAAATAATGCTCCTCATCCATGAAGGGGAAGTAAATATCCAGAGATCGCATGTCCATAACCGGCTTGGCAAAGATCTGCTTTCCCAGATGCTCCGCCGTCCAGGGCTGGACGTTATCCCAGCGGTTCTGCGGGAGGTCCTTGTTCTGGACGTGAGAGAACAGATCCGAGACCCATCCCTCCATCTCGTCGAGGGACTCCCGACCCAGCAAAACCAGTTTCATCCGGTTAGCTGAATAATGAGCCTCATAGAACTTGATAAATTCACTCCGGACCTCCAGCCCCCGTTTCTGCGGATCTTCCTTCAAAGTCTGCAGGTTTCCAGTCGAGAAGTGGTGGTAGGGGTGTGCTGGGTTGGAAAGGCTCTTGTTCAGTTGCATCAACCGCCACATATCACTTTGCAGGTTTTTCTTGTTCTCGGAATCTACTGCCCTCAACTCCCGGTCCAGCGTTGACTCTAGGAAGAGAGGTTCGACAAAGAATTGAGCAAACCGATCCAGGGCGCCATACAGCGGCCCTTTAGCCTGCGTAGCTGAGGGCGAAGTTGGCGCATCGGATTTCTCGTCGCCGGAGCTTGACGTGGCAGCTACTTCGAAGAAATAGTTGGTCTCCGTGGCAGCCGTGTACGCGTTGGACATGCCCGAGTTGGATGCCAAGTACTGATTGTATGCGTTCTCTAGGGGGTACTAAAGGTAATCAGCCGAGGTTAGTGTCTGACCGCATGCTGACACAGGGGTCGACCACATACCTTTTTGGTCCCCATGAACAGCAAATGTTCGACAGCGTGAGCCATACCCGGCATGTCATCTGCGTCTGAGAAATTGCCCACATTGACGTTTACAGCGGCACTGGCCTTGTCGGTATCGGGATCGTGAACCAGTAACGCTTCGAGCTTGTTGGGCAAGCGGATGACACGATAGGAGCGATCGTCCAGTTCAGGCTTCAGCAAATCCTCCGCGATGCGTTCGACAGGCCCCATCTTGTTAGATCCCATACTGACCTGGGTAGTGGAAAGGGGAGCACGCGAGACGGGTGCGGAAGAGGAAAGGATGGAAGAGCGGTGATGAGTCTGTCCACCGGAGGCAAAAGACCGAGTCCAGCGATGCGAGAACAAGCGTGGCGAGGGGTAGGAATGAGGGGCTACCGCCGCAGCAAAGGTGCCTGATCGGGAAAACGAACGATACGTTGGGGTTGATAAAGATCGAGGATGTCCAGGGTTCCACAAGCGGCAGGGTGCAGAGGACCTTGGAGGCATGCAGAGCAAGGAAAGTGGTCTAAGGAGCAACGGCCGCTAGCAAGTGCCGGCAAGGTATCGTCTAGGGATTGGGGATGGTGAGGGGGAAGAGGATGAAATGCGGAAGAGGGAAAAGAGGAGAATATTTATGGAAAAAGGGAATTGAGGGAGAAGTAAGAAGAAGGGAAAACACGAGCCGGCCCGATTTCAAAGGAAGGCAAGGAATTGAGAGAGTCAATGCGCCAGAAAGAGAAGATGAAATAAAGGGAAGATGATGAAGTAACGTCGGAGAGCGAGAGTTTCCCCTTCCCGGAAGAAGAAGGGCAGTAAGACTGCGGCCACTTCGGCGGTGAGAGACCGACTCAGGAAGCGGTGAGCGGTGAGGCTTAGTGGCACGTGTCGCTCGCTGGCTCTCTGTGTGTGCGCGCCTCATCACTCATTTCATAGGCTTTGGAATAATAGAGATCTCCCAATTGGTCTTGGCTCAAACTCTTGTCCCCTTCGGAGTGGACCTGAAGGGCTTCATCCAAACGCTGTTTCTGCACTTCCACGTCATTTGCGTGTCCCAAACGAGGGCACTCTGCAACAGCGCCGAGACCGTCGCGAAACCACCGATTCCTCAGCCAAGTGGCAGTCGACGCCCTTGCAGCTTACAGCAAACTCGTTCGTATTCGATTCTAGTCAGAAAATGGCGTGCTTTCTGTACTACCGACGCATCGTATAGAGCGTAGATACGACAGTAAATTGCTGCCTGATTTTACACTACGCCTAGTAGCAGTATATTTGTATACGCCCTTAGAAGTATAGAACCACCACTCGGAACGGCAACCGATGCCAGCCCGGATCTACTCTCCGAACGGGACACTTGTCCAATCCTTCATTTAGATAAGATTCATCCATGAAAGAGACATCTTCCGCTTCAACACTTGCTTGTCACCGTTCGCGTCTTTCTATTCAACAGGAGCACCTTTAGAAAGACCATCATCACCATGGACGTCTCCCAGACCCTCGCCCACCTACCCAACACCATCCACTGCATTGATATGCACACCACCGGGGAACCCACCCGCATCGTCTATGCCGGATATCCCACGCTGGCGGGCACACTGCTGGCCCAACGTGACCAAGCGCGCCAGCATCATGATCACATCCGACAGCAGCTCATGCTGGAACCGCGCGGTCATCCAGCGATGTACGGCGCCATCATCTGCCCCGAGACGGAGCTGGTATCAAGCGGGGCGGCGGACGTGGGAGTGCTCTTCATCCACAACGAGGGCTACTCGACCATGTGCGGACACGCAACACTCGCGCTGGGACGCTTCCTCATCGACACGCACGACCCCAGCGTCTTCCCGCGCCGCTCACAGCTTCCATTCAACTCCACAAACCGAACCATCCAACTCAAACTCCACGCACCCTGCGGGGTGGTCAGCATCACCGTCCCAACTAACGCAGAGGGCACCAAATCCGACCCCTCGCGACCTGTGTCCTTCCTCTCCACACCAGCCTACGCCACAGCCCTCCAACTGACCATCCGGATCCCCGCTTCAACCCGCTGGCCCGAATTCCCAGCCGACAAGGACTCTATCACGCTAGACATTAGCTACGGCGGCGCCTTTTACGCGATCGTCGATGCCGCAGAACTAGGCTTCACCGACGGACTATCTAGCGTCGACCTATCGGCCACCACGCGCTGCATGCAACAGCTGAAGCCCTATCTCGAATGCTGCCCGGAAATCATCTCCGCGATCCAGCACCCAGATGACCCGCGGCTGTCGTTCCTCTACTCGGTCATGATCGTCGACTCGTCCATCGGCTCCAAGCCCGCCGACGTTGCCGGTACGGAGACGGGGCTCTGCTACTTCGCCGACAACCAGATCGACCGGTCGCCGACCGGCTCGTGCGTGACGGCACGTATGGCGCTGGCCCACGCCAAGGGGGTGCGGCCGGTCGGCCAGCGCTGGGCGTATAACTCGCTCGTATCGAACCACTTCCAGACGGATGAGTTCCGGGCGGAGATCGTCGAGGAGCTCGAGCTTTCGCCTCCGCTTCCGTCCTCGCGACGATCTGTGATCGTACAGGTGGAAGGGCGGGCTTTCTACACCGGTACGGCCTCGTTCATGGTGGAGGCGGATGACCGGACGTCCAGACATGGATTTACTATGGAGGGAGTAGCAGGAGGATCATCGTCATCGTCGGCGTAATATCATTATTATTATCAACACTAACATCACCATAGTCCCTTCCTTCCCTCATCATCAAACATCAAATCCATGTGGTCACACGCCCTACTACCCCTCTCAAAACCCCTCTCTATCAACAACCCCCGAGGGGGAAAGACTCAACACCCAGGGGCACAAACAGTCAAAACCTCATTACTCCCGGTCTGACAAGTCTTAACCTGACTTCCCCCGGGGTTAACACCATTAGACCAACAGATCTTAGGACAGGAGGTATCGCTGGGCTTGATGGCGACGACGGAGCCAGCGAAGGGGTCACCGAAGACGCTGGACATGTCGTACCAGGTCTTGGAGCCGTCGAGGGTGTAGGCGTAGTTCAGCTGGGGGCTGCCGTCGTACAGGCCGTTGGGGGTCTTGGTGATTTTCAGCGAGACGCCGCCGGAGGCAGAGTCGTAGTGCAGGGCCTCGGAGTAGCTGGCGCCCGGCTGGATGGTCTGCTTGGGGCCGACGGAGCCGCCGACGGACCAGAGGTAGATGGGGACGTTGCAGTTGTTGGTCACGACGGCGTTGCCGGCGGCGGCGACGGAGGGGAGGAGGAGCGCGGCGGTGGTGAGGAGTGTTGTTGTGAAGTGCATGTTGATGAGGAGGACTGTATGCTGCTGTCTGGAAGTGTCTTTGGCTTGGTTTGCACTGTACTGAACTGTGCTATGTGAATCAACTGAATGGAGAACGAGACGACGACTTCAAGCTGATATTTATACCTTAGGGGGACGATACGATGGTAGTAGGAGTAGTAGTAGTAGTAGCACCCTCTTGCTCCCATCAGAGACAACAGCAATGCCACGACGGACCATTGAAGTCATCACTCACTCATAGTTTGAATCCCACGATAAGACCTCAAAGCAATTACCTAAAATGTCTTACTCAAAGTGTCTTACATTCCCTTCTGTTTCCCCTCATCTCACTCTATTCAGATACCAATGAGCACATCTCATGCAAGCGAGAGACATCAACCACACCACACCACCACCACCACCCACCGTCAATGCCAATGCCATATGGACCTCACAATCATTGCAACAAAGTACTAGGTACCAACAAACAACTTTCATTCTACATCCCGATTCTCAACTTCAACCCAATAAAGTTCAATACAACACCATAAAGTCCAAATGAATCCCAAGTAAACCCCTCGTCCATCCCAAAAACAGAAGAAGTCAAAAGCCACACCCGCCACTAGCCTAGCTGATAAGAAAAACCCCGCCTCCGAGGTCCCCCCATGATGGACCTTGGAAGTTAGCCCTTCATCCATCCCGGATCTACAAAAGGGTCCCAAAGGGTCAACCCCACAAAAAGTAAAACACCTCAAATCACAACCTAAGAATCCCCCCGATGTCAGTTACCCAGCACCCCCGGAAACAGGATTTAAATCATATGGTGGGACTAATGCACCGCACTAATTACTCGGATAACATGATGGAGTGTGATGTATGCTCTTTGGTTGGGTTTCACTTTTCCTCATCATGGATGCGGAGAAGGAGAAAAAGAAAAAGTAGGTTCGGAGAATTGAAGACGGGGTTGATTCTTGGTTCGTGCGATTATTACCGTTGCTATAATGAGATTGTGTGCTATTCATAGTATCTTATCTTTTTATTCTATGCTTTCGGTGAAGTCATACTCTAGGAAGGTTTCGGGTTCGTGTTGAATTCCGGGGAAAGATCATGGATCCGAAATCATCATGCCTAGTACCTTACCTCCCCCCTGTAGAGCAGTCAAAGTTAGAATTGAAGCTGATGGGCCAGTAAGCTCGTCCCGTTCGGTTACTATTCTCGATATCCCCTGTCATGAGAACCCTGAAGATTGTCTCACCCTGCTTATCATGATCACCACAGAGTACATCCTCCTTTCTACCGAGTGAATACAGGCACAAGTCCCGGAATAGCTAAAGGCAAATGTAATGCCAGGAACGAGCCCTGCATCTCCCCTTCCCACCCCTGGTGGTGTGACAATGCCAGACCCTGTCCTGGACAGAGGGACAGACAGACAGACAGACAGACAGACAGACAGACAGACAGACAGACAGGAACATGCAACTCCAAGACATCATCACACCACAATCCCAATTCCAGCATGTTTAGCCGATGAACGAAATACTCAACGAAAATATAGTATTATGCATTTTTCATCTGCGTGGATTGAGTTGTTACAAGCTAACCCGACCCGACTTACCCCTCCCCTCCCCTAACTAAACCAAAGAAACCAATCTCTAGATCTAACTTCCTCTGAGCAAAGCAAAGCCGACGGAAAGGAAACTTCAACTTCCACCTGCGTTTGGTCTCCCACGAGGACCCTCCCCGGTATTAGTCGCCTTCGTAGGCGACCGTTTCTTGGGTTTCTCGTCTTCAGTCTCCTCATCCGGCACATCCGCACGCTCCGAGATCCACTGGTACACCTCGTCCTTGTGATGCATGAGCATCTCACTCAGCCCCGCCTTGGGCGACTGCACGAGAGTGCCGTAGCGTTTGGAGGGTTTACGCTGGAGACTTGTCCAGACGCCGTGCGTGTGAGAGACAAATACGAGCGAGTTCTGCACGAGATTGTCAGCCTCTGAGTGCGGAAAGGGGATTAAAAAATCAATTGACATACGTCTTTGTACCACCGCGAAAGCCAGACTTGGGTGTGCGAGGCCACCGCTCGAACGGGGTTCTCGGCTACAAAGGAGACCACTCCGTTGACACGTTTATATAACGTTTCTGCTTGGTGTTAGCCATGCCTTGCATCGAGACGTCTCTTGTCCATCTCACCTCGGTTAATCAGCAGGTTTGCAACGCCGTAAAAGGCGTTACCAATGCCGATGAAAAAGATTTCCGTGGCTTCATTCGGCCTAAAAACTGTCAGTGTCACCCTACACGTCGGTGTGCCTCTGGAAAGACCTACTCGATGTAGTTATCCCAAAGATACCCAGCAAGTTCTTCTGTGGCGGTAGGTCGGTTCTCGTCCTCATCTTCATACTTTCCGGAGCTCTGTTAAGGAGTCAACAATCATTCGAATACTCAAAAGCAACATCAACTGACCGGATCAATAGTCACATGTTTTGGAATATTCACGTCGATGACCGCATAGCCCTTCTCCACGGCCCATCCAACATAATCCTTCAATAATACATCAGCCTGGTGTTTGTCAGCAGATGACTGAAACACCCCACACGGGTTCAACCTACAAGCCAGCAGTTATGAGCTTCTAACTTATTGGTGACGGGATGCGGTAAGCTCATGATCTCAGGCCTAGTCATAATCAGCAGAGTGTCGACCATATCATCTGGGGACTGCTCACGGGTCGTGGAAGAAAACAAGCAGGGGTTTCGCCTGATAGTAATTCGGACTAAAGGCAGGTTAGTGGTGATCGTGTCCCGCTGGGCGCTGGACTTACGTCGCAAGGACTTGATTCTCAAACGACTTCGAGATGGCAGTACGATAAATGTATAACGATGTCAATTTGTAGTTGTCATAAAGTTGCTTTGACTGATAAGCACGGATGACATCTACAGGCTTGTTAATATCTGGTCTGCCCAACTGTGAACTCCGCTTACCGTGAAGTCGATCGGTGAAGTGGCCTTCCTGTTGCGGCGCCTTTGGATACATGCAGCTCCAATAAGCCGACTGAATCATCATAACGCGCCTCACAGTCGTTGTTGCCGCTTCGGAAGGTGTGGTGGAATGCAGACGGTCGGGAGGGTCGCCCATTAGAGTCTTTGTAACGGCAAGAGCAGATTTCGAGATCGATCGGAAATTGTAGCCACCCTACGCACTCCATCTCAGCCCGGATATTATCACGTTCAATGGAGGGATGGTCAAACCTCGAGACAAACAGCAACCTTGCCGTGGGCAAGCGTCATAAGCATGTGCGTCATATGAGCGTAGCACGCTGGTGTCACAAAACAACCCCCAAGCTCATCGCCTGCGGCAGCGTCGAAACCAGAGGCAACTAGACCCGTCAGTATCGTAAAAGACTCCGGGTTCCAGGCAGATGATTGACGTACTGATGACAAGGTCCGGGTTAAATTCATAGGCAATTGGCATGACCACCTGCTGAAAAGCGTACATGTAGTCGCCATCGCCCATTCCCTGACTCGGCCACGGTATATTGACATTGCTTATTGCGAATCAGTAATCACCGCGTCGAAGAACGACTAGGAACAACATACCGTCCAACACCCGCACCCGCACCGCAGTGGTCCCAGTCACCTTCCTCGCCTCCGGGATAGAACTTGCCCTCTGAATAGACATGAAGCGAGATATAGAGAACGTTTGGATCATCGTAAAATGCTTTCTGGATGCCATTTCCTGCAGATAATGTGAGCCATTACGTCTTACCCCCACGGAAGGAATGAGAGCTTATTCAATTACCATGGTGAACGTCCCTAAGAGCAGGTTAGTAAACACGGAGATCACCAATGAATCACTAGGCTTACCAGTCAAGAATCAAGATCTTCCTGCAGTCCGCCCCCAGCCGCTGCTGACAGACCCGTGTTGCAATGGAGACATTATTGAACAGACAAAACCCCATGGTCTTGTCATGCTCGGCGTGATGGCCAGGGGGTCGGATAACCGCAATAGCATTCTTGACTTTGCGGGTAGCAACAGCCAGGCACGTCTCGATGGCTCCACCAACAGACAGGATTGAAGATGCAAAAGTGAGTTTATTGAAGTAGATCGAATCGCGTGTGTGTTCCAAAGCAATGAGTTCATCATCCGCCATATCTGCAGCCGGTCAAAAACCTGTACACCATTATAGCTGGCGTTTGATGGGCATCATTACCTTGGGTGCTCTCTACAAATGCGTAATGATCCGGCGTGTGGACCAGGGAAATCTCCTCCTCCGTAGCATTGCGAGCATTGATCCTCTGCAGAGGTCGGGACACGAGAGGCCGACTTGACTCGGGATCGTCAACGAGTCCAGCTCGGCACAGCTCCTTGTAAATGTAGTAAATTCGCCTGGGGTCCTCGGGATGCACGTCCGCAGTTGGCCGCACCTCACAGTGATAGCGCATTTGCACATCATAGCATAAACCTGACGGAAGCGAGGCAAGTGGGAGACCTGTTCGAGCAACTGCGTCTCCATCAGACCAATCGGAGTTCTCTTCGACCAGACTATCGTGTTTCTCGTCGTCGCCCGTTATTTCACCCGAGTCTACAGACTTGGGTAGACTCTTGGGTGGAGAGATCCCCTCGGACTCAGGCTTTGAAGGCGCTGCGAGAGTTTGAGAATTGCTTGGGTGGCGTGACAGCGGCAGCTTGAACGTCTGGCCCAGCAACGGAGATGTAATAGTTGGGTGTGAAGGCCCATCAAATTGGGGGGGCGCACCAGGGTTGCCCGCCTCACCCATGACGGTGTCTTCGTCACCTTCCAGAGCCATGGTGGTGAATGTGTGGCAGTTGCTTTGAGTTCCTCTTTGACTGAATGCTTGTTGAACGAATCAACACCTCATGGTCAAGCTCAATAGCGAGATAGAGGGTCTACAAAAAAATCCCCTGCTAGAAATATGTCAAATTGAGAATCTGACACCAAGAGAGTCAATTTAGCTGGTATATGTTGTCGAGACTCCTCGGCAAAAGAGGCGAAAAGAGGTATGTGTGCTGGTTTGTGTCCTTTGAATGTGGCAGGATCACAATACCAAGGGCACTAGATAACTTGTACTAGGCCCGGAGCTCAGGAAAGACCCACGAAATTGAACGACTAGCGAGGAACAACGGTTGACGTCTGGTGAACAACAGATATACTGCGGCAACCAGTGTATAAATCTAAGCCTGCCTCAGCAATCAAATCCGTGGCTGTTGGTACAAGGAACCACCAACAGAAGCATACCAGCGGAGGCGTTCTGGACTAAGAATCTCGAGTTAATTGTAGAGCTCGAAATTCCGCAGTTTAGCTGCCCTCCACGTGACCCTCCGCCCTCGAACTCCCAAAACTGGCCACTCCTTCACAAACACTCAGGCTAGTACAAACCGGTCGATCATGAGCAGAAACTGCCCAGATTCTGTAAGCTGATGCGATTAAGCAGCAGAAATGTTGTGGCTGCGAACGAGCTTCAGGCACGGCCAACCAGCAGGGACTACATCTCCTGTTGCGCTGCTCCGAGAAATCGCCGCGGGTTAGCGGAAAGGTAACTATCCTGTGGGCGATATATGCCCGCTAGCTGATCCCAGCCTGCCGAAGCTTAAACATGTCTGTAGCGCCGTCCCCGCTCTATGCTGGGATCGATATATCCATTTATTCATGATCTCTTGAGGCAACCAGTCTCATACTCAGACTGATACATCTACATTGCGGAAGTCGCGGAAACTAGATATTCTACGGGCACCGACAGAGGATTGAACAAGTATGAACATTTGTGTCATTTCATTAATAGTACGTCATCACATGCTTTTACTAAAGCGGGTTTCCATCAGAGCAAGCCGAAGCTAGGCAATTGAAGCCGCGCACTCAAAGCAAGCTCTTGAGGTCCATCTTCCGTCCTGATTTCTACTGGCTGTCGACCTTGGCGATGTAGGCTATATGCAATGATTAGATATCCGCTCACACAGGCTTGACAAAAACCACAGAACTTACAGATGAGGTCAACAACACGGCGGGAGTAACCCCACTCGTTGTCGTACCAGGAGACAAGCTTGACGAAGTTGGGGTTGAGGGCGATACCGGCCTTGGCATCGAAGATGGAGGAGTGGTCGTCACCGTTCAAGTCGGAGGAGACGATGTCGTCCTCAGTGTAGCCGAGAACACCTACGAGCGCATTAGCAAGAGTCCTGACTCAATGCCTAGGTCACGGCACTTACCCTTGAGCTCGCCCTCGGAGGCAGCCTTGATGGTCTGCTTGATCTGGTCGTAGGAGGCGGCCTTCTCGAGGCGGCAGGTCAAGTCGACAACGGAAACGTTGGCGGTGGGGACACGCATGGCCATACCGGTGAGCTTGCCGTTGAGGGAAGGAATGACCTTGCCGACAGCCTTGGCAGCACCAGTAGAGCTGGGGATGATGTTCTGGGCAGCGGTACGGCCACCTCTCCAGTCCTTGTTGGAGGGGGCATCGACGACCTTCTGGGTAGCGGTGTAAGAGTGGACGGTGGTCATGAGACCCTCAACGATACCGAAGTTGTCGTTGATGACCTTGGCGAGGGGAGCAAGGCAGTTGGTGGTGCAAGAGGCGTTGGAGAGAACGTTGATGTCCTTCTTGTACTCGGTGTTGTTGACACCCATGACGAACATGGGGGCATCGGCAGAGGGAGCAGAGATGATGACCTTCTTGGCACCACCCTTCAAGTGAGCGGAGGCCTTCTCCTGGGTGGTGAAGACACCAGTGGACTCGACAACGTAGTCAGCGCCCTCCTGGCCCCAGGGGATGGCAGCGGGGTCACGCTCAGCGAAGAAGCGGATCTTCTTGCCGTTGACAATGAGGCCCTGGTCGTAGGTCTCGATGGTACCCTTGAACTGGCCGTGGGTGCTGTCGTACTTGAGCATGTAGGCCTACATGATGAGCATTGAGCTCAAGGTCAGATGGTGTCTCTTGCTGCTGGTAGCACAGGATGGCAGTAACATACAGCATAGTGGGTCTCAATGAAGGGGTCGTTGACGGCAACAACCTCGACGTCACCAGAGTTGATGCTGTAAACATACTGTTAGTCCCAATTGGGTCCCGGATGCTCCGGCCCCATCGGAGCCAGCGGAGGCTAGCACTCACGCGTTACGGAAGACCTGGAAATGATGTTAGCGGGGTTCATTTGCGGCAGGAGTCTCAGGGCAACTTACAATACGTCCGATACGACCGAAGCCGTTGATACCGACCTAGAATTGATCAGGTGAGTAACCAAACGATGATTGTCGAGCTCATTCGCTTCACAGAGCGTACCTTGGGAGCCATTGTGAAGATGTGTCTGTTTGGTGGGGTAGCTGGTTAATAGAGGACACTCGGTAACGGGACGGTAGCTTGGCGGAGGAGGGGTAGTATACGAGGATGGATGAGGATAGGAAAGAATGGAATGGGTGGGGAAGAAGACTTACTATTTGGAAAGAAGTGAGTTGGAAAGAAGATGGATGAGTAGATGATGATGATGGAGAGAAGAGAGAAAGAGAGAAGGGAGAGAAAAGTTGAACAGGGCGGGGGAGGGGAAGGTAGAAAAAGGATAGCGGGCAGACCGTTTGACTGACGCAACGACCCGGTCACTACACCGGACAGACAGACGGGGCAAAGGCTGTGCGGCAAGCTCTGCCACTCTGCTCCCAGATACGCCAAGCTGGTCAGTGTGGGATTGCCCTATTGATTGTCCCGACATGCGCCGCTCCCCAGCTCCCCCATAGCCTTTTCCGGTTTCATACACCGGGCGAAGCAGGAGATTCACGATATTTGGAACTCCCAGACTTTCCACCTTACCCCTCGGCAGCTGCCGTTTGGGCCAATAGGCGGCCCCTAAAGCTATCACGCCGGGTACTCACTCCAATTCTCGAGAATCTTTTACCAGCAGTGACCTGCAATTGCCAGCATTTACCAGCATTTTCGGCTTTGTTGCTTTTCGTATGCTTGAAAGCCTAGGTTATGTTGAGGGCTATTCTCGGAAGGAAAGACAGGCCACCTTCTTTCTACGGGTGGGATCACCCGAGGTGGTAGACGACAGGGAAGAGATCGAATGATGTAACAACAGCCCACCACCACTTTCGCTCACTTGCTCATTCAACTCACTCCCTCACCCACCTCATCCCATCGTATCGCCCAAAAAAAGAGAGGGGCATTAGGTCCGAAGTCCCGAGTGTTCCAGTTTCCTTACTAAGATTTGCCGCATTCAGTTTCGGCCCGTTCGATGCTCGGTTCGGGCTTATGATGATCCTCACTTGGCAATCGTGCCCCTCTCTTTCCTTTCCGCCCTGGCTGGACCATAAGTTGCTGGGGGGGGAACGCTGAAAGCGGGCCTGGGGAGAGCTTCAATAGGCCTTAACACCGAACGTGCCTGAAAGATTCACCGGCGACCACATCAACCATCACGCGCTGGGTCTCAGATTTATTTTTTTTTCCCTCGCTTTTTTCGGTCTTTGGTCTTTGTGATTTGTGGAAGACTGCAGGCTCTGCCGCTCTGTGCTAATCCCTCAATATCCAATGGCAATGAAGAGAAAGAAATCGTGACATTGGACGGTCTGGCTTCTAGTGAATCTAGTGACACACAGCCTTTGAGTCATTCATGGAGTATATGACCTATGTTCATTGTTCAAGAGATTAGAAATACAAGATCAAACCCCGGAGGCGAATGGATACCCTTTATTGGCAGTAAGCCTGAGGCAAGCGGATAATCCGGCAGACAAATCGAAGGAACCCCGAACCACCTCGCTTCCATGATCGGGTCTGACTCCACATATGAACACATCCACCTCCATCGAGACCGGCATGTCAGCTGAGATGACAGTTCGATGTATTAGCATGGATGTATGCGGTTGGTGCTTATAAGACATCGAAGGCCATTGGTCTTTTAACACCAGCTCGCAATATGAGGTCAGACGAAAATCCCGGCGTTCCATACTACATCACCACTATTTGGCTCGAGCATCAAGATCGCCTCGTCATTGCGAACGCCAGAAACGGGTCAGGATGACCTGCTTACAGAATCTAATCACATGAGAAGAGAAGAATATCGTAAACCCATCGGCACTATCATTAGGAGCGCGAAGATCAAAGCGAGACAGCACCAACGCAGCTCAAATCGACTTCCACTCCAATGGCAAGGCATCTATAAATACAAGAGGTGCAAAACATGTGCGATCCTACTCGCGCGTCTGTTTACCCAAAGCCTCCCATTTACTCCTCCTTGACACCACCGCGCCAGTTCTTCTCGGCGCTCTCGACCGAAGCCTTGTCACTCTTGATCTGGCCCTGGTTCAAGAAGCTGTTGCCGGACTTGAAAGGGCGCTGGAGGTCGCCGGTGGCAGGCTTGCCGAAGATGTAGATCTTGACCAGGTTCGATTCAAAGGCGCTCTTGAGAGGGATGATCGACTGGATCAAGAGAGGGTTGGTGTACTTGAAGTAGAGGTGCATCACACCCATCATGCCAACACCCATGAGCTGACCACGGATCAGCTGGCGCAGCTGTCCCTTGTCGTACTCGCTGACGGTGGTAGTAACGGGGCGAGGCTCCTCGTTGCTACCCATGGGAGCAGGCTCGACATACTTGAGCGTAGTCAAGTCTTGAAAGATGGTTAGTAAATGTTTATCTTGTCATCGGAGGTAGTCGGAGCATACCATTCTTTTTGTTGATCTTGGCCTGCGTATACAGGTAGAGACCCAGGATGATCACGTTGGACAAGATGTACAAGCAGCGGACCAAAAGAAGAACATCGGGGTTTTCGAAAGGAACCTTCTTGGCCAGCTGCATCATCACCACGATGATGACGAGATTGGTACTGCGACAAAGAACGGGTCGTCAGCAATGTCGGGCATTTCGAGATCCGCCACAGGCTGGAGAGGGGAGCGATGATGATTTTGCTTGAAAACTTGGGGAGTGATCATCGAGATAACTCACATTTGAGGAGACACCATCTTGACGGATTGAACGGCAGTGCTAAAGCCTAAAAGGACCCTTTAACGATGAAGAGCAGTGCGCGATGGGGTGAAACAACGATCGCGTGCAAGGACAGAAACTTCTAAAACTGCGGAACTGGAGCCCCGGGAAAGTCGGCCAGCTGTCCTGATAGTGTAGTGTCACGTGGCTCATGCTTGCCACTATCAGTATGGCACTATCAGGGCCACACACTACTCAGATAGCGTCAGCGATAAGCAGTGCATCTTTGCCTCAGGCATTAAGCCAGCCCCCAAGCCAGATCACCTGCCCAACTTACATAATCAGTCCAGCAACATCATGCTCTGCACAACTCTCCCGCCAACCTCAACTGTGCCTCTACGTACAGTCAAGAAACCTCCACGCTGCACCATCTGATGCAGCTCAGGACTCTTCTTCATGGAGAGCCTTCGGGGCAGAAGCTATTCAATGCAATGGCTCTTTCTGATACAAGTAGTGTCTTTCACCATCACTGCATCGAGACTTGAATGAGTCGACCCAGCGGTGGTATAGACACTCAACAACTAACCTCACCAGATCATCTCTTTGGGTGTCGGCTGCAGATTGAGCCTTGTCTCTTGCTTCTGCGCAGTCTATTCAGACTCAAGCACCAGCAGCTGAGATCATGCCTTTTGAGAGGCGAACCGACAGGCATATTCTATGCTGGTCGAGACCTCTCCGTGGTAGGCATCTGAGCAGGTTTCCTAATCGGGTCTAGCGCCGCTCCACGTTCGACGCCCGTCTTTAGCGACCAGGATGGCTTTGACATTTCTGACTCCTTCATCCATCAACAACGCGCGTGCTTAAGGTGCATCGGATCGCTCCAACATCCACCATCGCACCCCCACCCCTTCAAATCCTCGATTGACGCGACATTTCGGTCCCTACGGTCTCAACCCTCGAATCTTTTCACGATGCCTGGCGGAAAGGGAAAGTCTATCGGTGGAAAGGGTGGCTCCAAGGACTCTGCGGGGAAGAGCCAGAAGTCTCATAGCGCAAAGGCCGGTCTGCAGGTCCGTAATTCAGTGTCTTCCTTTCTTCCTCTCGAGAGTGGCGTCGGTCACGGCGTCAATCGGCATTTCGCGGGGACGCGTGGTTGAGGCAGCTGTGATGGCAATTTTTCCTCTGCCCCTCACGCATGCTGTCATGCTGGCGTTTGGCTGCATTTTGTCTGCTTCTCGAATTAGAGAATCGCTTTCAGATCATGCCTCACAGTCGCGCCGACTATTTCCATCATGGATCAAATGCAGAGACTCGGGCATCTGTGCCTTTGACACCCCCTCCTGCCTTCCCTCGACCCCGTCTGAACATGCATCCAACTATCGGTCTTGTTTCGGAGCCAAAAGCTGATATCTACTTCGTTAGTTCCCTTGTGGACGTGTCAAGCGTTTCTTGAAGAACAACACGCAGAATAAGATGCGCGTCGGTGCCAAGGGTATGTCCTTGAGTTCTTCTCACACTGCTACTAACCTTCCCCCACCCGCAAACAATGCTGACAAATAGCTTCCACAGCTGCCGTCTATGTCACTGCTGTCCTCGAATACTTGACCGCCGAAGTGCTTGAACTTGCCGGAAACGCCGCCAAGGATTTGAAGGTCAAGCGTATCACGCCCCGTCACTTGCAGCTTGCGATCCGCGGAGACGAGGAACTGGATACTTTGATCCGCGCCACCATCGCCTTTGGTGGTGTCCTGCCACGCATCAACCGCGCGCTGCTGCTGAAGGTTGAGCAGAAGAAGAAAAGCAAGACTGACGCTTAAAATTCCTTTTAACGGCGGACCGGATACCCGACGAACAAATGGCGTTCTGATCATGATGAATTCAACCCGGGAGGACGAGCCCTCTTTTCCTTGTTCCTTAGCCTTTGGCCTGCTCTCGGCCACCGCCAGCACGTGCCGTCGATTCTAGGATATGAACATAGTGGCACTTTTGTGTCTCCCGGCACGCTACGCGTTCGAAATGTTTCTTTAGCTCTGTTTTTCTCTTGTCTTACTTTTCTTTTTCATGTGCTTATCCCCCTTCGTCTCGACAGTTGTGTCCGTTCTTCTTCTTTCGTGTTCCGATCAATTCTGTTTCTATTTCTTATCCAGGGCGCTGTAATGGGAAAAAGGGAAATATCTCGGCAGTCGGTTCTTTTCTTTTCTATGCTGTGTGTTGTTGATCATTTACTTTACTATGTCTTCTTATAATCTACTATGAAACGGTGTTGTGTGCTTGCGCTTGACGAGACTGTACCTCCTCCCTTGTCTCATTATGTAACAGATGGCTTGTGGTTAGATTGTAGCCATGGCATGGTCTTTGGTATATTTGTGGAAATCGGGATTTTGAGATCCTACTGAATATAATTTGGATTTCGTAAAGCAATGGGGATTCAGCAAGAAGAGTATAGTTAGTGCAGGTAATACAGTATCCAGTGCTACACGAATCAATTCTCCCTAAGTGAAGAGATAGTACGCAATTCTTGAATCTCGTTGCATGTACATTGTAATCTCACTAGCAGGGTATGGCATTAGCGAGATACCCCGTGTATCCCTTGTGTAGTATGCGTGTTGGGGGGGTGGTGCTATAGTAGTAGTAGTAGTAGTAGTAGTAGTAGTAGTAGTAAGTAGTATATAATCAATAATATATTATCAATAACCCCAACGCGCCCGGTCACCACTAAACACCCAAAACTCATCGCTATTGGGGTATTATCTACAGCTGAAATCCGGTAATAGCAGAAGATCTCAATATGAAACACTGTCAGCAATGACCGAACTGCAATGAACAGAATTCCTTCCGATGTGGTGAATTACTGATGTGGCAGATCGGACATGTATATATATATATATAACAACAGACACGTGACGGCAGGTCAGCAGTGTCTTGTCTTCTGGGCTGGAGCCGGGGGATTGAATTACGCATAAAAGGCATGTGCTGTAGTTAGATCTTCAGGGAACAAGGATTGAAAGTTGTGAGCAGGAAATAGGTAGTGTATGCATATAATATATGTGTTGGTTATTTTGTTGAGCTCCTACAATAATCGAGCAGAGTAGGCAGCATTCCGAGTGTATCCGTTGATAGGGTTTGATGATACACATTGAAGTCAAAGACTCTAGCTCTACTCACGATACAGGATCTTTTATAAGTATGGAGTGATGTGCTACAGCGCCAACCGGGCGTAATCAATCCACGGACGGAAAGGTAAAAAGATCAATAGCTGATACAGTACACATACAAAGTCATGTCGATCATACGAACATCAAGCAGCCCTCCACCCATGGCTTGGGCTTGTTGCCCTGGCATCAAGAACAGGCAATGGCCCAGCAGAAATTAACGTACCCTTCGGCAACGAGCAAAGAGTGCAAGCACCCGTTCCGACCCGTTCCTCCCTTGAACGAAACCCACTGCGCGTATCCGGAGTGAGGTTCGCCGCCACAGCGGTGAACCACAACCCTCAACAGAAGATTTCCAGGCAAAAAGATTCATGAAACAATGGCAGGTAACTGAATTACATATGCGCGGACATCCCTCCGGAATCAAGTCTGGTCAAAAGAAGGACGTGGCCCAGGCAACAAGCGCAGTGCAACTGGTGTGTATGCGGTTTTGCGAAAGAATTCGTCTCAACGAGGTGACCGCACCACAAGTCAAGTGCCTGGACTCGAATAACGAAGAGTGAAGAGCAGCTTGGTTTCCAGATCATAAGGAGAGAAATGGGTGAGAAAAGAATAGAAAGGTGAAAGAAAGGAAAGAGAGAAAAAAAAAAACATTAATTGATGCAGATCGCCCCATATACAAACAAACATAAAAAAGGAATAAATGATGAAGATGCAAATGCTGGTAGGTCATCATCTCTCTTGCCAGTATAACAGACATCGGAATTCTTTTTCTTTTCTTTGGCCGTCCTTCATAGTCTTCTTTCCCTCGAAAAATAAAGAAATTTTAAATCTTGCTTTCCGCCGACACAACTTGATCGAGCTTCAGGGGTCATAAGATCTGAGTAGATAGTGGTGATTCTGCATGCAAGGCGCCCGCGTCTCAAAAAGTTCAGAGATTTCTTTTTCTGATGTAATTTTTCCGCGTAACAAGGAGAAAACATAAAGAGTCCGTTCAAACAGCGTGCCTGCTGGGCTGCCCCAAAATAACGTCTAAACTTGGCTAGATCAGAGAAATATTCTTTTGTGGTTCTCTCGGTTGAGTGTCATCTCGTCATCCCTCATCGAATCGTAAGCCAATAATCGCGGAATAGGATCAGGCCTCGTGATATAAGAGTCGTATGCATCTTGCGGCAAAGCAATCTAACAAGTTTCGTCGTCTTCGTCTCCCATCAATAGATTTTACTCCACAATAATTTCCACTCCGGAGCTGGTGCGCAACTCGTCACTTCCACGCGTTTGGTGTCCGGTCGGGCGTCGAAATCCTGGACCTTTCTCGGGCATCGGGCCTCGCGGTTGTCTAATGGGCATGCGCTCCTGTGACTGTCCGTCAAATCCAACTCCGATGGATCGGTTACTACCAATGGGACCAGCGCTGGAGGGTTGACTCTCCGGCTGCTCCCAAGAAAACATACCCCTCAATCTGCGCGGGCTCGCGTTAGGCCCCCCAATCCCAGTTCCCAAAGAAAGACTGCTCAGGCTGTTCACCAACAGGCTGTCGTCACGCTGCATGCCGAGGGAGGATCCGGACGGGGCGGACGTCAAGGTAGGTGTGTTGGACGCGCCGCTGGCGGTGCCGTCATAGTGCTGGAGGCGCGCGCCGTTGGACTGCAGCGCGGCGGGAAAGCTGGCAGAAGAAGGCACGGGCGAGGGGGTGTAGGAGCGCAAGTCGGCAAACGATTTCGCCGCCCGCAGGTTCTGTGTGTTCCCGAAATTGCCGGGAGAGTCCAAGACTCCAAGGAAGCCCGAAGGCTGTCCGCGCAGGGTGTTGAAAGGGGTGGGTCCGTCGCCCCGAGACTCACTGAAATCAATGGTGGCCGCGCGGTTCAGTCCCCGACGCGCCGTTTCGACTGGCTGGACTGGGGCAGGAATAGACGACAATGGCGGGCTCACATTGGTACCAGGAGGGACCTTGAAGACTTGAACCTGTCGCTGCTCTCCCGACCCACGGGATGCATGTCCAAGACCCATATTGTGAGCGAGAGTATGGACGGTACGGCGCTGGATAGGCGAGAGGTTGGAGGGGAACACTACGGAGTCGCGAGCAGTATCCTCTTTGAACAAAAGCAATTGCGAGTAGTACGACAGCGTCGTGCTATCATTCAAGTCGACATCTGGAAAGCGACGTCAAATGATTAGCGATACAGAAACAGCGCGACATCGGAAAAGGATCTTACCTAGCTTTTGGCCCCGCTGCGAGACGGGGGACGGAGAGGTTGCGGGCAGGTGGGAGGTGAGAGAGGACATAGAGCTCTGGGTTTGCAGCTGCGAAGTCGCCATAGGACGGTGCTGCTCTTCCAGCTGGCCTCGTCGCTCGCGCTTCTCTCGCTCGATCCGCTCGCGCTCCTGCAGCGGAAGCATTTTCTTGTACTCGACCCGCAATTTCCGACCCTGCAGCTCGAAATGGTTCAGGACCTCGATGACGGTCGCAGTTTCTTCTGCGGAGGTGAAATTGGCGAAGGCCAGACCCCGGAAGACACCGTTATCGAAGTGATAATTGAAAGCGTAGGGAAGTGGCAGGTTGAGCTCTGTCATGAGCTGAACCAACTGCTCTTTCTTGACTGCAAATGGAATGTTCTTGATGACGATGGCGGTCGGAATCAGCTCATCGTCTGCCTCTGAAGGACCGGTCGGTTCCTGCCGCATCGCGTTGCCCTGGAGAGGACCGGGGCCAAGGTTCGAGAAGCCACTTGGGATGCCAGGCTGCTGATCAAGCCATGTCTATTTGAGGATTAAATTAGCGAACCGACTTTGACGACAAACCTTTCGAGAACGGATGGTACATACGGTTGGCAAGCCAGCTCGACCGGTGCGCGAGGTGGTCTTCAAGCTGGCTGAGGCCGATCGGATGCCCCCCAGTGCTTGGGCGTTGGCAAAGCCATTGGGGTTCCAAGTCTGCGAGCCGGCCAGATCATAGGCATAGGAATTGTTATGCAACGAAGAGTTCAGGCGCTCCAACCGGCCAGAGTCGTAGCGAGCCATCGAGTCTTCATACAGGTTGACTGGCATGGGACCGTAGGCGTCAAATTGTCGCGACGGCTGGCGGTGCAGAGGCTGCTGGTGACGCTGGGAACCAGGGGAACGCGCCTGAGAATTGTCGTGATACATTTCCTGAGCTTGTTGATAACTCATGGCGACCGAGAGATTGTGAATTCCCAAGAAACAACCAACCCGAGGAATGTGGACACGGAGATCCACCACACAACGATTCGTTCAATAAGAAGCCGACAGTCGGGAGGAACTATTCAAACATAGAAGCGACCGAAAAGGCGCTTGGACCAGTAGCAGGTAAATCCCCCAACGACACTAGGGTCACGGACGATGATCGAGTCGTGCGGAATTCGAAGCTCGAAAGGCAACGGTCGAAGATAATAAGGTCGATCACCAACGGAGGGAGGAAAGACCCAACACGGCGATAGTCGAGGAATACGAGGGAGGAGAGGAATGCGAAAAAGCGACAAGGAGGCTGAATCGCAGGCGAACTAATTGTCTCGTGACGAAAGGGTCATCAATGGCCGTGTGAATCCTCAGGCGTTAATCGGTTTCAGGAACTTTTTTTTCTTTTCTTCTCACTTCCCTAGGGGCATTAGAAAACGGCAAGAAGGAAGACTGGAATAAAGATCAAAAGATCAAGTAAGAGAAAGATGAAAAATAAAGAGAATCAAAGGAACCGTGATGATAACAAACAAATGAATAAGAGCAAACGAAAGGGAAGAGAAAAGGGAAAAAGAAGAGAGAAATTGCCACTACTTGGTTGAGTGGGGGGGGAGGGGGGGTGAGTGTGGGAGACACCAAAAGTCCGACCTGGTGTGTGGAAAGGCCAATGGTGGTGGTGGTGGTGGAGGTGGTGGTGAGGGGAGGGAAGGGGAAGGGAAAAGAAAAGAGAGGGAAGATTAGAACAAGACAGTAGCAGGAGGTGGTCCGGCAGGAGGAGGAAAAAGGGAAGAAAGGACGGAAGGGAGGAAGACCAACAACGTAGAGCAAGCAGAGCACAGCAAGAGCAGAAGCAAGAACAACAAGAGCAAAAGCCAATGCAAAATGCAAAGCACGCACGCACGCCAAACGGCACGCAGAAAAGCCGGGCAACCGCTTAGTTCGAGGACTTTAACTCTTCACTCTTCACTCTCTTGTCTGGCCTTTCTTCCGTGCAGCAGTGGGTAGGTGGCAGTTGGGGTAGGTAATCTCTCACCAGATAAGAAATTGATGCTTGGGAGAGAGAGGGAAAAAGAGAGTTTGCTCACAATCAATCACTGTGGACGGAGGAATTCAAGATGTGGTCCGGGAGGAGGTGATCATCCCAGGCACAGGTATCTAGGCAAAGGCAGGCAGGAGAGAGGGAAAAAAAAAGTGAAGAGACACAAACACAACGAATGGGATGAAGGGATTCCCGCAAGTCCAAGTCAAGTGCCAATAAGTGCCAATGGGGGACGGGACGAAGAGACGGGGAAGATCGAGAGAGAGAGAGAGTATCCAGTGGAATCACTGGAATCACTGGAACAAAGTGGAAAAGAAAGCTCGCTAGACTTGTGTGGACTTGCTTTTCCTTTCTTGTCCACTCAATAATGTCCAGTCGAGGTGTTTGAGATGGGTCTCTCTTTTCCCTCTTTCCCTCGAGTCCTCACTCTCACTTGACCCTCCGTCGGGTGTTATTCTTCGTATGCAACAATTGGAAAGTCTGGGACGGAGCTGGGGGAGGTTGGATGGATGATGGATGATGGATGGAGAACTCTGATATCACCAAATGAGGTCACTCGATTCAATCACTGCTGATGTGCTTCAATCGCGGCCTTCTTGGTGGGGTTGTTGTTCGTCCTGCCCTCTTTCAACTCGCTTGCGCTTTCCCACTCCTTTAGACCTTCTGGAGTGTTTCTTTTGCTGTCGCAAACCTCGTTCAAGTGGCGGAGGCAAAAAAAAAACAAAAAACAAAAACCAAAAAGACGCAATCATCGAGGGAATATTGTTGGGAAATGGACACAAAATATAATGGGGGAATCTGAGGCTTTGCCCAAAAGAGGAAAGCAACGATGATTGGCCGATGCAGTCGCAAATCCAGAATCGGGGCTTGTCTCTGCAAGATGATGCTAGACCTTGAAGATGGGAAGGCTGGGGCCATGCAGATAACATATATCTATAGATAGATAGATAGAGCAAGAGAGAGAGAGATAGGTGAATCGGGCGCAAATGATAGATGAGATCAACAACAACAAACCCAAAGAAATCACATTCACTTACTGTAATGGAGAAAAGATCAATCAGTGTTCAGGTAGGAATCCAAAACAATCGGTTCAAGCGTAGGTACAGTACTCCGTAGTATGTATACGATTTTGAGCAGACGAGATCTATCGAAAGTCTCAGGAACAGGCCAAGTACTTAAGTACCTCGCATCTCAGGGTACTAAGAAGTGATTTAGGAGAAAATAAAATGGGGAACTGTACAGAGAGGGTATAGACTGTAGAGAGAGTGAGTCGAGTCCAGTACCGTCCACCCGGTACTAACCCAACTACGGCTACTGACTATGGAGTATCGATGGCCACCACCCCTACTACTAATTACGGAAGAGCCGTTTCTGTCGTCTTTGCACCTCCTGAAAGTCTGGAGATTCAGGTACCAGTTACATTTGGAGTTTTCTCGGAATTACTGGATGACCCATGGGGATGGTTTCTGTCATTACTGGCCTGCCTCGAGGGAGAATTTGGTTGACCCCTGAATCCTCCCGTTAACGGTTTCTGAAGGAGACCAGAGAAAGAGGGAAATGAATGGATGTGAAGAGCATGAATCATCTAAGGGTGACAATTGACAAGTATCGTCAAATCGACCTCCTTGGGAGTTCCATTTAATCATCGTTCTTGCCACTATGGCTGTTTTGAAACCTTCTCTTTGTTCCGCGAGTCCCCTGAGCTCCGGAGGGAACTGAATTGAGATTCCCCCATACTCGTAGTCTGGTTAGTGCACACTCCTCATGGCAATGTCTCCCACCGCGTCATCTCTCTTCGTTTTGCCCCTGCTTCGTCGTCAAGCGATTGTCGCCATCTGGTCTGTTCTCCTGTCGATGTGTGTTTCAGCCTGCCATCGTCGGGATGTCCCTGATAGACCAGCTTGAGAACACAGCACCCCGCCTCGTACTTCTTTCCCCCTCCACCCCCCCTCCTTCAAACTTCCACATCTAGTCCACTTCCGATCCCCTTCTTTGAGTCTCTTGGGCATCTTGGGCATAGGGGATTATTCCCATCGAAGGAGGAGTGTCAATTGGGCCTGGAATCTGTCATCAGACATGACGCATCGGTCCGAAGATCGTTCCCTTCTTTCGCTCTCGGCGATTTCCTCTGGGGCAGGGGGGCAGCAATGAATAGCTGCCCATCATCTCTTCTGGTGCCTCAACTCCCTCATTTCATGAGGCAACTTTCTTCTCATCGACTGTTCCGGAAACGTTCCTGCCTTGGCAGTTCGTACTCGGGGAAACTGTAAGTGCAAGTGTTAGACGCGTCCCTATTGCTCCCTAATGCCGTACCTAGCTAGACTAGGTACGGTGGGTTGCGGGATCCGCCTTTCGGTGGGTAAATACATGCCTTATAGCTTCAATACTTCCTGGGAAAAATAAACAAATTCAAAAGTCAAAAAAAAAGGAGGAAGGGCTCTCCACACAAGCTTTGGCAGCTTGGCCCTCATGACCTCGTTTTGCCGGTGTGAGCTTCACATTTCAGAAGCGATCGTGGTCGACCAAGCCATCATCAACCTAAATCATCAACAACAATCCTGCGAACAAGAATCAGCGCCGGGATCGACTGAGCCGGCAATGCATTGAACGCAGAGCTAGCGAAGAGCCAGCCCCGAAAATCATACCTGTCAATCGGGATCAAGTCCGGCCCCTGATGGGCGGTACTCCAGACAGTCTATTTACCCTGCATGTGTCTATTCGAGCTCCGGAAAGACACTATCGCTGTTATTATTATCTTCCGTGCTATTATTATCGCTTCCACCGTCGAAGCAAATTTTACTGCGTCATCTAAGTGACACGCAAGTGTCTACAAAGTACGGAGTCCGGAGTCCGGAGGAGTCTCCCCTCGGACGAAGTTCTCAATGACATGCGCAACGGATTATCTTCTGCCAACCCATTTTTCTCACGGACTGATTCTTGCTAATGGAGATTCGAGTATGACGCTCAAATTCTCGTCTTCCGGCGAGCACGCTCCGTGACGAAAAGCGGATCTGGAATTATCCCACCGGCCCTGAAAGGGCGAGGCCACACAGCAAAAACATACTCACTCACACTCACTCACATACACACGCCATAGGGATCCGCAAGTCCCCGAATTCTGGCTCTTATGGGGAATGGTCCAATGCTCTGGCGGTTTGGCATTTAACACTCCGAAGCTAGAACCCGCTAGAGTGTCACCAGAACCTGTTTAGCGGAGATGTCAGATTTCCCGCTCGTTTATTTTCCATTCTCGAAGCCCGCCGCAGCGCGCGGGCTTATCAAGTACTTACAACTAGATAAACTAACTGTAATCCTTCCCATTGTCATGCAGTGGCCCGCAGTTGGCTGGGCTGGCACCTGTCCCGGCAAAGCTGGAGAGGGAGGGGGACAAAGGTCTGCTAGGCGAGCACTAAAAGAGGCAGTCTCCGACTCTTCGGTCTCTTAGTAGTCCCATCAGCGAATGCGATTACTATATCCACCACATATCCAGTTTCGGCACTCACTTTTGGGGGCCTCTTCAACCCTCAGGGTAATTTATTCATCGAGACAGGGCCAGTCCCGTGGCGTAGCTCGTCGGGGAGCTTCTATGGGCGATCCCGACATGAGCTAAAGTCGCAAGCGCTTCCATAGAACATTCTTAGTCCGTTCCCAGTCCACCGAGGGTCGGTTTCTCTACCCACTCGAGGAAATTGGAATGGAGTCTCTCAGACACCATAGTCCTACTAGTGATTCGCCGTCATCGCTGATTGGTGTTTTCAATGGATTAATAATTACTATGGGACTGGCATTAGCCTCCGCGACAGCAGAGATAGGGGGGCAGGCAGTTCCGGCACACCAATCGCCTTCCGTGAACTCGACGGGATCGAACGGCTTCAACAAGTGTGAATCCGAACGACCAGCAAGACATTGTTGTCCAAACGTGCTCTTCTATGGGTGAACATGGTACCATCTCTCCACGATGCTCAAGCCAGTTAGAAAAGCAGGTGAATCGACCCGGAGGTAGTCGCATTCATACTAGATGACTTGCCCGTCTATCTATCAACCTGTCGATTTCCGTGTAGCAGAACCTTTTCTGTTCGTTGACAGCCTGTGCGATCTACTGTCCAAGTGCTTGCCCAGTTCCCTTCAACCTTGCTGGGGCCATATCCTCGTGGTCCCAGGAGATCCCGCACCCACGCAGGAGCTTATTGAACCCGGACAAGCTCCAGTCTCTCGAGAGAAGACATCAGTCCCTGTGGATGTGGCATTAACATGATGCAACCCGAACGAAAAGCAAGTGCTTCATTAGGCCACGCCGCATCATCCCGTCAAGGTCAATCTCTACCATACACACGGTAATGGGAGGTGAAGATCATCATCTAACAGTCATCATTCCCTGGTCGGAAAGACAAGTTAGTGAGTGTACTGTATTGACCGCATCCACCTCCCTACCAATGGTCTCCGAAGAGGTTACCCTCAACTTATGTCATTCATCTGAAACACTGCACTTCTCCTGTTGTCTGTGTCAAGCACTTGCATGGCCAGCGAATGTGTAGCAGGTGCGAATGTGTTGCAGGCTACAGATCCCGCACCGATGCCTTTTTTGCCGAGTCCCCTGGTGACTTCAACTCACTGGTCATCACAACGCAGAGCAGTACACAACTCGAATTGCTATCTCCTTCAGATCGGGCAATTGATGACGACCCTTCTCTCTTCCCTTTATTTTTTCCGTTCGCAAGGTGTGATGCTTTTCATGTTTTGTTTTGGTCTGTGCAGGATCGAGCTAATGCAATGCAGTATGTAAGCCACCTGATCCATCAATTCTCGCAAGTCGCCACATGAGATATTTTCTCCCCCAAGAACCAATGCAACCCCCCTCAGAGAAAGACACTCACTGCCACATATAAAAGAAAAGTTTCCCAAACGAAACGAAAAGTCACGAATCCATACACTAGCCCATAGATCACCTCTGTCACACCCCTCTAACCATCGCCCTCCTCTCTAATGATAACCAACAACAGCCCTCACAGAACAAATTACAACCCTTTGGACCCCGCCAAACCCCAACTCGACCATCGAATCGTGCCCTCGAGGCCACATACAGAACAGACCAATCTCGCCCAACGCAAGGGTTACTCACCAACACCCTTCCCACCAACACATACATACCCATTCACAATCAACCACACACATCCTCCGAAGCAACCGTCCTGCATGGAGTGCGTACATGATCGTATGTACGCACATGTAGCATATCAGATTCCTTTTTCCCGATCCGGGTCCACCCACCTCGTCCATATTCCATCCTGCATGTTCGCGGAGTGAGGTGAACGGACCCTTGCTTGAACCTTTTCGTTCGCTCAGCAAGGGAAAAGTCGCCCGTGGAGGGTTTTTCTCTCCCTTCCTGTCAGCGGATGTCATCTCGGTTGTTTCCGGAGTGATTCGAAGAGAAGGGGTTTAGATCTGTGAGTGGTTAGGATGGTGGATGATGTGTTGGTAGTCCCAGGTTGTGCGTTCAGTGCTGGGGCCCCGTGGTATCCGGTGACCTCGTTTTTGCTTTTTGCTTGGCGTAGGATACATCATGGGCTGGAGTTTTAGTAAGTAAGTAGAGGTGTAACGATGTGGTCGGAGTTGGATTACGCATATATGGGGGGCTTGGTAGGTGTTATTCTGGGGATTTGAGGAGGTAGCTCATGTCAAGGGCGCTTTTGGGTCCGCGCGAGGAGGTTCTGGTGGCTTGTAGGTTTTGTATTGATGGGGTTGGTTATCTTTCCAGAGTGTATGGTAGTCTGGGGGGGGGGGGGGGGGGGGGGGTTTTTTTTTTTTTCTTTATCTGATCGGATTTAGGTATTCGGTCCCGGATTATAGTAGACACAAACGATGCCTAAGCGTTTGCCACCTTGATGACGGTTCTCGTTCCATGTTCGCGATGCTCGTACAGTATGATTGTTACACTTTTTGTGCGACGCGTATCGAACTTGGTTACTGTTGTTTGTTCCTTCGTCAGGATAATGGACGCGGCTCATAGCAGCTTTCTGTTCACTGGGGACAGTTTGTAGTCCTGCCTTTTAACGCTTCGAAGAACCATCTCAAGTAGATTTTGGTGCTGGAGCGTATGCGACTCGTGGCTCATATAGTAACCCTCAATCGGCCTAAAATTCCCCATCCTACACTATATTGATCCTGCACTTAGCATCAACGATATAACTGGATTGAACTTATGTTCCATTCAAGTCTCACAACCAAGTCAACAATAAAGATACCATAAACCAACAAATATAAACAAAACTAATCGATATCAACAATCATAACCAACCTCATGAACAACAAACCGACAACACAGGCATATCCATTCTACCAAATTCATCACTCATAGTCCATCAATCATAGAAAACCGTCAATCTCCCTTCAGCCTCCTCCCACCCCCACCAAATCCATCTCCTCATCCTGAACAACAACAGCCCACACTCTCACAAGCTCACAACCAAACAAGAAACCCCACCCCAACAACAGCCGCCAAAGACGCAGCCGCCGGCCCAGCAACCCCAGGCGCCGCATTCTCCGTCGTGCGAGCCCCCTCCGCGGAAACCGAGCCAACAGCGCCAGCAGTCGCCGTGGCCGAGCCACTCCGGCCCGTCGCACTACCACCATCCGCACCAGCGCTTCCAGAACCGGTAGCCGAGGCGCCCGCGGCGCCGGTACCAGTGGTCGTCGGGTTCGCGGTGGTCGAGTTACTTAGGGCCGAGGTCGCGGCCGCGGGGTTCCAGGTGGTGGTGGAGAGGGAACATGAGGTGAGGATATCGTATGCGTCTAACATTCCAGAAAGGAAGAGGGTTAGATCGGGGTTATGTTTGGTTAGGGGTCTTTGGTGCTGTCTGCATACGTACCGTTATCGTGGGGGTTGTTGTTATCGTCGTCATGGTCATGGTCATGATCATCGTCGTCATCGTGGTCGTGGTGCTGGGTGCGGTAGTACCCGATGCAGGCCTCGCACAGAGGAATAAGGGTCGAGGCGCGGTCCCAGTCGCAGATGCACTGTAGCTCGGCGCGGTCGTTGTCGGTTCGCGCGTCGCATGAGTGCGTGAGGTTCACGACTGGGCCGCAGGCGTCCCAGCAGCCGTTGGGGACGTCGTTGCGGTCTAGCTCGCCGCCTGCTGTGACGGTGGTTGCGAGCATGAGGCCGCTGAGGGCTAGGAGCTGGGCGATGCGCATGGTGGCTGTGGTGATGTGGTTTGGAGGATACGAAAAGTGATAGATAGAGGGAAAATTGGATTCGAAGGAGAGAAAACTGTGAAAACTGAGGTCTGATCGTTGAGACTTTGGATTGCGCTGGTAGTGAACTCCAATTGTCCGGGACGTAGGCACATCTTTATATCCTTCTGTCCCTTCCTCATCTCTGTGTCAACGACATGTTTCTATATTTGCCCTCGGCTCGCGCATCGCAATCGTAGGCTACAGCTTCTCCTCCATGGAGTGAGTTGGGTCTCCGCGGACACCTGCCGAGTCTGAATGGATCTTCCTCCATTCATCCGGTGTGTGTAATGCTCCGACTGCTGTAGCGATGAGTAGCCACTTCTACTGGTCGGTCGTCTATCCGGATAGACTCTGCTCAGCCTCGCTGAGTCGCAGGTGCCAAGAGTGTGGATGGTGCGGAGTAGGACCCTGAAGAACCGACGATCAACGTCAAAAGAGCCAATGCATACTGTGCAAATGTAGTTGCCTGGTGGCCGAATCATGGTTCCAGAGAATGGTTCTGCTGGCTTTGCTGGACTGGACGGCTTGTCGGCAGATCAGTCTTCGTAGACTCGTCTGTGGTTGGGAGGTGACATGACAGCTTGAGTCTTGGTTTGCATTGAAGATGTGACTAACTCATGCAGAGTCAGGGCCATTGGGTGGCTTAGTTTGTGTAATTGTTTTTATCTCGTCGGGTAGAGAAGATGCTGCGATTGCTTAGCAGTGGGTGGTTGACTAGTGAAGTTGTGCATCTTGGCCATGGTTAGGGACTTGGGATGTTCGAATTTTGTTGATAATTTGAGCATTTTAAGGAATGGCATTCATTGCATAGTTCCATTGGTTAAATTATCGCAAGATACTGGCAAAGCATGAATTGCGATGGTGAGTATAGTAGACCGTGACGAGGTGCAGCAAAGAGTAGCAAAGACCCGGAGAACCTGGTACCTGAAGCCCTGCACCGCCTCCTTGCTATATATAGATAGCGTCACAGGTTAATCGAATCACCGGCCAGTCAGACTATTGATTTGTAAATTAGAAAATTATGCTGCCTACAACAATATGCATAGATTGTCACTTCAATAAATCAACTGCCGTGACTGACTCGAGTACTCATATAACAATGGCAAGGGTACCATGCAAAACTGACGGGCGGCTTAGGGACTCTACCTACTGGGTCGTAGAATGTACAGTACAGTACATGACTCGAGTAGGGAATGGGATCAATTACTCCACACCATGAATGAAATGTCTTTCCTTTTGTCACTTGTCACTACTCCATAGTAGATTACCGGAAATGAATTTCCACATGGACCCAATCCCAAACTGAGCGCCTTACTTTTTACCTTAGGTCATCATGCGGTCAGTTGCCCCTCGAATGAACAGCGTCGGAATGTCCCGCCACATTTAACCCCTCCTTCTGTCCGTTAACAACAACGGTCATCCATTTAGTGGATAGATGTCATGATAAGATCCCTGGCAGTATTCTAGTTCCACGTTTCGCTGCGTGAGACACCCTATGATCCTCCACGGTTCCAACTCCAAATGGCCCGCACCGCGATAAGCAAGATGTCCTGGGAGAGCCATGTCCTTCGGCCGGTCCAGAACGCCCCTCCGTCTATAATCCCGAGTCTGATATACGGGACTGCCTGGAAGAAGACCCAGACTACTGATCTAGTCTACCAGGCGCTCAGCACTGGCTTCCGTGCAGTGGATACAGCGGCCCAACCAAAACACTATCGGGAGGATCTAGTGGGAGAGGGCATTCGCAAGGCCCTCACTGATGGCGCCATTCAGCGCAAAGATCTCCACGTAAGTTGGTAGTCCGGCATTGCACATCCGGCCTCTGGTTCTGGAAATCTATATGCCCTGCTGCATCATGATGCATGGTCGGTAGCTAAGCCTGGTCTAGATTCAGACTAAATTCACCTCCGTCCGGGGCCAGGACCCCAAGGATATGCCATTTGATCCGAAAACGTCCGTGACAGAGCAGGTTCACGCCTCGATTCGATCATCGCTACATAACCTGCGTCCTGCTGATGCGGCGGAGAGTGCTAATGAAGAGGGGTACATCGACATGCTGATCCTGCACTCGCCGTTGCCCACAATGGCACAGACGCTGGAGGCCTGGCAGACGTTTGAGACGTACGTCCCCCATCGGATCCGCAACCTGGGAATATCGAACACGGACCTGTCCACCCTGAAGGAGTTGTTTGCGCAGGTGCAAGTGAAACCCTCGGTGGTGCAGAATCGGTTCTACGCCGATACGCAGTATGATGTCGCGTTACGTACGTTTTGTCGGGAGCAGCACATCATCTATCAAAGCTTCTGGACCTTGACGGCGAACCCTGACCTCGTTCGCTCGAATGCCGTGCAGTCATTGGCCCGGCAGGCCGAGATTTCGCCCGCGGCCGCCCTCTACTGCCTGGTTTTAGGTCTTGGATACACTACCGTGTTGGATGGAACCACCAGCAGGGCTCGAATGGAAGAGGATCTGACAGCACTCAAGAAGATGGAACGATTCTCTGGCGAGCAGCCCGACTTTTGGCAGGGAATCCTGGCAGAGTTCCGCCGGTCGATTGGGGAGTAGACCAGGAGATTGGCCGAGAGATATCTTACTGTGGTCCTTCGGAAAAAGGACCATGCGTTGTTGGTCACTTGTGGAGGTGTTTCTCTTGTCTCGTACTGTACTTCCGGCGGTATCTCGGTCCTGAGCCGTTTGCGCTGGGCGATATCCTCTTTTGGACTGTGTTTGCTCTTTTTGTCCCTTCCCCAGTCCAACAGCAAGATTTGAGCAGCCAGAACTCCATCGAAGCCACTTGAAACATCTGGAGGGCCAATAGTTCTGGGGATCACGCCCATCCAAATGCCGAACAAGGTCGAGGCTACTGTTGACTGTTGGCTATGATTGGATAGGAGGGGAGAGTGGAGAGCGTGCCGGTCCAAGGCACGGCCGACTAGTGTTAAAACAGCCTCTAACTGTACAATTGTAGAACTGAACTAAACAACAAAGATTTTTTTTTCTTCTTCTTTTTCACTGGGGTCCGAAGAAGAGCTTAATCAGATAGCATTGATGTACCGTACTTAATCAGAGTAGCCCAGGGCTGATCGACCCGTGTTCATTGCCACCGACTGACACTGAGGTGCTTTGACCAGTTGACAATCAGATCAAGCACGTGCAAGTGACACCTTCAATCGTTTTTTTGCATTGCTAAGTCAGCTTATCTGCTACACCCGCCAATCACCGCGTCTTTTCCACGCAATTGACCTCATCACCGCCTGCCAAGCTTCTCGATAGGAGGAGTTTGCGAGACTGCAAACACCTTTTTTTTTTTTTTTGTTCCTTAATCCACCAAGACCGCGCACCATTAGCATCAGTCTGATCTTGCTGCGGAGCTTGAGACTATCTGGGAGGGTCGCGAGCCGATAGTTTCAGCCCATTCCTTACAACGTACAGTACTTTATTTTTTCCCTGCGCTGGTGCAGTGAGCGGTGCAGTGGTTGCTTTTGCTTTCCTTGCGCCCGCCCGCCGCTTTCCCCCTCTGCGACCCAACTGGTCAAGTGCAAGTCAGTTCAGGTCCCGTCAGTCAGTCGCCCTGGCATTTTTCCCGACTCCATCCAATTCACTACTTTGTCTCATCGAGAGAAACGATAACTGAACAGGCAGTAGTTCCCCCCTCTCTTCCCCACCACAATAGCAGAAACAGACAATTGCCATCACCAGAGCCGGAAATTCTGGTGGTCCTACTCGTCTATTGCCTGACTCCCGCCTTCGCGTTCATTTCTTGCTACTCCGTCTAGCGTCTGCGGCGGCGCCAGTCGCGTCTCCGCCGCTGACACTTGCGTTCTCAATCCACCCTCGTCCGCTCCTCCTCCTGTGCCTTGTTTATCATATCCTTCGAGTGATATAGCTCAGGCATTATCTACCTTCGCCCCGACGTTCTATGACGGCCCTTGGTTTTTGCGATTTCCCGACTCAGCCGTGCCAGCTGAACGCCCGCCCGCTTATCCCCCGCTATTCGCCCACTCAAATCCCGAGCGACTTGTTCTTCCCTCGCTCGTCGCCTATTTCTCGGACTTTTCATCCTGCCTGTTCCTGAGCTCGACAGAGCACGATAGAGCACGCGGACGGACAGACCCCCCGCCTTCCCGAAACAACTCCCGCCTTCCTTCCGACCGCCCGTAGGTCATTCAGTCGCCTGTGATGAGCCCTCAAGGAATCACCCGCAAACGACCAGCGCCTGGCACTTCCCCCATTGTTCACCCTCAGCTGGGCCCGCTCGCGAATTTCCCCCAAAATCCCGGTAACCAGCTGTCTAACGACCAGTTCTTACAATGGGGCCAGAATACTTCGTCCAACGTGTCCAGTCCGTCTTACCCCGATGCGAGCACGTACAACCCGTCCGCCTACACCTCGAGTCCAGATGTCCCGGCTTCCACCGTAACTGCTTCGGGCCAGCTGGCTCGCCGCCAAACCCCTACCCAGTTGGTCAACCGCAGTCGCGCGTATGATCAGACGTCGGGTTCTTTCTCAGACCACGGCAATGGTCCTGGAGAGTCGGGGGGATGGGGGGAGAGCCTCACTGAGTTGTATGAACGCGCGATGGTCGCGAAGCGAGAGGCGCAGGCCAAACGGAAACAAATTCCGCCTTTCGTTCAGAAGCTAAGCAGGTACGCGTCCGCGAATGAGCCTTATGCAATGATCTATATATATATATATGAATGACTAACTGGCCGCAGTTTCCTGGACGAGTCCAAGAACACCGAGCTGATTCGGTGGTCGGACGACGGCAATTCGTTCATCGTCATGGACGAAGATGAATTCGCAAAGACGCTGATCCCGGAGCTTTTCAAACACAACAACTACGCTTCCTTCGTTCGCCAGTTGAACATGTACGGCTTCCACAAGAAGGTTGGACTCTCGGACAACTCGATGCGCGCAAGCGAACGGAAGAATAAGAGTCCCAGCGAATACGCGAATCCATACTTCAAGCGCGGCCATCCCGATCTATTGTGGCTGATTCAAAAACCTAAAAATGCAGCTGGCCAGGGCAGCAAATCGGGCAAGGGCAACGTGCGGGTCAAGACGGAAGAGATTGAGGAGAATGAGAACGACGAGTACGGTGACGATGGCATGGGGCCCGCACGAGAAGATCGGCCGCGCAACCGCCAACTGTCCCTCATTACGGGCAGCCTCATGCCAAAGGATCAACTCGCGGGAGTCTATAGAGAGTTGCAAGCGATTCGCCAACAACAGCAAATCATCTCCAACACCATCACCAAACTACGGAGAGAACACGAGCAACTGTATGCGCAGGCAGCCAACTTCCAAGAACAGCATACTCGGCACGAAAACTCCATCAACGCGATCCTGACGTTCTTGGCGACTGTCTACAATCGCAGTCTCCAAGGGCAGGAAGGGCCGCAGAACCTGGCAACTTCGTTTGCTGGGGCAATTTCTCAGGAGCAAGGCAATGTTGTTGACATGGACGACTATTCGCTCGGCTCTTTGGGGGCATCCGACTTGAACAGCCCCCCCGGACCGCGGTCTTTGAAGAAGCAGCAGCTCTTGCTCAAGGCTCCTCCCGGGCCAGATCGCCAGAGCCGTGCGGCGACCCTGTCTCCTGCCTCCACCACCTATGAACGTTCACACTCGCGCGGGCATGGTCGGCAAGCCAGCGTCTCTCAGTCGGGTCATGTCGAGGAGGTATATGACAATAGTCCCCGGCAGAAGGAGGCACAGCCGCCGGGGTCCCATGCTCCACAACGGGACATCATGTCAGTCATTCAGAATTCCAATGCACGAAACGGTATGCCAACGAGTTTTGCCGACTTTCCGAATGTGCTGTCATCGCTCGAGACGTCGGGCGGCAACTCGCCGCTCACTCCCAGCCAACGTGCAGACATGCTTCGCCTCATGGCCCATGAGACAGGCTCGGGTGGAGTCAATGGTGCGGTGTCTCCAAACAACGCCCTGGTTACACCGACGCCTCCCCCGATGCCGCATAACTATTCGGGCCGGTTGGCCAATACACGGGCCGAGATCGACAATCTGGTCAAGATGCAGGCCGAGCAAGATCGCTCCGTGCAGAACTTGACCAATCTCTTACAACCGCTCAGCCCTACGGGCACCATCCCCGGAATCAGCATAGATGGCAGTGCCCCCCCTCCCCCACTTGATCTTGATACTATTTTCAATAACGACTACTTCACGGATATTGGAGACCTTGAACATAATAAAGCTAGCTTAGGGTATGGCGAACCGGCCGGAACCGTGCCAGCCACGACCGCGGCCGATCCGGTGGTTACCGCCGGTCCCACCGATGGTGGTCTCAAGGACGCGAACGAGCTGTTTGACTTTGAGAACCTACCCGCTGACAACGATCTTTTTGGCGGAACCAACCCGCCATCGCACAACCCCGGATTCTACCACGGGTTCGATGGGAGCGGGTATGGTGGGAACGATCTTCATCCCGGCTTTGGGCCGGATGGGTCACTCTCGAACGGCAAAGACTCCAATAGAATCGAGTCTTTGCCTGACAGCGATGCCACTAGCCCCGCCAACACGGTGGACGAGAGCCTGCAATACGGTGGACTAGATACGGGCAACGATTCTCAGGGAGGTAAGGGACTCGGTAGCGGCGTGAAACGGCGCAAGAAGGCTTGATTTCTGATTTCATGACATTCTACTAACGGGGGGATTCTGGGCGTCAAGGAAGCGTGTCCGTAGAAGAATAAAACAAGGACCGGAGAGCGCAGAGACAAATAAGTGAACATATCGTGGGAGGCTCCAAGCAACCGAGTCGAGTCGCGAAGTCTATTTGAGAGGAAAATGCATATATCTTTCTTTGCTTTTCCTGCCATTTCCCTCTGCCTCTCTCTCTTTTCCTAATCGAAAGAAGGGCTTTCGACCGCCGAACCACCACCAGGTATAAGGCAACACGAATTCCCCTCTCCCATCCCTCCCCTGCACCGCATTCCCCTTTGCCCCTTCGATCACCCATCCCCCAACCCTGGAACTAGATTTCATTTCTTATCGTTATGATACCGTTGAGACCCGCCGCACACCAACAAAAAAACATACAAAAGCAGAGAAGAAAGAACATACTGGAAAGTATTGTCCGGGGAGGAAGAAGATCAACTTGACCAAGTTGAGTAGGAAAGAAAACCTAACTTATCTCAATACTCTGGTCTGCTTTTATGCCGCGTGGTCTGGACAAGCTTGCCCTCATGCATGCTAGAAGTGTTTTCTTTTCTTTTCTTTCCTTGCGGACAACACATGACAATTAGTACGATTTTAATGACAGCGGTTGTTGCTTCAGAATATACGCGCATACGGTTGTATATGCTTGTTACTATGTGTTCCATTAGGTTTGAGATCTGTAGTATACTACTTACTACTTAGTAGTACAGAATTGAGTTGACATGGTGAATATATACAGTGACTACTGACTTATAATACACATCCAGATCATCCTTCTTTTCCAATTCGGATACATAGGTACTAGATTCCTTCAGAGTGAATTGCATATTCACCTACATACATACATACATACATACATACAAGCTTACCGCCTCCTCTCCCTCTCCCACTCCAAATCCCCAACGCGCCCCCGCTTGCGCTCCCTCTCCCTCTCTCGCTCCAACCCCCGTCTCTTCCCACTCTTCCCGCTAATCTCGCGCTCCTTCTCGCGCGGATCGATCACCATCAGCGAGTCCACGTCGTCCGAATGCTCCTGCTTCCACTTCAAGTCCTTGCCCAGCGTATCCTTCCCGAACCGCAGCTGGTGCGTCAGCCACCCCCTGTCGTTGTCTGCGCCATCGGCGGCTGCGGCTGCGTTGGAGTTGAATGCGGCGTCGTCAGGTTGCTCGTTCCAGGATTGGCAGGATTGGCAGTTTGCGATGAAGTGGAGGTCGCAGAGTTGGGCTTCTTCGTCTTCTTCTTGGTCTTCTTCGCGGCTGCTGCTGGTGGTAGGGTTGGGGTTGCGTTTTGCGGTTGATGATGGGTTCTTGTGGTTGTGGTTGTTTGTGGTCGTGGTGACTGCGTCTGCGTTCTCGAGCTTCGCTTTGAAGGCGTTGAACATCTTCAGGGCTTGCGCGTCGGTTGAGCTGCTGAAGCCTGTTAGGCCGCTGCCGCTGCCGCTGCCGCTTCCGGTCATGGTTGTGGTGCTGCTGCTGCTGTTGCCTGGGGGAGGACGGCGTCGGCCCCGGATGGCCGATGCAGGGATCATGGCCTCTAGGGCGGATTTCTTGTGCGTGGTGTCCGTTGTATTTGAGGGGATCGTGCGGCGCATGGAGGCCATCACGGATTCGATCTCGGCGTTGGTGCGGTCTAGGCGGGATTTCTTGGGTGCTGCGGTGGAGGTTGAGGCTGAGACTTCTGGGGAAGGGGAGCGGGCGGGGGATTCGGGGTCTGGGAGTGGGAGTTGGGTCGAAGGGTCGGGAATGATTTTGTGAGTGGTGGTGGTGGTGTCTGCAGCGGGGGCTTTAGGAGGGGACGAATGAGGAGGAGGGCGTTTGTTATGGGCAGATGTTGACTCTGGCTCGTGTTTCTTCTTCGTAGACGGCGATGATAGATCCGTGACGAGCGCAGCGTTATACTTCGGTCTCGCAGGCATCTCCTCTTCCTCGGCGTCCTCATCCCCATCCCCACCGGCAAAACTCAACAGCGTCTTCTTCGGCTTCTTGCTCTTCTTCTTGCCGCCCCCAGCACCAGCAGCAGCAGCCCCTTTATCCTTCTTTTCCGCAGCGATGGCATCAGAAGAAGCCAGTCCTTGCCGCCGCCGATCCAGCACCACCTTGCCCGCGAACTTGCCCAACTCCCCGACCTCACACCCGGTCACCTTAACAGGATAAACAGGCCGCTCAGTACCCTCTACAACCTCCGCCTCCGCGATCTTAAGCACAGTGAAGATACTATCGCCCTCGACACGCCCGAACAGCGTACACTGCCCGTTCAGCTCGCGCTCCGTGTTGGCCAGGGTGATGAAGAACTGGCTGCCGTACGTGCCGTCCTCGCTCTTCGCCATCCCGACCAGCCCGCGCCGGTTGAACCGCAGCCGGCTGTGCAGCTCATCGCGCAGCACGATCTTCTCCGTCGGGTCGCGCGCGTCCGGATCCGTCTCGAATTCCGGTTCCTCGTAGATCGATGTTCCGCCTGCGCCTGTGCCTGTCGGGTCGCCGCCCTGGATCACGAACCCCGGCACGATCCGGTGGAAGATCGTCCCCGTGTAGTAGTTGTCTGCTACGTGTTGCAGGAAGTTCCGCGTCGTCAGCGGCGTTTGCGTGCCGAAGAGTGAGATGTGGATTGGCCCTAGCGTCGTGTGCAGCGTCGCTGTCGCTGTCGCGGGCGGTTCGGTGTTGTACTGCGTTGACATTTTGTTGGGTTTGTTCTTGTGGTGGTTGTGGTTGCGGTAGGGATCGTGGGGTTGGAAAGGCGTGGTCGGAGGTGGAAGGAAGATATGATGCGCAAGAGGGTGAAGGTTGAGGATGGCTTAGCGCAATGTACGTCAGCTGGTATAGTGGGTATGCTGCATGTAGCTAGAAGAAGAAAGTGGCAAGTGTATCGGATGTCAATGCTCGTGGGCTCTACGCCCCGTGGTGAGGTGGAATTGATTGAGCCGCGGAGGATTGCAAGAGGGTTGAAGATGCAGTCGGAGATGAAGCTTTCCCGGGAAACTTTCGGCTGCGTCACGTCACGTCACGAATCCGATAGTAGAGAAGTCCACCACCCGATCCCAACTACCATTGAGTCTTGTTTTCGTTCATGATGACTGTTTGTACAAGTCGGAACTAAGATAGCTATTGGTTTCTATGAGGATAGTCACTCAGACATGCTAGAGTCATTGAATTTACAAAGTAATCAACAAAACACCCAGTTCGAAGCCCTCCTATAGATGCCGTGAATGTCGCAAAAGACTATGTCGATCAACAGGCTGTGAGGGTCACTGTGATAGTCAATACTTTCGGAATTACCAACTTGCAAGTATATATACTTGCTCTACTTCTTTGTGGGTCCATTCGCATGTGATTATAGTCTGAAAAACTTTCCCCAAAACCCATGTTTTGTCAGAGTGCCGACTAGACAGGTTTACAAACCACACAGTATAAGACTGTAGGAAGCATAGTGTCATTTTCACTGATAACTGCTATTATCGCCGCACGAAGAAACATCCGTCTGACTGTCATACCATAAATCGTTCCGTCGTTACCATTCTAGCCCTGGCACCAGGCACATCCGCCTCGTATGGAGCTCACTTCTCAGCATCAGCAGAAGCGGCCGCAGCAACAGGAGCGCGCTTCTTGGTGATGCGGAAGCCACCCGCAAGGAGGAACAGTGCCTCGAGGCCAAGGATCACAGCCAAGGTCACCATGGCACCGATGACACCGGCCACGGGCCGAGAAACGCCACCGTCGCTCTTCGACTGAGACGAAGTAGTGGTGGTGGGGTTCGAGCTGGTTGAGTAGGCCGCACAATCGCCATTGGTGTTGCCGCACACGTTGCACCACTGCTTGGTGGAGGTTACGGCAATCTTGCTCGAGAGCTCCGAGAATTCAGACCAGGAAATAGTCGAGCTAGACTTGCCATAGAGAGGATACTCGGTTGGCGAGCCGGACGACAGGGTTCCATTGTGGAAGACAAAGCGCACGCTGATGTCGGAGGCCGAGGGAAAAGAATCCGTCGAGTTGGTAACCAGTTCCCATGCCATCGAGGAGGCGTAATCAGGGAGGCCAGTGAAGTTGACGCCCGCAGCTGGCAACTGAGCAAGGCCAAAGTACGACATGAATGTACCGTAGGAGCCGAACTGGATGTTCAGCTTGGATTTTCCCTTAGAGGCGATAGTCTTGTTCAGGCCGGTGAGCACATCTCCTGCTAGAATGGCCCCTGCAATGGCGCGGATAGTTTCTGAGGAGTTGTAGGCTAGGTTGTATTGTTCGACATTGGCCAGGAGGAAGGCCTGGTGCAGCTGCTCCTCAGTTGGGACGTTGCTGGTGTTGTGGATGTACCCAACATTAAGGTAGTCGAAGATCGTGTAAGCGTTCCTGAAGCTCATCTGGGAGTCGGAGAAGGCTTCCTCGAGTAGAGAAGACAGGGACTGATAGAAGCCCTTGGTGGAGGTGTGCAACGAGTTGTAAAGTGCCGAGCTGTAGTAGTTGTTGCTACTGACCTTCGCGTTTTCGCAATCCGTGGAGCTCTGCAGCCAGACAGTGTCCTCACTGTTTGAACCAGACTCGGTGAGGGAGATAGGGATCAGCTGGTACCCATTGAGAGGCGAATCGACCGTACTGCCATTAGCCAGGGTTTGGTTGGCCGAGGAGCCAACCGGAGGATAGACACCCTGGAGGAAGCCGGTGGCCGAGTTCTGAAGCACATCGTCGGATGGAGACGAGGCACTGATCTGGCTCAACTTGACGATGTTCTCGTTGATCCCTTGGATCTGGAGAGACGAGTTCGAGTCGATGTACCGGCTCCGCCAGTAGCTGCCAGTCTGGTACACTTCGCTGTAGCCCAGATCGGTCAGCTCCGTGTTCTTCAACACTTTGGCCGTGCGATCTCCATGGCGAGCGAATATGTAAGCTCCGAGGATTCTCTCAGCTGATACTGGCAATGCCAAAGGCATGGCCAGCAGGGCAAGCCAGAGACTGGAGGGCTGGGTAGAGGAACGCATGATGGAGAAGCCAGACACGACGTCTTCCCTGAGATTTGTAGGAGAGAAAAAGTGAGGAGAAGGAGTAGAGGGGAAGAATGAGGGGAAAGCAGCCGGAACGCTCTATAAGAGAAGAACCACGGCCGACAGCCCGGCGTCTGCCGCGGAGAAGGAGCTTATCATGATGAGATGACTCGCCTCGACCACGGCGGGGTCCGCAGGAGAAAAAACTGGGCTGGAGCTAAACCCTACAGATCTGTAGGGTCCTTCATGACTACTTGGCAGGTGAATTGGGCTGGTAGTGCAATGGGCTAATCTACTCCCCGGTCTCGGTGCAATGGCAATTGACAATTGATATCAATAGAGAGACAACTCCACAGGACGGCCGGGAATCTCGATCCGCGGATTTTATCGTTAGAATTACTTCTTCAACTCCCGCGGAAATGCGAAAACGGAGCCATTGAACCATTCTAGCCGAGCTTATCTGGGATTGTCAAAGTCGACTTTTGTCAAGAATCCTTGACCGAAAACGCCTTTTCCCCGCCGGCGGTCTTGGCTGCTATCCCGTGTTTTCTTATCAACAATAGATGATTCAGTCTATTGAATTCACCCTGGCAATGCTGCCGATTCGAGACGCTTTCACAGAATTTTCAGACTGAATGCTGCGAGAATTGATCAAGCCTGTTCCTACTGTGAACCCAAGTGATACTCCAGTCCAGCTGCGGGGGGCTCAAACCCGTACCAGACCCTGAAAGGATCGAAGTGGAGGAAGCCTTTTGAATTCCTGCATTAAACTCCTTCCATTCAACCCCCCACTTTTTGAATCATCAGCCAATTCGATCGCCTCATCGTCAGCCAGGCGATTCAATCGTGCGGCTAATTGGCCGTTAGGTAATTCTCGTATCAACTGAGCGCACAATTTGCCAACGACCAGCACTAAGGAACAGTCTTGTGCAGTGGGATGATTCTGATCACCTTGTCTTCTGTCGTATCGGTATAGGATGATTCTTATTATGGTGCTAAAGGAGTGACTACCGATCCATCAGTTCACAGCCGTTTCTTACAACACCCACCAGTCCACCGGTCTGCACTGTTTCGGAACCCCCTCCCGCTAGTCTCCATTCTATTTCCGCCAGTCCCTCCAGCCAGGTGATCCTGGTTTGCGCGGGGACTTCTACTCGTTGCAGCTGATCGCCCAACGCAGACAAAATATCCGCCAAAGCAAGACCCTTGTTGGTCTTGATGGTATTTATGGTGTTGAGACAGGAGGTGATATCACTTGTGTTCAGAAGAGTTCGCATTATCTCTTCGATGTCAGAGGGGTGGGGGGCGGCAATACAGTCGTAAATCGTTTCATTCGTGATCGTCTCCGGCTCCGGACGTGGCTGGTCTTTAGACGCATCCTTCATGGGAAGGGGTATGCCTACTCAATCAGTATTGAAGGTACTTCTGCGAAGGCATCATGGGTGCATCGACTCACTGCTCGCATGGCAAGCCTGAAGGACGTTCAAGGCCCGTCGCATATCACCCTTGCTCAACGTAACCAGGCTCTCTACTGCCTCCGTCTGAATGTTGATCTGCTCCTTCTCGATCACCTGATCCACCAAAATTCGGATATCCTTCTCTTTCAAAGGACTAAATCGGAATCGAGTGCAACGGGAGAGAAGGGCGGGAGAGAGTTTGTGTGTATAGTTGGCAATAATGCAGAATCGGGTGTTGGCGGTGTACCGTTCCATGATCCGGCGAAGTGCCATCTGTGCAGTCGCCGTCATTGCGTCGGCTTCATCAAGAATAATGAGTTTGAAGGATGCGAGCGAGGAGCCACCGGAGGCAGATGCGGGTGCCATCGAGAAAATCTGCTTTGTGCCTAACGCAAGTGCGGTGAGTTTGAAGCTCCCCGCCGTGATGACTCGTGGGTGTACATACTAGCAAAAGTCTTGATCTGCTCCCGGACGACATCAATACCACGGTCGTCACTGGCATTGAGCTCCAGCACCATCTGCCGCATGTTTTTGCTGCCATATATCCGTCGTGCCAACGCGAGGATAGTAGATGTTTTACCCGTACCAGGGGGTCCGTAGAGAAGGAGATGTGGAAGTCGCTAGAGCTTTGTGAGTGGCTAGGCATGATATGCGGAGAAAAATTGCATACGTTGGCTTCGACGAATTTGTTGATCGTGGCTAGGATATCCTGGTGTCCGGAGACATCGTCTAGAGTATTCGGTCGGTATTTCTCAACCCTGGGGAAGGTCAGTCAAGAAAATTCCACATAGACTCGTCAGTGGAGTCTACTGACCAGGGGAGGTTGTCTTGAGCCTCAATTGGCAGATCTGCTGCCGGTCTTTTGGACTTAGCACTGGTGTTATCGGAGCTGAACTGGATCGCGTTCTTGGACGGGGCGTCCACCTCCATTTCATCCTCGTAATCAGACATCTCGAATATTGAAATCGGATCGCTAGCTGAATGTAAATGCTCCTAATCAAATCTCGACTCAATCAAAGAGAAAAAAAAAAAACCGAGGCAAAACACGGAGCAAAGCAGAAGGCAAGGGCCAGACGCGTCGAACTTCCGCAGCGCGTAAAGAGGTTCGGGGCCGGAAAATCCTAAGGCGGAGGAGGAGAAGCTCCTGAGACGGCGGGCGGGTGATGACATGCGAGCGACCTCCCGCCGGTCTGGCAGCACCGCCTTCTATCAGCCCTCCCTCCCCGCCCACTGCGTTCTCCTGACCCAACAACAACAATCCTCATTAGACAGGCTCTAAGGGGACCCCATTGCTCTCCCTATACTATCACGTCATGCCTGTAAGTGCATCTGTGACTTCCGCCGACAATTGACTCAACTACACTTCCCCTGACACTGGTCCAGGCCTACCACTCCATCTTCCTCGAGGACCGGGATGTCCCCGTAATAGGTATGGCGGAATGCGTCCCCTCCATGCGCATCACATTTAAACCTTTCATGAGAGAGCAACAAAACCAAACGTATCAAAAACTAACTCACTTTCTCTCCCTCTTTCTCCTGCAGGCAACTTCCCCGTCCTCCCCCTCCGCACCCGCACTCGCGGCCCCGCATACACTCTCCCTCCGCTACCGCCTAACGCCGACACCGAAGTGCCCCCCGACAGCGAGTCCTACGACTGCGTGGACGAGATCCTGTCGCTCTTCCGCGCCAATGTTCTCTTCCGCAACTTCGAGATCAATGGCCCCGCGGACCGCATGCTCATCTATGGAACGCTGTTCATCACGGAGTGCTTGGGAAAGGTGAAGCCGGCGATGACCGCTCGCGATGCGGAGAAGGTAAGGAGTTCCAGCAAACACGTGTTGCAGTGGATGAGGAATACTCTTGCATCGGTGAAGAGGGGAAACGTGGCTGACGGACGGCGGTTTTTCTGTCCCGCTTAGGCTCTGATCAATGTCGCGCTCGATCACTTTGCTATTCCCGGTGACGTGGCCTTCCCTTTGAACCAGGCTTTCGAGGCTCCCCGCGATCGTCAGGATGCCGAAACACTTAGACAGTATGTCTCTTCCACAATAATATCGATGTGCGGGAATGGATTGCTGATGCGGGGGCTGGTTTAGGTATTTGTCTCAGGTGCGACAGGAGATCGCTATTCGGCTGCACGCTAGATTATACCCCGGCGGTGTTGGTCCCTCGAAGGTATGTTTCGATAAATCAGTTTGTGTGCGCACTGGCTAATGTGGGTTTATTTAGTGGTGGCTCAGCTTCACCAAGAGAAAGTTCATGGGGAAGAGCTTCTAGGATAGATGTATTGCTTTGATTTTACCTTAGCCCTCTGGGTCAGCGTGTGACGAAACCCTCCAGGATGGCTGCCGAAGTTCTGTCACTTTACTCTTGTGTATATTTGAATATGAGCGTTGTGAAAGCGGAAATCAACGTGGTTCGATATGTCGGCCGGGTAGGGCCTACTACGTAAAGATCTGTAGACTACCGAATAGAGGGAGGCATTGTTTGTGCATCACTTCGCTCAGATCAGTAACAGAATTGTGGTCTGAGATTTCTTTTGGACATTTGCATCATCGTCAAGTGTTTCCACATAAGGATTAGGTCCCGGCTTGATGGTTCGTAGAGCCTCTATTTTACATGTTTCAACATGACCTGGACAGTATTGTGGATCTGGCCATCCATCAGAATCTACGCAGTCATTTCCACATCAGCACCCTCACCACTGTCCGCTGGGGTCTCATCTGACCGGGCAATCTTCCTCTTTTTGCGGCTGGGATTTCCTGCTGCCTCAATGTGTTCTTGTGTGGGAATGACCTTGATACCGTGGAAAATGAAGCCGTCAGCCCCACCCCGACTGGACATCATGGGATGTGAGCGCCCTGGCAGGACCTGCCACACGCGCACTCTCGATGTCTCTAACGTGGGCGCCAGTAACAGGGTCGGGTCGAGAGGGAACTCTTCCTCCAGCTCAGATCGCACGTCGACCGGGTCATCGGACGTCGCCCGCTGCTCCATGAGCTCGCGCCTTCGGTTGATAAAAGCGGTCTTCCTGGCGGTGGAGTACAGATCCATTACCTCCGTCAGGGGCTCGATATTAGGCGAGTATACGGCAACAGGAGCCGAGCCGGCCAATAGTGGGATCGTATGTTTCAGAACACTGCTCGGGTCCATCAGAGTCGCGATGACCAAGCCATCGAAACCGCCCGCCCGCGCCTCGTCGACGACTCGTCGTACGCGCATCCACCGGCCGCGCTTGCGGTGATAGGCACTGCGCTTGCTGGACTTATATGTGGATAGCTCTTCTGCGGGAATCTCCGCTGGTTCCTGATCGTAAATGCTGTCTGCGTTGGGGTCCAAGAGCTGCATGAAGGAGACGGTCTTGAAGTTCGTGTAAAGAGGGTGGGTTTCACTCGGGTCGTCCGCCTCGTATCCGAAGTATTTCAAGAGACTGATGTTCGGTTGTTTGTTCGCGTGAAGCAGAGTGATGGTATTTCCTTGGGCAGACATCTGTGGGCGACGGTTGCGACGTGACGTAGCACCCTCGGTAGATGGTGCCTCTCCGTCGTGCTCCCCTTGAGCGCCTGCCGTCGCAGGTACCTTCTGATGAGCATCCTGCTGTTCCTCGTCGAAGTCACCATCATGCGGGTAGAGAATCCCCATCCTTTCCGCCATAGCAGCAACCACCAAGCCACCCGTATCGTCAACGACGAGGTACCGCCCGTTTGGGTTCGACAGCACCGTCTCCATATCGAATGATGTGCTTCCTCCGTGGTGCACATTGCCCCAGCATCCAAGCAGACCGAGCGCCTCATCGCGCATCTCCAAAGTCCTCGCCGCCTCCTTGTCTTGCAGCATGTAATTCGTCAACAGACTGACATCCAAGGGGATGACCGTGAACCGCTTCATGTACTTCCGCTCCTTGCGCAACTTGTACTTCGCCAGCGAGAATGCCGTCTTCTGGTCAATTGCCGAATGCGACTCTAACAGCTTGGCAATGATCTCCTTTCCTGCTCCCGTGCTCTCCTTCTTCAGGGCCTCGATCTCCTCGATGGTCAGCTTCTGGGTTGAGCGATCGTCGATCGTGTCGCGGTTCGTGCGCATCGTCGCGGCCTCAACGGCGGGCTCTTGGTCGTCGCCATCGCCTTCGCCCTCGGCAATGAGGTGTTCCGCATGGAGTTCGGCCGCCGAAACAATGCGCAGGTACGTGCTATCGGTTTCGCCGGGCGTCTCGTGGATGTCGAAGGTCAGGTAGAACGGACGGCCGATGATCTGGTTGGCGGGGAATGTACCATATTTGCCTAGGAATACTTGGCTGCAAAGACCCGCCTGTCAGCTAGGGAGAATTAGAGATATATCGAGCCCGTCGCTCAATTGGAGCGGGAGGCGCATACGTGTTGGGGACAATCTTCTGGATCCTCGTCTGATCGGACGGGAGCTTGAAGGCGACAAACTGGTTCGGTCGCACGTAGGAATGCATGATGGGGAGATGGGCGGGTCAAATTCTCTCAGTGATTAGGCCTCGAAGTCGATCATGCCGCGCCACGCACACAAAACTCGAATGATGGACACGCAAGGCTAGATTTCTGATAAGCCTACTAGATCCGGGGGTTCATTTTACTTTTTTTCTGCGATAACGCACGGACCCCACCGAGCTGATAATGCAAGAGTTATGTAAGCGATGTGCTATGAACGGAGAGAGATTATTCCGCAGCCGGCTCCGACGTCACCAGGTGGCTGGGAGTCTGTGGCTTGGCAGTGGATACGGTGGCTGTGCTCTAGCGGGGATTCCTGTCAATGATATCTTACCAGATTACCATACAATACCTGTTGCCTGGACAGCGCGGAGCATCCAGGCAGCCGAATTGCGGACCCGTGCGGTAATTGGCTGTAAGTGTTGGAGCAAAGGAATCTCCACCGCCAATTGACAGCCCATCCGAGGTTCATTGACCTTAACCATTTACTACTAAGTAGTATTCATCAGTCCTATGGAAATTCGGGTGCCTATACCCATCCTTCGACTTATTTGAAACTGTCATCCTTGCCAAGTCTTTCTTCAGAATCTATGCATCTAATTGCATCGTTCCCTGTCAATCTCAGGGCCACATGCGCAAAGTGGCGGTCGTTGGTTGAAGTGTTTACTTCCCAGTGACGACCGTTGGAGGCCACTGGCCCCCGTTACGTATACATCCCCGGTAGCTTCCAACCACGCTGCGGGCATTCCATCCCCCCATCATTCATCCATTCATGCATCTGGCTATCTGACAGCACCAGTCGATTATTTGTCAAGAAGTCAACTAGACTCACTGGCCTCTCGTTTCTCACTTATCCATTCTGCCTGTGTTTTCATTGGCCCTCCAAGCTTGTCCAACGTTTCATCAGATTGACGCCTGTGAGCTCGGCAGCCCCCAGACCTGGACGGTAAGAACCCGCATTCATGGTCTTGCGAAAACGAGCTCCACCACGTCTTCAAAGTCTCGGCCAAGCCTACGAACCTACAGGCCCTCGTTCTTTGTCCTCCAAAGCCTCACCGACCTCCAAGTCATTGTCGTCTTCTTCCCCAAAGCGTCTCACCCGCCCTAGACGGGCCCAGAGCACCCCTCAACCTCAACGGGCCGCTTCCCCCGACTCCATCTTCTATCCCGACCTCAACACTTCACCCGCGTTCGACCTGATGCCCCTAGAACAGGCTCAGAGGTCGCCCACCCGGGCCTCTCCCGGTGATGCCACAAATGCATGGGCGGATGAGCTGGTGGAGAGGTTCAATCTTGGCTTACATGAGTCCACTGGTCCAGCACAATCTGCGTTCACTGAGCCGATAGGGAACGGCGCGCAGGCAGTAGATGGGAACGGGGCGGCCCGTGTGCCAACGGTATTGACTCCTGCGGCTCATGGACGACCTTATACAGACGAGTGGCAGCAGCCGCAACACCGAGGTGCTGGGAATGGGGCCGAATGGGATCCGCACTCGGCGCAGCATTCTTCGATGCCGCTGCAGTCCAACAATCCGTTCCTGAAACCCAGGGCTCCTTCCGGGTTGAATCCTTGGGAAGATCCCCAATCCCGTGCTTCATATGGCGCAGCGTCGTCGATCTCACAGGATGGGGCAAGCGTGCGTTTGGGCCAAGGTAGGTCAATCCTAGTCGCTTCGTCGGTGGTACGATTCTAATGGCCTCTTTGCTTAGACGAGGGATATATACCGATGACGGCGCGCTTGTCGCTCCTCGAACAACCCGAAGAGGCGTCCCCGTGGGCTGACGAACATACTACTACTGCCACGCAACCAATATCTTATACTCAAGCCCAGCCCGCTCAACAACTACACGAGCCAGACAGGCTATCTCCTGATCAAAGCATGAGTACTCCGGTATCCTTAGAGATGAATGCTACAGGTTCATCTCATGTTCTCATCGATTTGAACGAAGCCCCTCGTGCCCAGTTCGAAGGATCAAGCAAGTTGAGCCCTACGGAATACGGAATCATGAGCGACACTCAAGGCTCTTCTCAACCACAAAAGCGTCTTTCAGGCCCACCTTTACCGGAACGACCAAAAACCACTTCCGAGCCAGGGGCAGAGGTTCAAGCTCGATCAGCATCAACAGCTCCATTATCTGAAGCTGAGATCCAACGCCAACAGGAGCAAAGAGCTGAAACGTATTCCATTCGGCATGTGCATTGGGCAAATACTGCAGGCAGTTTATGCGACTCGCCAGTCCTGATCCAGAACAAGAATGGGCCTTGTCCTCTGTTAGCTTTGGTGAATGCGCTCGTTCTACGTGCAGCGGGGCAAGAAGTCCAGCCACCCATCGTACGGGCCTTACAGACTAGGGAGCAGATCTCGCTAGGGCTATTGATTGAGGCGCTTTTTGACGAACTCACAACCTGCCTGGGCCCTGACGATGAGCTTCCAGACATCGAGGCTCTCACCCGATTTCTGACTATGTTGCACACCGGCATGAATGTCAATCCACGGCTCACACTGGTATGCAGGCTGCCTTTTACTTCACTTATCTCTTTCTAACATATCGCAGGAGTCTGAAAATAGCCTTGGTTCTTTTCTCCAGACTGATGTTATCCGATTATATAGTACATTCGGTGTGCCATTGGTTCATGGCTGGGTGGCTGCTCCATCTACGGAAGTCCATGCAGCCTTAGATCGGGTAGCTCACTTTTATGAGGATATTCAGCTGCTGCCCTTTCGCAAGCAGGAGCTTGAAGATCGTGTCATTCAAGGGGGCTCGTTGACCCCTCAGGAGGAACAGACTATGCAGGATATCCACACTATCCATGGATTCACTGATGTCGAAAACGCAACCCAGCTGAGTCCATTTGGCCTCGATCAATTGCTGGCGAAGTTGAAACCGGGATCGCTGTCCATTTTGTTCCGCAATGATCATTTCACGACGCTTTACAAACATCCACAGCTCAGTCGACTTTTTACTTTGGTTACTGACGCTGGCTACGCCTCTCATGCGGAAATTGTGTGGGAGAGTCTCGTGGATGTAAATGGATCAAGCACCAGCTACTATGCTGGAGACTTTCGTCCCGTCAGTCATGACGCTCCCAGGGCCTCAGATCCTTCCGGACCGCGAGCCTCAAGCAACACGAGGAACTCCCTGCCGACGCCTCCGGACCGACACAGCGCCAACCTATCTCCTCAGGAGCAGGCCGATGCGGACTATGCCTACGCTCTATCCCTCCAATACCAGGAAGAAGAACAGAGAGCAAGCACCGCCAGCAACGACAGAACTCCGCCTCATCGCGCCTCCATGTCCAACGCCTCCACCGGGGTGTCCCGCGAGTCAGCGTACGGACATAACCGCTCATCAAGTGGCGTCAACGTGAACAGCACTGGCAACGGGGACTCCTATGCGACCGCGGCGCGAAATCAGCTATCGCGACAAAGTCAGGGCTCCGGACGGCGCTCACAGACACGCTTCTCAACCCACCGTCCTGTGCACGGTGATGAAGTTCCCCCCCCTTCGTACGAACAGGCCGCTAGCAGTCCGGCTATCCCGTCTCCGCCACGAACTGCTCCTAATTCCGCGGACTCCTCTTTGCCCAGCCCCACGCCCTACCAACGAAACACAGTCGGAAGACGACCCTATGGAAATTCCATTTCAGGCGGGTCCGGAGAGCGTTCCAAAGAGCGGAATAAGGACTGCGTGGTTATGTGAGATTCTTCCTCATATCGACAGATGCTATCCACGCTCCTTCTAATCTGTTTTTTGTCGATGGACTTGAACCTTGATTTTGACGACAAGATGACGTGGAATGACTGATGTTGTGTATGTACTATATGACTGCGGCTTACTGCTTGTGGGTTCTTTAGACGATGAGCGTACGGTGGGTTTTATGTTATGATGCTTTTTTATGACCGGTTCATGAGACTTGTGTGCGAATCCGGGTACTATATACGGAGGAATGTTGTTTCATTCTAAATACTTGACTTCTAGTTCTTCTTTCTCATCCTTCCGGTTCAGTGTTCGGGATTGTACATAGCGATTAGCGTGAGGTCTGTCAACTGATGATTTATGAATATTTGAAGTATATCAACGAACGAGCCGAATCGTCCGGGCTTGTAGTAGATCCAATCTGAGAACTCTCATGGGAATCTAGCCCTTACCAGCTGAGAGAGACAGGAGCTATAGGTACCCCAGTCGAGCTCACGGTGAGTTTCAAAAGAGACGCGTAGGATAAACCCACGACGCATATTGTATCAAAGAGAGCAGAGTCATGGGTCTCAGGCAAAGGCGGGGGAAGATCGGCATCTGGACCGACCCTTGACTCGCAATCCGCAACATTCCACCCCGGGCCTCTTCATTGAGAGACCAATTTCGGTGTGGTCACCCGAAGGTGGCACCATGGACATTGTGTCCATCTCTGGTTACTAGATTTCAATGCTTGCGGATATGTGCCATGTCTTCCTCGGCGTTCACCTCCCGGAAGGTTTCTACGGTGAATGACAATCGTCGACTCTTCGAATACACATCTAGTCGATGGATGTGAGTTGCTCAACGATGCCCCCTGCCTCCCAACGTTGATAACTTATCCAGGTAGATACAACGAGAAATCCGTCTTGCTGAGCGCCACGGCGCATTCAATGTTGATGCATTGAAAAGCGCCGCTGCTCAGTCGCTGGGGAGATGCAATACAGATATCAAGAATCTGTCGAAGCTGGCGGAAGGAGGCTTCAACCGTGTCCTTCAGATCACCATGCGTGATGATACTTAGCTCCTTGCCCGATTGCCATATCCCTCAAAACTGAACCAAGGCGATTGGCAGTCGCGAGCGAAGTGGCGACCTTCTCCTTGGGGCTCATGGTCTGCCTGTGCCCCCTGTGTATGCATACTCTACAGATGCCCAAACCCCTGTTGGCTCGGAATATATCATCATGGAGAAGCTGCCAGGAAGACCACTTGGGAATGAATGGTTCGAATTATCTGATCGAGAGCGTCTTAAGGTGCTTCTCCAGCTTGTACGGCTAGAAGCAAGGCCTCATGCTATTGAGCTTCCTGCGAGCGGAAGCATATACTATGCCGGTGACCTGCCATCGGACTCACCACGCATTGCTCTCCCAGACTCAGATCTCTGCATCGGTCCTAGTGCAGCTCTTGAATGGTGGTTCGCGGAGCGTGTCTTGCTTCGTGTTAATCGCGGCCCTTGTACGTGTACGTGCCTCTGATGCCAGCTTGGCTCACTCCTGACCATATACCAGGCGAAGACCCAATCGACGTTCTCCGTAACCCTGCATTGAAAGAACTAGCCTGGCTGCGTGCATACGGCCGTCCGCGCTTCCCATTCGAGCGTGCATATCGAGAATTCATGGATTACCGTCTGTCCGATCCCAGCGAGCACATTACTTCGCTAAAATCCTACCTCAAGATTACTCCCGCGGTACTCGCATTGAAAGAAAGATTTTCTACGGCCTGTCCTCCGCCACCCAGATCTCCAACCGAACAACATCTTCATCTCCAACAATCTCGACATCGTCGGATTAATCGACTGGCAACACGCGTCAGCGCTACCACTCTTTCTCGCCGCCGGCATCCGGAACTTCTTTCAAAACTACGACGACCCTGCATCACTTGAACTCCGCCCGCCCCCTGCTCCGGATCTAGACGACATGGACGTAGAAGAGAAGGCCAACACTCTCCATAATTTCCAGCGTCGCCATATCCACTTCTTCTACCTAGCCTTCACGCAGCGTTTCAACGAGCCTCGCTTCCGCGTCATGGATCGGGCGACGAACATGCTCATGCGTCGGGTTTTCAGCCATGCAGGTGAGCCCTGGGAGGGGAATAACATCCCACTCCAGGCTGACCTCACCCTACTTACGAAATCCTGGCACAACTATTCCACCAACCCGTGTCCGATCCCATTCCCACCGGCCAAGGCCGATTCCATCATGCACGTACAAGGCATACAGGAAGAGGTTGATCTCCAACTTAAACAGGTTCGCAATTTTATAGGCATCAGCGTGGACGGTTGGACTCCCTCGGCAGAATCTGAAGCTGCTTTGTGCCCGTGCGCGGCAGATCAAAGTCGATGGTCTTGCTTCTCTGGATACGGATTACGAGCGCGAAATGACGGATCGGCATTGGCCGTTTGATGATCACGATGAGGACGAGTAGTGAGACTAGATATTGTCTTCCGTTGCTGGACTACTGCAAGCTGTTTACATTGGATTCCGGCGGTCAAGCGTGCAGGAGGTCGTTTAACAATAGATGTGTGTGCAGTAGTCTTGATTATAGACGCTAAATGGAGCTAACATGAGGATCTGGTATAAAAACTGCCCTTTCCCGCTTTGTTGTGCCATTAGGCGGCACACCGGATGGATGCACTTCCTCCAGGCGCTGACAGGGCACACCACCTGGGCACCTAACTATTCGCATGGGGAAGGTGGGTATGGGAAAAGAGCTGGATCTATTATTACGCGTCTTGCATTTACCAGAGGTAAATGGAAGTTGTTCGGGTGCTATCTTGTTTTGCAGAGCAGGGCGCAAATCTGATGTCTGTAGAGGTACAGAACGCGAGGTATTTTCAAATTACCAGGAACTCATTCTGTTCCTATGTCCACAGGCATGATTGGCCTCGATTGGATGTGAAATGGCTCATATGGTACAATCCCTAACTAAAATACTACCGAGCGAGCGCGGGTGTCAATCTCAGGTGGCAACATTAGTGTTGTGAAGGAGAAGCAGTTAAGTGCGCTATGTAGAGAGGAATATCAGAAATCCTCGACTCCGCATAATCCAAACAGTCTCGTCCTGTGCTTCCCGTAGTAACATACCCGCTCAAAAGTTCCAGAAAATTGATTTTTCATTTGACTTCTGTGCAATATGACCTACGTATCAAAAATCTACCATCCTGCACCGGCCTGTCTCGCAGACCATGAGATGGTTCTTCGCGGGCTGGGACGGCTGCAACTCTTTGAACAAGGGATTGCGCGTCCGCAGCCAGAAGGACTGATTTCCTACAAAGCTTCCTAGGTGAGAGGGTCTGATATCCACAAGGGAGACGGTCGTGGTGGCCGTCGATAAGGTTGGTCCGGCCTCGGCGCGGAGCTTCTTCACAATAAGGTCGCGGACGGCGATCGGCTCCTCCGTCCGGCTGGTGAGGCCTTCGGACGCTGCCTCGAGGCTCGGTCCCTGCGGCAAAGTCGCCGTGCTGAATACACCCGTGATGTTGCGAGTGCCAGTTTCCAGCCCGACAATAGCGTCCAGAAGTCCCACAAATAAGAAGGGGTGCTGCAGGATCTCTACCGAAAATGAGCGGCAGGTCTGTCGGGCAAGGGTCCGGTATTGTTCTTCCTCAAGCAGGCTCGAGAGGCGCAGCAGATTGCGCGCAATGACACCGTTTATGGATGGCGTCGCTGACTCTGTCCCTGTCTTGAGACGAAGTAGGGGGCCCGGGGTGCCCGGGGTCATGATCGAGGGCGTGCAGTAAAAGCCTGCAGGTGTTGAGCCCACGTATGCAAGAAAATTGTCGTTGAGATACTCTAGCATAGCGTTTTAGCATATAGCTCGGTTTCCATATCTGCCAGGTACTTACTTTGCAGTTGCTCTGCGAATTGCAAATAGCTGTCATCGAAAGTCGCCTCGTACATGTCCAAGAGTCCCCCAGTCAAGTACGCATAATCATCAGCAAAGCCAGGAGTGGTTCCCTTTTCGCCGTCGCGATAGATACGCCATAGTTGGCCGGTCGACTGGTCGAACAGGTTCTCCCTAATGAAGTTAATTGCCTTAGCCGCCGCTTCCCTGCATTGTACTGCCTTCGAGCTCTCGATCTCTTCGAATAATGCACTGCATTTGGCAAGTGCACCGATGGCAAGGCCGTTCCAGGCAACAATGATCTTGTCATCCAGATCTGGCCGTACGCGAGTCCTTTCCCTGTACTCGCACAGCTTCTGCTTCGCAGATTTGATAATTCTGACCACTTCATCTTCTCCCAGACCAAAGTCTTTGGCTAATTTGCTGGGAGTCACCTTGACTGACAGCACGTTCTGGTTCATGAATTCATCATGCGGGTCATTCTCGGGCGGAATATTGCCATCAGGTAAAACGCCCCAGTGGCGAGCACAGACCCCAGCATCCCGCTGACCAAGAACTTGCGTAAGCTCTTTCAATGTCCATACGTAAAAAGCGCCTTCGCGCTTTTCGGTGTCATTAGGTGTCGGGAGACTGTCCGCGTCCTCAGAGGAGTGAAAGACGCCTGTTGGTGACTGGATTGGGGCGGACGTAAGATAGGTAACCAAGTCGTACACAGCTCCCAGAAGCTCCGGGTTATGAGTAATTTTGAACGCATCCACAAAGACGTCTAACAGTTGTGCTTGGTCGTATAGCATCTTCTCGAAGTGAGGCAAACCCCAGTCGGCAGTGACACTATACCGCGCAAATCCATGCCCAATATGGTCTCGGATGCCTCCACGAGCCATGCTGATGAGTGTATTGACCGCCATGGCGGTCGCCTGCTCGCACTCCTCCTTCCCGACAATGTCTGACACTGCAGTAGGATAGATTCCAAGCCGTAATAGGAAGCTCAAGTTTGAGGGCGTAGGGAATTTCGGTGCCTTCGAAAATCCTCCATGTACAGGATCGTATCGAGAAACGAAATGCTGGTACGCCTCCTCCAGTAGCTCGATGTCCAAGTCCTCATCCACTTGTCGGTCTTCCTGGTAGGAATGTGTGCCTTCTTCCGCAAATTCTCGGAGCTGTTTGGTGATTTCCTTGGCACTTTCGAGGCACCTTTGCTGTTGTGTCTGCCATACATCCCGAAGCTTCTCGAGGATCTCGACAAATCCGATCGTCTCGTTTCCCGTCAGGGTGGAGGAGTTGGGACCCGGCCAGTAAGTTCCACCAAAGACAGGTTCAAGGTCTGGAGTCAGGAAAACATTCAAGGGCCAACCGCCAGAACCAGTCGTCGCCTGCACGTAGTTCATGTACACATCGTCAATATCGGGCCTCTCCTCTCTGTCGACTTTGATTGGGACAAAGGACTCATTCAGCACAGAAGCGACCTCATGCGACATGAAAGACTCCTTTTCCATCACATGGCACCCTGTTGCACGTTAATCCTCCGAGGGTCAATGTGATCGAGCCTACAAGCAAGGGGCGGGCTTACAGTGACACGCCGAATACCCAATGCTCAGAAAGATCAACCGGTTATGGCGCCTGGCCAACTCGATAGCTTCTGTGTCCCAGAGCTGCCATGCTACTGGATTATTCATATGCGCCCGCACCTATGATGTCGTCAGCGATTAAAGAAAGCAAAAGCGTCCAGACCTGGAGACTTGACGAACGTAGGGTGATTTGCTGTTCCGCAGTCGGTTGACGAGCTTCGGTCCTGCGTCGGCCATATTATGATGCATGCCTGATGGGGCAGCCATGTTGGGACCGTAAGACATCCACGTGGTCACAGGCCTGTACTAGTTGGTAGTTTGCGTCTCGGTTTCGAACCAGACAGGCAGCCTAAGTTACGATGCGCGCGCGTTAGAGAGAAGCTTAGGCAGCTGATAAGATACCACCACTTGGCCGTTGCACCAAGCTAAACAGGGGGGTTGTCGCGTGCGTGTCACACCAAGGATTTATCGGAAACAAGAGAGTGACAAACCAGCTGCAAGCGATCCGATCGAGGGATCAGACAATAGCGATCGATCTAAAGTGGGAGTGGCTCGACAGACAAGCAGGTGCAGGCAGGGCGGAGGAGCGGGAGGGGAAGGAAGGAGGAAACGCATGTGCCCGCGTTACTAACTCACTAGTTCGTCTGGCCCGCATCCGGGAGATCGTCGCCCGTGCGTCATGGACTCGCCCCTGCAGGGTCACGTGTCACCATCGTTATTGGATTTACTTCTACACAACCTCTCTTTCTCATAGGGTCTCGTACGTTCTGATCTCAAGTCTTACTCGCATTAGTCGTATCGCTTTAATGTATCAGTCGTGACGCGTCATTTTCTATCTTAATCCTCGCCCATGAGCTCAGCCAGCTCCCGCTCCTCTTCTTCGGTGAGCATTGACCCGGAGTTGGTGGGCTGCTCTTCTTCCTCGGTAGAGGTCTTTTGTGCCATGGCTACTGCCGTCTGCAGCTCATCGGGTTTCAACGGCCACTGTCGGATAGTAGCATCAATGCTGACACTGACGACTGTCGTGCCCACTAGCACTAGCCCGGTCACTTCTTCGTAGTGTCCAGAGAAAGTGTGGTAAAGCTTTCCGGTCTGTCCCAGAGTAAGCATCAGCCACAATACTGCAGCAAAGTTCATATAGCATAGACATACCGATCGATTCCATACTCGGACCTCTTCATCACGGCACGCTGTGACCACCCAGCCTCCTTGTTCATATATCACCACATCACGCACGTAGTCGGGATGTTCCAGAGTCGTGTTGGGTTTCCAGCCTTCGTCTCGACTCAGGCATTTGGTGGTCTTGTCAGCCGATGCGGTCCAGAGGTCGGCATCTTGGTCGAAGAATAACTTGTGTACATTGGTCTCATGGGCGAGGATGGCAGGGGTACCGGTTAGATCTTTGCTGCCACTCGAGATATCGAATTGGCGGATTTCCCGGTCACTCCCGGCACTGAACACAACCAACTCTGGTCCATCCGAGTCCATGCAAATGGGATCCAGGGCCAAATCTTGAATGCCCTTAACATGGCCTTTCATCACGGCCAGTCGTTGCCCAGTCGCAATGTCGAACACTAGTATCTGTGCATCCGCTCCGCCGGAGACCAGAACATCCTGTCCACGCAACCTCGTGCTGATAACAGACCGTACAAAATCAGTGTGGCCTTCGTATCGCAGCTTGGGTTCTTTTGTAGTCACATCCCAACTCCAGACGGTCTTGTCCCAGCACCCAGCAAACAATAAGCGACCGTTGGGTGAGAAGCAAATGCTCGTAATCGGTGCGGTTGGACCCTTATAGACGGCAGCGGTTTCTCCGGTCTAAGACAATTTCAAAGGACAGGTCCCATTTTTAGTCACGATTCTCACGAAACAGCGGCCATGTACCTACTTCGAGGATGACCTTGCGCACTGTTCCACCACTCTGGGCCACGAATACAGCATTTGTGCTCAACGGATCGGCCGCGACAGCCAGGATCTTGCTCTGAAGCCGGATCGGGTTTCCATTGGTGTTTTGTGACTTGGCATCCTTGCGTTTTTGCTCATCAAGGGAAGCTCTGCATTCAAATTGAATCAGCGAGGTGCATGCGGGCACCCGGTGGGCGGCGATAAGGGAACGAACGTGGTTTGAAAGAAGTCATCACGATGACTGGATTGGGCCATTGTGAAGCAGCCAAGTCAAAAAGACACCGAGTAAAAGAAAAGAGACCACTTGTCAGTCACCGCCAATTGATTTTTATCAACCTCCTTATTGACATCAAGAGTATCAGCGCATCACCCACCCACGGCAGCAGTAGCAATGACTAAGCTGCAGCACAGCTTCTTTCTCGTCTTCCCTCCCCGCCCCCTCACGTGGTTCCTTTTGGGCAAAACTGGCGAAGGAACTGCGCGGTAAGCTTCTCACGCTCACCGGAGCCCCCAACCTTTCCCACCACAAAACCGGCTTCTTCCGTTTTTCGACCTTTCCTCTTCCTTCTTCCTTCCAATTCTCTCCCCTTCTCTCTCTTCCGAATTTTCCTATATCTTCAACCTCTCCCTCTTTCTCTCCCCTGTTTCTTTTCCCTTTCTTTCTGCGCGTCGATCGCGCAACTCCCCTTGTCAGCATGGATATGAACCATTTAATAGGGTCAGTCTTCTATGCCTACCTACTGGTGTGATCCAGGGTTTGTGCGGCTAGGCGGGAGTTAACACCTGGCAGTCAGCGGTTCAACCTGATCTCCAAGAGTGACATTCGGTACGTGCTAGTTCCATCATCAGGAGCTCGCGAGCTTCCAGCTCCAGCTCCATGCTTTCGTCCATTGCTCTCCGGAGGGATTGGCAACCTTGGCTCTTACTGACAGCTCCTCATTAGCTATGTTGGTACCCTGCACGAGATCAATCCTGAGGCGTCCACGATAGCTTTGGAGAATGTCGTCTCTTTTGGAACTGAGGGCCGTCGAGGCAACCCGGCTGAGGAGATTGCCCCGTCTGCCAGTGTTTATGAATACATTGTCTTCCGGGGCAGCGACGTAAAAGACATCAGCGTAGCGGAGGACAAGAAGGAAAACGCACAGTCTGAACTTCCTCAGGTCCCCGATGATCCTGCTATTCTAGGGGTAAGTTTACCAAACATCCTCTTCGCTCTCAGTTCCCGTTTCCCCTGGTGTTGGTGTCCAGTCACTGGACACCTGATTTTATGATGAAATATTTCGGATGTAAACTCACAGACCTGTTCTGAATGCGCAAAACCATGTGGAGTTTTCCGTTGCCTTCCTTCTGACAAGATCAAAACACCTTACCCTTGGCCTTTGCACAAGACGACTCGTTTTTATTTCAAAAGTGCTAACGTGTCAATTGGTGTAGAGCATGTCTCGTCCCGGTCCCGGTCCTCAAGGCATTCCTCCTCACTCCCAAGCCCAGCAACCTCAGGTTCCTCGTCCAGCGCCTGGCTATCCCCAGCAGCCCCAGTTCCAGGGTTTCTATCCTCCTTACGGACAGCGCTTTGGTGCTCCTGGTTTCCCTCCGGGGCCCGGATTTCCTAATATGCCGTATGGAGCTCCTCCCCCAGGATGGTACCCTCCCCCGGGTCAAGGATTCCCTCAAGGACCAGGCCAGTTCCCCCCTCATCAGATGCCTATCGGACCCCCCGGTCAACACCAGACCCCTCCGCCACAGCGACAGGGGGCGCCTGGTGCGGGCCCTGTAAACGTTCCTAAAGCTACCTCGGAGCTTCCCGTTGGTGAAAGGCCCTCCAGTAAGCCCGCCAGCCGGAATGCCACACCTGCCCCTGCTGCTGGTCAGAACCCTCCTCCACCCCCTGTTGAATCGAAACCTTCCGTAACGGAAGCCGTACAAGCCTCCAGTATTCCCGCGGCGGCGGCGGTTCCGGTTGCATCCAAAATCCCACCCACTGGACCCAGGAGCGGGCGTGTGCAGCCGGCCATCCCGATTGCCACGCACTCTAAGCCGCCAGTCCCAGCTGTAGGCCAATACCCCGGTGCTGGTGCGGGAAACACTGTCTCGCAAGGTACCGCTGCTCAGGCGGCGATTACTGAAGCCACTCGTGCGGCAACTGCTGCTGTTGCGGCGGCCATGGCTAAGCTGCCTCAGCCCAGTGCACAGAAAGCTCCCGGTCACGGTGATGTTTCTGTGGATGGTTTGACCAAGCAGCTCGCTGAAATGAAGCCTTATGAAGGCAACCGGGCTCCTCGCGGCGGTCACGCGCACCCGCGGGGCGGACGTGGTGGGCACCGCGCTCCTTACCAAGGTCAGGCGAAGAAGGTCGAGGTCCCTGACACCGACTACGACTTTGAGACCGCCAATGCCAAGTTCAACAAGCAAGACTTGGTCAAGGAAGCTATTGCTACTGGCTCTCCGGTGCATGAAGCCGAGGCTGCGTTCCCTGAGGGCGAGGCAGAGTATGCCGCCGACAAGTCCAGCGCGGATAACGTCAATTCGTACAACAGAGCCAACTCGTTCTTTGACAACATCTCGAGTGAAGCTCGCGACCGGGAAGAAGGCACCGGTGCCCGTGCCGGAGGCCGTGAGTGGCGTGGCGAGGAGGAGAAGCGCAACATCGAGACCTTCGGCCAGGGTAGTGTTGATGGTTATCGGGGCAGCTATCGGGGTCGTGGCAGGGGAAGGGGCTATGGCCGTGGCCGCGGAGGTTATGGTCGTGGCTACAATTCTCGCGGCCGTGGTGGTCTCCGTGGCGGTCGCAATGCTCCCCAGTCCACCGGAGTGCCCACGCAGATCTAGGTCGTCCCTTTGGTTTTATCTTTTCATGACTGTCAGGTCGCAGTTCACTGTATCATGCGCTTAGCGATTATTGTTGCTATTTTCTCTCGAGGAGTGGTTTATGTCCGTCCACGACTACTTTTTTGTTTCTCCTGATATCCCTGGCGTCTGATGGAGCATCCAATGAATACATAGTCTTGACTTGCGAAGTGTCATGTCATGACTTTCCGATTGTGATTGGGGGTCCTTGTGGGTTATGGTGGAATTGGTGAACTATGTGCTGGGATGGCTACTGTTACATCTGGTGTCAAATTTGGCGTTCTTCATATGCATGGGCTGGTCTCGATCCCTCATTGCATCAATCTTCTGGTCGGGGAGTCTGTTACTGTTGTGTTGATTCCGTCACCTCAGCTATGGGTCGATGTCTGGGGAGCCTGGGATATTGTCAGTTGGCTGCCTCAATCTCGGTTGTTGAATACTCTGTTCGGCAATGATTGAGCGTGGGTCATCTTCTGTATTATACAAGACACCTTATCCTTGACGAATATCAAAAGACCAAAAAAAGGAGGCCTTTGTGGCTTACCAACAAGCTTTCTTGCGTAGTCTCGTGCCGAGGAGGTTGTTTCGTACTTGGTAGTTGAATGTACTATTGTAGACCCTGCACCTTCGACATGCGGATAGTCCGGCCACTTTCCCCTTACCGAGTCCCACGTTCCTTGACAGTCACGCAGAGATTCGCTCCAGCCCCCCCACCATGCGTCATCAATTTTCTTCAGGAATATATCAATGAAGCTTCGCAGCGGGGACACCCATTTCTGATTCGTTTCACGCGGCCTGAAGATCGACCTCATTCGGCAATGTCCCCTCACGACCCTTTACCTGTGCCTCGGCCAAGATGCTCGTCCTTCCCGAGAAGAGCACGGCAGTGGAGCAATCGCGCTCAGCTTTGAGCACCATCCAGGCTTTTCAAAAGGTATACTGGGGCATATTATACTGGATGGGGTCCTCAGTCTTGACGGTTCCACAAATCTAATCCATAACGAGCCACGGTCAGCCAATTTTCTCAGCGGGGGAAGTTATATAAACACGTATAGTATACCTCCCAAACGGGTTCGTCAACGAACAGGCGGAAGAGGTCACCAATTCCGTCTCATATATACCTACCACATACCTCTCCGAGTGCTAGAACCATCATGTCCACCGAACGCGTTCAAGCCCCCGACCAACTCCCCTGGGATCCAACCTGCACGCGGTTCCCCACCCGCAAGGAACTGCCCAAGATCCCTGGTGCGCCGAAGGATGCGGCGTGGGCATGGGGGAAGGATGACGAGGTGAGTTACTGCTGCATCTCAGATACCATTCAGCTAGTTAGTTATATCTATGTATCTGACTTGCACCGCAGCTCGGACGCCTGAACCTGCTGACCCCGGCGCGAGTCAAAGCCGCGGCGGCGGAGATCAAACTGGGGGAGATGATTCGACTGGAGTGAGTTCGTCTGTCTGCATCACCGCACGCACTGTACTACATAGCAAGGGAAGGGAAACACAGTGCAAAGACTCACACAGCAAACGCTATATATAGTCTCCCGCTGCACATCCCCGAGACGCCAGGGTTCGACCGCGAGCCCTTTGAGCACCGTATCAAAGAGGTAGTCGAGGACCTAGTCTACGACGACACGTATAGTTTGAACACGCAGAGCGGGACTCAATGGGATGGATTCCGCCATGTACAGTCTTCTTTCCCTTATCACCTCAAGCTCAACCCACCCCAAAACTCAATAAACTAACCAACCCCAAATCAACAGTTCGCCCACCTAGAAACCAAACTCTTCTACAACGGGGTCCGTAGCACCCACCCTCTTCCCACCTTCCCCAATACCAAAACACAAACTAACTGGGCAAAACGAAAAGACAACCTCCGCCTCCATCAAACCTCACCCCAACCCCAACCCCAGCACCACAGACCCAAAACACAAATGCAGCATCCACCACCTCGCAACCCAGGGGATCGCCTCGCGCGCAATCCTCCTAGACTACAGACACCACCACCTAACAACGCACCCAGACGACCCCTACAACCCATACACCAGCCACGCCATCACGCTCTCAGACCTGCAGTCCTGCGCAAAAGCCCAAGGCGTGAACCTCCTCCCCGCATCGCAAGGCGGCGACATCCAACCCGGCGACATCCTGCTGGTGCGCTCCGGCTTCGTGGAGGCGTACCACCGGCTGGACCCCGCCGCGCGAACCGCCGCAGCGCACCGCTCGCATGCGGACCTCGCGTGGGCGGGGCTGAGTCAGGATGAGGACATGTTGACCTGGTTGCATGATTGTTATTTCGCGGCTGTGGCGGGCGACTCGCCGACGTTTGAGTGTTGGCCGCCTGTGCGGGCGGAGGGGAGGGGGTTTATGCATCAGGAGCTGTTGGCGTGTTGGGGGATGATGATCGGCGAGATGTGGGATTTGGAACGGTTGGCAAGGAGGTGTAGGGAGTTGGGCCGGTGGACTGTGTTTGTGACCAGTGCGCCGGCTATGGTGTTTGGTTTGTTTTCCCTCTGTTTTCTTGATTCTGGGGGTGGAAGGGGTGGGTTGAGGATTCTTGCTGACTTTTGTGTGTCTGTAGGAGGCGTTGGGTCGCATGCTAATGCTACTGCTATATTGTGAGTTAAATACCTCGCTGGATGATGGAGTCAGGTAAGTTGAATTGAGATGCGGTCTGTCCAAATGAAATACTACGTGCTGGATATGTACCCGTTCTTCAAGGAAACAAACATTGTCATTCATTGTATTCGTCACGTCGTTACATTCATTAGGACTAGTAGTAGTAATAGTAGGAAAGTGGACATAGGAAAAGAAACCGTCCTCACCATCATGCCCTATCCAGAGAAGTGTGGGTAGAACCAATACATCCTTTCGACCGACCGATAAACTACCCAAGATCCATTGGATGACTGGTGCATGGCAATGACCAGCAGAGATTACACCAAGACACACACCCTAACACCACACCCTAACACACCAGGCAAGGGTATAAAGACACCGGAACCCCCGTTGGGCCGGACAAAGTCTCTCTGTCACCCTGCGATCACTCCGAGAGTCAAAAGAAATCCTCCGGCCACTGAAAGCTGTGTGCTCCACCGGAGCCTGACCGCTTGCCCGGCCCTACAGCCTCGGGCCGCTGTCCCAACGGCGACTGCGCCGGCCGCGCCTGTGCTTTCTCCCGGTCCCTCGCCTCCCGTTTTTTGCCCATCTCCTTCGCAAGGCGTCGATCGACCTTCGCGGCCGTCGCGGACAGATTCTTCGGCAGCGGTGGCACGGGCGGGATGTAATCGTACCGCGTGGACTTCTTCTTACTCGGAGACGGACTGGGACTGGGGCTTGCCATCCCTTCCCCGGTCGTCAGAGCTGTGGCCATGACCAGTTCCTCGGAGAGATCCGACTTCACTAGCGCGGTGCTACTGCTATACTGCTGCAGTTGCGCCTGTTGATTCTCCTTGTTGGGGCCCTCCGCCTCTTCCGGGCTCAGTAGCAGTAGGCTCTCGCCTGCACTAACCGACCGCAGATCCGGGCGGCCTTTCTTCATACGCAGGCTTGGCTGAGACGGCGGAGCGCGGTTCCTGGAATTCGAGGCTCGTCTGCGCGCTGCCGCTACTGAAGGGGATCGGGGGTTGTTGGGCGATGATTGGAGAGGCGTGGAGCGCCGGCGACCACGCTCTTCACTGGTGGTATTGGGTGAACGACCGGTGCCGGACTGCTTCCGCTCAACGGATCCGGGGCTATCACCGGGGCCCATTTTGGGGAGTTTGGGCTTGCGGGGAGTGGGTGTACTGCTTGCTGCGTGATAATGGTGGCGGTCGTCCATGGGTTGCTTCGATTCAGACTGGGACTTTTTCACTGATGCAGGGTTTGGCGATTTGCGTTTGAGCGAGGGACTGTCTGCGGTCAAAGACGATTGGGGCTGGGGGCCCTGGGGCTGGGACTCTTTGGGTGTGCGCGGCGTCATACCAGATTGTTGCTGCTGTGCTCCGGCTATTTGCTTGTTTGGCGTGGTTCTGTACTGCGCTTCCGCAGGCTCGTTTTGGTGGACATTCTCCGCCAGGGAGATCAAAGGTGTCGATACGGCTCGAGGGGAGATCGGGGATGTCGGCCGGCTATTATCGTGCAGCAACCGCTCGGACGGCAACGAGGGAAGTGCTCCAGGGACGAACTTGCGGGAGTATGGTTTGTCAGGAAAGGGAGTCGGTGCCAGCACCTCCTTCTCTTCCTCGCCCACCAAGTCGCGCAGTTCCCGACGAGCTCTTTGTAGCTTGAGCTCCAGGTCACTGACGCGCTTCATCAGCTTGGCCTGTCGCTGGAGCTCTTTGCGAGACTTCTGTCGTCGCACTTCCGCACCCTCCGGTTGTTCTTCGGAGGGCAACTTGTTGGAGTCCAAACGTCTGATATGAGGAATCCCCAAGGATGACTTGGCTTTGCGCAGCTCCTGAAACGAGGACCGAATGGAGCCTCCGGACTCATGTCCTTCACACGAGTTCTGCCTCGAATGGTGCACCACGGGCGGGTAAGTTGCTGGCTCTGGAATGGGATTCCAGGATTTTGCGGGAACCCCCGATTCGCCATCCAAGCTCCGTATGTAGCTGCCCTTATTCGTTCCCTTGTACCCGGAGCGCTTGAGCTCCGCGTAGGCTTTCTCCGCCTGAGCAAGCGGATCTTCCGGCTGCTTGGTGGCCTCCGCATTGCCCTTCCACCCCCACACGCCAAAGGGATTGAACGCGGACGCGATCGCCTTCCCAAATCGAAAAATACCCGATCCTCGTTGCGGTGCCGGGCCACTCCCATTGTGGCGTGCATCATCGCGCAGGAAAATACTTGGTGGTTTCTCGCTCACGCTGTCGCTCATCGTTCCCTCGACAAAGCGCGACCGTCGGCCCCGACTAGACAAGCCATTCTGGCGGCCGAACCGACTGGACCCCATCGAGCTCCGCGGAGAGCTTGAGAGCTTGCCTTCGGCAGTCTGAAACGGCTTGCGATGACCTCCCGTCTTATTGCTAGCACTCGCAGCTCCGTGGACATCATCCTGTGGTATGGGAGCAGCAGCTTCCTCACCGTCCGTCAGTTGCAGCGGCCACTCGTTGGACCGACGTCGCTTCGCTGAGTGGACGGACGGGGAACGGCTCTGCGCTCGCAGAGGATAATCTGCTTCCTCGGCGTCGTCGAATCGGCCGGAACTGTCGGACGAGAACTCGGATTCATCGTCGGCGGTCGAGTCGCTGATGGTACGCGCATGCTTGCGACGAGGAGATATGCGATAGGCCACGTGGTGGTCGGCGCACAGGGACTGAAGGGATCGTTCAAGCTGGCGATCGGTCTCAATCGCATCGGCTCCCATCACGGCTACGGCTATGCGGTTGTCGGTCGGGATCTGGAGATCGGGCAGAGTGACAGTGTTAATTGATGGAGCTTCATTCAAAACTAGTCCAATCGTTATGTCTGTGAGCGCGACGGGAAGGTGACACACCCGCTGCGCAAGGGAGAATGCGCGTCGCAGACAGGATAGGACAGGACAGGAGGAGCAGGTGGAATAGAAGTAATCCGACAGATAGAAAGGGAGGGGGAGGGGGAAAGAAGGGAGGAACCCTTAAATGTACTAACCTGGACGGTGCAGTCTCCAAGGGCGCGATCTGTCATCCTAACTACCCCCACTGCTTTACTGCATCCATCCACTTGCGCCTCTACCCACTTGCAACACCTGCTCACTTCCTCTTTTGGCACGCGATTAGACAGATGCAGGCTCAGTCGATCTTATCTTCTTCCGTTGTCAGGGATCTGGAGAGAATAGGACAAGCAGGATAGAAACCCGGGGAAGAGCAGAGCGGGGAAGAAGTGGAGGAGGAGAGGGAGGGAAAAAGCAGTAAGGCCGTGCTGATAGTGACAATGACAACAAAGAAGTGAGTTGGTCGACAACAATGATGATTGAGGTTTGGGTAGTGATGGTGGAGGTGGTTGTTGTTTACCTCGGCGGGCTCCCGGTTTGTTTACCTTTAGGCAAAATTACCCCGGAAGGAACCAAAATTGCACATGCGCCAAGCCCCGCCCCAAGCCGTTTTCTGCGCCCCGTGGGAGAAGGCCGATTCAGTGGATTCACCTATAATCCTCATTGTTCCCGTGTCTGTGAGTTTCCCAGTTATGCTCAGCTTCATGTCCTATTACTCAAATTTCTCATGCTTCAACAGGAATGGACAAATCAACTCCTTCTTCCGTTCCGGAATGCAGGGCAACAATCCCTATGCGATTTCTCTTGTTTATGGATTCACATGCCACATCTTTGGCATTCAGATGGTCTCAGTTGATGAGACAGTGAACCCTCTCTTCGGTGCGTAGCACAGCGACGACAATGAATGAACAGACGACACGGTGATCTACGCTACAAATCACAACCTGGCTATATTAAAATCTGCCAGCCATATAAGTGGTCTAAGACCGATGGCGGGAAAAGAGTCACAATCCAGTAGATGTGTCGCATTAGCGAATCGGGGCATGGCTGCATCATCCCACTTGCCAACTGAAAGACATAACAAACATTGGGGGAATATGTATCGAGTGAAATCCACGGAGGGTCATATACAACAGAAGGTAAAACAAGAAGAGTAAAAGTGTGGTATAGACGTCATGCCTGCTGGCATGACAATGAAATGAAAACAAAACCCTCCTCTTTTTGAATCAAATTGCCCTTCCAAAAATCCTCGTCACGCGAAAAGAAGATTATCGGTCAATTCAACGGCCAACTTCGCCAAGACGCCGTCCTATATAAAATGATGCCTCAAAGTTCGCAGGGAGAAAAAAAGAAGAAAAAAGCAAAGCTTAATGCTAGCAGCTGGGTCGATGTTATTGCATAGCCGGAGAGATCTTGGTGACTATCCTGCCATTGGCTCGCTTATATGCCATTTCGTCCCGAGCTAGGCTGTACGATGCCTCCCGGCCGGCATCGGGAAGTCGTCGGTCGCCATGAGGGTATGTGTCTGTATCTGGGCGCATACCGTTGTACAGTGGGCGCTCGGCATGGCCAAAGGATTCTTCGTGTGTTCGCTTGAAATATGTTGTTGATCCAGGAGTCGTGTCCCAGTAAAGTCGTTTGCTCGGTGTTACCTCAGTATTAGGACTGGAAGCGGTGTTGTTGCGCGACTGAGGAATATTGCTTTTGATGTCAAAGGAGCTGATCGGCGGAAGGGTCTGAACGCTGAGTGTAGGCCGGACGGTCGTAGATGGAGCGGCTGCCTGATATACGGAAGGATCGGACGAACGCGTTTCAGTGGGCGATGGCGTTGGCTGTGGCGGATCCAAACGCATAGGCGGTAAAGGGATCGGTGGTAAGGAGATCGAGCCAACCGAGGATTTTTCGTGTTCGGTACTGGTTGAAGGGTTTCTCGAGTGAGAGTGCGTCGGGTGAGGTGAATGCGCGGTGGTTGGCGTCGATCCCGATGGCGGCATTCTTGGTAACTGGGGGGCGGAATACTGCGTCTGCGTTGACCCGAAAGATAAATGGGATTGATACACGGGGCTCTGAGCCGAGGATGCAGTTGGGGCAGCGGGAGAAGGAGTAGAAGACGGGAGTGGTGCTGGCGCATGAGGGATAGGACGCTGGTAGGGCTGCGAGTTCTGGATGCCGTACTCCGTCGCAGATGGCCGGCGCGAGGCCTCGGGTACGAAAGCTTGATCAACGGTGATAATGCTGGTCGATCGTTGACGTTCCGCCGGGGCCGGGAAAGTATCAGGCGTGGAATAATAATCATGCCGGCTGCCAATCATTCTATCGTCCTCGAAATCGTAGTCGTCGGATCGTTTGTCTCCGCGACGTCTCATACGAACGTCTCGCCGGATTCGGACACGGCAGCCTTGTTCCGCAATGATACGACTTAGAGATGTACTGCTTGTCAGGCCAGGGAACTTCTTGGCGCTGAAAACCGTGAATGGGACCGAGACAACCTCGAGACGAAATTCCAAGAATGACTTCGGCGTCGTAGGCTTGCAGGGATTTGTCTTGAGCATTGGCGATTGGATCGGCGACCCCCCATCCGTATCCTTGGTCTCCTTGGTCTCCTCGTAAAGATGGAAACTGAGCCGGTAAAGACCTTCGTGACGCACCGAGAGATCCGGGAAGATGAAATACCCTGCCGGAGCTGGGCGATCCAGATAGGCGACTCCGGCCACGGGTACGCCGGTGAGGACTGGGAAAGTCGGAGCCGGGGCAAGTCTCCCTTGTGCCATTGGGCGTGCGTTGTCCAAGGTAGCGTAAAGGAAGAAATTGGCGTTATAAGCGAAAGTGATGTCCGTACCGGGCATTTCGGCGTTGGGGTCGGATTCGTAGATACGCAACTCCACAACCGGTGGGGGATCAACAGGACGGCGGTCGGCAGAAGCTGTTAAGGACAATTAACATCAGTCTCTGCATGATTTATATTATGTGGTGCGGCCGAATAAGCGTACATTTGGCGCCAGCACCGCATGCTCTTGCCCGCTCGGGTTGTTGCATCACTTTCAGCATGTATGTGAGCCTCTTTCCCTCACGGGTAATTCGACTGACGAAATGCTCCGTCTCGTTGGCCGGAGGCGATGGAGGAGGCCTGGCAGCCATGATGATGATTAACTAATACAGATCAAACGATCTGAAGGGGCGGTTAGTGGACTGAACAAGCGACGCCTTCATAGCAATTTCCGTGGAGACTTGAGAGCGAAGGCGAACGAGTGGAAAAAAAAGACCAATAACTCACGTTGAGACTATCATAGATGAGAAGATGCAAGTAGCACTGTGGTCAAATCGGAAATCGATGCGTGTAGCGACCTTTGCGAACCCTCAACTCAGGAATTATGTTTGTGTTGGAAAGCTACGCAACCGACCCTGCGGTTGAGTGAAACGGGAGGCGAGGAGGGGAGGCGAGACGCGGCAAAACGAGAGGAATCCGCTGCAGAAGCCGAGCCAGGGAAGACGGGGAAGAAATAGCAAAGAGACGTCACGGATAAGAAGAGAGGAAAGAGGGGAATAGAAAAACCGACCACGGACAAGTGCAAACTGGGGAATGACAACAAATAGCCCAGAGCGATTGACCCGTGCAAGTTTTCCCAGAAGAATAGGAGAGAGGGAGGGTGAAAATGGGTGGGAGGAGGGAGAAGGAAGTTGAAGATGGGGGATGGAAGATGAAGAAAGAGTGTGACGGGACAGACTAGACCGGACTAGATTCACTCACAGGGAGTGGGGGGTGGGAGAATTGAGGGAGGGAGATGGGAGTCGGGGAGTGGAAGAGTCAGCCGTGTACTTACTGTGTATGTATTATGAAGAGTTTATCTACAGCCTGGAGGACAGACTGCTAAGTTACTCACCACTACGGAGTACTAAAAGGCAGACTAACAAACTACTATAACTTGAACTAAGCAAGTCGCCGAGGGAGGGAGGGAAAGAGGGAAAGAGGGAAAGAAGGAGGAAGAGGGGGTGATCGAATATTCATTAAGTTCCATTACTTACCCTGCTTTCAACTTTCTGGATCGGGCGGCCCACCTCCGGCTCTTCGGTCTGATGAATGGCGGGAATTGAACGGTATCGTATCATCTCTCATCATCCTCAAAACTCTATTCTCCCCGGGGGTCGCTGCAAAAGAGGAGGTGAAAAGAAAAAAAAAAAAAGATAATTAAAGATGTAAGTGAATGTCATCAGCCTAAATGTAGTGGACCTCCATAGAAAACATTAAACGTGTTGACTCTATTGAGAGGATATTTCCATTGACAAGTCCATCATTGATCAGTCCAAAAGTCAGGATTGCCTACCAAGTACCAACCAACCCATCCATGTACTAACCGACAGTCCGGGTTTGAAGGTTGAAGAACTAAACCCGGCACTAGCTGGAGCCGGAGGGGTGGACACTGGGACGAGCTAGACTGGCTGATCCACTGTCTAAGGCAATGGGCCCGATGGCACTTCATTCATTCTTATTCCCGTTTGTAACTGCGACCGGGTGGGTGCTGGGATGATGCACTTGAGAAGAGCAGTAAAATAATTAAAACAAGGGAGATATAGCACGAAGAAAAAGAGAAAACAGATAACCAAGTTCAAAGGAGGGAAAAAAAAAAAAAACCTAGAAGGAAGAGAAACTAGAAATGGAATAAATCAATAATCAATAACAATGATAATCCTTATGAGGTAGTATTGTTAGTGGGGCTGACTGACCTGACGGACTGACGGACTGATTCTGGGGCTTCCCGAAGAGGGTCACGGCCGTGATGTCCGAGTCGTCGTCCGAACTGAAGGACGGAATAACCCCCGGATGAATGAAGGAATCTTCTTCTTACCACCCAAACCGCCACGGTTGTAACTGTAATCCAGCAGCGTTGATAAGTAAGCTTTGCAGCTATTGAGCTAGCTAGCTAAGAACAGCCTAGTATCCGGTCATTGTTCTCTAAGCGATGCGACCTCAATGGACAGAAGTCCGTCAGTAGCGGAGATACTAACCTGAAAGAGTACTAGCAAGTGTTGCTCGACTACTTGTTTTACAATACTGTACACTGAAGGCAGACAGACAGGCAGGCAGACAGGCAAATTACAGTATCAAGGCAATTGGACTATCATTCTCCCAACTGGATTGTAGGGCGGTTTTTGCTCGGCTGTGAGGTTGCGATGACCAGTAAGACGCGCGGAGAACGTCTCCCCCTGACACGATCCCTGCGAACTCAAAGCAAGGTACCTGCTCGAAGAGGTATGGACCTGCCTTTCACCCAGCACGGAAGACCTGTGATCACCTATATTTAGGTAGGCTCTGCAGGTAGGACCGTGTGCTGATGGGAGCATGATTGGTGTACGAGTGACGATAGGAGCTGGAAGGGTATGACCCTTCGACATGAATCAGCACTTGAGATTGCAATTGTTCCGACCGCGCCCCGGTGACTGGTCCTCTCCACTGTGAGGTCGGATTCTTGTTGAGAGCATGGTGGGGAATGCTGTTGACACTTGACAGACTGACAAAGTGCGTACCCGAGTTCTACCCATGTCGGTTTGGACCACATGGAGGACGATAGATGCCACGGATTAGGTATCGGGCTCATGATACCCAGTCCAGCGGATCGGTTACTTTTCCCAGGTGTCCGGGAGAGAAACATGACAAACGGCCAGTGGGGGTTGGTCAATGCGCGCTTTCCTGCCATCCTGCAGATGCACCCCCAGCGCCTTGCTGGTTCAGGTGGTAGTGTTTCCCCATGGACTCACCTCAAATTGTTTACATTCAAGCTGCTGAGAACCTTCTTATTTTCGAGCGCAAGGTCCCTCCCTGGAGCGATTGTCGAATATCCCTACGGTCCATCGCCACTGCACTGTCGGGTTGACCCGACCGAGCCTGGCAGCAAAAAATAAGGCCGCCCGATTTCAGCAGAAAGTGGCACCATGCTATCTTCTTCGAGCTATCGTTGCAGCCTGCATACGCACTTAACATGGCCAAACCAATCATTTGTCAAAAGGAAATAAGAATCATCTTCCATGGATCCGGGAAGATCCATCGTAGGGCACCGAACGCTATCTACCGGAATGAGGATTCCATCGTATGGGCCCTGACTATTCGACTTACTTAGGGCTGGAGCCATTACGAAGCGAGTGAAACCGTTTCCCCCCTCTTCCTTGAATGTTCTGCGCGGTGTAATCATGGTGTGGTGGTCCTGGTGGTAGGAACCAGGTTACTGTTAGGCACTAGAAATCGCCGAACGGAACCATTATTACCGGCCGAACCTAGGAGAGAAAACCTTAATTGCTAACGAGTAATGGACTATGGAGCGGAAAAGCAAATCTGGCACCGATCGAGGTACCGCCGATCCTTACTCGACTAGGTAGGAGTCGGGGTTTGAAAATCCATCATCATCATCAGCAGCAGTCTAGCACCGCCCCCAGAATAAAATTGGATTCGGATCTGCAGCAGGCTAGACTACCAGCAGGCTGGCAGGCTCGGGGAAAAAGTACGATTTCTGGGACCAGAAACAGTAAGGTACTGGTTGGTACGTCCAATTCTAAGGTTACCTGCTTAAGGATCAAATCTGGTACGGGTGGTCCCAGCGCTCCGACTCCGACTCCTGGTCTCTGGTCTCTGGTCAGTGCCATCCATGATCCCAGATCCTTGATCCTTGATCCATGCCATGGTCCTTCAGGCAATTTACACTTTTCACAGTCTAGCCTTGTCTGCCCATGGCGGGACCAACCACGTACCGTACCAGTATAGTCTGGCAGTGGCAGTCAAGACCCACTTATTCCTTCAGAGTTCGAGACACACACAATACTCGGCAGGGCCGCCAGACATCGGCTCGAGGTTCGATCATCATCATCATCGTACATGAGCGCTGGATTCTCGTGCGGCCGTGCCCCCCCCCCCCCCCCCCCCCCCCCCCCCCCCCCCCCCCCCCCCCCCCCCCCCCCCCCCTCTCTGCCACTTGCTGAAGACAGCGGTTGAGTGGAACAGTGGAAACGCTGGGAAGTTTCATTCCGCCCCACCTGGACGGTCCGCACCGAATAGAGCGGCCCCATTCCAACCACCTTGACTCGGGCTCTTCTTGACACTTTCTCGAGGTGGGCGGGCTGGAACCATACAACGAGTTACAACTTCCAGAAGATAGTTGTCGCATAGGAATGGAGAGTCGTGCTTGTGGGACAAAGACCAGTCCGTCTCGCTTGCACGGATTTACCTTGCAGAGGCTAGCCCGCATTGGCGGATGCGAATCGAAATGCCACTGCCACTCGGCATCTCGGTCACTTTAGTGGTAATAATGAGCTACATCTGATATCATCAGTGACCCAGTATCACTAGTTCCACTAAGGAGTATCGTTGCAGGATAATGGTGAATACCTCCTCGTATGTCTGACACCGAATCCACCACCCGTTACTGCTCAACGCTTCATCAATCGTCAATGCTGTCCGAACTAGAGCTAGGAAAAGAGCTTGCTCGAGAATTTGACGATATTGTCCGGTCAATGCTTGAGGCGACGTCGCGCTTTCGACCTCAGGGGCTACCGTCTTCTGGACAGATATATCATACTCCGTTTAGCGCGACGACTTGGCGCCTCTCTGACCGAAAGCTCACATCCCTCGGGTAGATGCAGCCTGTGCACTCAGTAGAGCTTCTACGCGTTTTCGATCAAAGTCTCAATACTGAACTCAGTCCTATTCTTCTTTCTGGAAGTTCAGCCAGTAGTCCTCAACTGCGAAGGGTTTTCTGGATTGGGCAGTTACTGATGATGGCTGCGGGCTTCGCACCGTTCCTCTTCTCCCCATACACCGACACTGTTTTAGGGGTCACATGAAGCCAACATGATATGCAGCTTGCGCAGCACCCTGCTTATCCCTTGGGCTCCTGGATAGTCTTCGTCGATCTGTTTGTGTTCATAAATCACGCAAGATGCTGGCGCTATTCGGCGAGGGATCACCCAGTAACCACACTGTCGGGTCTTGCCAACATGGAACGCCCTAGTCAACTTGCATGGGCTATCTGTATTCAGTTCAATCCTCGACAATTGGAGAGGTAATCTAGAGGATAATCATGGGGTCATCAGGCACATGAGAAAGCTGATCTGACGGACTGCTCCAATAGCTTCCCTTGATCTGGACGATCAAATTGTGACTACCCTGGCATTGATTCGTCTGATGATACTGTCACCGGAACGAAAACTTTGACTCGCTAGCACTTCTCATCACATCCCCAAGTCGCCATCATGATCCCATGATCTATTTGGCATTTTCCCAGGTTTATTCATCTTTTGTTCATGTGGGTGGGGGTTCCGGGGGGTTCTACTCGCCCAAGTCCACCAGAAGAGTTCCTACAGTTGGAGGGAGTTGACGCTCGCCGACCGACTCCTTAAGTGACCACCGCTGTTCTTGTCGACAATTCTTGTTTCTTTTCTTTTTCCAGCTTTCTCTTTCTGGTCATTGATGCTGCAACTAACGTATGCACATTGGATGAAATCGATTTGCCATTGGGTTATGGCAAAAGTCCGATGGATTGTAGCACATCTAGAAAGAGGGTCTGAGTTACCGT